TTGTGAAATGCCCCATGTGGATAGTTGAATTGAAACGTGAGAGCTTGACCTCAGTGATCGTCGTTACTTCCTTTGGAAAAGAGGTAAACACGGCCAATCAAATCGAACGCGCGTCCATGACGCGTCCTTAGCTTGACTTTCTACACCTTCACTCTCTCCTTTCTAATACTCTGGCCATGGTCGCAACTACAACAGAACAGGTTAGTTACAGCATCCTGATACGCTCTAATTGCACCGAACTTACCAATTCACGTAGCTTTTGGAACTTCAAGGCACTACAGTAGGTAGGAGTTGTTCACGTCCTCGCGCCGATCTCCTTCTCATTTGGATACACAGTTGTCCACCCACTTGTCCTACTATCCGTGGCTGATCACCATGCTCGATCTGCCGCGAAAAGTTCGTCGAAACGAGTCGTCGGGGTGCTACTAGGACAAGACAACGGCAAGACAGTGAACGTGGCGAACTCATTTGCGGTGCCCTTCGAGGAAGACGAGAAGGACAGTAAGACTTGGTTCCTTGACCATAACTACATTGAGACCGTATGGGAGATGTTCAAAAAGGTTAATGGTAAGTGCGGATAAGTGTCCCTCTGAGTTCAAGCGTGACTCAACGCGTGGCGTGCAGCTCGTGAACGGATGATTGGGTGGTACCATTCTGGTCCGAAATTGCGGGCTTCGGACTTGGAGATAAACGAATTATTCAAGCGCTTCATTCCTCGCCCGGTCATGGTTATTGTGGATGTCCGACCACAGACCGTTGGCATACCCACTGATGCCTACTTTGCAGTGGAAGAAATTAAAGATGTATGTCTGTATGACTGCGAAGTTTGGACAACCTCCTCATCATTTAACAGGATGGTACAGAGACCCGAAAAACTTTCTTACACGTTCCGTCCGCAATCGAAGCGGAGGAGGCAGAAGAGATTGGCGTAGAACATCTCCTTCGCGACATCAAAGACTCGACAACAACAACGCTTGCAACCCGAGTGAGCGAGCAATTAGCGTCCCTCAGAGGGTTACAGTCTCGTCTCTCAGAAGTGCAGAGCTATCTTGTGGACGTCGCTTCTGGGAAAATGCCTATCAATCATCAGATAATATACCATTTACAAGATACCTTCAATCTCTTACCAGATCTCGAGGATCCATCCCTTACACAGAGCTTTACGGCAAACACCAATGACCAACTACTGGTCGTATATCTTAGCAGTTTGTTGCGGGCGGTAATTGCTCTGCACGCATTGGTGGACAATAAGGAGGCGAATGGAAGGGCAGAGCTGGAGGAAGGAAAGGGAGAGGACAAGACGAAGAAGACCGACAAAGACGATGTAAAGAAGGGTGAACAAGATGGTGACGTGAAATCCGGCAAGGATGATTCTAGTAGAGACGCAAAAGACTCTGAAAAGCCGAAGTAGCTTAATCCAATGTACATATTTCATTGCTTCTGGATTTTATTTTCATTTCTTCACAATTCTTGGAGTCGGTTATGTAAGCCGACACCGACAGTATGAATCTTCTGTGCACGTGTACGCAGCCTTGTCTTCAGACTGTCACCAACGCCCACTTCATTTCAAACCTGTCCTCGAACCCAACTTCCACCAATCTATATCAGTGGGTGTCAACCTTTGCACAATATAAGATATGAGGTGTTTGCAGAGTGCAGCTGCTTCAGCTTCATTTGCGGCGGCCAGCGCTCTGATGTCCCTCCTACTGATGACGCCCATTTTCTTCAGCTAAAAAAGGAGCCAAAATGTCTCGTGCTCATGGATGTTTTAACTGTGGCATGAGTACGTCGTATTTGCATTTATCTGTACTTCCTTTCGTTGCGTTCTGCGTCAAATGTCATTCCTATATGGTTGGCTATTTCTGCTTCCCAGACTCTCTCAGTCTTCGCTTCTTCCCGTTTGCCATTTATAGCCTGCCGTGCGCGAGTGTTGCTAACTATTACTTATTTCGTTTTTCTGTTTATATCTTTTCTTGCACTGGCGACGATTGTTCAATTGAACGAATCAATGATGATATTTTGCACCTTGTCAAAATATATCCCACCAAAATAAATTCGTATCCTCTACAACAAATGCGACTACCGCTCCATCCAACATTGAATCTGTATAGCTGGCCACAGAGCAAAAGAATGCACACAAGATCAAAAATGGTACAGTATCTTAGGAGGTGGATTGTATCAATTTGATGCTGACGGTGCTCCTCGTAAATCAATTGCAGTTATAATTGTTAGTAATTTGCTTTATCGTCCTTTTATTTAATGAATTATAACTATGAGGTTATAGGTGGCGAAGAAGGCCATGTTTCCCGCGATTGCGTCGGTCCGCCCAAGTCAAGGGAGTGCTACAGCTGTGGAAAGACTGACCATCTAGTGCGTAACCTTCCGAATCAATTCATTCCGCCAAAAACCTTAACTCTACCCGTCGTCTAAAGGCAAGAGACTGCCCAGACCAGCCCGCAGAGCGCGGTGGTGGCTACAGTTCATTTAGCAACAACAACAGCAGCAACAACAACGCAAGCTCGATCCAAGAATGCTACCGCTGCTCAAAGGCAGGGCATATTGCCCGAAACTGCCCTGAGGCTGTTGGTGGAGGAAGCGGAGGAGGAGGAGGAGGGTACGGAGGGTATAACGATAATATGAGAGGAAAAAACTGGTAAGTTGTACACAGTGAATATTCTACATGCCGCTTAAATGGATATATGTTATGCCGGTCAAGTTTTACATGCGGAGGTTTGGGCCACCTTTCGAGAGACTGCGTTAAGGGCGCCAAGTGCTACAATTGCTCTGGCTATGTATGCTTTCATCGTCATAAATGCTATTCAACACCTCAGTATTGACGTTTTAACTGTTATAAAGGGGCATATAAGCCGTGACTGCCCTAAACCTCAGCAACGTGTGTGCTACCAGTGCGGTTCTGAAGGGTAAGTGACACCTGCCTCTGAGACAAAAATCTATTCCAAGAGTACCAACTAAATCAACGACACGATTCTTTCTTCAGGCACATCCTTCGTGACTGCCCTGGAGCAGCCGAAGCTGAAGCTCCCGTAGCTGCTGAGGCGGCTTAAGTGAAAGGGGGGGGGAGAGTATGCCTGTGTGCTTGTTGTATCACGACGCCTACCATTCATTCGTATTCGTGTTTGTTTGTCCGTCTATCTGATCCATGGTTGTACGTCTGCCTGTTGAGACTGCTGATATAAAAAGAACCTGATTGACACGCTAAAATGTTGTCCTGCGATCTATTGTATATAATGACAAGATGGTTTTGACGAGTTGCACACTCACTTAACTTTTCGCGAATTGAGCAACGAGATGTGCAGTTGTGACTTTTCAAAACCTATCGCTGATTGAAGATGGCGCATCGCGAACACCAAAGAGAGCAAAAATAAATATATATTAGAGAGCACACGAGCTCCACTCGAACATTTTTGTAATAACTAGGAGACATCCAACCAACAAACCATCTAGAAATGTACCTGGTCGTAGATATTCCACGTCTAGCAAAAATAATCGCAGTCAGCATTACAATAAAAAACATTTTATGTTTTTTGTGTACTCACTTTACGCCATAACAAACCCCAATGCTCCTTAATCGGACCATCAATACCAAACGCCAAACCACGGAACCACCAAAAGTTCGCAACGATTGCGAAAGCTGTGACGCCAAAGACGGCCCATTTGGTACGATCAGCGAGTCGGCGGTTCGTGAAGACGAAATGGTCGAGTAGGTGTGCGAACATCAGTACGGAGAAGAATAGAGTAGGAAGCTGTTAGTGTAAGCTATGCGTCAATGTCTCGTAGCAAACCCTGGTCAGAACATAAATACGAACATAATGATGAATGTAAGTCACCCGTCCCATTATCAGGAACGGGAAGTAGTGCAGGGCCCAGCCAATGAATGCAACCTTGCCAACATATAAGAAATGTTCCCATTCGTCTATAAATCGGACGGTTAGAAAGAGGGAATCTGTAAACATATAATGCTATCCTAACCTGGATCGAAATCCTTGTACTTCCGCTGCTGTCTCAAGAGATACACGCCCAATACAACAAGTGCGACAATAAGAGCAGTAGATCCCGCCCACCAAATGATAGGCGTGCCCAGCAGGTAGTACTTCGTCTGTTGATCGCCCCATCCGCACATACGTAGCCCCACATATAAGAACGGCCAGTCAGTAGGGTTGGAAGCGAGAATATCTTCTTTATCCGGATCCGGAATAAGTGCGTTATTGGAAGTCATCATCGCAACGTTCAAGTGCCAGAAGTCGCGAAGGAACGGCGACTTGTAGAACTTGGTGTCACCAGCAGGTACTACATAAACGTCAGTCAAAGGAGAATTTTGGACATGTAGAAAGCTTACGTCTGTCATTCCAGTGGCTCTCGACATTCCACCAAGTGTGGACATCAGTCGGGTTGTTCTCCTTGGTACAAGATACCTCGACCTGCTTGAAACCCCACTCCGGAAGAATCGCATTGGCCGCCCGAAGGTAGCACCCCATTCGTTCATGGCGGAGACGCATGCGAGTCGTCAAAGAATGTATGCGGTCAACGTGATCTTTGTTCCCTCGCTTAAGATCATCAACAACTTCCACTTTCCAGTAATCATGGAAATCGCCAACTGTCGCATTACCATAACATGACACTTCGTTGTTTAACTTCGAAATGGGCGCAGGAACATTGTGAGAATGCAGGTTCCGAGTGCTCGGACCGTGCTGCAGACGAATAACATCTCCATCCTGTAAGAAACGAATAGGACCGTTCAAATCAACAGGCGGCTCATCCCACTTAGGAAGGACGACCCATTCGTTATTGTTGTCCTTGTAGTGGTAGCAAGTTACTTGCTGTTGATTTGATCCGACTGGGTAGGTTTGAACATGAGAATGAAGTAGTCCACCACCGTAGCCCACGTTCTTCAACGTAAGTTTTGAGCCAAAGGCAACCTCTGAAAACGCACGTCGTTAGCGCCGCTCAATGTGTATGATACTCCTCAAACATACCGAGGGGGTTCTTTCCAAAATCATTGCCAACGAGATTCGCTTGGAACAACGAGCTCATCTGAGAATCACCAGGGCCAGAATGGTTAAGAACCAAGAAGTGGATTTTGAATGTCGTCATGTAGACCAAGATGGGCACAATGATGAGACATGCGATTCGAGCGCCCCAATGCTTTGCTTGTTCTCGCTGAATAAATAGTCAGCACAGGGGACTAAAGGTACATGAAAAGTTACTTGCATAAGTAAGACGAAGATCACCGAACTTGTTCCATAAGTCTTCGATAGTGTAGGCACCGACCAAGGCTGTCGCAAAAAATCCAACCCATTTCACGCTACGAGACGTCAATAGGACAATTCTGTATTATGAAAAAATCGTCTCACCTAGTCACGCAACCAATAGATATACCAGTCATGGTAAGCCAGAACCACCATTCCGGAGTGAACGATCTATATCGAGCATGAACATAGTTTCTAAGCTGTAATAATTCTTCTTACCGCCATTGCTGGTTATTAAATTTGGCCATACAGAATACAGTAGTGAACGTGAAGAACAGCAACATCGCATCGAGGAGGATAAATCGCGAGATGCAAATCCAAGCAATATCTAAATGTGTCCGTTCAGCAATGTGTTAATACATCCTCTGAAATGAGGGACTTACCACAGAGAACCATTAAAGCGACCAGATGACATGCCCGTTTACTCATACCCAACTCGACAGCCGTGTACCAACCCAAAGGAACCAAAGCAACACCAAAACACGCCAACATCACTCGCATTGCCACGTACGGCAATCCCTCAGGATACTCAGTCCCGCTCTTGAAATCAAAGTGACCATCGTAACCTGAAAGCAAACCCACAAGCCCAACAAGCATCTTCCCAAGTGGAGGGTGCACATCGAAATAGAACTCGCGTTTCAAATAATGAGACCCAAACTTGCCAAAGTGCGCCTCGTCCCAAACGACAACATTCGATTTGCCGATGCGGTAAAAGCGCGTCCAACATGACAGCAGCGTGTAGATGGCGGGCGGTATGTGTTCTGAGTTCTGCTGGATGAACTCTGTCTGTATCCATGTAGAAGAAGAGTTAGTAAACTCGAGCCAAAATCTGCGAGTGCCAGCTCATAACATTGCACTCACCAAGTTCGTGGGCGGCGGCGGTGGCGGCCTTTGAGGTCTACCTCCCAATGTTGGTCCCTTCATAGGCCTCATTTTATTGTACACATCCTTCCCCTCATCATTATAGCCATACGCAGACTCGGGCTTATAGTCACCCAAGTCATTAGAAGGCGCGCCACCAGCCTTTACTCTCCTACGCGCAGTCTCCTCGGTCATGTAGTGCAGGGGTAGCTCCTCCTCCTGCTGCGACGAAGGCCAATGTGATGAGGAATAGTTGGCGTCTGGGTAGTTTACTTCTTCGTACTCAGAAGAGGTGCGGGTAGGACTAGCGGGAGGAGAATAACCGAGGTTAAGAGCGACCTGCGAGGGCCGTCGCTGCATCCGATTTAAGCGCGTCCGAGGCTCGTCGGGATTAATGCTAGCACTGTGTCTGTCCACCACAGACCAGCTCTGTCTTTTTTACTTGTCGTTGTCCGCAGTAATGCAGATTCTAGTGTGGAAGAGAAAACAGCAAGAGTCGGCGCTGTGATCAGAGTTACGCAGCAGAGAAGATGCGGCGAACGTGGACGCGCTGGTTTTGGCAAAGTCTGACGTGTCGATCACTGCACAGGTTCACCGCTCGCAAAATTATCACAAAAAGGTACGCGTTTATAATGAAAAGGACGAATTACACGGAAGACAAAATTCAAGAAGTAGAGATAAAGCCGTATATATGTGACAGCAGAGCAGGCCAGCATAGAAATAGTACAACTACTCATCGGAACTTCTACAAGTGCCGGTTATAGACGCCTGCGATCGGAATGGGATGAGTTCACTTCTTTCTTTCCACAGAAGACAATACAACTCACCGATAACCATCGCGTGATCACGTTCGTACGGCTAATGTATAAAGTGATTAGAAATCGAAATATTGAACATCTCGCGCATCCGTACCTCAAGAGTTAGTTGTTCGAGCGGCTTGATTTTCTCTGCTGCCAATTTGTTTCGTTCGCTCTCAAACACAACAGCTGCGGGAGCCGTTGAGTCAATGCAATTTGCTTTTATTGAGATGACCACATGGCCTCCGTCTTTTAGGAATTGGTGCGCGTTTAGCGCGACAATGCGAGCTTGGTCTGGCTGGGCGACGTCTGCGAAGATTACGTCTACCATGGATAGCAGCATTCGATATTTTGATGGATAACGAGCATCTTCGATGATGGCTAGAGAGCGGTAAGTTAACATACAGTGACAGACAGTGGATATGAAACGCATACGGATAACGTTTGTTCGCTTTTTGGCCATGCCGATAAGATCACGACCGGAGCGGTTTGAAAATTCTACAGCATAAACAGTTCCCTCCTAAACACTAAAATGAGCCGTCATAGTTCAAAATTTGCATGGTGAAGGACTCACAGGACCGACAACATCCGCTACATGGCTCACACTCGTCCCACTAGCAGCACCAAGGTACAGCACCTTCTTCCCAGGCGCAATGTAAATATCCTCCACACCGCCCAAGATTCCAGCAGCAAGCTTGCTACGGAACGGATTCCATACTCGATACTCGACCTTCGTGCCTTCCTCCTTACCGTCAACACTAATACGCTTTTCACCGTACACAGACTCTCCGGGAACAAGATTCCTAGTAACGAGCATGTGTTCTTTACCCTTAGCGATGAAGACGCCGTCATGCTTGTGCGGTTCGACAATGACATTCGCACCACCCCTCGCGCCTCCTCTCTTTCCGCCTCGCATAGCTCCGCGACCCATTGGTTTTCCTCGGCCTCCAGGTGCTCCTCTACCACCTTGAAGTTCGTCAATGAGTCTGCTTTAGATAGATAGGCTTGTATAACTTACCCCCACGCCCTCCTCTTACTCCACCACGTCCGCCTCGATCTCCTCCACCAAATCCTCCTCGTCCGCCCCGAGCACCTCGAGGTGCACCGCGACCGCCGCCGAATCCCCCACGTCCTCCAGATGCACCTAAGTGTCAAAATAAGCATTAAATCCACCCCTTTTGAAGGAATCCTTTTGTTTCTTACCGAATGCCATGTTGTATATGCTTTTACAGAGGACTGAAGGTGGACCAAAAACCGAGATCTAACTTTTTTTCGGGAGACGGTCAAGAGTCAAGAGAAGAGAAACTTTCGGCGATTTTCACACGGTCAATTAAGGAAATTTGTGATCGGCGTGGCAGGCTTGGTTAAAGTTAAACAATACAGAAATTACACAGCAATAATAACCAGCGAATGTCATACATGAGATGTGGATAGCGCATGCAGTCTAGAAGAATAAGCTGAAATGTACAAATGGGAAAAGATGGTACTACTTGGCTGCCTTTCCTCTGCCGCCCCTTGCTGACACCTTCCTCCTCTTCCCAGTCGCCTCCTGCTCTGACCCATTCTGTTTGCCTCCAAACAGCTTTTGCTGCAATTTCTCGAATTCCTCGTCATCAATTTCCGGTGGCGCTGCTTTCGACTTCTTCCCTGTAGACGCATCATCCTCATCGTTCCCTCGCTTCTTGCCTTTCTTACCCTTTCCCTTCGGTTCAGGTTCAGCATACTTCGCAGCAAGGTTATCGAAGAATCCGTCCATGTTTTTCTTCTTCTTCAGGATGAGCGCCTGTAAGATGTTGGTATCGTCATCCGCTCCATTCGCATCTGCGTCCTTCGAGGCGCTCTTTCCCTTCGTCTTCCTTGGACCAGCTTTCCCACTTCCATAGAATTCATCCCATACACCAAGCTCCTTCGCGAGCTCTTCCGCTTCCGCGGCCTCCTTCTCGCCTTGTTTCTTACGAACAAGTTTCGCTTTTTCGTCTTTGACGCTCTTCTCCCACGCCTTGGACACGGGGAGTTCACCGTCTTTTATGAGTTGGGTAATCAGAACGATGAAGCGCGCTTCGTCATCGAAAGTGGAGTGGGGTATGTGATTCATGATCTCGCCAATAGTGCTGTCAGTCTCAAGGTAGGCGCGTTTTATATCCTCAACCTCTTCAGCGGAGCCTGTCGTAGTTATTCAGCAAGAATGATGAATATTGTAGGGCGTGTTACACATGCCTTGATACTCTTTCTTCAACTCGTCCAGCTTGCCCTTTGTGACCGTATCGAATAGGTCCGAGAAGTACGCGTCCCACCCATCCTCACCCGCCTGCAATTCAAAGCCCTCATCTGTCCGACCAGTCTTGTCATATCTCGCGCGTCGTTTCTCATCACTCAAGACAGCATAAGCGAATCCAACCTGCTGGAATTTGACTGAAGCGTCCGCATGCGCCTCTTCAGAGGAGTTCACATGTTTGTCAGGATGATGTACAAGGGCGAGTCGACGATAGGCTTTCTTAATGGCGTCCGGTGTCGCAGATGATTCAAGTGAGAGGACCGCGTACAGGTCTACATCCTCTTGGCCAGGAAAGAACTGCGTGATAGGGTCTTCTTGATCCATGGGAGGTGATGAAGGTTTGGCGTAGAGAGCAGAGCTAACTTCGAGTCGAATTGACGCGAGTCGTGTCGCTCGTGATCCTCACGTGATACGCGTTTTAAAATAATTAATAGAAGGACAAACAACTGTATACATGCTACCATCAAACTGTTGAATTTGAGGAACACACTAATCAAATTCTCGTTAAGTTAAATACAGAACAATTCTGGTCCGATTTTACAACCAAACATCCCAGATACCTCCTATCACAAATAGTTTGAGAAGTAAGATAAATAAGTCGTGAAAACATGGCGACATCCGTTGAAGTGAAAATTGAAATTGAAATGCGTGACAAACATATGTAAGACGAAGAACGGTACACCCAGCGAATCATAACAGTTCGACCCCGTTACTCTATTGAGAGCCTCGGTTGCAGCGGAACTCCACCGTAGTACGAGCTTTGTCGCTCGCCTACGCCTGGAGTATTGGGAGTCGAATAGGTTACTTTTTCAGGTACATCTGAGATGTAAATAAAATAGTTTAATTACCAATGAATTCTTTAACACCAGTGTCCACCTTGGAATACTGACCGTGCATCTTTGCATCTGCAAGACCTTTGTCAAAGTCGGAAAAACACCGGAGACCAACGGCGAAAGTTGCAAATAGCAACAAGAATGCAACGATGGCTAATTGTTTCATCAATACCGGAACTTGCTCCATCACAAACAAGACTAAATTACTCACTGAATACGGTGAGAGTTGCCCGAGTCGTTTCGTATTCGGCCTCTGAGACGGGTGAGAAGAACCGGACTAGCTTGTAAACTGAAAGAGGAGAGGATTCAGAATTAGTCATGAGTGGTGAATAACGAAGCGTACTAAAATAGGTTTCCGCAGCCAACATAAGAATAAGCGATATTGTCATAATCCTGGTGGGGCAGGACATAAGCAATTGCCAGAGCAACAGTGATGCACGCGCCACTCCTACCACTTTATTTCCCGTTTCACAGCAATACCACAGATTACTAACAGCACTAAGACGATTGGAATAGCGGCGATTGTTAAACCAAACTCTGCAGAGTCCGACGGTAGGACGATAATGAGCATCTATATGCAGCGTCAGCATAATTTCCTCGAGCAAAGTTGTATGATCCTGCCTGCATCGTTACTCCAGTGAAACAAAAGAAGTCGAATTTGAGTAAACAAATCAAGATCTGGTACCACTGGTACATAGCTAAAGAGACGCTTGAGCAGGCGTTGCTTAGAGAAAGCATCGCAACGCACTTTTCATCACGGGGTTGGCGCCGACGACTTGGAACACTGCCCAGCTGTACTCACGAATCAGACTGCTGTGTTGGTAGAATGGAGAAGTAACGCACCCAAACTCAGAGAAGAGCTCTCGTACATGGAAAAGCATGACAAGCCAACTCAAGGAGAGTATACAAGGAACAACAATCAAGAAGGGCTCAACACGTCGCCAGAGAGTGTGTGGCCCATCACATCCCTAACGGAAGATGGTGAGCCCGAGCAGTTCGAATGGGAATGAAAGGGGTTACATACAACGAAGGTGATGCACGGAATTTCGGTACTAAAGACAAGGGCATCCCGGGCTTCATGCACTTGCAGTGCAGAGAATACGATCAGTGCGACGTGAAATGCTAGGGGCAGATGAGTCGAGACAGTTAGGGCAGGCGTCCGCAAAAGCTGCGCACCGAGAATTCCAACCAGCTGGATAATGTTACGAAGCTTCAAGGCATCCAAAGCCATGAGTAGCTCGAAAATTCTATAACAGGTGAGCACGAAGACACAGTAAATCGCTCGAACTAGATATTCACTCTGCGAGTCCGAACAAAGCCAAATAGCAAGGAATTGTCTACGAGATTGTCAGCCGTATTCTGCGTGTGAAGCATAAAATGTCATGTGTACCTTGTAACTGGATCTTGAACTGGTATCAACGTTGGCCTCGACCTTGAACCCATGTTAGCAGAGCAGCTCCCGACATTGATAGAAAATAAATTTTACGAAGCCGAAAGGTATCGCGACCATCGTGAGCACGATAATGGCATCTGGACAAGAGAGCAATCGTTCAGCGCGTGCCTCAAAGCATCTTCGGACAAGAAATGAACGAACTTAAGATAACTTTTGGAAGATGGCGTAAGTGATTATCGTCGGGTATAACGGTGAGATGAGAGACATACTGGTGGCAACAAACGACTTCTGGGCTCTTGTCCCGAGGAATGGTTCGACGGCCATGTTGGTCGCGAATAGATATTGTGGAGAGGAAGGCTCTTCCGCACGCGTATGCGCGACGACAGATCGATGAGGGGATGAAGGAGTGTGGTAGAGGAGGGTGAGAAGAGACTCCGGCGCGCTCTTCAAAACGAGTACCGCAGGCTGTGCCGCGACGACCGAGGGCGGAAAGGATTCACCGTTCCCTGTTCCTGCGGACCTGCGCCGCGTTCGGTGTAGAAAGGGGCTCTACACTCCTCTCCCTTACACGTCCCGCTGCAATTATATTGCTAAGCAGGTAAATTTCCGAGAAATTGTCGAAAAGATTACAGATACTAGAAGTTATTCTATATATAAATGCAATACAATTACGTTGCCCCAAGCTGCGTGGCATTCGGTGAGCAGGCGTGCCCAGCCAGAAAAGGCAGTAGGACACCACACGTGACTGGCGCGTTCCAAACACCAAAGTACAACCACAGTGCTAGTCGATCCCAGCCCATACACACTCCGCTATGGACGGCGTCGTCGTCCCCGGCTCACCATCATCCCCGAGCTCAAACAGCACAGACAGCGACGCAGTCAACACCTCCTCCGCGAAAATTTATTTCGGCCAATTCACCTCTCCCGAGAAGAAACTCGCAGCATTAGTGGACAAGGCCTCTTCACAGGAGCCAAACGAGCTCAACGTTGGCGAGCCTGGCCCATCTTCTCTTCTCCGTCGCTCACCGCGCTTGTCTAGCCCCCCTGCTCGTAACTCTTCGCAAACCGAGATAATTGAACAAAGTGAACAGGAAGAGGAGGATGAGGAGGATGAGGCGCGGAGGGAGGACGGCAGCGGGACCGGGGCGACCCGTGAAGGATCGTGGCAGGACACGCCCTATCTCGAATTTCTTCGAAAGGATGGTGGGTACACAATACCACTGCTACCGCACGCTTGACTCAGTTGCTTCCTCAGAACCATCTTCCGCCATAGCAAGCCGCATAATGCGAGCACACGACAATCCATCGCCCCCACCAAAGCCGCTGCGCAAGTCACTAACACCCCGATTGACTTCAAAGCTGGCAAAAGAACTTGTCTTCCCATCTATTCCTAGCTCTGCAGAAAGCTCCGACGCTGCTATTGACTCACCTCTACAACCGGCGAACGAAGGCAGGGATATTCCTACGCCACCTCCGCTTCTATTAGCCGATGTGTCTACGCTACCTACGCCTACAACTCAGAGGGTTTCATCACGGTCACCCACGCCTCGGCGCACCACTAGTTCTTCACCTCCGAAGGACCCTGAACCCAAATCCAAACCCGAAGCCGAAGTTGATCTAATATCGTTCGATCGCTCAGTACTCATTTCTTCACCAAACGAGATTGAAATTCGATCCCCATCGCCGCGCCGTGCTCAGCAACAAACAGTAGATGATTTACTATTCTCTTCACCTCTACAAAGTGCATCTCCTCGAGCCGAGCCCAGAGGAATTGCTGAAGAAGATCATACTATCAAAGCCGATGGTCTCCTCCTGATAAATGCGGAACCCCAGGTTCAAGAAAATAAGGAGGAACACGTGCCTCAACTCGAGAAGGTTGAAACAGTAGACGACGCTCCCGCTACTGCCTACGTACCGGAGACATCAGATACAGCATCGCAGTCCTCTGACAGTGACCATCCGGAAGTAAGTCAGGCCGAAGTGCAGAAGACTCCTGTTGCACGCCTAGTAGTCCCCGATCCGAGCTCTTCTCTCAGGCGGAGTCCAAGGCTAAGCGCAATCCCTCTACCCGTTCCACAAGACACGACGCAATTATCTACACCTGGTCGTCCGCCTAAAGTTAAGGCGCCTCGTTCTGAAGGATCGCAGACCCGTAAACGACGGCGCAGTAGCTCTGGGAGGACAACTCGAGCATCGTTGTCGCCGAAGAAGAGCATTTGGCCCGTTGTACATGATGGATCCGACAATGAGACCGAATTGTTACAGTCACCTTCAAGAAGTGAAAGGCGAGAACGGAAACGTGCTAAGAGGTGTACCGAGGGTCTTTCAGACACGACCGATGTACAACTAGCAGAGTCCTTATCCCCGGGCTCTGCTTTCATTTTGTCGAACCTCGTATCATTGGAAGACGTTGCCCTATCGGCTCAGGTGAATGAGGAAACAGTCGCTCCCGTTACCCCTCAACGATCAGGAGTGACAGCGCCAACAGAAGACAAGGAAATGACATCACCTGCAAAACCTGCACCTCCGCCTTCGATTAGCAGCGTGCAGCGTCCACCTCCGGGAGTGTTCCCTTCTCATACTGTAACTCCTGCCCGTGGTTCTTCGACAACAAGGCCATTTTTAGCTCCAAGTTCACCTATCAAGCTGAACTTGACATCGGCACTCAACGATCCAAATCGAACTCCGGCTCGACGCATTCCTATCAAAGACATGAATGATACGTCTAGACCCAACATCTCGAATGCTACCCAGTCAAATACTATGCGCATAGCGCCGAACCTCACTCGTCCTCCTGTGTTTACCCGGCCACCTCCAACGGACAACCCGGAACGTAGCCCAGCGAAGCGAATTCCGATTTCAGAGCTTCCCCATAGCACTAGCAAATCTACTTCACGACCCAAAGTGTTTGAACCCTCAATAAATGTGCCCTCGTCCAACACCGCCGACATCGAACCTCCTATGACAAAGACGATAGTCGTGGAAAGTAAGCCAGCGTCTAAAGGTCGTACAGCAAACGCTTCAACTTCTAAGCCTGCACTGCGGGAACCCGCAGCCAAGCGTGTTTTCGTTGTACCTTCAAAAGCAACGATCGCATCAAGCTCGAGTAGTTCAGCCAGCAAGACCGAAAGTCGAATACCTCGCCCTGGAGCAGCGTCAGCAAAACGGACTTCTAAGCTTCCATTGCTGTCAACTAGGAAGCCGACTAGCTCATCTACTTTGGTGAGTAAACCACAATATCCTGTTGTTCGATAACTAAGAAGACTTCTCCTAGAATTCTCGCCTACCTTCACCAGCCAAAGCACCTGTACCGAAAGTTCCTCGACTACAAAGGAATAATTCTTCGAGTGGATCGGATGATTCGGGTAGTGGACAAGCACGTAGTTCTGGGATGGGCCCTACTCGTCCGTTAAATGGCTCAACGGCTAAGCGGAAACGCGAGGTTGAGAAACCTACACCTGCTCAGCCACTGATCAAAGTGCGACAAGTCGTGCGAGGCATGTATGGAGGTCCAGTGAAGCCAATTGCGCTGAACGGTGTCGAAAGGCCTTCTTCCGAAGACCAGCAGCATCCACCATCGAGCCCCGTGAAATCGGAGGCACCGCCCAGGCAGATCAGACCTCGATTAATTGTGAAAGGGACTTTACAGGATTTCGAACTCACATCACACGCTGAGAAATTCAAGACCTTGGAAGCACTGAATGAAGAACGGGCGAGGGAGCGTGCAGAACAGGAGAAGGTGAGGCGGGAGGAGGAGAGGGCCAAGCGGGAAGTGCAGAAGGAACCTTCTCCTGCTCCGTGTTTGGAAACTTTCACATTTGAGTGTACTGCGCCCGCAATTCGAGAAGATAGGATGGATGTCGATCCTCAGGATGGTGGTGTACCCACGTCCGATTCCATGCCACCCTCTGATGATGCAAACAATACGCAATTAGAGGATTCACAAAGAGGATTCGGTGCCAGGAGGTCGTCACGGGCCCGACGTCCCGCCTCGAGCGACGTATTTGGTACCGTAGCTTCCACAGTAGCAACATCACAACCTGCCCCTCGTCGAAAGCTCGGTACAGCTTCCAAGCCCAGAGCGTCGACTCTCCCTCCAAATCTCATCTTCTCTACGAATGGCGTAGCGCTCAAGACGCTCACAAATAACAACACCGCGCGTAACCAGCACTACCATACTCAACTTGAGACGCTTGTCATTCGAAAGGCGGGTGAGCGTCCTGAGAGCCCGACGATGAAGCTACGTACGATCTCGGAGAAACAGAAGGAGGATCAAGATAAGAGTCGGGATGAACGTGCACGAAGACGACGTGGGACTGGCGAGTCTGATGTGAGCGGGGACATTGATATGGAGGAGTCCATCGATGTGCATCCCTTGAAACATCGGAGAGGTCCTGGAGACGAAGAAGATTACGAAACGCCTGTACGACCCGGTGATGGTCGGAAAGCGGTCAAATGGGATCGTGGACTCGAGGTCTCGGCTTTCCTGGATGAAATTGAAGTACAGCCAAGAAAATACCGTGCTGGAGAAGGTGCAGCACCTCGTAAGGGTTGCTTGAGTGCAGGACCGAACGTGAGTTTCCTTTCTACAGCTGTGTTTCCTTGCACGTTTAATTACGATTTTTTTTACCCTGCTTTGCAGAGAGTTGCGCTAGATAATTTAGGAAACCCAGTGAACGCCGAAGCACCGCTCGAACTCGCACCAGAGAAGGTCCTCGTAACGAAGTACGTCTACGACAATGATGAAGAGGCTCTACTATTCGCGCCACCCCCCGCAAAGACTACACGAAGTAAGACAAAGAAGAAGTAATAATACTAATTTCCACATTCCTTTCTGTTCAATATCTACCTCCTTGCCATTCTTGATTAATTGGCCTTTTCACCCTACACTTTCCTTTCCTTTACACTGTATTTCTATTCTATTTCTTTTCCTTTACCTTTTTTTCTTTGTTTTTGGATTAGCTTTTCTATTCTATTATCCCGCTTTGTCCTTGATGTCACAATGCTTTCTGTAGATAAGCATGGCTTGCCTTACTCGCATCGCATGGATTCTATTCTACAGTACCTCTCACATGAAGTACATGAGTACATACATAGAAATTTCAGCAGTAAACCGAACTTCTTCCTTTCTTTATTCCTAGTTCAGACTTTTTCCTAACCAAAGATAATTAACTAACTCTACAAAGTCGGCTTTGGCTGTCTGTAAGCAAGAGTCGCAGCAGCTTGGTGAACAGGCATTACGAAAAGCTCAGCAATATTGACATGCGGGGGACGAGAAGCAGCCCAAACGATCTCTTCTGCAATATCCTGCGCGACGAGTGGTTGGAGGCCTTCGTAGACTTTGTCTGCTTTGGCTTTATCTCCTCCGAAACGAACGACGGAGAATTCCGTTTCGACCATGCCTGGTTGGATTTCAGTTACTCGGATAGGGGTGTCGACGAGTTCTTTCATCATTGCGCCTGTGAAGAAGCTGACGGCGGCCTTTGTTGCGCAGTAGATGCTTCCGCCTGGATAGGATTCGCGGCCTGCGACGGAGCCGAGGTTGATGATGTGTCCTGTTTTGCGTTCTTTGAAATCTGCGTAGATTTATATGTCGCATTAGTGGAAAACATAAGGATGTTAGTTAGAAATGGGATTGACCTTTGATGAGGAGTTGGGTCATTGAGATTAAGCCGATGACGTTCGTGGAGAACATTGCGTCTATGTCTTCAGGTTTGATACTGCCTACTCTGTCGACGCCGAGTACGAAGCCGGCGTTATTCACTACAAAGAATTCTCTCAGTCAAATGTAATTAATGATGTTACATGACGGACGAAATCATACCGAGAATGTCAACAGCACGCAACTCCTTTGGTACCTACAAACAATCACATCCATTCAACGAAATCAGAAATAGGAAGAATAGATAAGGAGTAACACACCTTATCCCATAACGAAGCAACCTGCGCCCTATCAGACACATCAAGCTGCACACCAGCAACTTTCCCGCTCCCAGGAATAGCCCTAGCGGACTCAACGACCTTCTGCAACTGCTCTGCGCGTCGCGCTAGGAGGATGAGATTTGACCCCGCTTTGGCGAAGAGTAAGGCAGTTGCCTGGGCGTGCGTGAAATCAAATCAATAAGAAAGTTGGTTAGAATTGAATTTCTAATATGTATGATGATGAGAGTTACTTACAGCGCCGATCCCGCCACTAGCACCAGTGATGAGGATAGTCTTGCCAAGCAGTCGCGATGAGTTGAATACTGACATATCTCTGTCTCCTCGACTCTATTGCTAAGACCGTCCGATAGGTGAGAAAGAAAGAGCTTTATCACGGTTGGCCCGTGACGCTGCTGAGTGAGAATAGGCGTTCTAAAAGTAGTAGGGTGAATTGAGGGATTGTGACTGTATGCGTGTATGATTTATCCGTTCACTCAGCCATGATCTGTGATCGGCTCCGAGACAGGTTGTATGTACGGTCCGAAGTTTATCTCGCCGTTTCTTTCTTGCTTCCGCCTCGTGCAGCTTAACCCTTCCATCGCTCCATCTGCTCAAGAAAAGTCAATACTTGCCTATTCACACTGCCCAAAAATGACAGAGTAACTCTACTCATTACGATATTCGCGGGCATGACGAACAAGCAACGGGGTGCGACGAACACAGAAGAGAGACAGAAGGATCGGTGGTTTAAGCTCATTGCATGGTTACAAACGAAAGGATTTGACGCTGGACAACTCGCCGTTGAACCTCGTTCACGAGAAGGTACGCCTTATGCTTGAACGCTGTCCCGTTCAAAGCTCACTTCTTGTTTGCCAACTTAAAAATCGGAATACATTCATAGGTGCTGGACGTGGTCTGTTCACTACTAAACCATTACCCGTAAGATTTCCGAACGGATGCTCATATCGAGACTTCTTCTACAAATAAGGACATCTTCTAACTTTTGCTATAACGTGTTGTCTGTCCTAATTTAGCCATCGAAGGATCCGTTCCTCAGTATACCCGCATCAGCTTTACTCAACTCGCGAACACTTCGACGCTTCTACCCCAAAATCGCCCTGGAAGGGCTCTACGACAATCCTTCTTCAGATCTTATCCTGACTGGCACACAACTGTTGTCAATTCATCTTGCCCTGTATCGCCCTGGAGGAGAAGACTCGTGTTCTAAGGACGCGCATTTTGGAGTATATATCGATACCTTACCGACGGAGTTTGATAGTCACCCTCTTACGTGGCTTGTCAAGGAGAAGTTAGGGAAAGCAGGTGCTCATGAAGTAAAACTTCTGGAGCGCCTGCCTCCGAGCGTGTTAAGTGAGTTAGAGGCAGTTGCTACACGTTACTGGCATGATTGGGATATTGCCGTACGAGCAAAAGTAAGCCAAGAAATTATCAGCTCAATTTCGGATGATGTCGCTCATGTGTTTCGCACAGGAGAAATATTCTGAAGAACTCAGGTCGAAAAATGAAGCTCTGTTTAACGAGGATGACTTTCTCTGGGGTTGGCTCGTAGGTTGGTAACCACATAATCTAGAAGATTCTTCATACAAACTGAGTCCCTAGAACAGTTAACACAAGAAGCCTTTATGCGGATTTATTCAACAGAAATCTACCTCAATCCAACTTAACACTGTGTCCAGTCATTGACTTCGCGAACCATACGGCCTCGTCATCCGTGCCATATGCGGTGTGGAAGGACCGTCCTTCCAAAGTGCTATCACGACCTCGCGGACCATCTAAACACGCAAATGACTATACCTTCCTGCCTCCAAAGCAGGGTCTCGGGCAAGGAGAAGAGTTACTCATACAATACGGGAAGCACAGTAACAGGAGGCTATTTGCTGAGTACGGATTCGTCGACGAAAACGCCGACAAAGAAGCGGACGTTTCCGACTTGATTGACGAGCTGATTGCAAGTAAACGTGCAGAAGGGTTGATCAGGGAGCTGCTTCCTGAGGTCGCGCAGCACTTCATGAGGTGATTTTGCCATAATTACGTATCGATATTATTGTCGAGGGTCGCTCAAATGGAAAGTTGTTGATATGCTCTACAGTGACTTGAGGATATACGCTGTGCCTCCGCCGGCCCATCCATCTTGGGGACTTCATTGTGTGCTGAGACTCATCAACCTCGCGTTCCCCAGCAGACCACCGGAGCTCAGGCTCACTCTCGGTTCCGCAGAGGTGGAAGATGCCTTGAAGCCATGGCGCGACGTCACGGTCGGCGAGGCGGAAGTGGTATCCGAAGCAAACGAGACTTCGGTGCGGCGTGATTTGGAATCGATTTGCAAGATTGTCATCGCCCGATCATCGGAGGGCGTGCACCAGCTAAGGGATGAAGACGTTAGATCTGAAGCCTCATCGGACAATTGCGAGTGGTACGAGTGGTCGGAGGGGTGTGTCGTGGAGCTCTGGGAGGAGGAGGCGCATGTTGCGCGGGCTGTCATGGAGTCGCTGGCGAGCGGTGAGGCATTTCTGTGAGATGGTGGCTAGACCACTGTAGTCGAAGCTTCACGGCTGGCGGGGTATAAAGTTTGGGTTTGGGCCTGAGGGGAAATAGAAGTTAGAATTATGGATAATGGAAGCCGTGCCACGATCTCCGTGTATGCGAGTCTAGCGGGTGCACCGGTACTTACGAAGTTATGATAGCTTACGAGAAAATGAGGAAGTACTCGGATGGATTTTCGGAGCGGGATCTGAGATTTGAGCATTCTCAGAGCAATGATACACGCGGAAGTTAATGTGCAATGCTGCTGATGACAGCCAAGGGGCACTAAGTAAGCAGCACTGGACCTGATTCATAAATGAGGCGCGTCGCGTCGCGTCTGGTGCGGTGATCATTGGCAGTGGAGTGATCTTGATCGACGCGTCCTTGTGTCGCGTGGGACCATGTGATTCCATTCTGCCACTCGGTGACCGACAACGGGCGCACCCCCGACGGGTATCTTTTTTTTTCTCTTGCTCTTGTTGTCGACAGTACTAGTGCTGTTCGATGGGTCAGGCATGCAGCTGGCTCTCTTCTCCCTCCGCGCCCATGTTGTACACAGTGGCAAGTGACGTTCGACTGGCAGCAAGAAGCAGCGGTAGCCTCAAGCGCGTCGAATCACTAGCACTTGCCGACTTCCTCAAGACCCGCTGTCCTTCGCTTTTCGCCCCATTCTGCCCACCCTGGTGGTTGCGGAACGGCCACCTGCAGACAGGCTATTGCGTAGTTGGCGACTTCTCTCAGGTAGACAAGGTGTGCATCCATGAGTGTCCACTCATTTCGCTTGTGAGGGCTCATTGTCTCTTTCGCTCGCCCCCGCAAGGTCGTGTATGATCGGTGAGTTGGGGAGTGTTCCTGTCTGATGTAGCAGCTATCACCGACGATCTATCTTGTCGCATCATCACAATAATGACAATACAGAACTTTAATTCGCCTAAGAGACGGGGGCACGCTGTACGTGTTCTCGGTGCGGGATTGATAATAGAGGACACTAGTGCTGATAGTAATATCCCTCTGTTCAAAGTGGTTTGGACTCCACACCCCCGATTCATGAACGTGCGTTGCCGGAAGATGCCCCAGTGATCGTGGTCATGCACGGCTTGACCGGAGGCAGGTCCTTTTCCTAAACAAAATACGCGCGCGCGTGCAAGGACTCATCTAGACCCGTACTCCAGGATCGCATGAGTCGTATGTGCGCGCTGTCCTCGCGCAGGCCGTCAAGCCAAAGGAACAGGGCGGCCTGGGCTATCGTGGCATCGTCGTCAACTTCCGCGGATGTAAGTACTAATACTTCCTCTCCTTCAGGTTCGCGTCTTCTCTGTCCATATACACAACAACTCATGTCCACATGTATGTCCAATATGTCCATATGCAATGCACAAAACAGGTGCGGGCGTGCCGATGACCAGTGGCCAGCTCTACTCCGCCGGGCACACAGACGATCTGCGCCAGGCGCTCATGTACGTCGCACAACGCTATCCGAACGCACCTTTGCTTGGCCTTGGCTTCTCCCTCGGGGCCAACGTAATTGTTAGGTATCTTGCTGAAGAAGGCGACCATAGCCGCTTACGTGCAGCGTGCGCCCTAGGATGCGTTCGTTTATTTCCTTTCTCGCTTGTGTAAGAACTGAACTGACCTGAACTTTTTTTTTAATGATTTCCTTCGAATTTCACATTAATTGAAACGGCTAGCCATGGGACTTGCTTCTCAATAGCGCGAGGTACGTTGTTGCGTCTTCTCTCCTTTCTATCTCGCTTATAGCTCTTCTCTCGATCAATATCAACATCATGATCTTCTCGAATCAAAACGAATTTCATTATTCTTTTGGCATTGCACAGGATGGAAGGCAGCTTCTTCCTCCGGAACGTCTACTCCAAAGCAATGGCATCCAACCTCCTCAACGTCCTCAACCTCAACAAACCCTCCCTCCTCCAACTCGCCCCAAACCGATTCACACCAATCTTAAACAGCCTAGACGCACTCAAGAACCTCACACTCGCAGAATTCGACGGAGCCGTCACCAGTAAAGTCGGTGGCTCCTCACCACCACACGGGCCCTTCCCCTTCCCCGACGCAGATGCGTATTACAAATGGGCGAGTAGTCATAAATGTTTGGCGAATGTAAGAGTTCCGGTGTTAGCGATTAACGCCGTGGATGACCCGATTGTTGGACATGTACCGACTGATGTTGGAGATAATGGATACGTCGCGCTCGTCGTCACTTCAGGCGGAGGCCACCTTGGGTGGTTCGAACCTCCTTCCTCTCCCGAGGACAACGGACATCTCCGCAGGTGGATGGTCAAGCCAGTTGTTGAGTGGCTTAGGGCAGTCGCAGAGGACTTGGAATTTACCCCGTCATCGCATCCACTCGAGCTCGTAGAAGACGGAGAATGGACTACGGAAACCGGGCGAACACATCTCGGCTTTAAAGTAATCGGCGAGACGGGCGAGATTAAAGGCACTGAAGGCGAAGGTGGTCTATTCGCTGGGCTTTGATTATTTAAAAAAAGATCTCGCCTTCACCTTCGCCTATCTACTAGATGATTTATTTCTTGACGTAGATTTATTATGCTTTCCAATGGCTTGTTGTACAATATATAATACACGGATTGGAGTAGCGAGAACACTGAACCGGGAGCATCTCTAATTATGACAGTGAGTTACTTGGACAAGAATTCATACAACACAGCCAGTCCACTTGCAACAATTTTTTTGTCTAAACAAGAAAAGAGAAGGAAAATGGTCCAATCCATTACGAAACGTTCATACCAGTAAAGTCATACTCATAAACTTCCTCATCAATAATCGTATCAAGATTATGGAAACCCTGACACCTAAAAGGCTGCCGGGTAGCCAGACTTTTAGCACTCCATTCCGACCTCGCGGGACTAGGAGCACGCGGGATCTCCGTCACGGGTAAAGGCTCTGGAGCGTTCTCGCCTATATTCCTGCCGAACCAACCGCCGACAAGCTCTGCGTTCTTCTCGGCAGCTGCACCGCTTGAAAGAGTTTCCCAATTTTCGTTTAAGTAGGGAGGAGGGGACATGCCGGCGTTAGATTCGTTATCAATACGCACGCCGGCTGATGACGGGGCGCCTAAAGACAGAAACAGGATACCAGTTACAAATACGGGAAGAGACGATATCACACAAGAGACATACCGCTGCTTGAAGAGGAGGAAAACCACGATGCAGACAGCGTCGGAGGTATCGCATTCCCTAAGTGTTGCCCTAATGGTTGGAGATGCGGAATCTCCTCCGGGCCATCGACAGCCATTTCGAGAGTAGTCTCTTCAGGAATCTGCAAGACAAAAAAGAGAGAACGAGTTACAGGTGAGAAACCAAACCATATATCAAGACACAGCCAGCAAGCTCGGAACGATTATCAGAAAGCAGGCGGCATAGAAGCGTAATGTATACGAAGATCGTTGGTGCAATACTGAAGACCGCGCGAAGTAAGAAATAAGGAACTTCGATACACACCGGTGGAATATAATACGAGTCGGGAAGTTCCATTGAGGAAACAGTATAAAAGACCAAGTACTCGAGTAGTGATGGCGTACGAGGCAGCTGCCACTTCCTTCTTGCGCTCTCTGCCCCTATGTCTTCGACGTCCTTGGGGAATGCTTGCACCACGCCCATTGTCCATCCATTTTCCCAACCTGACAAAATTTTATTAGCACTTCCTTCAATAAAGTATCTGAGATAACCCACCCTTCGAAAAGCCGCCGAATACCCACTGATTGTAGTTTGTCAATACGAAGGAATGACAGCCGTGGGTTTTACAGATGTCCCAGAGCTAGGAAACATTGAGAAACTTCGACACTACGTAAAATCCGTTTTTACGAACCTTTGCCCATAATTTCAGGGTGCTAGAGTATTGTTGGGCAGTCTCTTCGCAATGCTCGAAAGTCGGAAGATTGCGCATTCGTCTGTCTGTGAAGAAGACTACGTCTCGCGGTCCTAAAATCCAGGGCGGCTCGTAGGCGATGATGAATTTATTAAGCCCATCCGAAGCATTCCGGCTGTCCCCAGTTTGCTTCCACGTAAAGTAACGAAAGATCTCGTGGTCCTCGTCGCGTGTTATATCATTGGAAACAAATTCATAATTCGCGACAATGTCGCGATATTCAGGTATAATCCGAAGAACAGCATGTACCGTTCGTAAAATGCATTCGCCGAACCAAACAATACCGAAGCTATGCGGGAATGTTCGACAGAAGTTCGGTGTTGGGAAAGAAGCTGACTTACGTTTCGATGTTTCTGAGTGCACGCGCTCTAAATCCTATGACGTCAAATCCAATACAAGGGATGTTGGGGTCCTCGTCCATATCTGCTGCAAGACCCTCGACCGAAACAGGATTGTCCGGTATATGTTTCTCTATAACTACCATACCGTCACCACGATGACCAACGAGGACAAAGACATAACTCAATCTACGCACAGTCGAGGCAACGGACATCGAAATACACCCTCTTAATCCGATGCATAAAACGCAGACGTCTATACCTTTCGGGGCGAATTTGCAGATTGTTCAGATGCGTCTTATGGTCCTCTGAAGGCATTGGTGGAACAGATGCTGCTAGATGGAGCTTCGGGATATTCGCATTCTCAAGATAACGCCTAACATTGGCAGAGACAGGGATACTATAGCGCCATTTACTGAACGAGATAGGGCTACTTGAGCCACCCGTGGCAGACCCAACGAACAATGGCATGGAAAGGCGAGGGACAGAGAGAACCGACAATAGGAAGATGAGGGCTAGAGGTCAAGGAGGATGGTTCGCCCATCGTGGCTCGAGTAGCTCGAAGCGAGTACAGATCGTGGCTTGAGGACAAAAGACAACAAGGGTGCTTAGGCCACCTGTTGCGACGCTGAAGTACCAGTAACCCAGTTTGGGCAAGAAGCGGAACCAGTTCACGCGCGGATCACTTCATTCCATTCTGGGCCGTGCTTCTTGAGTGCATATTTTTGGCCCTACTTAATACTACTACGGCATCTCTCTCTTGTCCAGCTCGTAATCAGTCACTTGATCACAGTAAAGAGCCAGTGCTCTATTTTGCAGCCAGTTTGTACAGGAATAGCAAGTAATAGAAATCCCGAGTCAGTTCGTCCACAGCGTACAACATGTACCCCTTAACCCGTCAACAACAGATCATAACAATAAATCAAGTGCAATAATGAGCCCGCAAGAAACGAGGGCACGCCTGCGTGCCGCTGATAATCGAACCCCGTTCATCGTGGTCGTGAGCATCAGTATCGACCTGCCAACGCCGGGTCCGTCTCCCGCGCCATGCAGTCTGCGCATTTGACTGGGCTTATGCGGATCGGATTCTTGACGGGTAGGGACATCATCCGGGTACAAGTCGGAGACCTGCAGCCTGTAGACAGGTCAGAGATGCTCTATAACTTGGCTTCGTATGGTCGCTCACCATATGGATGCGCATGCCTTCTGCTAAAAAGACAGTCGGACCGCAAACAATCCTGTGTTCGCGTAGCCATCGAGATGAAGTGTCCGCACGCTGTGTGGAACCGACCGTCAATAATCTGTACCGAAAATGAGCTCAATTAGCGACAGAGTCAGGAAAATCCAGCTAAACAAGCTCACGTTATGGCACATCTTTACAAGGACTTAAGAGAGAGTTGAGGAAGAGGAGGGTAAGAGGGTGTGAGCGCGGTTTGCAGTGGATTGGTTGACACTTTCGGTCGCTGAGTGCGCTGCTTTTAAAGTCCTGAGATGGTGCTTCTGTGACTCGCCGCCCTGCCGTCCGACGCCTGCTTGCTCTTCGTGTGCCAGCGGCGCGTCACCCTCATTCACTACTACTGGAACGGCTCTTAAGCTATTAAAGCTCTCGATCGGCGCCAGAAATCTGGGCAAATGAAGTCAGTCGCGACATTTGAAGACAGCCAGTTCATGCATGCCCTTGGCATGCTGCATCATCTTCAATCGTGAGCTGTTGCTTCTATGAGCCATTCAAATCCATATCTTGCTACCCTGAAGATCCAACTAGCCGACATGTCCTCTTACAAACTCCACAAATTGCTTCAACGGCCCGACTTCATGAGCTTCGACAAGTCTGATGAAAAGTCCTCGTGGTGAAGCCTCAAGGCTCGCGAACATTCATAGGCTGAAGTCTCAGGCGTGTAGTCCGAGGCTCAAAGCTGAATTACCCTGTATGGAGACGAAATCTTATGTGTCACCTCGGCCTTGGGAGATGGCTCAGAATTAGATCTTCTTCTAAAGGGGAACACTACCATGATAACATCGGTGACCTCCGAATCGATTGATCACTTGCCTCTTGTGCAGAAACATGCAGCCCATCTCGATGTAACGTGCTTGCAGCAAGGTTGCGGCCAGGTGGACCGAATCATCCTCATTCAAACCAATTGAACACGTGTTGGCTTCGCATCCGGGGACTATCCGTCGGATCAGAGTTTTGAGCCAAAATCCAGAATTCCGGGATAAGATGCGTGTCTGCACGCAGTCGTTAGTGAGCAACAAGCGTGCCCCTACCTCAGCTCAGCTTCTGTTGAAGTCGTCACCACCATGAAACAAGCCGCCGGCAAACCCAAAAAGTAGGTGTTCCCGCATCCGCGGCTGAAAGTCGCTTCTCACAAACTTGGCACAATTTGAAGAAGCGGCGAAGTGTTCAGTGAAGTGCATGTGACCAAGTTATCCCTTCCAGAACGGCCTTCGTTCCTAACATGTTCGAGCGGGCACACGCACAAATAGTCCACTAGTTGCGATTCCGAGCCAGGAAAGACGCCGCGGGAAGTGACAAACGTCTTGGTGACCGATGAAATACGCGGAGCTCTAAATGAACGGGATGGGAAGGGTAATAAACGCAAGCGAGGACCTGATCCGGTCGGAGGGAGGAAAGTCCTTCGAAAAAAATGGTAAGGAACGAACTTTAACGGCTTATTGTCACCTTGATTTTGAGTTTCCTTTCGTCCATTGATTATAATTCTGTGAAAATAAAATCTTCCTATCACCGGCGAGAAACACATGAACTGTTCTACCTAAGCACCGCGTCTGCGAATTTGTTGTACTAACTGAACCTTCTCCCCCACCTGAATGCCCAGCGGGCTCGCTTCAGCGAAAACAAAGGCGGAAAATGGTTCAACTCACCTCATGTTTGAAACGCCGTCTCCATCGTATACTTTTCATTCGCCTCCTCAATTCACCCTTTTGCTTGTGTCTCCTATTCGTAAACCAATCCCTGGCAACACTATTTCGCGCCAGAATCTTGTCGAGCATCCTCGCTGCTCCTGCAACATCTCCATTATGTACGGCCACACTTCTCCCTAAATCACGAAACATTTGAGTCCCCCGCAACGGATACACCACAGCATTGCTGCGTGAAGTTCGACCCTACCTGTAAAATGAGTGCGAGGAAGCGTGCTGTAACGCGCAAACCAGCTCTCAGAGTGTTGAAGCCACCTTTCCTCGTTTGATGTATGGATTTCCTTGTTTTCGACCACCCTAGACAAAAGCTTGTCCCAACCAAACGCTGTGTCCTGAGCTTTTCTACTCGATGTTGAGAAACAGGCCGATGCCAATTGACAAGCTATCCGTGGAGGAGGTTGTTGGCAGATCTGGCGTAATAATGAAAGCGACATCATTGCTGCTCCTCAGTGCACGATGCGAAAGAGCTTGTGAGATAACTAGTGCGTGCAAGTGGCAAATCGCAAAACACGTCGCGGGCACGGTGGTGACCACACAGAGTGAGAGTTACCAAAAGCGGACTTATGTCAGGTGCTCAGTAGTTTCCGTCATCCTTGATCGTCGCATTTACCCAGCCTACTCATTTGTTTTCATTCAAAAATCAAAAACTAGTTAGAAGTCATGGCAAACGAAGCCCTTGAGGAGGAAATGCAGGTCTGTACCAAGCTGAACTAGTCAAAGAATAGTCGGGATTTATACTTTACCAGGTGCTAGAGTCGATTTATCCTACAGAAATGACAAGTTGGTGCACGCGCGATCCTTAATCGTTGTACTTAACCCAGACTAAGACGTGCACCTTACGAAGAAATATCCGAGAATGAGGTTCAGATCGATGTTGAACCCGAAGAACAAATAGAAGGGGGCGATAACTGTAGGTAGTCCATCCAGGTTTCAAATACAATTTGATGTCACTGGTTTCAGTGAAGCTGACTCTGCGGGTTATCTATCCTGAGTCGTATCCTGATGTACTACCGGAGCTTACGTTAGAGCCCTCAGAAGGAGATCTGGGAGAAGATGAGTTGACTAAACTAAATGACGAACTAAAGAAAGTGGTATGAACGGCGGGGTATTCCTATTGACATTCTCAGGGTTTATCAAACCTCTTATAGGGAGAAGAAAACTTAGGAATGGCAATGACATTCACACTTGTCTCTCATTTACGGGAGCAGCTGCTTGACCTAGAGAAATCGCGCATAGAGCGACAAAAGAAAGAAGAGGAGGAAAAAGAACGACGAGAATTAGAGGTGAAATTTTATTAAATCTGAGCACGACAGCTCCCATGTTAATCTCCATCTAGGAGGAAGAAGCACGGACGAAAGGGACCCCCGTAACCATGGATAGTTTCAAAGCTTGGAAGGCCAAATTTGATAAGGAGGTCGCACAGAGACGAGCTCGCGAGGAAGATGAACGACTAAAAGCGTTGACACCGAAGGAACGCGACGAATACAAAAAGTTACGAAGTCGTCTTTCTGGTCAGTTCACGCCAGCATAATCCATAAATAAATGACTCATGGTTGTTATTAGGGAAGCAACTTTTTGAGCGAAATCGCAATCTGGACGACGAGGCCCTGGTCGAAGAAGGCACGGTTTCCGTGGATGCAAGTCAATATGAGCGTACAAATGAAAGAAGAGAAGAAGAGGAGGAGGAGCGTCTGGATTTCAGTGATAGCGATTGATTTGTATGCCTTCTGTTGCACGCCAATGAAGATAAAACAATGTATTGATAAAATTACAAGACATGTGTAGTGACACGTTCAACCAAAGTGTAATCTTGGTCGGATCGGCCTACTCCATTCATCCTTCGCCTCACCCCTTACGGGCTTCCATCCGGGTTTGGCGGGCGAGCTGCTTCCATGAGTCGACTCAGGTGTTCTTTGGCTGGGATTGATACCGGAATGAACCTCTGGCCTTGCAGGGACTCCCGCGGCGGCAGCAAATGCATCAGCTCTGTAGAGCTTCAGCCGTGAGTCCGGTATTACAGGAGGCTGTATCTATTCCGAATGAGACCCGTGCGCCATGCAATCATCGATCGAGACTTCATTGTACTCACCGAACCCATAGCACGCAGATGAGGCGCCGGTGTGATCGCATTTTGTGCGCCGTAGAAATCGATCAAAATCGTTAGTGCCTCTTTGGTGAATGAATCAATAAGTGCACACAATCACCCCCTATATGTGTACTCACCAGCGAGGTCCGCTAGTTCTGCCTCATTGAATTGGTAGTGCTCAACAATCAGTCGGGTTGCTTCCGGTGACTTGGGCTTGTTTGTCGGAGGCGTAGGTAATGACGACGATGGCGCGGAAGAGGATATCCGCGAGTCCAATGAGGCAGAATGTTCACCGTCCATGAACCGCTGAGCGAGAATGAAGCAAGCTGCTGCTATGATCCGTTCATCGAATAGGAGACACAGAACCGTTCGGTATCTAGTTTTCACCGAGCCATTGTGAACGAGCATGAGGCAAGGGTACATTCGTCCAACTCACGAATCGTGTGCTATGCACCAAGCAGAATCACCGAGCGGAAGGTCGTCACCCGCATACCGCTCAATGAGGTCGACGAGGATTTCGTGAGGACTGTCTATAACAAAGTCGAAACATAGTGCTTCAAGGAGAACCGCTTCCGCACCAAGAATGGCATCTTGACATGATTGGATGTCCTAGTAGAGCCACAAGTTCAATATCTCATGGACAAAAAAGGCGAGGGTGAAGAAGCTGACTTCGTCTGTTAATAAATCAATGTTGGACGTGTATATCTTTTGATGAAAGACTTTAGCCACGTCTCTTAGCTTGCGACCACACTCTTCCGTTTTGGTTGCCAGAAAGATGCAGCCCGCAGCAATGTCCTTCAGAGCGCAGATTCAAACTTCCATAAACTCCAAATCAAAACAGATGTCCTGACCTGCCGATGGTAGTCTTCCATGCTAAATCGCACATAGAATCGATGGAACCAAGTAGCAGCTGTGAACAATGCCGTGGATGGGCTGCACAGTCTAAGCTTTAGAAACCAGCAATGGTGCAGTATACTAACAGTTGCAACGAAGCTCCTAAACGATAAAGAAATTCAATTCCCCGAGCACGGTCGTACATTTCTTTATCGAGCGGGATGTACGAGGTTTTTGCAGACGGAGTAACCAAAAGGGCCGATGTTGGAAATTTCCATTGGGAGGATGAAGAACTTCCCTCCGCAACACCTTGTGCTCCCATACCGGCCATACAAATAGTTTCAGAGCCGAAGAGTCTTTAATGTTGGTCGTCTGAGTGGTCGTCGACAGTTAGCTCGTCGAACGGCATTGGAGAAGTGTGGCTGCCGCGGCATGATTTTCATTGAGATTACGTCAGCATTCAAACGCCTCGCGCGCATTGCGCGAGTCATTCTTTGAAGTTCAAACTCTTCATTCAACAAGCATACAGCTTGTGTGGCAAATACCTCAGTCCACTATGAGTACCCCGTCTTCACCAGTGGAAAGCATGCGCAGACCCATAAGCTTTGACATTTATGGGTCCTACAGACGTATACTCGCGGATGACAAAGTACGCTTCTAACTAACCCTTGGTGGTCTTTACTCAGTCCATTAATGGTAGATTTCTACTCCACTGGCAGCCATACTTGCTCTGACGGAACTCCTTGAACAATCTAATGGCTGGTGCACCCGCTGCGCATCATTACTCTTGACGCTGATAAGTGGCTGTTTGTTCAGTGGGAACCATGTTCGAGCTCGTCCAAGCGCTGAACGAGGGCGCAGAGGCTCTTCGAAAGCAGTTCACGAATTCCATCAGTATCAATGCGGGCTGTGAACTTTTCATAGCCTTTGTGACACTCTTCCCGCATGAGTCTGCGGTGCGTGTGCAAGCTACATACTGCTTCTTCGCAGGATAGCTGAACTCCTACTATTACAGAGCTTCAAGGATTTGAAAATAGAGCTAGTCAAACAAGGAAGACAGTATGCAAGGGAAGCAATGTCCTACCGGGAAAAGATTGCGATGCTCGCGCTAGGGTTTATCAAAGACGGTTCCGTCGTAAATATTCCATGCTTTTCTACGTTTGATAACGTGCTCATACCATGGGTTAGATTCTGACTCACTCATATTCTCGAGTAGTAATGGAGGCTCTTCTTCTCGCTCATAGACAAAAAAGGATATCTGTTTACGTTACAGAGGCGAGACCACGCGGAATGGGGTAGGATCTGTCTTCTGCACTGGCATATGACTGCTTCTATTCATACATATACAGGATTAGGACCCAGGAAGCTCTCACTGCCGCCGGAATCCCTTGCACAGTCATTCTGGACTCTGCCGTTGCATATGTGATGGACAAAATAGACCTTGTCCTCGTAGGCTCGGAGGCCGTGGTCGAAAGCGGTGGACTAATCAATGCTGTGGGGAGCAATCAGATGGCAATCATTGCTAAGGCCGCAAACAAACCCGTATATGCAATGGCGGAGAGGTGCGGGAATGTTGTTGATTATGCACTATCTTGACTGACATTAGACGCGTAGCTATAAATTCCATCGGCTCTTTCCTCTTTCGCAATACGATTTACCGACGCATACACCCGACATTTTGTCATTTCCCCGCCAGCCTACACGTCCTACGAGCAGCACAGTTGCTCGGCCGTCAGTTATCAATCCTGCGCCTGTCTCCCCGACACGGCCTGCGCTGCCGGCTCAGTCGTCCTCCCATTCACTGTCGGCATCGGAATATGCAATGAGTCCGGAACAGATTCGACTTAATCCGGAAGTAGATTACACAAGGTAAGCTTGCTTTTTCGTTCTTCGGTAAGGGTGATCCTAACTGCGAGCGCTCATTGGACCTATTTACAGACCAGATCTGATTTCTTTGGTGTTTTCTGACGTCGGTATTCTAACACCCGAGGGAGTCAGCCAGTACTTGGTGGGAATGTTTGCGGGATAGTACTATACTTGGCATGCTAGTATGTTGTCATGATTTTTATCTAACGGTTCTGGCGGCCGTTGGACGCCTGAACTCAGTTCTTGGCTCAACTCGATACATGGCCGTAATGTAGGTCTTCTATACGAAACAATCATAAGTACTCTTAATTGACTTCTGTAGAACTTACCTATGATGTCCGGACTAAAAGTGTGCATTCTTAATTGTACTGTTTCTGGATTCAAGCGACGATCGGGAGCCCTGAATGCTATATGAAACGTCGGGGCGAGGTAAATATGGAGGCATTTTTCACACTCGTAGAGAAATCTTTAGAACACTTCTCCGTCGAACACGAATGCCATGTGGGACAGTCTCCGAGATCGCAGTTCCTCGATATTTGGGTTATCAGTAGTTTCTCACCCTGGTATTGCGGCCTAATTATGAATTGCATTACTAGATGCTTGGACTGGCCTTAATGGACGCCATAACAGGACAAGCAAGTTTCTCTTTTAGGACCAGCGCTTCATGCAGGGAGCATAACTTGATTATGAATTGTAAGAGAACACTGAAACGGCATGTTCAACCTGCCAATTCAATTGAACCATGAAGTTATGAGAGAGAAAAAATTCTGCTGTGGCAGCGACAATATCGGAGACAGGCGTGCAATGCAAAATTGTGCCGTCGCTTGGAGGGCGCCGGGCGACAGACCCAGGGCGCAAGTGACGTTATCACCTCGCTACTGCGAAAGAAAGACGAAAAAGAAAGAGGATTAGACGCGAAAGAAAGTTGTCATAGAAATCTGCGCGTTTCAGGACCGATTGCAGGGAGACAAGATCTGGGATGGAAAGACAAGTGAATCTGGACCGGGAGTAAGTCCATATGTGTACAATCCGGCGGGTGCGGTTGCCAAACGGGGTAAGGCCGACAGACGGGAGCAGCGCAGCGCACGATTTACGACGGACGGTCCATTCAGTGAGAATTTGCATATTTTTTTGTGGCGCGTATCCCGTGCAAGGCAAGTACCCGTGTGCAAATGCGATTTTTTCGTGCAATTTAGTGAGGCACGGTGGTGTGGCATTGAGTTTGGCAAGATCGAAGGGCCCAAATGGGGATGGACCGATGATCTGCGGTCGTTAAGAGGCAGGCGAGTCCACTGCGAAACGTGTCACGGTGACCACGTTCCATAATCATAAGCGCTTTTTTCGGGCCCTTTTATTCGAATATTAGGCGTGAGCGATGGTTAAAACGGCACGTCCCATTTCCGAGTCCGTCGTCCTCCTCTCGCCCGCTCCCCTCCTACCTCTTTCCCTCCCGCCAGTCCATGTCCGTCTGAGAGCACGTCAAGCTCGCTAATATTTATTCCTACGTCCAGCAGAGGGCATCGCAATCGTAGCGCCATTCAAATTACTTCACAGAACCTGTGTCCTGTGCGCGCATCACTGCCGTCTTCTGGTACGCCTAATACTAGTACCCTTCTACGCGCCTTTGTGTCCCGTCCGTTAATTATGCCACATACTTCTTCTCCAGGGCGCACTCGTACTTATTACTCTATCTATTATCTTCGGTCTCTCCGCCTGCTCTTTTCGCCCTTGTTCCACCTCCCAGCTTCCAGCCACAATGAGTGCCCCTCCTCAAATATTTTTTTCCTCCAACGTCAAGCACATGGACGAATGGGCCAGCCGCACTGGCATACCACTCACAAGCGCCGAAGCCCTTGGCACTCTGTATGCGCGCGCACACAACTGGCTTCTCGCTCTAAAGGACCAGCTCGTGCGCAATCATGGCTTTCTTGAGAAGGCTGCCGACCCCCGTATGCTTTTTTCCATCGAGTGCCAACCCCCGTTCCGCTCGTCGGGAGGCCTTCCGCGCACACCGCCCTTCAATCTGCAGCTCCCACTCCACGCCTCGACCTTCTTCTCTCCGGAGCGCAGGATACAGTGGGAAATGGTCTTCCATAGCGCACTTTTTCCAGCCATGCGCCACTCGTGCCAGCCTATCGCAGACATTTTGCACTTGTTGCAGTGTTTGCTGACCGGAATGCTTGTGCTCGTCAAGGAGGAAGAAGTCCCAGGCGAAGGAGTTTGGAGGACAACTCGTGGCCTTCCCCCGCCAGAGTGGGTCAGCGCGAACGAGGCGATCCTTCTTCAGATTTTCGGTTCGTCACATTACCGCAAGCTGTTCCGCGCCGCAAACGACAAACGACTCGCGTTCAAAGTACATCTCGAACCACCGTCGCGTCGTTAAACGCGGCGTTCTTCGACATTCTCCGCAATCGCCGATGTCCGCATCGCCTTTCGTACTTTAATTGCTCAATTGTTGTGTTTTGTGGTCATACATCAGAACCACGTGTCGGGTGTATCCGTCTGTCTGGAAGTGCCTGCCGGCCGTGGAACTTCCGCCTCTACAAAAAATTAATTATAATCCTGGACGTGAGCGTAACCGCTCTTGTTCGTGTTCCCCTAGCCTATACTCTTGATTATTCTTGCTATTATCTTCTTTTCCCGACGTTTATTTGTTGCCTCCTTGCACGCCACTTCCCGTGCTTTTCGCTTGACATTTTCCTCGTTCCGATTTTGTTACTTTGCCATTCTCAAGCACACTCTGCTTATAGAACGCCTCTCTCCGTCTCTTGCTCTGCACGTCAGCCTATGTATATCAAGTAGTAGCTTATTCGTTGCATCATCGTCCCGTCTAATTATCTTACTATCATCGAGTTTATTTTTCTTTTTGTCTCTGGTCGTACTTTTTTTAACTTTCATTAGTCTTTTTTTCTACGTTCTCCCGCTGTAAATGTATTACAATCCACTTTTCCTTCTTTCGCCCCATCCGATTCTGTCATGTGTCATATGTTGCATGTTTCTGCCTTCTCTCCCGATCCCCTGTCTCTTTTGCTCATAATTAGGTATGCATTACGCAGATAGTCGGTATGCAAATGATATATGACATTGAGAATAGCAGATAGACGGCGTTGGACGCGCAATCATTGACGTGGAACGGAGGGAAACATGGGTATCAGAGCTTGCTATGCAAAGCGTCAAGGGGGTTGGCAGGGATGTAGGAAATAGCACGAGAGAAGACCAAAGAGAAGTTCCTGAGGAAGAGAAGACGTCCGAGGGAAGGTGCGAAAGGCCGCTCCGGGATCGGGTAACGCAATGGTTCCGGACGAAGGCTCGGAAGAAGAAGCTTGAAGGTAACGGCAGGGACGGACGACTCAATGAATTAGCCGTTCTCTGGAAGTTTTATGCGGGATTTGCATCGGTGTGGATAGATGTGCCCGTTTTGTGATAGGTAGGCATCGGTTGCGAAGAATCGGGCTCGGACTCGGAGTCTGATACTGTAATATGTATCGGACATACCGTTGAACCACTGGAGAAGATTTCGGGTTGACGTACAGTATGTTTGATGCGGGTAACTGTATCCATGAGAAACCGGGACACGGATTAAATCAGTTTAAATTATGGAACCTGAATAAAACATGGATGAATGCACGACGGAGTGATGGTTCAGGTAGCATGAAACGGCGGAGTGGATGCGAGTGGTGGCTAGGTCGATAAATGCAATATATATGAAGCGCTGGCGTTCATAATCCAAAGCAATTCCAGGAGGATGGTGTACGTTTGCATACATGTATAAATAAAGTCGAGCTCGGAATCAATGTCAACGCCTTTATAAATGTTTGTAGAGTAGAGCAAGAAGTGTAACGGCATGGCCATAACCAATTTCAAGTCCGTGTATGCCCGCTGGCTAGAAACGACATTATTAAAGTGAAGACGCTGACTGGATACAGAACGTCATACTTGAGGGAAAGGTAAAAATTATACTATACCGAAGGGAGTGAAATGAAGGGGTGGACATAAACCAGCGCCTTGGATACAGTTAGCTGATTTAGGGCTGCATTTTTCAAAACAGGATGGAATAAAGCGTAAAGTTTATAGAACTTTTTTAATTCATTTGAGATTTGCCTGGAAAGATCTGGTGGTATTTATTGATTGGACAGAACGGAATCTGATCGCATATGCAAAGTACCATTTATGTTTGAATACGCGCTACGCTTTAGCCACTTCTGTCAGAACATCCATCGCACTTTGCAGATCCAATTAAGGAACAAATCGGGGACGTTAAAGATGCTTTAAGTCATGGTCGATCGTGCGTGGGCATCGGAAGCCTGAAGAGAAAAGACAGATCGTTAGCATGCATACATGTGAGCTACCTTCAGCTTGAATTGGGCATCAATTGACCGTGTCAACGGAGACGCTTCAGATTACTTCTATCCGTGTGGCCAAGATCAATAGATCATGACTGACTGACGGCGAATCTTGTTGGGATTGATCCCGCCAGTCAGAAACCATCAAGAGGCGCCCAGGATACACGTTTTGCTACTCGTCATTGGCTGTCTTGTAAGTGGCTTTTCGAATTTGAGATTTGAAGAAGAACCGAAATAGATAGGTAGCGCCACTATCTTTCTTGCCAATACATTCGTGTTATTGGTTGTTACCGCAATCCCCCTGTGTTGTATTGTACATCCGAGGCTTCGGCTTGCGCAGAAATTTGTGTTTATCGGGTGACCGAGGATAACGAGAGTGATCTACATTGTCGTACCAGAACGAACCGAATGAGAGCTCTATACGATCGAACTCGTATGGTCATGTCAAAAAACGAAACAGGCATTGACGTGGATAATACTATTTGTCGTCCACGTCACCGTTACAGAACATCCTAGGTTTAGCTGCCATGAAAGACAGATGTGCGTCTCGGTCGAATCACGCTAGACACGGCGTTCCGTCAATGAATGGGCCAGCGCAGCAGTTCAGGTTTTTTTTTGGCTTCTTGTGTCGGCCTACTCGACTCCGGACTCATCAGAATCATGAAAGCTGGGCCGATACATCCCCGCACGGATTGTGAGGTTGAAAAGCAATATGCGGCTCCTTATTCGTGGCACGTACTGTAGGAGTTTAACGGCCTTCAAAGAAAGTTAGAAGGAAATGTTGCTCACGATCATTACTGCCGAGGGGTACTCGCTTGTCGCGTGATATCAGATAGCCCTGGGGGAGAGAATCGTCGACGCCGTAAATATGAGAATGAGAAAGGTTAATGGCCAACCGAAGAGAATGCTCGCATTATCACCATAGTCGGTTCCGAATGATTGAAGGGGCTTCGTAATTGCGATTGATCAAAGGGCTTGTGTCCATCTACCATTCAATACAAATCCGGAGTAAAAGAGCTGACACGCCGGAGTATTCACTCCGCAAGATCTTGAGCTCCTACATATCATTCTCGCTTATGAAGCAGTCTTCGATCAATAAAACGCATTTAGAACAAATTGAATGGATATATGATCGGCCAAGGGAATTCGTTATGAACAGAAGAACAAGGACGTATCGCACTTACCAGACCTCCGCAGACTTACCAACACCGCAGCCTTGATTCTTCCTTGAGACGCTTGCGCTGCGGAATCCAACGATCCAATGGTGGCACAATCACCGAGGTAGATAGAAGCCAAGCCGAGGAGGCTTCGGGCGGGAGTAATTTGACCAAATCGAAGAGCAACCGCCATCTAAAAAAACAGCTGAAATTTCGCATTAAGCACAGGTCCTTCTGGAGGATATTTAGAGTGTGACATTTGTCTTGGGTAACCCTGACGAATAGATTGGAGTGCCTCAATCCAGGATATTCCTGGGACTTGGTTCAACAACCATTTCTCTTCAGGACATCGACAGAGTTAATCCAACGGAAATAGTTGCCATAGGACCACACTGGAACGCTCTCGCCTTGCCTAGTAACGTTGATTGATTGAAGCGACGGCTATTACGAGGCAGGACCCGAGGAAATCGTCATCATGAACCTGTCAGAGAATGGGTATTCAAGAACATACAACATGTGAGCTATTGCACAATGAATGAAGAGATACAAGGGAATATGCTTGAAGACAGCCGGTGCCACAATCGGTATGAGCACAGAGGAACAGAGAATGTTGTTTCATCATTGCGCGTGAGTCAGCTGAACGAAAATCTTTACGAGCTAGAACCCGTGAATCTCGACCATAGTCGATGCCAAAAACCACTTTCTTTCGCTCCAGCAGTATCTTCAGCATTTTGAGACTCTGCCTCGGTGCCTGCATCAGCTGCAGCAGACGTACGACGACGACGCTTGTATTCTGCGGGTGTTTCAATATTGGACCCTTTAACCCACATTCCGCATCTCTGCTCTCTATGAAGGGAACTTAGTAAGCGGCGGGCATCCGTTTAAGACGTAGAACAGACAAACTTTGCCTCTGCTTCAATCTTAAGATGACCTTCCTTCCCACTCCTTCCATATACTGCATCGTTTCCTATGTATGTTACTGCTAAGCCCTCACGAAGCATTTCGTCTGCAACACTCCTTCCATATCTGGGCGTCAAGAAACCAGGCATCAGTCGACGGGGAAGGAAGACTGGAGCAACCTATTGTGTAATCAGTATCTAGCAGAAAACATTGTAGTTTAGGACAGAAAAACATACAGCACGAGAATATTGATCACGTTTGAGAAGCTGAACGTAAACAGTTTTACCCAGGACCGTCTGTTTTAACCAAGCAAGGGCTTCTTCGGCAAATGGCTGAGCTTTGTCATCTTTAGATTTTGCTGCCTAATCAAATCAACATTTGTTCCGTGTTTTGCTCTATAGTCTCTACCTCAGGTGCATCGACGCCAGCCAGACGAATTGATATAGTCTGATTTGCCAAAGCTAGAAGAGAAAATGTTAGATTGACAGAATATTATGTAGTACAACTAACAATTAGGGCCTCTGGATCCCTTCGGAATCCCTATGATATTTTTCCAATACGTAGTAGATACAGGCGTGTGATACAAATGAAGTCCATCGGGATCTCCAACACTAAGTGTAGGTGCAAATTCAATAACTGTAACTAATCCGACATTGAGACTGCATACCTCGTAACAATCCCCTTAATCCATCGTTGCTTAGAATACAAATTCGGAGTGATCCAGAACTGATTTGGATATCTCCGCAAGAACCGTGTATGCAGCTTTACAGTGGCAAGAGTAACAATAGATCCAGCCACCAGAGGGACTGCTATGCGAAATTCCGGGGGTTGTTGATCATAGAATGTTATTAGCTGCTCATAACTTGACTTAGGCTTTGATTTAGATTTCTCGCCGGTATTTCTTGAAGAGAACCAGTTAAGTGGGTTCCAATCGTCTGGCATAGCAGACAATTTGCGAAGTGGACCTGCTCGATGTGCTCGACATGGACATTGACATGACGTTCCGCGAGTCGTCAGCGTTGTACGGGAGATGCCGAAAACGCGTGTTTGCGGGTCACGTTCGGACGCGTCTCCGCTGTTGACTATCTAGCATCTACTCGCCACTCATTTATTAACTGACAACATCGTCGACGCCGAGCCTCACACGGACAAGGCAATGGACGGTCCACCTCCGCCGGAGGAAGACTTCAGTCAACTCCCGATCGCAGACCGCATTACTCACAAGAACTGGAAGGCAAGGGTATCGGGTTACGAAACTCTCATCAAGACCTTTCAGAATACTGCTTCCGATACAGACCCTGCATTCAGGCCCTATCTCAACAATCCGGATACTCTCAAGAAAATAATTACAGACTCAAATGCTGTCGCACAAGAGAAGGGCGTCGAAGCAGTCGTGGCTTTCGTCAAATTCGCAGGCGAAACTGCAGCGAGAACGCGGGATTTGATTGTCCCCGCCCTAGTCGATAAGTGCTTTGGTTCTGCCAGAGCAGGTACGAAGAATCAAGCTATTGAGCTTGCGTTGCAATACATCGAGGTTGAGAATGGTGGTACAGGCGTCGTGGTGCGTTAAACAAGCATACAATTTATTGCGATTCGACAAATAACATGTGAATATTTATTTAGAGCGATATACTCCCTGGCCTAAACGCCAAACAGCCGAAGGTTGTTGCAGGATGCATAATGACTTTAAATGGATCAATCAAGTACGTTAAATGGACTACATTATACTGTGATGACGTGCTGACGAAATTTGACAGGGCGTTTGGCACTCAGGCAGTTCCACCACCGCCAATACTGAAAGTCTTACCAAAGGTTTTCGCGCATACTGACAAGACCGTTCGTGCAGAGGGCACAAACCTCGTACAGACTTTGTATCAAGGCATCGGTCCTGCAATTGAACCTTGGTTGGCGGACCTTAAACCTGTACAAGTGAAGGAGCTGAAGGAAAGTTTTGAGAAAATGGACAGTGAGGGAAGGGGCAAAGGTTCGCTGAAGCCAGAACGATTCACAAGAGCCCAAGCTCGTGAAATGGAAGCTGGGGGTCAGGAGGAAGATGTCCCTCAGGAAGGTATGTGCTGTAAACCTTCATATGATTTCGCTTTGCCTGACAAGTCCGTAGATCCTGGACTTATGGACCCACGCGCGTTTGCTGAGGAGGTCGACATTAGTGATAAAATTCCGTCAGGTTTCCAAGCTGCCATGACTTCTTCAAAATGGAAAGAACGCAAAGAAGCACTGGACGAGCTACTGGCGGTGCTCAATTCGACTCCACGAATTAAAGACGCATCGGAGATCAGCGACATAGTCAGAGCTCTGTCGGGACGCATGGGTGATGCAAATATCAACTGTGTCATGACTGCAGCAAATTGCATAGAGGCGCTTGCGAAGGGCATGATGATTGGCTTTGCAAGATTTCGTGACACAGTCGTTCCGCCAATGCTGGAAAAGCTGAAGGAGAGGAAGCAAAATGTCGCCGACGCTATTGGAAACGCTCTTGATGCGGTCTTTGCTGCGGTACGCCTATTACCTCCGCTCATCTGAATACCTCGGCTCAATCTCTTGTAGACCACATTGCCGGAGATACTTGAAAACGTCCTTCCTGCTCTCGCTTCCAAGAATCCGCAGGTTAAAGAAGGGACATTGAAGTTCTTATGTCGCTGTCTCGTCACTACGAACGTCCCACCATCTACGGCACAAATAAAGCCTCTTTCGGAAGCCCTTGCTACCCTCCTTGAAGATTCCTTTGAAGGAGCGCGGAATGAAGCAGCGATGTGCTTGGGAACGTTAATGAAAATTGTTGGCGAACGTCCATTAAATGCAATCATGGATCAATTAGCCGAGGTTCGCAGGGTGAAGGTCAAGGAGGCGTATGACAAAGCGATGGTGAAATGCAAGGCGGGCGCTGGCCCAGCACCGCGAGCAGCGCCTCCTGCGAAGGCAAAATTACCAGCAAAGAAGGCACCTGGGCCCGCTCCATTTGAAGATGGACTGCTTAATGACGTTAGTCCTGTAAAACCGAAGGCAAAACTCCCTGCCCGTCTTATGGCTAAGAAGCCTATAGCGGAAGACGCACCAGTCACGGATGTTCCTGAAGCGCTTGCGGAACCACCAAAACCTGCCGCAAAGCCCCCTGCTCGTTTAATGGTAAGTTCAATTGTAATTCCTTTCGCAAGACTATCAATGTAATTTTGTGTGTTGTAGCAAGCCAAAAAATCTCCGCCTGCTGCTGCTGCCGCGGTCGCAGCAGCCACTTCCTCCAAGTCTGCGAAACCATCTGCTCCGGCTGCGCCTGGTGCCCTTGATACATTCAAATTCAAGCATACCCCCGAAGATGCCGAAGCCCTTGCAGCTGATCTGATTCCCAGTGAACTAGCAACAAACTTTGGCGACTCTAATTGGAAATTACGATTAGCTGCACTTGAGGAGATGAACGAATGGATTGGGGGCGTTGTGGATTCTGTGGAGAGCGAAGTCATTGTTAGGTTTTTGATCAAAAAAGGAGGGAACGAGAAAAATTTCCAGGTAGGATTTGCTTTTTTATCAGATTTGGCTCGTTCTAACGTACCTGCCCATGCTAGGTCTCATCAAAGCTGTACACCATACTTTCTATCTTGGCTGAACGGTGCCCAAATTTTGGCCGATCCTCTGTAGCTTTGGCGACTCCCCATTTAAGTGAAAAACTCGGTGACACGAAGCTGAAGAAGCCTGCTGGCGATACTCTTATGCTTTTCGCTGAAAAGACGTCATTGCAATTCGTTCTAAATCACGGTAAGATTAATATTCCTGACGTGTTCACGAAACATTGACTGTCTTCTAGCATATGATTCCCTGACCAAACAGAAGTCTCCCAAAGTTCTTGCCGATTCACTGACATGGATAGATTCTGCACTCACAGATTTCGGAGTAGCTGGTGTATCTCTTCGTGCACTTATCGAATTCCTTAAGACTGCACTGGGAAATTCAAATGCAGCAGTGAGAACAAGTGCCACCAAGACTTTGGTGACCATTAAACTCTTCGTTGGTCCAAGTGGGTTGCACAGTCATTTTCTATATACAGTTCCCTGAGCTCACATTCATCCGCGTGTAGGTGTCAAGGAACTGCTGGGTGAAATTAATCCTCAACTTCTGGCAACAATTCACGGCGAGTTTGACAAAGTAGAGGGAAGTGCTCCTCCTGAACCCTCCCGGACGTCTGTGGACGTTCAGAATCTCGGTTCTGGCGGCGGCAGCGGTTCGAGCAAGGCAGCCGCTGGGGCGGTCAACGCTATGGATGACTTGTTCCCGCGCGTCGAACTTGATTCACTGCTTAAAGGCACAACGATTCTCGCCGGCGCGAAAAGTGATGCCTGGAAAGTGAAGAAAGAGGCCTTAGAGACATTGCAAGCCATCCTTGATCAAGGTCAGAACAAACGCCTCAAACCGAATATGGGTCCGTTCGTCTGTTTTATTTACTCGGGAAATGTTTCTGACTTTGTTTGGACTGTAGGTGAAATTGGGCAGATCCTCAAAGCGCGTGTGACGGACATAAATAAACCGGTGCAGCTCTTAGCGTTGGACATCGTGGCTCGAATTGCGGCTGGTATGGGAAAGCCATTTGAAAAGCACACACGATTCTTTGCATTACCCGTCGCAACAGTCCTGGCTGACCAGAAGGCGAACATTCGTCAGGCAGGCTTAGCGACACTAACTGCCATTGCAGAAGCCTGTGAGGGTCTTGATAGCATGGTACATGGCTTGGCAACTGCACTCGAATCGGCCAATCCGTTGCAGAGAGGGACTCTTCTACATTGGATCGCCGATTGGTTCAAGGAACACGAGCCAAGTTCTGCATTAGATCTCAGTACGTGGGCAGCTCCCATTGTAGCATGTCTCGACGACAGAAGTGCGGACGTCCGGAAGGGTGCTCAGGCTGCGTTGCCGTTCGTCATTGCTCAAACAGGGTATGACTATGTTATGCAGCAGACGAATTCTTTGAAGCCTGCTTCCAGAAATACCGTCGCACCTCTCGTCAAAGCTGCTGCAGCTGCGGCACCACAAAAGTCGAGTAAGCCGACTCCAGCTCCGATTCCTGCGCCCATCAAGACTTCGGCGGCGGCAGAGACGATTACTCCTCCACCTCAATCTCCTACGCCTGTCACTTCTCAGGTTTCTACGGCTCCGACGAGTAAGCTGGGTGGTGTACGTCGCAAACTTCCTCAAGGTTCCATACCTCGACCAGATTCGAGGGCGAGTGCCAATGATGACGCTCTCGGGGCTCCAGCTTCGTCACGCTTGCCTCCTAAATCCGGTCTGGGAGGACTAAAGAAGCCCACGAGCGCATTCACATCCAAATCCACCACCCCCTCTGCTCCTTCACCTACGATGTCTTCTCTGTCACCATTCGTAACTATGAATATTGAGGCAAAGAAGTCTAGGCTAGCTAAAGACGGTGCTCGTTGGGTTATAGAGAATGGTCCGATACGCAAAGATCTCGTTGAATTGCTTCAACTTCAAATGGAGCCGCACGTATCAAAGGACACCCTGTCTCTTCTGTTTAGCCGGGACCATAATGCCGTCAACGATCATGTAACCGGACTGACCGCGTTATGCGACTTTTATTCGGCGTTGGCAACAGGGGATGATAAATACGGGTTTAGTGGACAAGAGCGAAACGACATAGGCATTGCAAATGCAGACCTCGCTCTTAAGTATGTCTCAATACGCGTCCATGAACCTCAACCGAACTTGATAGGCAAATGCCTTGACCTGGTGGAGGACGTAATGGCGTTCTTGCGAGACGTTAACTACCAGTTAAGCGATTCTGAAGCGTTGTGTTTTGTACCGACGGTCATTAACAAGGTCAGTTTGATATTATTTGTATTATGAAAGTGACGTGGTTGACACAATCTACATAGCTTGGCGACGCGCGTGAAGCCGTGCGAATCCGAGTGCAACAGATCATTCAAGCGCTCCCGAAAGTCTATGCATATAGCCGAATCTTCCAGCTTTTGATGGACTGTGGGTTAAAATCTAAGGTTGCCAAAACTCGTCAAGGTACCTTAGACGAAACGGCCGGCATACTCAAGCGCACGGGCGTAGCAGCGTGCGACCCCGCAAGGTCGTTCCCGGTTTTAGCATCCATGATCTCGGACAAAGATGCTGCTGTTCGCAAATCAGCTTTGACTGCTCTTAGTGAGAGTTACTTATTGGTAGGAGAAACGATTTGGTCATACGTCGGATCCCTTACGCCAAAGGACAAAACTCAGCTTGAAGAGCGTTTACGACGTGTTGCAGGACCAAGTAACATGGAAGCCTCAGAGGCGAATGGACCTGTTCCATTAACAGCCACGCCAGGGCCTGCATCACGTCTGGCTTCAGGTGTTCCTAAGCCGGGTTCTCGATTTGGCGGCATCGGCAGCCTCCCGCGGCCAGCTTCTCCGTCCGTAGGACCTGCATCTCGTCTTGCGCGACCGTCTTCTCCAGCTCGGGCTGTTGGCTCAACAACGGGTGAAGGTCAAACAGCTGGAACTCCTGCGCCGTCATCTAAACTTCCAAAGGTTGGCCCTACTTCGCCTCGTCTCGCTAGACCAAAGAGCTTCCTGCCTTCGCGTCTTGGAAATACTCGAATTGCAGCACCGGCATCCGTTGCTGCGTCTCAAACCCACGCTGAAGATCGAGCTTCTGATAGGCCTGTGCTTCGATCACTAAATGGGGACCATCGTCGCCAACTATCCGCTGCTACTGCCGACGTAGTTGAAGCGCCGGTACTCGGCGAAGAGACGGAAGGAGATGAGATCTCTTTGACTATTTCGAAGATTTTAAGCAGTGATCCTTCACGTAGCGTCGATGCCCTCAAACAGATTCAGAGGATATTGGAAGTTAATACGGAAGATGGGACCCCGTCTCAACGATATACAGAGCTATCGGATCACACAGAAGGACTGATTGAAACGATTACTCTGCAGATGGGTCACGTATTTGAAAATGCCTCCACTATCGTCGAACCAGAGAATTTCCGCCTTGCAAAGCACTTGATCCAGACAATCAATGCGTTCTGTGATCATCCTCTGTTGGCCGAATCGATTCAGGTCGAAAACCTTACTGGCCTATTCGAAGAGTTGACGCTTCGACTGCTCCAAACGGATGAAAGCGAAAGCAGTAAAGTCAAGGATTTGTCACGGTTTATTAACATGATCATCCTTCGCCTATTTGCCACATGCCGAAGAATGGCTATTTTAAGGTAAGTGCCCTTGCGCGACTTGTCAAAGACTCGATAGCTCACGGACATGTCAGATCATTGTTTTCCCTTCTTCTACAGATAGTTAAACCATTCCCGGTGAACGGAACCCTCCCAGATGCGAAAGAGGCAAAAGTTGCGGAACTGGTTCTGAAATGTATCTGGAAGTTGGCACGCAATATACCCACGGACCTCGAAAAACAGGATTTAGACCCGGTGGAGTTGTTCCCTGCTATTGAGCACTTCTTGCAGTCTATCCCTCCGAACGAATGGCGCGCTCGTGCAACGAACAAAGTCCCAAGTGGCGACATGCCTTTGAGAACTATCAAAGTAATAATTCAGCATGTTGTTGGTGAGTAGTCATTTCCATGTTAGTTTCAAGTTGCTCACGCACAATATCCATGATTAGCGTTCTATGGTGATGAAGTATACGACCTGCTTTCTTCGTCATTCGAGGACCCATCGGCAACTATCGTATACCCTTATGTCTATCGAATTCTTAATACGAATCGAGGAAACCAGGAAAATGGATCACATCGACAGCCGACGAATGGGTCCAGCGCTGGACGATCCGAGTCAAGCCCGTCGGGCAGCCAGCCAACGAGCCCTCGAGCTAGGTCTTCGGTCGCCTCGACTGAACATCGTACTTCCACGCCTAGTCGACATACATCTCATAGCGGTGTTTCGATGAACGACGGAGGAATGCTCCCGCCTCCAGTTGATGAACCGGATCCGGATGAGCAATTGCTTACAATCATCAATCATATTTCAAGCGAAGCTTCGGGTGCAATGCATAAGGAAGGGATCACGGAGTTACACCATTTCTTGAAAGCATATCCGCACAAGAAGCCTCGCGTGGATAGGTTATTGGAGAACACGGGACCAGCCTTCCGGAAATACATTGCGCGTGCGTTAGCAAGCAGAGCTGCGGAAGACGCGGAACGCACTGTCGCGGTAGCCGACACTCTTTCGAGTACGTCATCCGGGTATATTTTCTTTCTGAATTTTAGATCTGATGCCTTGTCGGTTATGCAGAGCTCGAGTCTAACGGCTCGTCTGGAGTCATTGCCCATCGCGGATCGGTGTCACCCAAATCACCTACGTCACCTAGGAGAGCTAGTGGTGCAATTGAGCTAAATCCTGCTGAACAAGAAAAGCTTCATCGTTTGCATGACTTGTTCCAGTATCGCTCCAGCACGACGAGCAATGGGTCTCGGCCAAAAGACCCAGATAGCAACTGATTGAGACGGACACGAAACTACGATCACGTGTTTCCCTGACATCTGCACTTACCTCTTATTTCGTTTCGGTTTTTAATTTTGTACACGTTGTCGATGCTCACTGTAATTTTGGTGCAATAATACATATCAAGAATTTTCTTCTCGAAACCATGACGCTCGAGATGCCTCGAGTAAAACTTTATTTAGGTCATGTGCTCATCATGACGGTATTGTGCCGCCGCGTCTCTTCCCGCTACTTCCCCAACGTTTCTTCCTACGTGTTCCTACGTGTTCTCTTGTGTATGCTGTCCTAGCTATTTTCTTCGCCTCTGGCTGCTTTGTTGCACCAAAACTTTGAAAGCTCCTGTACACCACAATCCGTTCAGGTCGTTTTCCGCACAATGTCTTCTGTATCGATGCCTGCAAGGTCTCCAGACTTTGTCTATGACCTTATTCTGCAATTCTGGCGTATTGTAACAAGTATCTTCTTCCGAGAGATACGTCCCAGAGGCGCGTTTCACATCCCGAGGCAAGGCCCTGTCATATTCGCCGCAGCACCGCATCACAACCAGGCAGGTAGATAACGTTGAAGCGTTCAAGTCTCAAACTCATGTTGCGAAATATTAACAGTTCTTGGACCCGTTGCTCTTGACATCAGAAGTACACAGAGAAACACGTCGGAGAGTTGAGTTCCTTATTGCTGCGAAAAGCATGACGAGAAAGCCTATTGGTTTTTTTGCGAAACTTATGTCGAGTAGTACGTACTAAGTTAGTTTCTATGCTGGTCACCGCCTTGACACGTTCTGCAGTTCCGGTTTCAAGAGCCGCTGATGAGGCAAAACGAGGCGCTGGAGTAATTACTCTATCTGAAAGCGACCCATGTGTAATTATTGGTCACGGAACGAAATTCACGTCTGAACTGAAACCAAAATGTCAAATAATGCTACCCAAATCGCTCAGCTCGTTAGTCGCTGAAGTGATAGAAGTCGTCTCGGATACGGAGGTGCGAATTAAGAAGGAGTTTGGAGGCGAAAGTGGGAAGGGAACAGCTCGTGTTCGAGATGCTATTGACGAGGCTAAAATGAATGGCGCACAAGGTCTTGAGTATAGGATATTACCGTTCATCGACCAGCAGGAGATGTATCGATTCGTCTATCAGAGGCTGAAAGATGGTGGATGCATCGGAATTTTCCCTGAGGGTTTGTATATTCATCTTGTGTGATGTTCAATGCTAATGTTATGAGATTTAGGAGGAAGCCATGACCGAACCGATTTATTGCCTCTCAAAGCAGGCGTTACTGTCATGGCACTTGGCGCAATGGCGAGTGATCCTTCTGTAAAGGTCAAAATCGTCCCGGTTGGCCTGTCCTATTTCCATGCCCATCGGTTCCGCTCAAGGGCGGTCGTAGAGTTCGGCTCAGCGATGGATGTGCCTCCAGAGCTCGTTGAAATGTTCAAAGAGGGAGGAACTAAAAAGAGAGAGGCTTGTGCTAAGCTTCTTGACCTTACTTACGAGGGGTTGAAGACAGTGACATTAAGAGCACCTGATTATGACACTCTCATGGTATTGTTACTTTCGTTCTTCCTCCTTCGCCTTTTGATTGTTCCGGTATGGCAGGTTATTCAAGCCGCGCGTCGCCTTTACGAAACGCCTGGCCAGCATTTGACTCTCGGCCAAGTCGTTGAACTCAATAAGCGTTTCCTTGAGGCATATATGCATTTCAAAGACGATCCAAGAGTGCAGAAATTGAAAGAGAATGTCTTGAAATACAACCGTTCAGTCAGAGATTTGGGTCTGCGTGACCACCAGGCAAGCCTAGTGATTTGATTCTGTTGCGTTGACTAATAGAAGGAAGTTAGGTCCCTCGTGCCAAACCTGCGAGCTGGAAAACTCTGGGATTGCTCGGATATCGCTTAGGCCTTCTTATCGTTTGGTCATTGCTGGCACTCCCAGGCGTCATTCTCAATGGTCCTATTTTTATTCTTGCATCCGTCATTTCGAGGAAGAAGGCTAAGGGTATGGAGTTACATATTTTGTACCAGGTAGATCGAATTCTTATCTTCGCTCTACGTTTCAGAGGCATTGGCCGCGTCAAACGTAAAAATTGCAGGCAGGGATGTCCTTGCTACATGGAAGATTCTAATGTCTCTCGGCGTGGCTCCTGTTCTGTACACGACTTACGCGATTATCGCCACCATAATTGCTATCAAGGCTAACGCTCCACTTGAGTGGAGATTATGGACTCCATTTTTGGTTTTGGTCCTTCTGCCGTGCATGAGTTATGCAGCGTTGAAGTTTGGCGAAGCTGGTACAGATATCTTAAAGTATGCCTTCCTTCCAGACTGTTCGCTACCGAAATACAATGTGATCATGGTGTTTTTAGATCTTTACGGCCCCTCGTCATTGCCCTTTTCCCAGGACAGCAACGTTCCCTCGATAAGCTAAAGCGAATGCGGGAAGAGCTCTCAAACGAATTGTCGGAGCTAATTAATGAGATGGGTCCGAAGTTGTGGGATGATTTCGACCACGTATGTCGTAACTTTTTGTGTGATAGGGGTTGTGGCTGACAGGGTTTCAGTGGAGAATTATCGTCCCTTCTGCAAGCGTTCCTCCATCCTCCGGAAAACCTGGACTATGGCGGCGAAAGAGCGGAACGGGCGCTGTTGATGCTCAGGGAAACCTCCTCGTCCATCCAATGGTGAGATCTCATAATACTTAGTGGTGTATTGCTTACTGTTTCTCAATGACACAGACTTGGCTCGATGAACGTCTTTTTGGCTGGAGTCGCAGTGCTGCTCGTGGAACAAGTGCCTGGAGCGGAAATTATAGTACAGATCCGAGCCAAGCCCCGAGCCCTACGTCTACAGACGATGAGGACGAGGGTGACTACGAGCATCTTATGGGCGTTCTGCAGTCGAATGGCGATGGAACTCCCTCTAGACTACGTTCTAGAAGCCTTCGCAGCTCATATGCAGATCTTCAACAGCTGAAGATGACGCCTGCAACCGCGACTGGTGCTAGTGTCCGCTACGATGCAGGTCATTCACCGACAGATAGCAGCTTTCATCATGGTGATCAGCACCGAGAGAGAAAGGGTAGTCTTACCGGCGACGTGCCGGTAGAAAGGATCGGGGGTATTAACCGCGATGAGCCCTTCAAGGAGGCTACGGAGGTTCTGAATGAAGAGAACGAACGTAAAAGGCGTTAGGCTACTGTATGGACTGATATAGCATAACTTGTTGCATTAACAAAGGACTATCATTGTCAATCTAGTGTGGTGATTTGCCGGGATTACATGGTAGCGCAAAACAAAAATACAAGACGAGTTCTAAGAAGCTGATACAACAGAAGAAATGACAGAAGGAAAAGGGAACGATGATCAAAAGAATGCAGTCCAAATCTGTCTAGGCTCCCACGGGTAATTTAAGGTTCGGGTAAGCCTTTCACCGCAATGTATGGTTCGCGACGCATCATCGACTTGTTAAATTCGGTGCCACAGTTGACACAACTGAAAAAAAAATGGTGAATGTGAGTATTGGGTGGATATTCCAGATTGGATGTGAGAAAACGACTGTACCGCAAATCCATGACGCCATTAATGAACTGAGAAGAAATAAATAGTGTGAGTGCCTGTCATCCTAAACGCTTATCTCGACCACGCGTTCAGAAACCAACCTGCGTCTGACTGCATCCCCCTTCCTCTGCTTTGTAGTTCCCCAACGCCTCTTTCCCGAGGTCCATGCAGCGGATAGAAATCTATTTCCTTGGTCAGCCATCCGGCACCTTCATTCCTCCTGCTTCCATGCGCTGATATAGAGGTCTGAGACACTTACCGCTTTGGCCGGATAGTTCCCCTTTGCCCTAATAAGCAGACCGTCAATCTATGGTCCCCATGACCGCTGACAGGATAAGACACTTACGGCGTGTGTTTGGTGATGGTATATATCGGCTCGCCTCGCGAGGAACCGCATTTCTCTACAAACAAATATGGCTCTGAAGACATTGTCACTGGTTGGCTGGGTATTCGTCTGTGCGTCGGAGAGCTAGAGGTGTTGGCAAGAGAGATGAGACAGGTACAGTAGGTGGTGGGAGACAAAGTATAACGGGGAAACTCAGACACTGGCTGAGGATGTTGTCTCTGCCATTGCACTTCAGCTCTTTTTATCGTGATTGAAGGCCAAGGGGAGAGGAATTTTCGACTGCAACTTGGACTAAAGCATGGCAAGATAAGCCGTAAAGTTACCGAAGCTCCGTGATAACCATCTGTGGTTGCCCTAGCTCAGATCCATTTCTGTCTACTGCAAATTCCAAAAACGCGTCATCGCACACATCGTCGTTGCGGACCGGAAAGAAAGGCTAAGACCGGAACTTTGTATTTACACAAACACGTATACAGCAAACGTGATAATACGCCCTAACAGCTGCCGCGCCGTGCATCTCTGACTTCATAGGGCACGAGGTGGAAGAAGCCATCAGAGCTCGCGCTTCGTGCCTGCAGTGAGCACTTCGACGCCCGTATCCGTTATCCTGTGAGTCATCGCCCCGTCATCACTGATCTGCTTCTCACGCTTCTCGGGGCAAAAAGGAAATACATACAGTAAGGTTTCCTCAAATTGAGCACTCCTTTTCCCGTCTGCCGTCGTGCACGTCCAGTCATCTGGCCAATGTATCCCATCCCAGGTGCCGAGATTGATCATCTGAGGAAAGGTCCGATAAAAGCCCCAGGTGAACTCAGTCGGATTGCGGAACGCGCGGAAATGACAGTCAACTCCTTACCGGCTCAATTGTAAATGTCTTCCAGTTCCAGGACCCAGGATGTGTCAGTATCAAGAATCACAGCCTCATCCATGCACAAAACGCACCATCCCAGGCTTCATTGTCCCAACGGCCTTATTCTTGGCATAGTGTGGTATGTTTGGATTGCAATGGAATAAGTTATTGATACCGTGTCCAGTGTACTGGCGCACAACCGAGCACCCGTTACGTTTGGCTATTGGTTCACTGCGAGTAAGGGTCCAAAGCAGTCAGAGATGGACGACGATAAGAGTTGGGCAGACGTTCAACATACATTACTTTACCAATATCCCGGAACAAGGCGCCTGGCTTGCAAATTTTTATGGCCTCGTCCAGACACTCGCGAGTCGTTCGGATAAGTAGTTTGGAGTCTTCGTCGATGTCTCCAACGGCATAAGTCTCGTTCAAATCTCCGTGATACCCTAAATCCAAAATTAAGATCGTCATTACACTTCCAACGGGCGTCAGAGACAGGTACATGCCATCGTAATACACTGTGACGTCTGAGGTGAAAAGTTTTTAGCCTGCCATGGCCGATAAAAGTACAGTCCAGCCTCACCAATGTTAATAATGTCACCATCCAATAACGGCCGGCGGTCTGGAATTCCGTGGCAGATCACTTCATTAACAGATCTGGACCAATCCTCAGTTAAGAAAGTCCTCGTATTTTTCGAGAGATGACGCATACGTGCAGACAGATTTGGGGAAGCGCCGGTAGTTTAATGGCGAAGGGTATGCATTCCGTTCAATTGTAGCCTGATGAACTATATCATCTATCTCGTCGGTGGTTATACCAGGTTTGATCGCAGCGGCAGCTATGTCCAATACTTCTCTACCCAGCTAAATGTGATAAAATGCTCGAGTTAGATTCTTCGCCAAAGTGCAAGGGTGAATGGAGAAATTACCCTGCATACTGTTCGCATCTTCTCTATCTCCTCCGGACTCAATATTCGTGGAGGGCTTCCCATGGCTAGTCTTTCAGATTTCGATTCGCCTCGTACTTCAAGATTTCAAGATAGGAGGGTTAACTTGCTTACAGAGATTTAACAGAGTGGAAGAAAGACATGGCCCTACCGTCGTCAGCATAGTCCGGTCTGGGTATACGATCTGGGACGGTACGTTTCGGAGACAAGGGGTAGACCGGTCGAAGTGTACCAGCGAAGTTGAAGTTACCGAAAGGATTATTATCCTCTAGAAAACAATTCAATCGATAGTGCTAGCAAGATAACTGAGAATACAAACCGATCTTCGTAATTTTAAGGTTCACGATGTCGTGGATAATTTTATGTTGTTTCTTGGAGCCTCATTTATTAACAGACTTGATTTTCACGCACGTTTATATGCTTACCCCTACACTCAATCCAGTCAGGTCAGTTCAGAAGTATACAAACAACCACCCACATCCTGCCTTAAAGCAATCTTGACTGCAGAAAAACGAACCCTTGATACCGAGTCTAAGTCATGGGAGGTCTGGATAAGCGTTTGAGGGTCTTCTGAGATTGGCACTGATTGTGACGCCAGTGGACGCACTTGTTGCACGTTGGACATTCCAACCGAGATGCAGGATTACCGTTAAGACAGCTCGAGCTTTGGCATGCAATCTCATTTGTCTCTGTTGAGCTCATGATGAACCCTGATGTGTAGTGGTTGGAAGTAAGGCCGTGTTAAGTGACGAAAAGAATTCACATTCCCGACGCCTATGCTACCTGCGGTGATGAATCCCATATATTGCACGTGACTATAATCAATCCACAAAAGGAAGCCTTTCAGCCTCGCACTGGGCACATTGAGGGCCTTGACATCACGCTGAGGCTCGTCGTTGGTTTTGAACGATTCTTCACATTTCTCTATCATCTTCGTGTAACAGTCTTGCTTGCAATCGTGAATTGAGTCCATTAATCCAAACCGTCTTGCGTCGGCCCGCATAGGATTACCTTGGAGGCTCAGGACTGGAACGTTATCATTTATATATCAACCAACAGACTTGTATCTATATACTCCATCGTCGTCATAGCATGTCTACAGTCCTCACGGGTTGCATTGGCATCTTCTGGGACTACGGTAATAACTTCCTTCTCTTTTGATCTTTGTATCGAATTGTAACTTGCATGTAATTTACTCAAGAAAACTGCCGCCCACCTTCCAATATTTCGGGAGCCAAACTCGTCGAGAATATTTGTCGACTGGTCCGAGGCGCTGGAGCGATCACTCAATTCAAGGCATACGTTGATGTATCATCTGAAGTTGCACAACCTAGATCCGTTGCGTTTCATTCGGACCTCCAGTCATCTGGAGTCACTTTAGCTCACTGCCCTCACAATGGCAAGAAGGACGTCGCTGACAAAATGATGATAGGTATGCCCCTAGGATAGATTCTTTCTCACAATCTAATCTGTTGCAGCGGACATGCTTGCATTCGCATTAGACAGGCCTGCTCCCGCAAAAGTTGTTATTATAACCGGAGATAGAGATTTTGCGTACGCATCTGCGATACTCAGGTTGCGAGGCTATGAAACCGTTATCATATCTCCTCCAAATACGGGTCATGCGAGCTTGAAGATGCAGGCAGACCAGTTACTCGACTGGCAAAAGGACGTTATCGACGCATCAAGTCCTGATACTTTTGCTGTTGTTGAAGCCGTATCTCAGTCTACAGCAGTCAAAACTGCAGAAGATTACAAGCCAAAAGCACCTGGAAGCCCAGGAACATGTCCTCCAGCAGAAAAAGCTGAGACAGGTACATATCTCAGCAATCCAGTAGTGGACGACATTTTCAAATCAAGTACTGGTGCAACTATGGACAACACTGGTATTGACGCCAAACCCTCTCCAAAGGAAACGGTGCCGATTTTTTTGAAGTCACTATCTACATTCTTCTCGGACGCACAAAAGTCGAGCCAAGTGCCTTCCTTCCAAGCCGATGTGCCATCCAGACCAGACCAGCCAGTAGCACCTTCTAGCAAGGTTTCCAACGAGACTGGTTGTATTCTTTTGAGTTCCTTGAAGGCAGAGGCAGAGGCAGCTGGTTTGAGTGTGGGTGCACTCAGAAATTGCAGGTGTGCAAATTGCAGGCTGTCAAGCAGCATTGAACAAGACCTGTGTGGGATTAGCACTGTGCCAACAGTTAAACAGTCAGGTATGAAGTCTGTTGCCCTACTGACACAGTCTTTCTTATAATCGTGATTTGCTTTCCTAGCTGTAGCGAATCCGGAACAACACTATATTTCACACAGCCAAGTAGAAGACGCCATTAATTCATCTACCAATACCCCATCTAGTGTTTCAACAGCTACCTCATCCAGTGTTACGAGTAGATCAACAACCTCATCTTTTGCAAGCAAGGAGACAGCTAAAACACCCTCGCCAGCTTCTGTGCTTCGATTTCGGCCACTCATAAACTACTTCATTGAACAACAAGCTTTGACTGGCCTCACACGCATTCGCTCTTCCACTGTTGCCTCTGAACTGCGGAAGCACGACTCAATGGTGTATGAAAAGGCTGGTGTGGTTAAAATGAAGCAGTACATCGAGGAAGCAAGAGAAGCAACTATCATCATCTCACCTGGTTTGGATAAAGAAGGTGATGGCTGGATTGAGATAAACCCGTCTCTTTACCCAGGGGTCAAGCCGACTTCGACACACAAAGGATCCCAACTAAACGAATTTACCCAAATTTTCCGTCCAGCTTCTAGTCTGGAGTCTATCAAAACTGTTGAGCCAGTCGTTGATGTTGAATTCAAGCCCCTTGTTACACGCCTACGCATGGAGTCTCCGGTCTATCGCTTAGTGTATTCCATGGTTGGTCAATATTTCAAGACACACCATCCGTTCTTGTATGAGGATGCAGGTGTTTGTAACCTTACTCAATACCTCCAGAAAGCTATTGACAAGGGCATTGTACGGGCTGGAAACATCAATTCTCCTGGTCGTCAATGGGTGGAACTCACAGATGGGTTACGCTACAGTCAGCCATGAAGACCTTTCGTTAGGTTTTGTACTTGTATTTTTAGTCCCTGACTTTTTTTGCCGGTGTATGTATCCTGGATGAACTCCTTGGGAAATCCTGAATTCTTACAATGCATTCGTGTATAAATTGCTTTTTGTTACTGTCTTGTTTGTACTATCAATGCTGATGCTTGAAACACCTGCCTGACTTACTCCTATAGTGAATTTCGAAACAATCAGTGTATGTCTATGTGGCATTATTATACAAAAATGTTGGATGGAGGCCCAGAAGTGTCGGGTTTCCTGCCTCATATATGGTACGGCGTAGTGAGGTCAGCTTACTAACCTCATGGGACTTCCGAGTCATTTCGCCGCCAATCACGTATTTTGATAAGCTCGAATGGTGTGCTCTTGCACCAAACCTCACTTACTTGTATATACTAATAATGTACTGTCCTGGGCGCCTTGCCTGTTATTGGTTGTGTGGCGACACGATATCCCACGTATCGATCCCACAGTAGTCACTCCAAATCCACTAGCAAGATATAAGCAATTGTGTGGCTCTTCACTCTTGTGTACTCTAGCTTTCATATAAGACGTGAAAGCAACCTCTTCCGGCCTTTTGCAGAAGACCTCTCCACTATGGCTCCCTTTGTCGAAAGGTTTGTCAAGCAGACTGTTGGATACTGTACCCATTTGTATAGGTACAACTGATGGGTGAGCATGATCTTGCCAGAAGTGAACACTAGCTAGGAATTTGTGTAATAAGACCAAGATCAGGAAACCAAGGACAATGTTTGTATACAGGATTTTAAATATACATGTCTTATAGAATTGTCTAGCTTGCTAAATTGTAATTACTGTACCTGTATTAAGATAAGTAACACATTCTATTTACTACTCCTTCTATTCATTTTGACATTGTATATACTGTATGAAGTACTTCTTTTGCATATGTATTACATTTGTTCATAGTAAGTACATTACACTCTTAGCAAGAGACGACCTGCCCCAAGTATAATGCATGATGTCTGACAACACAACTTCTTTTTGTGATGGTTGTACCTGTACAAATACTGTAGCTATAAAGTACAGAGATAACACAAAATTGAGCATTATAGGGCAAGAAGGGTCCAAAGTTAGGTGACATAAGGAACATTACCTGTTACATAGATTTAGTATACACGTAACCCTAGTGACTCTACCTCTAGAGTAAGAGTGCAATAGAAATAAATAAGTGTTACATGTTTGCCGGTATGCAACAAGCCATGAATTACACATTTAACAAATAATAAGGAACGCGTCAACTCAATTGTGTCACGTTCCAGTTACCTCTATATTCGCGGCTACAGTATGTCCTAACAGCCGCCGCGCCGTGCATCTCTGACTTCATAGGGCACGAGGTGGAAGAAGCCATCAGAGCTCGCGCTTCGCGCCTGCAGTGAGCACTTCGACGCCCGTATCCGTTATCCTGTGAGTCATCGCCCCGTCATCACTGATCTGCTTCTCACGCTTCTCAGGGCAAAAAGGAAATACATACAGTAAGGTTTCCTCAAATTGAGCACTCCTTTTCCCGTCTGCCGTCGTACACGTCCAGTCATCTGGCCAATGTATCCCATCCCAGGTGCCGAGATTGATCATCTGAGGGAATGATCGATAAAAGCCCCAGGTGAGTTCAGTCGGATAACGGAAAACACGGACATGACAGTCAGTCCTTACCGGCTCAATTGTAAATGTCTTCCAGGTCCCAGGATGTGTCAATATCAGGAATCACAGCCTCATCCATGCACAAAACACACCATTCCGGGCTTCATTGTCCCAACGGCCTTATTCTTGGCATAATGCGGTATGTTGGTTGGATTGCCATGAAATAAGTTGTTGACACCGTGTGCGGTGTACTGGCGCACAACCGAGCACCCATTACGTTTGGCTATTGGTTCACTGCGAGTAAGGGTCCAAAGCAGTCAGAGATGGACGACGATAAGAGCTGGGTAGACGTTCAACATACATTACTTTACCAATATCCCGGAACAAGGCGCCTGGCTTACAGATTTTTATGGCCTCGTCCAGACACTCACGAGTCGTTCGGATAAGTAGTTTGGAGTCTTCGTCGATGTCTCCGACGGCATAAGTCCCATTTAAGTCTGCGTGATACCCTAAATCCAAAATTAAGATCGTCATTACGCTTCCAACGACGTAAGAGACAGGTACATGCCATCAAAATAGATTGAGACATCTGAAGTGAAAAGGTTTTAGCCTGCCATGGCCGATAAAAGTACAGTCCAGCCTCACCAATGTTAATAATGTCACCATCCAATAACGGCCGGCGGTCTGGAATTCCGTGGCAGATCACTTCATTAACAGATCTAGACCAATCGTCAGTCAAGAAAGTCCTCGTATTCTTCATGAGATGACGCATACGTGCAGACAGATTTGGGGAAGCGCCGGTAGTTTAATGGCGAAGGGTATGCATTCCGTTCAATTGTAGCCTGATGAACTATATCATCTATCTCGTCGGTGGTTATACCGGGTTTGATCGCAGCGGCAGCTATGTCCAATACCTCTCTACCCAGCTAAATGTGATAAAATGGCTCGGGTTGAATTCTTCGCCAGAATGCAGGGGTGAATGGAGAAATTACCCTGCATACTGTTCGCATCTTCTCAATCTCCTCCGGACTCAATATTCGTGGAGGGCTTCCCATGGCTAGTCTTTCGGATTTCGATTCGCCTCGTACTGCAAAGTTTCAAGATAGGAGAGGGTTAAAATTGCTTACAGAGATTTAACAGAGTGGAAGAAAGACTTGACCCTACCATCGTCAGCATAGTCCGGTCTGGGTATATGATCTGGGACAGTGCGTGTCGGAGACAAGGGGTAGACTGGTCGAAGTGTACCAGTGAAGTTGAAGTTACCGAAAGGATTATTATCCTCTAGAAAACAAGTTAATCAGAGATACTAGCAAAATAACTCAAAATGCAAACCGATTTTCGTAATTTTAAGGTTCACGATGTCGTGGATAATTTTATGTTGTTTCTTGGGGTCTCGATTATTAACACCTAAATTTCACACACGTTTATATGCTTACCCCTGGACTCAATCGAATTAGGGTCAGTTCAGACATGCAAAACTAGTGACGCACATCCTGCTTTAAAGCAATCTTGACTGCAGAAAAACGAACCCTTGATACCGAGTCTAAGTCATGGGAGGTCTGGATAAGCGTTTGAGAGTCTTCTGAGATTGGCACTGATTGTGACAGCAGTGAAAACGCACTTATTACACGTGGGACATTCTAGACGGGATTGAGGATTACCGTTAAGACAGCTCGAGCTTTGGCATGGAATGTCATTTGTTTCCGTTGAGCTCATGATAATCCTTGATGTGCAGTGGTTGGTAGCAAGGCGGAATTTAATTTACAGAGTAGCGACAAGAATCCAAGATCCCGTGCTGCGCGGTACCGGTGACGGGGAGTCATATTTTTCACGTGACTATAAACAATCCACAAAAGGAAGCCCTTCATCCTCGCATATCACTTCGCACTGGGCACGTTGAGGGCCTTGACACCACGTTGAGGCTCATCGTAGGTTTTGAACGCATTCTTTACATTTCTCCATCATCCTCGTATAACATTCTTGTTTGCAATCGTGAATTGAGTCCATAATCAAACCATCTTGCATCGCACCGCATAGGATTACCTTGGAGGCTTAGGATTGGAACGTTATCATCTATATATCACCCAGACAGGCTTGTATCTATATACTCCATAGACATGTCTACAGTCCTCACGGGTTGCATTGGCATCTTCTGGGACTACGGTAATAACTTCCTTCTTTTTTTATCCTTGTATCAAATTGTAACTTGTGAGTAATTTACTCAAGAAAACTGTCGCCCACCTTCCAATATTTCGGGAGCCAAACTTGTCGAGAATATTTGTCGGCTAGTCCGAGGCGCTGGAGCGATCACACAGTTCAAAGCATACGTTGACGTATCATCCGAAGTTGCACAACCTAGATCCATTGCGTTCCATTCGGACCTCCAGTCATCCGGAGTCACTTTAGCTCACTGCCCTCACATTCACAATGGCAAGAAGGACGTCGCTGACAAAATGATGATAGGTACGCTCTTAGAATACATCCTTTCATATCATCTAACCTGCAGCAGTGGACATGCTTGCATTCGCACTTGACAGGCCTCCTCCTGCAAAAATCGTTATTATCACTGGGGATAGAGACTTTGCATATGCAACTGCGACACTCAGGTTACGAGGCTACGAGACGATCATAATATCTCCTCCGAATATGAGTCAGACAATCTTAAAGATGCAGGCAGACCACTTATTTGACTGGAAGAAGGACGTTATTGATGCAACAAGTCCTGATACTTCTGCTGTCGTTGTAGCCGTATCTCAGCCTATGGTGGTCATAGCTGCAGAAGATCATAGACCGAAAGTATCTGGGACTCCAGAAACATGTCTTACAGCAGAAAACCCCGAGACAGGCGCATGCCTCAGCAAACCGGTACTGGATGACACTGTCAAATCACGTATTGCCGTACCTATGGACTCTACTGTTGACGCCAAACCCTCTACAAAGGAAACGACGCCGACCTTTTTGAAGTCACTGTCTACATTCTTCTCGGGCGCACCAAAGTCGAGCCAAGCGCCTTCCTTCAAGTCTGAAGCATCGCCCAGTCCAGTCCAGCCAGTAACGTGTTCTGGCGAGGTTTCCAACAAGCCTGGGTGTGCTCTTTCAAGTCCCTTGAAGGCACAGGGAGCTGGTTTGAGTGTAGATGCAGTCAGTAACTGTGGTTGTGCAATTTGCACGCGGTCAGGCAGAGTCAAACAAGCATTGTCTGGCAGCACTGTGCCAGCAGTCAAACAATCAGGTATGAAGTCTATCACTCAGTAACACAGTCTTTCTTTTAACTTTTACTACTTACCTAGCTGCATATTGCCCAGAACAACACTATAATTCACACAACCGGTCAGAAGACACTGTTAATTCATCCACCAACACCCCAACCAGTGTTTCAACGGTTACATCATCCAGTAACACAACACATTCAACGACCTCATCATTTGCAAATAAGGAGCCATCTGTAACAACACCCTCACCAGCTTCCATTCTTCGATTCCGGCCACTCATAAACTATTTCATCGAACAACGGACACTGGCTAGGCCTACACGGCTTCGCTCTTCGACCATTGCCTCCGAATTGCTAAAGCGTGACTCGACAGTGTATAAAACCGCTGGAGTGGACAGAATGAAGCAGTACGTCAAGGAAGCAAGAGACGCAGCCATCATCATCTCGCCCGGTTTGGATAAAGAAGGCGATGGCTGGGTTGAGATAAACCCGTCTCTGTACCCAGAGGTCAAGCTGACTTCAACACACAAAGGATCTCAACTAAATGGAATTTCCAAAATTTACTCTACTAATATGGGGCCTTTCAAACCACCCAAGCCAGTCGTTGATGCTGCATTCGAACCTCTTGTTGCACGCCTACGCAAGGAGGCTCCAGGATATACTCTGCCTAGAAAGGAGCTTCGTAAATATTTCACGACAAAACACCCATTGATATGCCAGATTGCAGGCGTCAAAAACTTCAGCAAATACCTCGAGAAAGTGGTGGGTAAAGGCATTATCTGCCTTGAAGATCGAGCTGGTGGTCAGCTGGTTAAACTAACAGAGAAGTATCGGCCTGTTGGTCGGTGAATGTGTTGATTCAGCAGAGCGTTGATGCCCGTGTACTTGTATTTTTATGTCCCTCACTTTTTTTGCTAATGCATATATTCTGGGTTGGCTTTTTAATAGATCTGGAATTTCTACAATGCATACATGTATAGATTGTTCTGTTGTTGCTGTCTTGTGTGTATTCATGTAACTGATAAAATGACCATTATTGCCCTATGCAGCCTTATTTCACACTTGGACGGAAGATTCTCCCGTATAGCATCTAGGAGGATATACTTTTGCCTTTTCGGTGTAGTGAGGTCAGCTTACTAACCTCATGGAACTTCATTTCGCCGCCGATCATGTTTTCAAATTTTGGAAGATTGCGCGTTGATCAGCACGAATTGCGTGCTCTTGCACCTAACCTCACTTACCTGTATATACTAATGATGTGTCGTCCCTGGCGCTCTAAAACTGCCTGTTATTGGCTGTGTGTCAACGCGATACCATACGTATCGGTCTCACAGTCGTCACTCCAATTCTACTAGCGAGATACACCAATTGTGCCTGGTTCTTGCGTACTCTAGTCTTCGTATAAGACGTGAAAGCAACCCCCTTCCGGGTCTTTTCAGAAGATCTCTTCACTATGGCTTCCTCAGCCAAAAGGTTTGTCAAGCGGACTGTCGGATACCCAGATCCTTACGTGCCGACGGTTACCACAACCGAATGGGTGAAAAAGACCGCTTCCAAGAGCCCAATTGACTTTGTTCGTCATCTCCCATTATACTCCGCTGGACTCGGCTGGACTAATGTTTTACTTCCTTTGGCCAGGTGGTTGATTATCTGAGAAGCCTCTTCCCAATCATTGGATGGATCGGCCGTTACAGTGAGTTATCTCCGCCTGTATCGCCATCCCCACTGAACATGTGCCGTTTTCTTAGACCTCGGGTGGCTGAGCGGTGACCTCATCGCTGGGATCACCGTTGGGATCGTGCTCGTACCGCAGAGCATGTCTTATGCACAAATCGCAACTTTGGAACCTCAATATGGCTTGTATTCTGCCTTCGTCGGCGTCTTCATCTATTGTGTATGTCCTGATTCTGGACGTGCATGCCATGAGTGGTAGGCTAAGCAACGTTCTACAGTTCTTCGCAACGTCAAAGGATGTTTCGATAGGGCCGGTCGCCGTGATGTCTCTTACAGTCTCTCAAATTATCAAACATGTCAACCAGACGCATCCTGATGTCTGGCCTGCTCAAACAATTGCGACCGCTGTATCATTCATCTGTGGATTCATTGTCCTTGGGATTGGTATACTCAGGCTAGGGTGGATTGTTGAGTTTATTCCCACACCGGCGGTTAGTGGTTTTATGACTGGCTCGGCCGTCAACATTGCCGCTGGTCAGGTCCCTGGTCTTATGGGGATTACTGGCTTTGAGTACGTGAACAAGAATTTTTATGTACGTTTCATTGATGCCTTTTGATAGCACTCGAGCGGCAACGTACAAGGTCATTATCAACACGCTGAAGGGCTTACCTCGTACGGATCTGAATGCTGCCTTCGGTCTCCCAGCTCTTGTCGCGCTGTACGCTATTCGTATAAGTCTTGACAGGCTCTCCAAGCGCTATCCTAGAAGAGGTACGCTGGCAAAGCTCTTAAGAGGTGTATGGTGACTGACTCTACCACCTAGCCCGAACGTTCTTTTTCATTTCTATCCTTCGCAATGGCTTTGTTATTATTGTCTTAACGATTGCGTCGTGGCTATCTATGCGTCATCGTCGTAACTCTAAAGGCAATTACCCCATCAAGATTTTGCAGACCGTTCCGAGTGGATTTAGAGTACGTTATCTGCGTTTTTAAGCGCGGGTGTACTAATAAATTTGTCCATACAGCACGTTGGTCCGCCTACGATCAACAGCAGTCTTATTTCGGCACTTGCAAGTGAACTTCCGGTCGCAACAATTATCTTGCTCCTTGAACACATTGCTATCTCTAAGTGTGAGTTTCGTACTCGAGCTTATCCTGCAGCAAACTTATTGAATCTTCAGCGTTTGGACGTCTAAATGGATACAAGATAAACCCTAATCAAGAGCTGATAGCCATCGGCGTTACGAACACCATTGGTTCGGTATTTAATGCGTATCCTGCTACCGGCTCGTTCTCTCGTTCCGCCTTGAAATCTAAGAGTGGAGTGCGTACACCACTTGCGGGGATCTTCACAGGAATCGTAGTCATTGTTGCACTCTATGGTCTTACGCCTGCATTCTTCTGGATCCCGAACGCTGGCCTATCTGCAATTATCATTCATGCAGTCGCCGACCTTGTCGCTAAACCGTCGCAAGTGTACGGATTTTGGAGAATTTCTCCGATAGAGTTTGTTATTTGGGTTGCTACAGTTCTGGTCACGGTGTTCTCTACTATCGAGAACGGGATTTACACCTCAATTATTGCATCTCTTGTCTGGTTACTCATAAGAGTGGCCAGGCCCCGCGGATACTTCCTCGGAAAGGTCACACTTACATTGAACAGCAATCAGGAGACTTCTCGCGAGGTCTATGTACCATTAAACTCCGAGGATGGAAAGGAGTCTAAACCTGGCGACATAATCGTGCGGCCGCCAGAGCCTGGTGTAATAGTCTATAGATATGAAGAGAGCGTGCTCTACCCTAACTGCTCGCTTCTAAACGAGGCACTTATCGATTATGTCAAGGAGCATACACGGCGAGGAAAGGATATGAGTGGTGTTAGCCTTAGTGATCGTCCATGGAACGACCCAGGTCCGAGGCGTGGACACGAAGCGGAAGAGTTAGCTCGGGATTCCGGCAAGCCGTTGCTTAAAGCTATCGTACTTGACTTCTCCTCTATGTGAGTTGCCTGCGATGTCCTTGGAATTGGGCAAGGCACATGAGCTGATCTCAGTTTAAACGCAGATCACATATTGATACGACTGGCGTTCAAGCCCTTGTCGACACTCGGACGGAAGTGGAGCGATGGGCGGATCGGAAAGTCGAGGTACGTTGATCCTTACCCTGATTGGTGCAGCACGAAGCTCAAACAAAATAACATCAGTTTCACTTTGCGAACGTCCTCTCTCGTTGGATACGGCGTGGTCTGGTCGCCGGAGGTTTTGGAATCGGAAGACCTTCTGCAATACTACCATCTGAAGTTGCTCCTGTTGTGTCCTTCGACAACTTACCGCGGAATGACGTCGACGATTTGAGAACAGACGATGTCGAGAAGGTTTCCAGGCGCCGAGTATCCAAGTCTTCCGCAGGAGGAACGTCATCACCTAATGAGGATTTCGGTCAGCCAGGCTCGCTCGTGTTCGCTGAGACGCCTTTCTTCCACTTTGATCTACCGTCTGCGGTGAAAGCTGCTGAGCTCGGTGCGCGTGCGAATACGGAGTCAGTTCGTTCTTCAGAGGATGCCGCCTCCGCCAGTAAACGATGAATATTCTGTCATGATCTGTTGGCTGCCTTTCCCGTGCTCTGGAATTTTGGATGGATTTATCAAGTGTTATCTTTCTGGATAAGTTAGACTCGCGTTCCCACACATAGTCTAGACGTCGTGTAATAATGATGAAGGATTTAATAAATTTTAGCCGTTTTCAAATTGTAGAAATTACAGCGACTATTTCGTTTTGTGAAAATAACGATAATTTTTCCGGGGCTGGGTGAACGGAACATTACGAAGCGAACGATGAACAGATTGAAAATGAAAATTGTGCAGATCGCTGGTCGCGTAAACGCGTGAATTTCATTTCTACACATGCTTTCTACCTTCAGGACCCTTCCTCGTCGTTCTCCCAGTCTTACGCGATGTTTTACACAGACTCACATCTGTGCTTCGGGACACAACAAATGGTCTAAAATCAAGGACAAGAAGGGTGCCGCAGATGTGAAAAAATCTAATGTATACGCAAGGACGGGTCGAGTACGTTTTACCGGCTTTTGGCACTCAAAATACGAATGAATGCTTACACTTCGTTACAGGATGTTATAGTTGCTATTAGAAGTGAGAATGACTGTCAATGTGCATTAGAAAGAGGCTTATAGTGCAAATAGCTGGAGGTTCTGCAGATCCTACCGTAAACCACGCACTAGGTTGGTCGTCTTGTTCTGCACTTGGGAGCTTAGCATCTTATACAGATTAAATTCTAGCAAATGTCTTAAAAGCCGCAAGAGCCGCGGGTGTTCCAAAGGATAACGTTGAAAAGGCTATAGCACGAGTACGTGTCTTGTATTCTTGCATGTCATACGCTAATAATAGTAAATTAAGGCGACGGGGGAGGCAGGAAAAGAAGCTAGTGTGCATGTTGTGCACGAGGCAATGGTTTCTGGAAGTGTTGCCGTTGTAATGTACATCTGTTCTATGTCCATCTTATAACCCACTTATTTATCAGTTTCCAGAGAATCTATGACTGATAATGGAACGCGGACAGTTCACCGACTACGCGAAATATTAAATGATTACGGGTGAGTATTTTCGTCCTATGTTGGATACTACCAGTTTAAATTCGAGTATCCCAGCGGACGCTTTGCCCCTGTCATGTTTATGTTCGATAAAGTCGGGCGTGTGCAAGTTAAGGTACCTGAGACCGATGATCGTGACTCTCAGATAGAAGCTATATTGGAAGCTGCTAGCTCCGCCGGCGGAGAGGACTTTGAGGTCCTTGAAGATTCAAGTATCGTGGAGGTGCGTCGCTCTATCCCAGCAGACAGACGGAGATTTACTCAATCCCCACTGATACTTTCTTGAAAAAAGTATTTCTGTCCTCCGGAATCATTAGAAGCGATGACCAAAGCCATCTCGGTAGTATCGGGGGGTGAGGCTGTGGTTTCCAGCGAATATATCTACCGAGCGAAGGATGCGCCAGGAGAAATCGATGACAGTCTAGAGGAAAATGTCATTGAACTGAAGAACGCGCTGCTCGAAAGACACGGCGATTGCGTGCGCGTCTGGAGTTAGTGCAGTTTACATATTTGTCTTTATGGTTTCTGATTCTGATGCATGACTTGTACTTTTATTGTCTCAGCCACGATCGACCGTAGAATCCAAACAGGGGACGGGGAATAGGAGACAGGAGTCGTTCGTTTGTAGTAGAATAGATAATAAATAATTCCGTAATATCTTCGCCTTCTGTAATGATTGATGGAGGCCACACGTGCCCCGTGCTGAGTTCAAATGCGAAATGCTTGCTGTCTGCCTCGTTGGCCATGATCTAATCCTCCTCACCTCCCGCCCGTGCCCCTCTCGCGTCCTTCACCTTCTCGCCACGACACCCAACACGTCCAGTGCGCAGTGCGCCTCTTCTTCCCATCCTTCCGTTCACGAAGCTCCATTTCCATCAATCATCACTCGCTTCCCTTCCGTTTTCCCAGTCCCATGTCCTACCCAGTCAAGTCTGTCCCCCTCGTTGCGCCAGGGCATACCCGGCCCGTCACTCACCTATCATTCTCCGTCTTGGAAGACGACGGCACGTATCTGCTTGCCTCGAGCTGTAAAGATGGCAATCCTATGATAAGAGATTGGAAGGGTGACTGGATTGGCACGTTCATCGGGCATAAGGGTGCTGTCTGGTCCACAAAATTGTCACTGGACTGTTCAAGAGCAGCTACTGGCAGTGCTGACTTTACCGCGTATGTACTAACGTCATGATATATTGAGTGCTGTCATGGTTCTGGTTCTGACTGTTGTTTGATTCGCGTGTGTAGTAAAATATGGGATGCATATTCCGGCAACGCATTGCATTCTTTTCCTCACAATCATATTGTCCGCAGTGTAGCACTTTCACCATCAGCAGAGAATCTCTTAACCGGCGGTCAGGAGAAGAAAGCTCGAATCTTTGACTTGCAACGACCAGATGCTGCACCAGATTTCTTAGGAGGTGACGCGAACGCGCCCTGTCATGATGGGACAATAAAAAGTGTGGTATGGACAGGCGAAAACATCGGTGTAACGGCTGGCGAGGATGGTTTCATAAAGTAAACTTTTCTTCTGTATGCCTCGTCGTGGTGATTCTTACACGTGTAAATAGATGGTGGGATTTCCGGACCCGGCAAACTATCACTAGTGTCAAGTTCCAGGATCCTATTACCTCAATGGAGCATTCTGTCCAAACGCAACGCATTGTACTGACATCAGGAAGGACGGTAGCATTTATCCCTGCCCTTCCTGCACAGGCAACAACGCACAGTCTTGAATTGCCGTATTCACCTTCGTCTGCATCACTGCATCCAATATTGCAAGATCGATTTGTAACCGGGAATCTAGGTGACCAATGGGTACGTATCCATGGAGCAGTGGATGGCGAGGAGCGAGAAATCTTAAAGGGCCATCATGGTCCTGTGCACTGTATCGAGTATAGCCCGGATGGAGAGATGTTTGCTAGTGGTAGCGGTGAGTCTGAGACTTGTTACACAGTTATCACAATTTGTTGATTAGTACCGTTCTACTTGACTCGTGCGTCTCGGCCTGCCGTGCATCCGTCACCTTAGAGGATGGTAAGTGCTGGCAGCGACCCGTTCCATATATTGAACCAGTGCTGATTTAATGATGATGATTGTAGGTACTATTCGGTTGTGGCAAACGACACCGGGCAAGACGTATGGCTTATGGCAGGGCACAACTAACGGAAACGGAACACTGCACTAATATGAATTACTAATTTCTAATGACTTGTTCACGCATTGTTACATGTAATGGTGTCGGGGCCGACTTGCTAAGTGGGACGGGGACGGGTATGAGGTGTGGTGTGCAGTGTTTGATTGATATCTGGAGAGGGTTGTGGGAAGTATGGTGCATATATGTGTACTATATTCTGTGACGGTCACTGTTTTGCTGGCTAGAAAAAATGGTGGATTTATGAGCATTAACGATATATGATATAATATTAATAATTGGAGCGAATTGAGCAGCGTCGGAACAACACGCACCGCACATGACGTCCACCAGTGACTATTTCCGGACACACGCGCATACGCCGAGTCCGACTCTGACTACAGTCTATCCTAGTACTCTAACCTCTTGCTGATTACCACCACCACCACCACCTTCTCTCATTATAGCATCTAATGCATTTTCACAATTCACAGCCCACACCACCGCCGTCGGACGGCTCAGACACCTCTGATCAGCCAACACAAGTATTTCACCCGTCCTTTGTGCCCAAACCGAGTGGAATACTGGGATCTGCGGCGAGTGGGGCTCATTACTCTGGTGCCAAGGTACATCATAGACGATCAGACGTCCAACGGGCTAGCGGTTCGCGAGATCCGTCTGAACTTACGGAGTCCCATCAGCGGATAATCAGCGACTTGAGTGAGGTGAGCTTTGTCTCAAACACACTGGCCCCCTGAATGAAGACCACGGTTACTGAATGTGTGTATGCGTGTGCGTATAGCTTTACTGTTGTCGACCGACTGCGGAGATCTTTCGTAGGAGCTTCAGGGAAGATGCAGAGTTTGAGGTATGTGTGACTCAAAGTTCCGTATTCCGGACCTTTGCACTAAAATAATTGGCAATGTACAGGACCCGTTAACGTATAGCAAGGGTGTCCAGGAGATTGCGTCACAGGTGCGTAGTGCATTCAAACCGCCACGCACGTTCAACCTAGACTCATTCTCATACCTTGTTTCTCGTAGTGGTATGCACTGGTAGGCTCACGCTCAAGCAAATATCAGCACAAATGTCTCATCCCAATTTCGTAATTCTTCCCAGCCAAAGATATTCGCAAAATCGGAGACACGAGCAAGTCGGGTCCTCTCCTCCACACTGCATCCAAATCGCATCGTCTACTCGCAGACACAGCAATACACGGTGCGATTCTTGGGGACTAAACATGTTTGTCTTCATTTGTTCAATTGCCGACCTCCGTGATCGGGAGTCACTAAACTATTATTATGATTTAGACTGTCAAGTCCATCATAATCGTTAATTTGGATGAGGACGACAAGATTATGAGGCTTGAAGATCAATGGAATGGGGAGGAACCTCCGACGGCTTGGGGATTGGCTACGCTTCGACGATTGAACGGAAGGCTTACGCCGTGGCTTATCCGAGTTCCCAAAGACTTGCGAGAATAAGTCCAACATACGAGGTGTGTGTTCCGCCTGCAGCTACTACAACTTATGCTGACTAAATTGTAAGGTACCAGGAGAACGAGAAACGACGTCTTCATTGTAATTTGTACTTCATTTTGCATAATCTGCTTGGCCGATGGCACATTGCTTCTATAACTTTCATCTGATTTTGATTTTGTTGTTGACCCGTTCTATTCTATGGGATTTGTGTAATTCTAGTTTGTTTGTAGCCATGCATATATGATCCGTGGCACGTCCTTCTATAGGGAGAACTATGTAATTCCGTCCAGGGTGGTTTGTTTCTTTACATATATAATCGACACATGCATTTCTAGCTAGCCTGATATGTGAATAAGAAACTGGAGGATTCAAGGACACGTGTAGATTATCATCCGCTCGCTTTTTGCTACCGAAGGGTCCTCCCCATTGTGCCATCCCAGAATATTGAAATGGACTAGTGCTATTTACTATCTCTGTCTACTTATTGCTCCCATATCCTATATCAAAAAAGACAACGATAATCTTAACTGTTTACTATCACCCAGACACACTAACACACTATGTCCACTCTTCGTGCATCGAGGTCCGTAAGGCCAGCATCGACATGGCTGAGGAACCAAGCATTCGTATCTACACGCCTGACTCTACACGCTGCACGATCATTCGCGTCCACAGCATATAGTCTCGATAGTAAGAATAAGAGGGTACAATCGGTGTCGCCATTAGGCCCACTGGGTGTAGAAGCCGCGCTGAAAGCAGCAAATGACCCATCTTTCAAACCGCGTCCGACGATTCAGAAGGAATTCGACTTGACAGGACGTGTTGCAGTTGTGTCGGGTGGGAACCGCAATTTGGGGCTCGAGATGGCTGAAACGCTCGCCGAGCAAGGTGCTGCTGTTTATTGTCTCGACCTACCTACTCAACCAGGAGAAGAATGGATCGCGACGCGGGATTATGTGAAAAAGATGAATATCAAGGGTGCGAAACTCGAATATGCTAGTGTGGACGTGACGGATCAAAAGGCTGTATGGGATGCTGTTGCGAAGATTGGGGATAAGGAGAAAAGGATGGACGCGTGTGTCGCTGCTGCGGGTATCTTTCAGGAATTCGACTGCCTTGAGTACCCTGCTGAGGAGTTCCAGAAAGTTATGAACGTAAACGTGAATGGTGTTCTGTATACTGCACAAGCGGTGGGACGCCAGATGGTACGCTTTGGTACACCGGGCAGTATCATCCTTATTGCTTCTATGAGTGGGAGCATCACTAACATGGTGAGCTTTTTCTCTCGATATGCAGTGGTCCTAGTGATTTTAGAGAGAGAAAAAATGATGATTGATGAATGATAATGATGGAACTCACTCAATTAATTGTTTCATTTGTTTGTTGCACTATATGCATGTTTACTTATACACCGTTCTTGTTTCAGGGCCATGCGTGGGTAGCATACAATACGAGCAAGTCGGCGGTCATTCAGGTATGTCTGCTTTACATGAAACATCGGCGATTGAATACCTGGGTGTCAGGGATATGTGTGTGCCCTTTTGACTTACTTGACGACTTGACAGATGGGACGTAGTTTGGCCTGTGAGCTAGGCCCGAAGAAAATTAGGGTCAATACATTGTCGCCTGGACATATGTATACGAAGTATGTGATTGATTAAGTGAATGTTTGCAAGATTAATCTCGTTCTAACGTGTAAATCTCTAACAAGTTTGATGGCGGCGTACCTTGACAAGTATCCGGAACTGTTTGAAAAATGGTCGAACTTGAATCCTTTGGGTCGCTTCGGGAGACCGGATGAGTTGCGTGGAGTCGTAGCTTGGCTTGCATCGGACGCTTCTACGTTCTGTACTGGTAGCGAGTGAGTTTACCTCCTCATCTGGATGCAACATTTGGAAGATTAATCGAATTTGCAGCATACTCGTTAGTGGTGGTCACCACTCGTGGTAGAAATAAAGCTGCTTGTGCTTGCTTGTAGTTGGTAGCCCTTGCAGACTTTACGTATTCCTATTCTTGAAATCTCAGCTGGGTAATTGTATTAATATTTTATGGTCCGAATTTCGATATTTGTTTGTGTGAGAGCGAAGCGGGATCGTTAAGTGCATGATTAACGCTAATAGAGGAAGCTGCAACACAAGATGCTGCGTGAATTCAGACAAATGTCTTACTGGTCACGTGATGCAGACAGTTTCGACCGAATTGTGTTTGTCTTCGTAGTGTTGCCTAACTTAAAACTCAGAATGAGGTTTTCTTTGCCAAATTCCAAAATCATGAAAGACTCACTGGTACCGAGTTCTTTTCTGCCAGGAAGCTCAGACTACAATAAAGCACACAGACAATATCTAAGAAGCAACCGACACCGTCTTCCCGAGGACACGTCTAAATGAACTGCGTTTCGTACCTCGGAGAAGAAATGCATGACGAAGTACCCTCCTCCAGCCTATCAAGAGTGTTGGACCTTGTTTTGCTAGATGCTGAGAGGCAGACCGAGGTAGATATGGGGAAATGGAAAGGAACTACCAATGCCGTTCGGACCCGGGAGATAGAACTGAAGAAAGACCTGCCAGACAGGAGACGAAGGAAGGCATTTTGCGTGCCTCAGATTCCTGGTTGGTTGCCGTCATTTACCGAACAATGACAATTTTGACGTTACCTCAGTGGCTTCTGGCTTTAGGTTTAGTAATACTACGGGATATCTGTGCCATGAAACTCAAAGACAACTCGTTCGTTGGAGCCTTACCGAACATGCACGTCATCCAAACGAGACTAACCTTGACGCACACTCCGACTGCGTGGGGATTGACTACGCTTCGACGATTGAACGGAAAGCTCGCGCCGTGACTTCCTAAGGACTTACGAGAATAAATCTAACACATGAGATTGCTGAAGCTGGTACGATTTACTTTTGCTGACTTGACTGTAAGACACCAAGAGAACGAGAAACGACATCTTTCATTTCAATTCGTAATTTATTTTGTATGATCTGCTTGGCCGACGACGCAATGCTTCCGTTCTGTTACTTTCATCTAATTGATTTTGTTATTTACCTATTCTATTCTACGGGATCTGTGTAATTCTAGTTTGCTTGCTTGTACCCATGCGTATATGATTTGTGGCGCGGACTTCTATATGGCGTACTATGTACTTCCATCCAGGGTGGTTTGTTCTTTACATGTAATCGACAAAAAAGTAAATTTCTTGCCCGATGTATGAGAAGGTTCAAGGCCAATGGAGAATCCAGATCGGATATCATATGCCGGATCTCACCGCAGTCTAATGTTAACGAGGGACACAGTGTACATACACTTAGGCTCGATCATAATGAGGCATTAGAAGTTGGACAGCTAATGCATACATTCTATTGACTCACCGCTGAGCTTCCTTTAACCCTTGTCTGCACGATATCGATTAGGTATTACCTCACTACTTGAACCTGGTGAGGCCGCGGATCATGTCCTTTACATCTTGTCTAGTCTAGAAGCTTTCTGAGTGGGCTGTTGTACTTATGCGCGTAATTGTTTACTCACATCTTGGATAGGTGCGCAATGCAATAATAGTAATACATCCGGCTACTTTGTACTGGACGGGGGTTGTGCCGATTTCACATATGACCCCGAACGTAGGTCAGCTGGTCTAGAGTCCATGCCGCTTGGAGGAATAGGCAAGACGGTTCCTCCAGTTGGTCTGTCTCACGGGCTAGTCAATGTTATTTACTACCAGTCATATTTGTCTACTTATTGCTCCCATATCTCATATCAGCGAAGGCGACGATAAACTTAGCTGCTTACTTGACAGTGTTCTCATACTCATATCAAAGCAAAGACGACGATAGACTCGGCTGCTTACTATCACCTTGACACACTATGTCCGCTCTTCGTGCATCGAGGTTCGTAAGGCCAACGACGTCGTTGTCGTCATTGCACCTACGGAATCAGACGATCGTGTGTGGGGGCTTTGGTCTACGTGCTACACGGTCATTCGCGTCTACAGCGTGTAGACTTGACAAGAATAATAAGAGGGTGCAATCAGTGTCACCATTAGGCCCACTAGGCGTAGAAGCTGCACTAAAAGCAGCAAATGATCCATCTTTCAAGCCGCGTCCGACGATTCAGAAGGAATTCGATCTGACGGGGCGTGTTGCGGTCGTTTCGGGCGGGAACCGCGGTTTGGGACTCGAGATGGCTGAAACTCTCTGCGAACAAGGTGCAACTGTTTATTGTCTCGACTTACCTAGTCAACCAGGAAAAGAATGGAGTGCGACGCGAGATTATGTGAAAAAGATGAACGTTAAGGGTGCGAAGCTCGAATATGCTAGTGTGGACGTGACGGACCAAAAGGCTGTATGGGACGCTGTTGCGAAGATTGGTGATAAGGAGAAACGGATGGACGCGTGCGTTGCTGCTGCGGGTATCCTTCAAGGATTCGATTGCCTTGAGTACCCTGCTGAGGAGTTCCAGAAAGTTATGAATGTAAACGTGCATGGTGTTCTGTACACTGCACAAGCGGTGGGTCGTCAGATGACCCGCTTTGGTACACCGGGCAGTATCATCCTTATTGCTTCTATGAGTGGGAGCATCACTAATAGGGTGAGTTTTTTCTCTCAATGTGCAGTGGTCATAGTGGTGGTAAAAAAAATGATGATTGATGAATGATAAAATGATGAATGATAATGATGGAATTCACTCAATTAATTGTTTCGTTTATTTGTTGCTCTGTATGCATATTTACTTATACACCATTCTTGTTTCAGGACCATGCGTGGGTAGCGTACAATACGAGTAAGTCGGCGGTCATTCAGGTATGTCTGCTTTACACGAAACATCGGCGATTGAATATCGGGTCTCGAGGATGTGCCTTCTGACTTGACGACTTGACAACTCGACAGATGGGACGTAGTATGGCCTGTGAACTAGGCCCGAAGAGAATTAGGGTCAATACATTGTCGCCTGGACATATCTATACGAAGTACGGTTTTGATTAATTGTGTATTTGGAACGTTAATTTCGTTCTGACATGTAAATTTTGAACAAGTATGACAGCGGCGTACCTTGACAAGTATCCGGAATTGTTTGACAAATGGTCGAACTTGAATCCTTTGGGTCGTTTGGGGAGACCGGATGAGTTACGAGGAGTCGTAGCTTGGCTTGCATCGGATGCTTCTACGTTCTGTACTGGTAGCGAGTGAGTTTGCTTTGTCATCTGGAAGTAACGTTTGGAAACTAAATCAAACTTGCAGCATACTCGTTAGTGGTGGTCACCACTCGTGGTAGAAATAAAGCTGCTTGTGCTTGCTTGTAGTTGTAGCCCTTGCAGACTTTACGTTTTCCTATCTTGAGGTCTCTGCTGGGTAATTGTATTAATATTGTATGGTTCTGATTTCGATACCTTTTCTCGAGAGAGTGAAGCGGGATCGTTAAATACATGATTGGCGCAAAAAAAAACCAGTTCACTTGGGTGAATATGAAAACATCCTCCCTTAGTCACGTGACACATACAATTTCGACTCAGTGTCACCCACCGAATCATTGCATTTGTCTTCATACTGTAACTTAGAGTACGAGTGGAAACTGGCCAGTTTGCCACATTGAGGTTATCCACGTGGGTTACCCATGAGGATAACCACGAGGGGAACTGAAACAGGAAAAATACCGTGTGGTGAACTGTATTAAGTAACATATAAGTTGTACAAAAAAAGAAAAACAAGGGAATAAAGTATACAATTATGTTTGTACAAGTCCTCTCCTCTAGAGAGGTTGAAATACAACATCTACTGTTTGTTAACCCTACCAAATTCTTGCATTTTCTGAGAAAATTTACTATTTTAGGTATATTACGTAATACATTTAACTGTAATTGACAACGTTGGAAACTGCCCTGCTAGTTTTCCACATGTGGTTATCCACGTGTGGGAAACCCTTAAAACAGTTTCCACTCGTACTCTAAGTATTATTACTGTTGCCTAACATATAACTCGGAGCGAAGCTTTCTTCGCCAAATTCCAAATCATGGAGGAGTCACTGGGGCCGGGTTCTCTTCTTCCAGGAAGCCCAGACTACAATAAGGCACGCAAGCAATACCTAAGAAGCAATCGACACCGTCCTCCCGAGGACACGTCTAAATGGACTGCCTTTCGTACCTCGGAGAAGAAATTTATGACGAGGTACCCCTCTCCAGACCTTTCAGAAGTGCTGGACCTTGCTTTGCTAGATGCTGAGAGGCAGACTGAGGTAGATATGGGGAAATGGAAAGGAGCTACCGATGCCGTTCGGACCCGGGAGATAGAACTGAAGAAAGACGTGCCAGACAGGAGACGAAGGAGGGCATTTTGCGTGCCTCAGATTCCTGGTTGGTTGCCGTCATTTACCGAACAATGACAATTTTGACGTTACCTCAATGGCTTCTGGCTTTAGGTTTAGTAATACTACCTGGTTATCTGTGCCATGAAACTCAAAGACAACTCGTTCGCTGGAGTCTTACCGAACATGCACGTCATCCAAACGAGACTAACCTCGACGCACACTACGATATCCCGAAAGAAGGGCTCTGGGATGTACACGTTCGATCAGACAAGCGAGTCATCCCGCTGCGGAGAAATGATTCGACCATTTTTGCAAATTCACCAGCTAAGGATCAACAGCAACGCGAGTCTTTGTCTCAGACGAATTTGCCACCTAAATTGTCACCAAGGTCGGGCTTAGCCACGACGTCCGAGCTTATCACGAAACTTAGATGGGCAAATATTGGATGGTTTTACAATTGGGGGTCAAAAAAGTATGAATTCAATAGAGGAAAAATAGAAGTCGGAGAACCCGTAAGGTCAATCTGTAAAGAAGTTGTTAGATCAATTGACTGGACAAATGTGTTTGTCGGAGCCTCTTCTTCTTCTGAAGAGCAATCTAGGTGGAGTGAAACTGGTCCAGACTGGGAGAGCTGGGACATGACTTATGGTACGAAACCCAATACTTGACATCGGACAAATAGCATAGTCTGATGCGACCATCTTCATGCAGAGCCCGACGCTGGTATCGTCAATTTTTACCAGTACAAGGTAAAACAAAATCACGAGCTTTCCATACTTGCTCCATGATAACAAGTTAGCAATGCGCATTTTATAGGATACGTTGATGGGACATGTTGATCGGGCAGAAGTCTGTGCCACCTCGCCTCTCGTCTCCTTGTCGTACGTCATTCTTTGACACACCGATATCTCCACCTATCATTTCACGGAATTTTGTAGCTTGGGAAACGCAGCTGTGTTCTTGATCGGTGGTCCCACTAGGGACCAAGAACCGGTGGCGATTCTGCTGAGATCCGGGGATGCCATTGTGATGGCTGGTCCGGCTTGCAGAAGAGTCTACCACGGTAAGCTACCTAGAGGTAAAACTTAATGATTAAAAAAATTGACTGTACATCCTAAAGGCGTCCCCAGGGTTCTCGAAGGGACGTTACCTGAGCGTCTTGACATACGATCATGTCCAGGTTCTGACTGGGCGATCTACAGTCGTTACCTTCAAAGCACGCGTATCAACGTGAACGTGAGGCAGGTGTTTCCCAAGGGCTTTGACCCGTCGCAATAGGCATAGAATGTCACTAGCACACGCATACTCGTCAAGGCCTGCTTAAATTTTCATCATTGTGATGGGGACAACAATGATGCCATCGTGAACTATCAGAGAGCAGTGTTTGTGAATTGATGCAAATGTATGTGGTTTACACTGTGTCAATTGTAAACGGGCGCGGGGTTATTAGCGCAAAAAGGCAAATCGTTGACTGTAAAGGCTTGGTCCTTACATGCCGAATTGCCCAAAATTATGTGTGAATATTGATTAATCATCCTTGTGGAGTTCCTCTAAAGCTTTTTTTCTCCGTTCCTGACGAATTTTCGACTCTTCGGCATTCCGTCTTGTCCGTTCAAAACGCTACAGAGCATCAGAAAAATGTCAGCAGAATGCCTGAAACGAAAACATTAAATTTAACATTTACCTCCTTCCGCAGACACATATTCAACTCATTTTTAATGTCGTTACACCCTCCGAAGTATTTTGCCCAGAATTTACCGTGGCATTGTTCCAGAGCCTCGATAAGACCCTTACAAACTGATAGAGCGTCAGATTAAGTTTGAAGTCCAGACGTGAAACATGTACCAATAGTCTTGTCTGTGAGTTGTTGGTGCATCTCACGTTGCTGTTCTGTGTTCACAGGCCAGCGTCGAGGTGGTAGACCACAGTGACCACAGTGTCACCACACGGAGACGAAGTTCGCATGATTATCACGTAAGCCGTCACTCACGAAGATGAAACGTGACCTAACGCGCCTAGTACCATATCCTTATTATCCTAGCGCCCACAACTACACAGCTCCTGGCTCGTTGCTGCTTTTCTTACTCAGATATCACCGCCGCTTTTTCTCTCTGGGCCGAAATCACCTGCGAAGCTCTTCGGGCGTCTTTAAGATCGTCAAACAGTGTGGCTTGGCTTCTTGATTCAATGGAGACACAATAAACACTAATTGACTATTTATCGAAATGACTCTACTTGAGGCATTGCTTTCGGATCAAGTTACTTGCGAGTTTGTCCTTGCATAGTGTCCTCGGAGCATCCTCTGAAACGTCCAACGTGTTTTCTGAGTCGAGCTCTTTTGGCCTTGTTTACTTGTTTGGCCATCAGCCTAATAATCATAATGTCGGCGAGTCGGAGAGCGACTCTCCAACTACACCCCTGAACCACAAGTGGAGAAGGCGGAAGTTTACTTCCGTTCTATTGGTTTGAAAGATTGACTCACAGTTATGGGTATCGCCTACTTGTAGTCGGTAGAGGCTGAACGCAACAGGATTGAAATGGATATTCTCAGTGATTCTCAAGCAAAAACATAGCAACTGCATGGCCGGTCAACTCGATCAGGTCGGAGTACTCTGTGATCATATTCGTCGACGAAACGAAGCAATGTTGCGCTGGTAGGTCGCTTGGCACCCTGCAACTGCGCTTAATTGAGTTATCGCCTTGTCCGCTGTCGACGGACAGGCCATAGGTCCCTATCCTCACAGTGGACAAAGTGTGGTGCCCACACGGCATGTGCTGCACCCGTACCGGGCCATAGAAACGAACTCCTGTAAAAGGGAATTCCCGACACGGCTTCTCGGAACGGGGATCTCGATGGAACCCTGCCTCTTCTGTTGTCCTTGACGCGCGGCTGGTGGCGGACTGTTTCGATGTCGTTCTTCACTGGAAAGTACGCGCTATGGATACCGCCTCAACTCAGATGTGATAGGATCTCGGTGTTACCAGGTTTTGGCTCCCCTCTGTTATTGATACTGCCTTTTCGTTGTTTGTCTCAGGCGATACCCTACTCAGACAATTTCCGAACTGTACTTTGAGTATAAAGCGGATCCCTCCATGGCTTTGACTTCATAGCAAACACACAACAATTCTTCAGTGTAAAGTCCTCCTATCCTGCAACTTTCAGAAATGTCGGGTCCCACAACCTATGTACACCTGAACCCTGACATGATTGCACAGAGGGGTGGTATTGCCTCTCGCAACCGAGCCTGTCAAAATTGCAAGGATAAAAAGCTACGAGTATGTAATTATCTTTGGCTATGGATCACCATTGGGTTGACCTATTTGTCTGCTTTTCTAGTGCGACAAAGACGAGAGAGGCGGATCGTGCTCAAACTGTGTCAAGAAAGGGCTGCCGTGCAGTAATGCTTGAGTGAGTTGACTACCTTGCAAGCTATTCCCCCGAATAACGGCGCAAATTATTTTAGGCATGCGAGCACTCTCTGAGCGATTTCTACATTTTGATGTGGTGTGCGGATTATTTGAAGACCGATGCATCATGCGAGCACAGTCAATTTGAGGCAATGTGTTCTCACCAGTTTACTCTTTGATATTGCAACCTATGCATTCTATGTTTGATAATGTGATAATTGTCCAGTTTTCCTTCACACTGTCCCGTTTGAATGTGCATTGACGAACAGTTGGCAAGTAGTTTGCGTATTATTTGAATAATAGGTCACGAAGGTAGCCTAATCTATGACGTGATCATATTGACCGAATTTATCGCTTCCTCTGGACCTGAACGTTGTCCCACTTTGCCCTCTCCATATCCTCCTTCCACACTTCCTCGACATGAGGCCGCAGGTACCGCACGTCCTGGTATTAATAGACTTCCTCAGCCTCTGACCTACAGAAAACCAGTAGAAACGTACCTCCTCAGGTTTTATCCAGTGTTCCTTCGACAAATTCCTATGGAGCACGCTAGCTTGGGAAGCAACACGGAAACGGTGGTTGCGGTCATAAGCCTCCCGTTCTGACAAACGACCAAGAGCCTGCAGCAAATGTCAATTCTGGATAGCGGTGTCACAATGAGTTGCCCACCTTTTGGACGTCATCGCGTTCCTCGAGAACTGTAAGGACGAAGCCAGTTGAGCATCATGGAGTGTTGCGTGGAGATGGCACACTTACGCAAGTCGTCATACTTCAGGCCAATCTGTCTGTAGCCAGCGATTTGTGCATACCAGTCCGCGAAAGGCTTGAACCAGCGATAAAGGGTGCGAGACTTTTGAATTTGAGGCGCGAACGATATCCCCAATGGACTGAAAATTGCCATTTTTTGCGGGTCGAATGAGTTGTAAAGACGAGACTGCTGAGTTGAGTGCAGACAAATGGGTGAAGTCGGATTGGGAGTTTGGGACTGTTTGGCAGGCGATTATATAATTTTTATTTACATAAACAAGCAACTGACTGCCACGCGAGGTCAAAGCAACCCTGATAAAAATCAGCCATCCTGTTTTCAGTGCTGCAATTCTTCCTTCTCCTATCTTCACTCTTCATCTCACTCTGCAATCCTTCTTACACCATGTCCAAAAGCGAACAGACTTTCATCATGGTCAAGGTAATGCTTTGATCTCGCATCTGCCTTCTGAAGCAGCTGTTGACACGCATATATACTTGTAGCCCGACGGTGTCCAACGTAACCTAGTTGGCCCAATCATCTCGCGTTTTGAGCAACGCGGTTTCAAGCTTGTCGCAATGAAGATGGTCCACGCAACGCCTGAGCACCTGGAGAAACGTAAGTTGACGTGACAAATCCCTTTATACTGAGTGGTAATTATAATCGATGAACGTAGACTACGAGGATCTTAAGGGCAAGCCCTTCTTCCCTGGTTTGATCAAGTACATGGCTGCTGGACCGGTCGTAGCCATGGTTTGGGAAGGCCTCGATGCTGTTAAGACTGGCCGTGCAATGCTCGGCGCGACAAACCCACTTGCATCTTCTCCGGGTTAGTGTTTTCACATCTCTCTCTGCCATCATGAAGGTTCTGAAAGCAAACTTAGGCACCATCCGTGGTGACTATGCTCTTGCTGTCGGCCGGAACATCTGCCATGGCTCTGATTCGGTTGAAAGCGCGAAAAAGGAGATCGCCCAGTGGGTTTTAATTTTTCATATATATGCGCTTATATGCTCACCATTAATTTGTATAGCTGGTTCCCAGACGGAATCATTCAGTACAGGCTTGTCGCTGAAGACATTATTTTTGAGTAAATGAGGGAGAAAATAGCAGCATATCTCTTTTTTGGCGTGTTACAATTCGACAGGGTTCTGAGTACGAGCTGAAGTGTCATATAGAATTTGTGCAAATAGAAAATATAATCGCATGAGTCAATCTTACCGAATTTTAGCATCAATAGCCCTTGGTATGCGTCATAAATTGGCTTTTATACTATCCGTCCTCTGAAAATATCGATATCCTTCCGAAAGGCGTCTTAATCGAGGTTTCGCGTCGATCTTCACAGCCTCAACAGTCCTCCTTGGCAAGACTCCACGACTAAATCTGGTCCAACCATCGTCTCACTGGTCATACTAGTATTCTAAAATTCCGTGAGTAGGAATTCACAGCATGGGAACTTCGAGACCTTTTTCTGCAAAGTTTCGTTGGACCGTGAGGAGACCGTGGAACCAATGTCAGTGATGGCAACATTCGCCCCGATGCATGGCGCACGCTCTCTATGCACTAAGGTCATCCCGAGCTCTGCTGCGCTTCTTTCGCACTATCAGACAAGCGCGGCACACAGCCCATATGCAAGAAAGCGTTCTCAGTTGAAACGGTGATACTCATTCTTAAGAGCCGGTCGCCATATATAAGCTACAATACTCATGTGGGCGCGCCGGCACTCGGACAACCTCATTCACAGTATGCGCCCGACCTGAGTATTGTCACCGGGACCTGTTTCTCTTTGGTCCTCTTCCTTCATGATCTTACGCTTGTCTCTTGCCTTTCTGTTTTGTCTCTCGTTTATTTTCTTGTCTTCCGCGGAAAATGTCCAGGGCGACAACTTCTGTAGCGAGTTAATGTGCGTAACTGCTTTCGTGAATTCCAGCACGATTACATGTGAGTTAGTCACTGTCACCACGAGGTATCCAGTTCTAAGGAAACTTTTTTCAGATCAATTGACTGCATTGAATCAGCTAGGATGGATGGCTGTGTACGACTGCTCCGCGAAATTTTATTCGGTATCCACTCACCTTATGGTCTCTTCAGTGGCTTTGGGATGCAGATGGCGGACGCGAAAATGGTCATCATGTGGCCCAATTTCGACGGCAGTGTGTCGCTGTCTCAAAGAACTGCTACAGGAGAAGTAGAACCTAACCCGGATCCAAATCCCCCTCGTATTGCAACTATATTCAATCCTTTGACTAATTCAAATGTGAGCAGACATTTCGGTTGAATGTCAAACTTGACCCCGTCTGACTTACTCTACCTGGGACTTGCCTCTTACTGCACAGCGCCTCGCATTCACCGTTCCTAAGGATGACACAGTTCAGCAAAATGCCATTTGGGCTCTGGGTGTTGCCAATCCTATGTCAGCTTCTGTGGATGTGACCCTGGAATTACACCTCGATTCAGGGAACTTTACATTGAACTTGTCCAATCATATCAATACGGAAGACATTCCAGCTCTGAATCCCGAATCGTCTAGTATGCTTCCTACTGACACTCCCAATTCTGGTTCTTCAGCATCGTCACCTCCCGAATCCGGCGAGGGTACCACCTCTGGCGAAGAGCCTTTCGAGACGTTCGAGAGGCTCATCATTGCTCATGCTGTCCTTTCGGCCGCGGGTTTCTTGGTGATTTTGCCAGCAGGAGCTCTCATCGCGCGCTGGGGGCGAACTTTCTCAGAGAATTGGTTTTACTATCACTGGATGACACAAGTTGTTTTCAGTATTCCGGTGGTTGTAACGGGGTGGGCGTTAGGTCCTTTGTCTGTCGCCGCTCAAGGCGGGGTTCACGCTAACGATTCCCATAAGGTATTTAAGAAATGCTTGGACCTTTCGTAGGTTTTAAGACTCACACGTTAATAATAGGTGTTAGGCATTTTGCTTTTCCCTATGTACTTGATCCAATTATGCTTCGGAACATTTATCCACTTCCGTAAACCCGCTTATCCAAAACGACACCCGCCACGACATATTGCGCATGGATTACTGGGTATGACAATTGTTGCGCTTGCATTCTACCAGGTGAGATGACATGGATCAGCACAGTTCTCATGACTAAAGCTCGTGTAGGTTAGGACAGGGTTGACGGTGGACTGGACTACAGCTACGGCCCTTCCGATCAATCTCGATATTTTCTCAAATCTCTGGATTGCATGGGTGGTAGTGAGTAGACTTTGGATTATTATGCACGAGCTGTCTGAACTCACTCCTGCCATTCTAAGTTTATTCCTGTCATATATGTCATGGGCTTTCTATTGCTCCCGCGACAAGTTAAATATGAGCGGGATCTACCGCCGCCGTATTCGCCTGGAGTGACGGTACATGAGGGAAATAACGGAGCTGGTGTTAGGCATCTCTTAGGACTTGAACCGGTGGACGATGGCACGCACGACCTTTTCTCTGAGGACGTCACACGCAATGCGGGAGAAAGAAGGAGATCGAGCAGTCCGAATTCTGGTGGGATAGAAATGCGAGAAGTTCCGAATGAACGTCGAACACCCCTTTCTCTTGCTAGTTCTCAACTAGCATCTCCTTCACCGTCAAGCAGGACAGTTTAAAGTGACCTTTATTTTATTTTGCACGTTTTCTTTCCCTTTTATCTTTTGTGTTGATTGGATCGGATTTTCTTGGCAGTTTCCGGAAATTACAATATTTCTTCCTTCACACATGTATCGAGATTCTCTTGCTTATCGTGTAGCTGTATCGCGATGACAATATTAAAATGTTTTATGTTTTCAAAAGCACATTGGGGTTCGGCTGGCTGACTGACTACGCGGGTCATCGGCATTCAGCGGCTTTCGGCGCGTGCTTATGACGCGCGTAGGCGAAAGCACAAGACTCTCATTTTCTTTCCTTTCCAGACTCTACGTGCTGCATTGAGATTACATCTAAGTCGATGCGTACTTGTCTGTTCTCTTGACCGAATGTCTGTATGGTTACCTCGGCGACCGCCGTCTGCAGCTCCCTTTTGTCTGCGGTCGCTTGGAACACACTACCGTGTTCTTCATGTGCTAGCTTTGCGTAACCAGCACCAAATTTTCGCTCAGACGGGCGCGCTTCAAGTGTACCATGTCGCTGCTCCTGCTATTAGATGGCAGAGTACGAAGGGACCGCCAAGTTCGGGACCAGGAGAAACACGCGTCGCTACAGAAGGCGCTCCAACTGCGGTAGCGTCAAAAGAGGGTGCCGTGAAGGAACCGTTGGGTACACGCATTTGGAAGAAGGTCAAACATGAGGCTGCTCACTATTGGAATGGGTCAAAGCTTCTCGTGTCAGAGGTCCGGATTTCTGCAAGGCTGCAGTGGAAAATTCTCCATGGGGAGGCATTGACAAGGCGAGAAAGACGTCAGGTACGCTACTTAACTGTGACGTTGCTGTCTAGGCATCGCTGAGCATGTTTCTCTTGATACATTTAGCTTAAAAGAACGACGACTGATCTTTTGCGCTTGATTCCTTTCTCTGTTTTTGTGATTGTACCGTTCATGGAGTTTTTACTTCCTGTCGCTCTTAAGCTTTTCCCGAATATGCTTCCTTCAACATTTGAGGATAAATTTGCTGCGGTATGTATAATGCACGATGTGGTATTTGTCAGACTTGGGATTCTCATTTCAAAATTAGGAAGAGAAGCAAAGGAAGTTACTCCGGGTCCGTTTGGAAATGGCGAAGTTCCTTCAGGAAACTGTCAGAGAATCCGGTTTGAAGGCTAATGCACATATTGTCGGAAGCGATGCGTTCAAGGAGTTTTTCCGCAAGGTGAAGGATGATCACTTGTAGTCATCGTTGGCATTGGCTGAAGGATCCTTCTAGGTCCGTGCGACAGGAGAATCCCCCTCAACTACCGATATCGTTAACGTCGCCAAACTCTTTGACGATGATCTCACTCTGGACAACCTGTCACGGCCTCAGCTTGTCTCCTTGTGCCGTTACATGGGCCTTAACGCTTTTGGCACTGATAACTTCCTCCGAGGTGCCATCAGGGCAAGACTAACACAGCTTCGTCGCGATGATCAGGCCATTGACATGGAGGGGATCGACTCTTTGTCCACAGCAGAGCTTCAGCAGGCTTGCCAATCCCGCGGTATCCGAACCATAGGTGCTTCTCCTGCACGCCTGCGGTCTGAGCTTTCCACCTGGATTAAACTTCATCTCCATAACCGTGTCTCTGGAGTCTTACTCATCCTCGGCAGGGCTTTCTATTTCGACAGAAAGCCGGGCGAGACCGAAGAAGACTTCACTATCAAGAGTCTGGAAAGTGTCCTGAGCAGTCTTCCTGATAACTTGGTGCGCGGCTTTTAAAGGGCTTTGTTCGATCGCCGGATTACTGACTGTGCCTTTAGCTCAATGAAGCCGAGCTTGAGGTGGACTCCGATAAGGCCAGCTACAAGCAGAAGCTGGAGGTTCTCCAACAGCAGGAAGAACTCATTGAGGACGAAGAGGAACAGGAGACCAAGGAGGAGGAAGCACGTCGTGCGAAGCGAGAAGCGGAGGAACGTACGAAGCGTGAAGAAGAGGTGGCTATGGCTGAATCCCTATTGCCGGAGTCTGAGGTGAGTGTCGGATGCTGTTCTCCTGCTGCACATGTTTTATTCATGTCAATATTACTTCGAAGCTTCGCGCAACCGAAGCAGCCGCTGCTGAAGGACAGGATGCACGTATGACGACGGAACAACTGGCGGAGCTTGCTGAGGCGCTTTCCGTTCTTTCTGCCAAGTCAAGTGTGCTCAAAGAACGAGATGAATTGCGCGCACTCATGGAAGAAAATAGGAGCGCCGAAGAGGTCAGTCCCCCCCCCCCCCCAAACACCCCTTTGTATTGAATGCATGCTGACTGTCCTCGCAGGACACACCGCTCGTTAAGCGTATCCGTAGTATGATCACAAAAATTGATGCGCAACTTTCGGAGTACGATGCCAAGGTCGGAAATTCATTGCAAATGATCTCTTGTGACCCGCAGGGTCGCATTTCCGTAGAGGACTTGCATAAGGCATTAAAAGTCATCAAGCACCAGCCAGACGAAGATGTCGGACACGCAGTTATTCAAAAACTTGATGTGGACAAGGATGGATATGTGGAGCTTGAGCACGTGCTCGGGCTCGTGAGGGAAGAAGGTCTCGGTATGTATCCATTCTGATTCGCGGTTCCATATTTACCCAGGAACTCAATTGAACTTTGGAATAGGAATCGTTATAGACAACGAGGCGCAGAATCTAATCGGTCAAGGCAAGGAACTTAAGGCGTCCAAGCCTAGGAAAGAGGATATCGTACAAGAGTAGCATTATAGAGTTTTTCTTCCGTACGTTAAAGCCCGAATAAATTAATTTGCATCCCGAAGCGGCCCGCCTACATTCCCCGTGATATCGCGAATTTCTACGATTGCAACGAAGGTACGACCTGCCTCAAATACTCACAAGTTCTAATCTTGGTCCAATTATCAGTGCTCATGTGAGCACTGATATAGATGCAATCGTATTCAATGTGCACTTCTTTCGGCATCCATAGTATTCCGCATGCTATTTCGATCACCCCAGTGCGACTTCCGTACCATCTGGTCCTCCCTCGTTGGTGAATCTAGTCGTTTCCGAATCTAAGCGTGTAGCCAAAGGAACTAAATTGCGGCGTCCCGTGGGGTCCTGACATCCCAGAGCGGCTGAGCTAGTGGAAATGCAGCAAGGGGTCACGGATGTACGAGCGATCTTTGAACGGCATCCATACCTAAAAGTTCGCACAGAAATTCCCAAGTTGGTTGAAAAATCAGTCATTCGTCTCAATTATTCTGAGGCTTAAAGTGGAGGCCCACGGAAGGCCGTCGCTCCCCCATACCTACCTCCCCGCGGTGTTTAAGTCCAATCCTCCTACCTTGTCCCCGCGCCCCGCAGCTCACTCCGCACTCAAGTCTCTCGGCAGCCCGCTCTTCGGCTTTTCTTCGACTCAAACCCAAGGAAGAACACCGACGCATGAAAGAGAAGACAATGTCCGACACGAAGCACGGCGATTTTGAGCACATCTCGCACGGGAATCAGTTGCCGAGGCAGCTGACGACTGTTACGCTTACGGCTGAGCAGTTCGAAAGCCTGTACCTTCAACCACGCAACAGCGCAGGAACTAAGAATGCGCTCGTGGGCAAGGTAGGAAATCCGACACCCTTGTAAGTGTCCAATAACCTGCACCTGCATAGAAGAAGCGTCAGATGATTAAAGATATCTGAAAGGGGTGTCTCTGCTTTCTTACTTGCGCATATGCCGTTGTCAATGGACCTTTTGAACTTCCAAGGAGCAACCGCTGCTTCTAGCGTGGCGATGCTTGGTGTATGTACCGATGCTTAAACCTAGGCTGTGAGCTTAATGATAATGGATTTCATAAAATAGTCATTTTACGCTTGCGCGGGGATAGGACTTTACCTTGCTTGCATAATGGAATGGCTGATCGGGAACACCTTCCCGTGTGTCGTCTTTGGTACCTTTGGTGAGTTCTTTAGAGAGTTTAATACTCTATATGACGTGAATCTGAGCCTGATCGCCTTCTGTAGGCGGCTTCTGGATTTCATATGCCATCAATGTTCAGCCCACACTCCAGCTCGCGGCAAGCTTTGCGCCTGCCTCAGACGTGTCAAACGGCATAACCGCGGCTGCAGCCGGCGCAGCGACTCCTCAGTATAATGCTGGTCTAGGATTATATTTCACAGTGTGGGGGATTATGTGCGCGATTTATTTCCTTGCATCGCTGCGAACGTAAGTTGGCATCACTCTTGCAAGAGCATTAGTTCCCAAGATCTGAATATTTTTAACCTTTTTAGGAATGTTCCATTTGCCGTGATATTCGCAAGTGAGTCATGAAAACGTAATATCGAGAAGCTGTTGGGATACGAATGAACTTATCCACGCACCTTGCACCGTTTAGGCCTTGTATTTGCGTTCGAGTTAATAGCTGCGGCATACTGTAAGAGGATTCTATTTTCGACGTATACAGTGGAATCTCATTCGCTGACGTGACACAATGCAGTCCACACTGGTCAGGGTCGCCTCGAGCTCGCTGCGCGTGAGTTCAAAGTGGGTGGAGCCTTTGCCTTTATTGTATCATTGGTGGGTTATGCGATGCGTAGTTGCTTTGCTGTGACTTGACTTGACTGGCATTTGACTAGTGCGGTATCTGGATCGATGTATCCCTTCTGTGCGCAGCTGTGGGAATGCCCTTCCGAATCCCGCTGATCGACTTATCGAATCTGGGCCATCGCAACAAGTCGGTTGAAAATGGAGAGGTGTAGACGGCGTGCGCCAGCAATCAATCTTGTGGGTGTCTACGGTTGACACACAAGAAGTGAATGCTGGGTCTCGAAAGAGGGGCACGTGTCAAGCCTCTAGGTGATCTCGGAGATGACGGGGGGCGCTTATGCGAGCGAGTGTACTTCTATGGCAAGCCGATCATTTTCCTTTTGTTAGCTATCTGGTACATACTTTGGGTTGTATGCACTTTCAAAAAAATAAAACTTGACAGTGAGGAGTGAAATTTAGTATTCTATATCTAATCCATCGAAGGGGAGAGCAATCGCCTGAAGAACATAATTACCTATGAAAATTTTCAGTGACTCTTTGCACTGAGACTCGATCGAGGGAAATGAATGCAGTTTAATGAGCGTTACTAGTGTCGGCGGCGATCCGTCACGTCACGCGGCCGTTCCGCAGCACCCACAGGACGAGTACTGTGCACCGGTCGCATAGAGTTCCCTCTTTCTTTCTTTCTTCATCTCATCCCCCATCCCGCTGCGCTCGCAGTCCGCGTACACAATGGCAGACAGCACCCAGCCTACAAAGTCTCGCAAGGGGAAGGAGCGCGAACCTGCTCAACCAGACCTCTTCGACAGGCTCATTGCAATCCAGCGGAGTAAGGCAGCGTGAGCTATATTTCCTACGTATTTAGTCACGAACCCTACTAACCTCGTTCCTCGCGCAGCGCGAGCCGTCCAAAAGACAAGCCAGATCGCCCTCCAGTTCGACCTCCCTCACCACCGATGCCTTCCTCTCCCACAAGGAGACCTCAACAACCTGCTCCTCAAGTAGTTGTTTCGCGCTCGGACCTGCAGGACACAGCAGATGACTTCCAACGAAGGAGAAGGCAAGCTGCAGCTTCGCCGAGGGCCCATCACTCTTCAAGAGCGCAGCCTAAGCTGTATAACCCCGACACTGACCCATTTCCAATCCGTCGAACTGCCGAACCAGAGGTCATTTCGGATACGACCAGTAGCGCATATGCTCCCAAGAATGCAATGGCTTCTGTAGAGAGAGGTGCACACCACGGCCGCCTGTTTGATTATCGTAAGGACGATCCCGTCCGGTTTCATGCGCTCAGGTCCGCTCCTGCGAACGGAAATAAACCAACTCCCACACCCAAGTCGTCGGGAGACTACGTTTCGGCTTCCTCCACGTCTTCATATGCGCACTCAATTACCTCTTCGAGTTTCACCCTCAACTCCACCACCGATGGTTCTTCGGCATCTTCTGCACTCTTCGATGAGCAACCTCGAGAACACGCAAGCTCTAGCGCCTTTGCGCAGCAGTTGAAGAAGCTGTACAGGGGCATCTCAAATCTGGAATCTCGCTTGCTTAGAGAAGATGCTAAGGACGCTGCGGACGAGGCTCGGATAACGCTCAAACGTCCAAATGAAGCAATTGAAGAGCCCGAGGAAGCAGAGAAGGAAAAATGGCGCAAGTTTGTTGCGGATTACAAGGAGTACGTTATGAATATTCCCATTTCTACTTGCGGACTTTCTGACCTCTTTTGGCTTTTGCTTAAGACTCGCTGAATCAATGCACAATCTTCTTGTTCTTACTCTTGGACCGCAAGTTCCAGCGTCCCTCAGGAATATACCAACGAAATATAACATCATCATTCGTTTATGGACCCATGCATTCAACCGACCACTCGAAACTCTCCGCCGTGCATCGTTTCATTCCGCCATCGCCCTCGAACATCTACAGGAATTCATCATATATGCATACACATTCTACTCTATGCTTCTAGAGGAGCAGACGCTTGAAAGCTTCAAATCTGGGTGGCTTGAAGCTTTGGGTGATCTCGCGCGATACCGCATGGCCATTGCTGCGATGACGACACCCTCTACTGCGCTCACCGGCTCGAGCGAGTTTGTGCCGGTGAATCAGCAAATGTTGGCTGCCCAGACTCAGCCGGATGAGTCGATAGCGCGTATCGATGACTCGCCAGGCCCAAGCGTAGGCGTTGCTGCGGCACGGGCGCTCGAACTTGAACCCGAGAAAGAACGGTGGCGCTCAATCGCGCGTGACTGGTACGCTGCGGGCCTGGCTGATATGCCAGGGACAGGTAAACTACATCATCACCTTGGACTATTAAGCCGGGATGTCGAAACGGAGGAGCTGCGGGCAGTATATCACTTTTGCAAGAGGTATGTTTAGTCCATTAACTCATTTGAACCAATTCTAAATATGCATTATTCAAGTATGACTACCCTCCACCCGTTCCCGACATCCCGAGAATCAGTTCTGCAACTCTGGTCAGTTGCTGCGCAGACGAAGCGATCAATGCCGGATTCCTCTGTAGAAGACCTTTTTGTGCTTTTGCACGGCATGCTCTTTACCAATGTGCAATTGGACGATTTCCCGCCAACTCTGGCCCGCTTCATGGAGCGGCTCCAGATAGAGGGTGCAGAAGAACGGGTCTGGATTATGATGGCAGTCATCAATATCTCGGCCCTGCTCGAGTATGGAAAACCGACTGGCGTGCTCCGAAGCACTGGAGGCATTGGAAGTGGGGCCTCGGGTAGCAAGGATATGTCTTCCGCCGCACAAGCTGCAGCTGCGAGTGCGAAGGTCAACATGCTGGTAAAGAAGGTTGATGAAATGGAGGTCGATGACGGTGAAAACGGTGGTGCTTCTCCCGTGATGCGCGAAGATATCAACGTGAAGAGCAATGGTGTTCTCAATGTATCTCCGATGCTAGTCAATACCCAAGCAGTTTCCTCGGAACAGAATGAGGTCCCTCTGGCATTTAAATATGCCTTGCAGCTCACCTTCGAGATGTTTGCCTTCACGCTTCGACATCCTACTCGTAAAGCGACGCCGTTTTCCCGACCCTCTTTAAACCCCTACAACACGGTGATCCTCACGTTCCTTGCGACAGTTATGAAGCATCCTGCCGTCCAAAGAGCACTGGAACGCGCTATTCCATGGCAAGAACTTGCCGCTTTCTTCAGTAGGATCCCTCCGAGTGACGTCCCTCAGATTGAGAGCGGTGTCCGATTGACCAGCGGATGCACACCACTCCCAGAAGACTGGTGTCTTCGGGGAATGGAGTGGGGCGGACGCCGTGTTTATGAACGAGGATTCTGGAAGGGTGGCGAAGATCGGCATATGGAACTCGAGATTCTCGACACGCGCGAGGACAAAGAAGGCCTTACGGATGGTGTTATCGAAAGCGATGATGAGACAGAAAAATCGACAAAACAGGGAGGCAAGAGTACGCGTTGGGTGAGAATTGCTCGTGCAGCTGGTATCTTTACGAAGATTGTTCCCGGTTTCAGCTGGAACGCAGTGACGCGTGCTTTCGGGGTCTCTGGAGTTTTGGATGAGAAAGTGATGAGATGGATCGAAGAAGACAGACTTGAACGCGAGGAAGAGGAACGAAGACGGAGTAGGCGTCCATGGACATCTGATGAAATGGATGTCGACGAGGATAATGGCGCATTTGCTGACGATGTTTCGGACGATGACAGCGAGAGCTCGAGTGACAGCGAAGAAAGCGAGGAAGTGAAAGTTCTTAAGGTCAGTTGAGACTTACTTTCATCAGCATTGTTACTTATAAGATTACTTTCATAAACAGGCAAGACGCCGTGAGCTTCTCCGAATGCTTCGAACGACGAAAGACATTGCAAGATCGCGCGCCCGACCTCGACGACCTCGACCCCGTACATCGCAACGACGCGCACTGCGAGTCGTGCCTGGGTATACTGTACTTGTCATTGACACGAACTTCCTTTTGTCCTCCCTATCCATGTTTGCCACCCTTGTTGACTCCATGAAGTGGACCATCCTTGTTCCTCTTGCAGTCATCACGGAGTTAGATGGCATTGCGACGAACCCATCAACTCTTGGCGAAGCCGCCACTGCTGCGATCTCATACATTACTTCGCATATCCGTACACACTCACGTTCGTTGAAAGTCCAGACGTCGAAAGGGAATTACTTGCAAAATCTGAACGTTCGCAGCGAACAAATTGACTTCGTGTCGGACTCATGGGAACGGAGTATGGATGACCTGATTCTCCGCGCGACAGTTTGGCAAGATGACCATTGGGTTGATCGATCTGCCATCTTGGAATCCCCCAACCGCGATACTTCTGGTGCTGCTAAAGTCGTCCTCATTAGCTTCGATCGTAATTGTGAGTCTCCGTCATCTTTATGCATAACACACACAGTAATTAACAATGGTATCAACCGCAGTACGTTTGAAAGCGCGTGCTAGACAGCTTGATGCAGCCGATGAACGTGACATGGCCGAGATTTTGAAGGCTGGTTCTTGAACCTCAAGTCAAGAAATACTTGCTTTATCTAATTCGCCTCCACTGCGAACCATTTCCATAACCTGGACCTACTGCACGCTGCGCTTTATCCTGGATGCGGGATCCGTGCAACTCTGAAAGTAGGCCGCATCCAACACGAAACGGAGTATAATCTCCCACCCTTCCGGCCTTCCAGCCGACCGAGGACGACAGGTTTCATGTCCTCTCTACACTGCTAGCATTCCAAGCTTCGGCTGGTATGGGACAATATCATGGCATCCAATCCCCTCGTTTTTATTGCATGTTTCGACTCAATCGGGCAATTCTCATTTTGGCATTTTTTATCCTAAGTATACGCACAATCATTCGGACTACTGTCTTTTTTTTTCTTTGCTACTTAGCTTGGTAAATGGATATATCCACATCATGTCTTTCCTTGATTCTCTGTTTTCTTTTTTTTCCTCGTCCTTGTTTTCCTTTGCTTTTTTCTTTCTTTATTAGCTGTTTGTAGCCTTTTCTTTCTATTTCTTTCGACCTCTAGTGCTTTGTTATTGTATGAAAATTGTACAATGACACGGTTATGGGTTTCTCATTCGGAAAAGTTTGGTTATATGTGGTGTTTACTCTAAACACGAAAGCAAAACAAGTGCTAGATCAGATGAAGAAAGAGACAATGCAAGCAGATGACACGACGGTAAAGTTCTACTAAATCTAAACTACATTGAAAGACAGCATCCAGTACTGGCTCATTACGACAACTTAGACTCAATGAACGACGTGATGTCCGGGAGGGCATGGGACAAAATTTTAACTCGTTTCTTTTCGTCTATGGCGAAGTAATATGAGCCACTTGGCTTGTACAGGAATTTCTTTGATGATTCGATTGACGTACTATAAAACTTCACTTTCCCGTGCTTCTTGCGTATCTTTCCCTCGATGTTGAGTTCGTGGTCCAGAGGGGCAGCAACGAAGGAGCTCTGTGTTCGAATATCGTTAGTTTACATTCCATACAAAGATGGATTAATTGTAGATTGGTGGGGCTCTTACTTTTGTGTACCAGTCCCTGAGTTCGTCTTCGTGCCTCGGGATACTAGGGATGTCTTCTCGCCCAACGATCAACACAACAGCTTGGACTGTATCCATTACAGTTTGTACTACAATGTTTGCTTTAGAAAATGCTGGTGGTTTGAAAGTAGTAAGGAGGAAGGCTGTGTACCACGAGTGCTCAAAAGGTCCATGACAGCTTGACATTCAGGACCATGTCCTATCAAGACAATTTTCTTTGCCTGTGAAAGCCTGTCCACGCGTAGGATGAGATATTATCGCATGATGAACGGCACGATAGTTTGCTCACAGAATGTAGTTGTCCCACAGGTAGGATACGACCTCGCGAGCGAGCTCCGACCAACTTCGTCTCTGCATAACGTTAAAGTATTTATCGATTTTGTGCAAGTAAATACTGACATGGTTGGGCTGTGGAGGCCTTGGGTACGTGTTGATTTCCGCGTAAGCGTATCCCTTCTGCCTCACCCATTCTACAAGCCGTTTAGTAACGTCCAACTATTGGACATACAGTAGATAATTAGCGTTATACAATGTATTTTCGTTTTAGTATACGTACTAAATAGGAGTGCTCGAGTTGCACATCGCATACCATGGCGCCGGCGACCTCAACTAGTAGGTTGCCACTAACAATGAACATTGTCAGGAACGGGTACTGTAAGTGTGCATTACAACTCACAATTGATGTACAAGTAGGACCAGGGTATCCTTATCCATGACATCTTGGCTGTTAAATATCAGCCCCACCTAACACTATCTGCATTGAACAGAAGCTTACGAGCAAATGACTTGAGACTGATAGCGCTCTTCTACCTCTGTGTCTAGAAGCGGTACTTGCACCATCTGGTATTCTCGATAGAGGTATTCTTGACGATGTATCTTAAGTAGTTCTGTGGAAGAGCAAGGTCAGATAAATAGACAAGCGTATAAGGCATAACGGCTGATTAGGGTAAACCGAAATCGGACAGGTGAAAACATGCTTTGCTTTTCGACGATGTAACCTTGATATCGGGGAAAAAATATGAAAAGAACCAGAAACTAACCGGGTATCGAAAGTGTCTGCTCCGGGTATTCTGAATTCGAACGACATAGCAGTCTGTTAATCGCATATTGTCGAGAGAGAAAAAACGATAACGCACCCTCACGAGGTTCACAAGAAGTTACGTCAAGGTTCTGCCAATACCTATGTTGTCGTTTGGCTACGAGCCATACAGTCTCGGTAGCTGCTTCATTCGCCACTACCGGCTTCAACTCTGGAGGCGCATCACCTAAAAGGACCCGAGTTACAGCGAGTGCAGAGTTTGAAATGGATTCGACATTGTATCCGCCCTATCGGAAATCAAGGGGGGTTTGTGAGGACTGCACCGTTGGCAAAGCCTTCGATGAATAAGAAAGACTTGCCTCCAACGCAACGACGAGCTTCCCGCCGGCGAGCGATGACAGCATGTGCGTCATCATCGCATAACCTGCCGGTGTTACGTGGCATTCACCAAGATCATCTCCATCAGCTGCGTCAAAGCCTGCTGAAACTAAATTTATATAGTGAGAAAGTAGTCGATACAGGGCTGAAGACGAAACCCAGGTTACTGACTTATGACAAGCTCGGGAGCAAACTGCATAGCTATTGGTATGACAATCCTCGTGAAAGCATGAATGTACTCTGCATCTCCCATCCCGGCTTCTGGCCATGGAATATTTACTGACCTAACATTTTCAAAAGCCAACCATTCAAATAAGTTTCTTCATAATAAGAAACGATACACTCACGTTCCCTCTCCTGCTCCTTCGCCACAGGAATCTAATCCGCCAAAAGGTCCACCGGGGTAAAATATACCATTTTCATACCGATGAATTGATATGTACAACACGCTAGGATCATCGTTAAAGGCGCGCTGTGTCCCATTGCCTTGATGGATCAGATTATTAATCGAACGGATATCTAACACTAATGGAATACTAACCATGATGCACATCCCTTTGCATTGAAAGGTCAGTCAGGGAAGATACCATAATCAGAGACTTAGAACACACCAATCTAAGATCAGTATACGTTTCAAAGGCGTGAGTTGTTGCACGACGCGCGCAGCCACGGCAACATTGTTAAAGAAACAAAAACCCATGTGCTCTTCTGGCTCTGCATGATGGCCAGGAGGACGAACGATAGCGAATGATTTTTCTAGCTCACCGCGTGCAACAGCCAGTGCAGCTTCGATGACGCCACCGCAGCTGAGTTGAGCAGCCATGGTAGTACTTGGACAGACATAGAGTGAAAGAAATTCATAGTAAGCCTCTGACATGGCGATTTGTTCAGAGTCCATTCCTATGCATGAAAGAGGTTACGATGTGTCGTCAGTACGAAGTCACTTAAACTTATGCGATATGAATGCAGTTACGGGCTATCATCTGGACCTTCTCCCAGTGGTCTTCGCTATGGACCAGCATTGCCTCCATTTTACGAACTGGACGGATGGGAATGTGTTTCATGCGTAACAGACAACCGAAATTGCGGAGCCTCATATAAATACCGGCTATTCGAGCAGGCTGCTCCGGATGGTCTTCATGATTGCTTGAGGTCACAGGCGCATGGTTCATCATACGGACATCATAAACGTAGCCGAAACGAGGCATCTGCGCAGCCTCTCGTTCCAGAGGGACAGAACTCGGTCGAACGAGCGTTTGAGCAGCCGCCATTTCTGTTCTCGCAGTAACTGCTGACCCGGTTGGTGCAGAGGAGGATTCGTGCGTTTCGTCTAGGACGTGAACGGGCTCTTCGTTGGGTGTTACGCCGTCAATGTCCATAGATCTGGACTCTTCTGCAGTCTCTTCAAGAGTTACATTTTCAGTCTGAGTCACTACTTCCTCTATCCTCGCATCAGATGTCCCAGTAGCTGCGGAGGGTGCAGAGGCTTGCGACCCTCCTCTCATTAGACCACTGACCATTGCAGTGAGGAAGGACATGGAAGAGGAAGGTTGGCGTTCTAGGATATTAAAAGATCAAACTGAAATAAGTTGTGTTCTAAAGCCCCACTGCTCTTGAAGTCGTACCAGTGCAGAAAGAAAGGTTCTAATGATAAGCTGGACACAAGCGATGAGAGGATAGATGACAGGACAGGATGAGGTCAAGAATCCAAGGCCTTTGTGGTGGTAAAAACAAGCAGAGATGCACACTGCACAAGTAATAATAGCAAATCACATGACATCTGATTACGTACGGTGTAAATCGTTAAACGCGCGTCGCGTTCACTCTGGTATATACGAGCCGCGTCACTGTGTAGATTAAGCCAACCTGTATTCTTCCATCTTGCAACGACGATGAACACCCTTGTACGCAAATTTGCAAGTCCGAGCCACGATTTAGAACTTCGTAAGGCCCACGAAGAGCTGGAAGAGGACGGCTTCACCAATGCCATGTGGGGTTCTTCAGCTGGCTTTGGCAACTTAAGCAAGGGTGCTCCGATGTTCAAGCTCCCATCTCTTGCAGACGTGAGTCTCCAAACACTGTCTTACAGACCGAGCTTTGTACTGAGCGTATAACTCAGCCAACAGCTTTCCTGCGTTTACACACCGATGACCATGCAGACCCATCATGCCGGATTAAGATCCAGCATGGTACCACCACTCTTGCATTCCGTTACCAGGGCGGCGTCATCGTCGCAGTAGACTCGCGTGCGACCGCAGGATCATATATTGGTATTTACCCTATCAGTACCAGCCTCTGGACGACATTCAGCTGAAATATCCATACAGCCTCTGGAACTGTCAAAAAGGTCATCGAGATCAACAAGTTCTTGCTTGGGACTATGGCTGGAGGCGCAGGTATAATCCTCTTCCTGTTTTCTGGAAGTACCCCACGTTGATCTTGGTCTTGATGCATAGCCGATTGCCAGTTCTGGGAAACATATCTCGGCATGCAATGTAGATTACACGAACTACGGAATCACGAACGCATATCCGTTGCAGCAGCCAGCAAATATCTCTGTAATCTCGTATACTCTTATAAAGGTACAGGACTCAGCATGGTACGTTATCCCCATTCTCTTTATAACCGTTTCCACTACTAGTCCATATACTTAACCTTTTATTTATCGTAGGGTACAATGATCTGCGGATGGGACAAGACCGGCCCAGCAGTCTTCTACGTCGACTCAGACGGCCAGCGGCTGAAAGGCGACCTCTTCTCCGTCGGCTCCGGTTCGACGTTTGCATATGGTGTACTTGACCAGGGCTACCACTGGGACCTCACAGACGACGAAGCAATAGAACTGGGACGTAGAAGTATCTATGCCGCGGGTCATCGTGATGCTTTCTCTGGTAACACGATTAACGTGTACCACGTCAAAGAAGATGGTTGGACATTCATTGGTACGTTCGACATGTCTGATTTCGAATATTTGTCCTCACGAGAAGTAACCTTTCGGTTTCGTCCTTTACAGGAAACTACGACGTCTCGAAGATGCATTACGAAGGTTCCGGAAACGTCCCAGGCTCAGCCGGTGTGGCATACGGCTATGACGTGCGAACCAGCTCAGCAACCGTCGTCGTACCTGAGTAGGGAACGATACATATTTGTATTTCATACATCAGTCGAAATCAAATTCCTTTACTTCTCGTGGCGCGCGTGCAATGTTAAAGTTAATCCACACGACAGGCATCGAGACAATTTATTCCCAAGAACTTCGATTATATCACCAGTAGAAATCGGGTTAAGTACTAGATGCTAATACAAGGTATAAGAAACAGAGGGCCCATCGAAGCATACTGAAAAGAGAGATGGTAAAGAATGAAGAGCATAGTACGAAAGACGACGTGAAGGAAAGTGTGCTAAAATACAGCCTACAGGAGGTTAAAACATCAAATCAAGGAAGAGAGAAACAAGAGGAGATTAAGCTACGCGTAGTCCAGTGGTCCAGAGAAGTCCAAGAAGGAAAGAAAGAATCCGATCAATATATAGTCTGTCCAAGGAATTTCTTAACAATAAATCAATATATCAAGTCCAAATCGAAGCGCCCTCGGGTATATGTAGATGGAGAGATATTTAGCCTTGGCTTATCACGGTAACGGTATCTGGTTTAGTTATGCGCAAGAATCCGAAAGAAATTGCATATGCAGAAAAGGGTGGAATGTCGTAAACGAAATATGAGAGATATGGGATAGATGTGACGGTAGGAAAGTGGAAATGAAGGGGGGTGAACCGAATGAGAGACAAGGCGACCGATTAGAGGGGGGTAAGTAAGCGACGAGACTTGTCCAAGAAGCGAATAATCCAATATATTCTGGGGTGGATTCGTGTATGTGTGGAGTGGGCGAGGGTCCAGAGATTAGGCGCCGACCGTATGAGCCTACCAAGTAGAGAGGGCGAGGTGAAATTCGACAGGATAAGAATGCGAAGATGAGCACATAAGGACCATTATACGGTTCAAAGATACCGAACTGCGAGATGTGGACTTGGGTCGATCGATCTGCTGAGAGTGTGAATGGAATTGCGTCATGTATCCAGGTGTACCAGGGCAAAGCTAGAGAACTACAAGGATTGATGGAAAAGGTGAAGAAGACGAGACAAGGGGAAAGGCAATGGGGTCGTTCAGCTGCGTGGATTAGCGCAATTCAATGAACTGTGTCCTGCGTCGCATTGCCCGTACATCAGGGTCGCTATCACGGTCACGATCCGCCATCCGTAAGCCGCTCATAAGGTCTTTGAATAATCCAGCCTTTCCAATATCGTCCATATCCTCGTCAGGGGCCATTATGTCCATTTCCATCCTCAAGTTTGCATGACGCTCGCATAACATTAGCCCATCGACTTCCCAATACTCCTCCAGTCTCTCTGTGCAGCGCCGTTTTCCGCCTTCGGCGCCAGACAAAGACCCAATTGAGCCTATGGACTCCGAATAACGGAATTCGCAAATAAGGTGTTCAGGGTGGTACCGTTCACCAGTGTGTGCCACTGCACATGGACCTTCAATAGGCTGCCCACATGCCAGATCAGAGCATAATGAGTCATTCGCCTCGTGATAATGGTACCGGCAATAAGGTTTTCCGTCGAAGACGTAGAACTCTTTGTCCGGAAATGGTTGCTACGTATGCCAATTGTTAACATACGCACTTGATGCATTAAAACAACGTTGATGAGAACGACATACCTGACACTTGTGGCAGTTGAAGCAGTCGCGGTGGTACTTGCCCTTGAGCTGCCCGTCTGCAGATGACACGGCCTGCTTCTCAATGGGCCGGTTGCATTTTCGGCACTAGGTTCGATAGGTTGTAAGCTTAATCGACATCACACCCAACGGAAGCGCAAGGCGTCAGAGCTTACCTTTGGCAAATACATCATTTTCCAGCATCTCTCACACAGCACTCCAGCACCTTCTGCACGTATCCAGCGTCCATCTTCAATACTCTTGTTACATTTTGTGCATTGACGTGGCCGCCGTTTCGCATCCGTGCCTTCCTTCCCCTCTCTTGATCCGCCCATCGCCGGTGTCGTGCGGGAACGTGCGGGCAGCTTCGGTGACCGAGTTGCCGAGGTAGGTGAGAGTGGAACATTGGAAGGTAGCGGAGGACGCTCCTCAGATAATGTATCAAGTGCACGGTACCGGTCGCGTTCCAATGCACCAGTCGACTTGGTAGTACTGCGGGATGCGTAACTATATGCAGAGGAAGCCGACGCAGACCGAGTTGGGAGACCCTTGAGAGATTGTGGAGGCGACGAAGGGCTGGTAGACGGAAAAAGAATGTGACCACCTTCGCGTCTCGATTTTTTACTCGAAGCTCTGGAAGGCGGGGAAGTAGGTGAAAGTGCAGACTCCGTTTCCCGATCGTACGCAAGACCAGAACTACTGTAATCGGAGTCAGACGGTGAAGCAGGCGCCCCATTTTTCGGCGTATTAGCGGAGACGGCTGTCGTATCTACGCCCAAATCCTTGTTCTTAAAGCGCTCAGAGAGACGTGAGCGAATTGAAGAACTGGAGCGCACGGTCCGAGGAGTGACCGTATCGGGAGTTTTAGGTGACAGGGTTCGGGTAAGCCCAGTTAAAGTGCCATTCACAGGGGAAGGGGTCCGCGAAGAAACGATTCCTGGCTGAGGAACTACGTTGGGTGAATGAGGCGAAGGAGACCGGGGCGAGTGCGATGACAGAGGGGTATTTGGAGAAAGTGAGGATGTTGCTATAGACCTGCTGTTCAAAAAGTGTCTTTCATGACAGGTGGTAAGTACTTACAAGGTTGAGTAACATTTGCATCGATATTCAAATGTCTCGGTGCATTGATCCTTCTGCCATCCATTCCGATAGTGGGTGTCCGCATTCTATCGGGTGCCTGGTCTCTATTCAGAGAAGCAGCTAGCATTGCCGCCTGTGCAACGGCTTGAAAGCCTCGTCTTCCCACACCGGCCATATTTACTTCACCTTCATGCAGTCCGTTGCCTCCTGGCTGGCCAGTAGGAAGTGGAGGGGGACGTTGAGCACCAGCACTATATGGACCGAATGGACCCGGGTTGCGCATACCGTCGTGTGACGGTCGTGAATCTAGTGATGGACGCGCGGAGGCCGGGCGGTCCATTGAAACTCGGGAGGGCGGTATGTCTATTGAAGGACGTGAAGGAAGAGAAATTGGGCCAGGGGGGCGCGACATAATCGGACTCTTGTTCTGAGCGGGGTTTGTAGGCAATGGTGGCCGATTTTCCGAACTAAATGTCGAGCGCATGGAGCTCACGCTCGGTCTCCGTGAATTAGTGATGGAGCCAGGAGAGAAAGAACGAGGGATCTCAGACCGTCCTACTGGAGATATTGATTGCGCATGTGGGGTACCTATGCGCATGGGTGCTTCAAGCCTTGCACCAGCACTGACTGAAGTTGGAAGTGGTGGAGATATATGATCAGACGGTGGAATCTGCACGTGTGGACGACGCGACATTGACGAGCTGCGTGAACGACGTGATACGCTAGGCGCTGGTGAAACTGATTTAGACGGTGGAGGGACGCCTGGTTGCGGCGTTTTCGACCGGCGGAAAGCCCTGTCTATCATAGAGCGTGCATTGCGCTCGGCGTCATTATTACTGCCCAGACTCACATTGCCATTCGGTTTCGTTATATTCGTGTTCACTTTGAGAGGAGTAGGAGCCGCGACGGACTGGGAAGCTTGGCGGATTTTTTCAAGAATAGCAGAGGGGCGGGGAGTGGAAGATGGTGGCGGAGGACAGATATGGTCGCCGAGGTCAGCAAGTGCTACAGGCTGGTTGCAGTTAGAGCATTTTACAGTTGGAAGAAGCTGCGAAATGCGTTCTCCTGGGATCTGCGGGAGCTTGAGAGCCATGCAGAGGCCGAGTGATAGGGGTGGTCAAAGAGATATGTATGGTACAGACTGCCAGAGTGACGAGAGAGCAGCGAGGGAAGAGGAGGAGGTGCCGGCGGGCGTGGATGTCGTCGCAGACGAGGAGAAGATGGAGGAAGGAGGGAGAGAAGGACCGTGATTAGGCGAGATTAGAGTGTAGAGTAGGGAAAAACAAAAGAAAGATATCACAGAACACGACAACGGCTCCTGCTAACTGGACACACGAATAAGGAAATTCACGTCGATCGCCCTCTCTAATACCTCATCTCCGGTCACTTCTTCCGTCCCAACAAAGTGCCCGAAGTCCTCACTGCATGACAACGTTTGTCTGGCCAATATCCGCTCCTTTCTTGCTTCAGCATCAAGTTGCAAATAACTCGCCTGTATTCGCTGTCCCTTTGTGCTTGATCGCATTGGACATTTCAGCTTGACTGGTGTCGCGTGAGCTAATCGCCGGCCGAGTAAACACTTAAGCGAATCATCACATTCCACCAAGTACAGATCAGCAAATTTTCCAACTCGAACACGACGCTAAGCCATGTCGGGAGGGGAGCATTCAATTGGTGGCAGCGTTAACTGCTCAACCGCGGTTCGTGTCCGACGTGAAGCAGATGGCAGAGGCGGGAACCACGCAGACGACTGATGTCGGCTCATGGGTGCTGTTGCGTTGTTGCTACCGAACGTGAGACGTGTGGGCGAGAGAAGCAGCGCAGGGCCGGAACAGGTGCGGATTGGCGGTTTATTTCCGGCGGGGAACGACGGATCGGCGCGCATGTAAAGCTTCTGCGTGGAAAATCAGGCATCAAAATCAATGCCGTCAACCGCAAATCCCCGGCCTGTGGCCTAGTGCTTTTCAATTTATTCTGCATCACGTGCACTGTGCGTTGTTTCTAACACATTACACAAGCGAATAAAACGCGTGCATCGTCCTCGGCGGCAAGATCTATTTTGCTGCTGCTACTGCTATACTAGTGCCACCCTTGTCTCACAATGCGCGCCCTTTGTTCGGCGTTTGCTATCTGCGGTCTTATCCATCTCGTCTACTCGAGAGACTCAGCCTGGAATGGCCACGTCTCTCCTGGCTCCACGACTCCTGCGAAATTCACACCCTTCTACGTTCCCAGCGGAAGCAAGCAGATTGACTCCGATGACCCAGCTATCCGCCATTCTCGCGCTTGGAAGACTATTTATTCTCCAGCCTATGTTAACGGCTCTGCTCTCAGCACAACACAACGCGACGCATATGCCACCTATACCTTCTCTGGCACGGGCATTGAACTTTATGGCAGCAAAGGCAAACACTTTGGCAAGGCAGCTGTCTTTATCGACGGAAAACTTGCACAAACAATCAACAACTACGCCAGCCAAGACCAACAGCAGCAGCTTCTATTCTCCATGTATAGTCTGACGTCGGCGGCGCATGAGATTAAAATAGTCAATAAAGGCTCAACGACAGGCTCTCAATTGCAAATTGACGCCTTCGTAGTGACAAGTCTCACATCGCAGACCAAGCCTGTTGTGAACAACGAACAATCTCCCACCCCAGAACGAAAAGTTCTCGTCGCTCAAACACCGACTTCTGGTGAGTGGCTGCTTACCCAGAATGGCTCCACCGGCGTGGCCGCAATGCAACTCGCCATTATCTCGTCGTCACACGCAATTATAATTGACAAGGTCGAGCACAACCCACTTACAATTGATGGGCACCCTGCCTGGGGTGCACTGTACAACCTTAACACTCACGCTGTCAAGGCACTTCATATGAAGTCGAACTCCTTCTGTGCTGGCGGCACTTTTCTCTCCAACGGTACTCTCATCAATGTCGGTGGTAATCCAGTTGTCTCGGACAAGACTGCTGCAGCTGACTTTGGGGACGTCGATGGTTTGCAAGCAATACGCCTGTTCCACCCTTGTGACTCGGACTCTGTGGTAGACTGTGACATCTATGAGAATCATACTCGGATTCGTATGGCATCTCCTCGCTGGTACAACACTGTGATACGCCTTTCGGATGGAAGCGCAATGATTATAGGCGGTTCCAAGAAAGGTGGCTGGATGAACAATGCTACTACGAATAACCCAACTGTAGAATACTACCCTCCCAAAGATATCAAGGGGTCTAACGGGCTCCCGATTACGCTTCCCTTTCTAAAGGAAACTCTGAACTCAAACCTCTTTCCCATCGCATTCTCACTTCCAGACGGTAGGGTCTTTATCTCAGCAAACGAGGATGCCACGATCTATGACTGGAAAACAAACTCTGAGCGTCGTCTACCACAGATTCCAAATGGGGTGCGCGTGACGTATCCTATGACAGGCACCGGTCTTCTGCTTCCTCTGTCTGCAGAAAATAAATACACCCCTGAAATTCTTCTATGCGGAGGATCCGCGGCGGATGATACGAAGCCAGGCTATGAACTAAATTCACAGGATCCTGCTTCGTCACAGTGTTCTCGACTCGTTCTTACTGAAGAGGGTATTGCCGCTGGCTGGCAAGTTGAACAGATGCCTCAGCCACGTGTCATGCCGGATGCTGTCCTTCTACCGACTGGTGAGGTCCTGATTGTCAACGGAGGTGCCTCGGGCATCTCAGGTTATGCGAACGTCATTGGCCAAGTCGGTCAGTCGAATGCTGATAACCCTGTTTTGATGCCTGTCCTGTATGATCCTTCTGCGGCAGCAGGTTCACGGTTTAGCAGTTCAGGAATGCCGACCAGTGCAATCCCGAGGTTGTACCACTCCGTTGCGACTCTCACGCCGAGCGGTGCTGTTATGATAGCAGGTTCAAACCCAAACCTTGACCGCAGTGAGGTAAAGTATGGAACAGAATATCGAGTTGAATGGTTGTACCCTCCATACATGAATCAGGCACGTCCCACAATTGCAGAAGCACCGGACATGATAGGCTTTGGGGGGTTGGCGCATTTACGCGTGCAATGGTCAGGGGGAGCGAAGCCGTCGATATCAGATACAGTGAAGATAGCGTGTATGGACCTTGGGTACGTTACGCATGCCGTACACGCGAACTCACGCTTGGTGTACCTTGAATTCAAGCATGATCCGAACGATGCAAGTACATTACTTGCTATGGGCCCTCCGAGTGGTGAAGTTTATCCACCTGGTCCGGCATGGTTGTTTGTGGTCGTAAATGGTGTGCCAAGTGAAGGAAAGAAAGTACTTATTGGCGATGGTGCGGGACCGGAGGTGAATGAAGCTGCATTGAAGAAGTGAGTCGTTCTTGAATGTGTACCTGATCCGTGAGTATCTGCTTATTGAGATTCTCAGCATGCTGGAGAAAACCCAGGTTGATCAGTACGAGGCTGAGAAAAAGGGCGATGAAGATGACAGTGAATGACGACTCGGATCGGACGGGCGTCCGTTTACAGCAGACAGTACTAACTACATACACTCTTTCTTCAAATATTTTGGATTACTTGCCTACAAATGGACAACTTTGCATTCGTTTATACCCACACCATCTTCTTACGAAATACCATTTTCATACCCATGTACGCAGCCAATATTCGTTTCTAAAACTTACAATTTGTAGACTAGCACACATGTATCACATAGGCTGAACAAATCCTTCTAACTAATCATTCCACATTATACGGGCCAGTCGGGTTTCGAAAGTAGTACACGGCATGATAACACAACGTTCTATGAATACGGACAAAAAAAAGCGAGACCGGCGCGTGAAACAACTTGCAATACAAGAAAATGCTAGATGCACAGTAGAATCTAAATGGCGCGCTGGCGCATTCGACTGGCGACCGTACGGAGGCCAGCATACACTTTACCCGGTGGAGAACCGAGGATGAGCGAGACGATGGCATCTCGTGCGATTTTGATATTTTGGAAGGCACCGAGGATGTGAATTTTTCTAGAAGAAAAGAAATGTCAAAAAGGCTCCTAAAGTTAAGAAGAGAATGAGATAGATGAATAACGTACGTATCGGCCAAGATGACTCGTGTACGGCTTGCGTTTTCGATTGTGAACTTTGTCTTGCCACTGTGACCTGCGATGCGCCCGATTGCGCGTGCGAGGTGGTCGCCGTGGAGTGTTTTGACGTCTTTGATCTCGAAGGAGTCAAGGTAGAGGTCGTCCATTCGGAGAAGTGCGATGGAGTCCTAGTGTAAAGAAATGAATGAAGTGATTAAGTATTTTAAACATGCCTCTTGATAGAGGGGCAGGGGGTTGAACATACATTTACATCGAATCCGAGAGCAAAAGCTTTGACGAAGTCGGCACCCTTTTGGATCGACCCGACTTCTTTGGTGTATTTTGATGTCTGTCGATTAAAATCACATTCGAGTTAGTTTAATCAAGAAGATGAATAAATGCTGGCAAGAACGTTGATTAATAGCATACGCACTCGTATTTCAACACACCGCCGATGTACGTTCATCCGCACTTGTAGACCCAGCACCTCAGTCAATGGACCAAATATGTTTACCCATTCGTTCTTGAGTGGTGTCATTCGGTGCGGTGGGATTGGTATTCGACGCATTTCGCTCTTCTTCGCGAGTGCAGCTTGTTGAGCGGCGGTACTCAGTGGTTCGAAGGTTATTGTGTTGGGTGTAGAAGCAGGAGCGGGAGCAGAAAATGGATGGGAAGGGGCCTTTGTGGAATCGTCTATCATAAGTGCATCGTCGTTGTCCCCGGCATTCGGTGTAGCTTGTACGACCACCTTCGAAGTTTCAACGGCGCCTGAAGGTCCACTTGTACCTTCCATATCTTCATCCTGCTCCTCTACTGTCTCTACAGGATTAGCGACTCGAGGCGTCTTCTTTTGCTTTCCCTCTCTTCGCCTTGTCTTTTTCTTCGTTACGGTAGATGCCGAAGATACGGTAATTACGGTCATAACAGCTTATATGCGTCCAGACTGCAGCCGATTGTTATGAAGACTGTCGCAGAAGCAGATAAGCTTAGTGGAAGGTAAACGTGAAAAAATGCAAGGCGCAAGAAGACATCGGCAATTGCCGTATGTTAACAAGCAATTGATGATCCAATGTTGTACATCATCAATACTCACTCCTCTTCTAGCTTCCTCCTACATCTACGAATAATACGTCACCCCCATGTCTGGAACAAGAGCTAAGGCTACCAAGAACTTGACTGAGAGTAGGAAACAAAGTAATATTATTTCTATCAATGCAATATTTGTAATTTCATCACGTGGCTCAATCTACTACCCTACAGCGCTGCAGGCCCTTATATCCTCGCTTACTCCTAATGGCTTGCCAGACGACAAGAAGCTCAGCGAAGAGCAAGTTAATGCACTGTCCGATAGACTGAATCAATTTCTCGGTCCTATTGAGGAAGGTCCGGGAGTGCAGAGGAACGAGAAGGGACAGGTGTGTCCAACCCCTGGTTATTGTTGACTCTACACGTGCTTATACAAGTTACGTTCTAGCTGTTAAATGAGGAGGGCTTACCCATAATTGACATTTCAGAGCCTTTGGAAAATGTTGCTGGACCTTCCCACTCATATAAACCCTTCCAATCCGAGCATGATCCTCCACCACTCTCGTCGTGGTCGGAGGTGGAGAGGGCGCAGTGGCGAGTTGAGCGTGATCGTATAGCCGAAATGTTGGAGGAAGAGGAACAGCGCGAACTAATGGAAAGTTCGGAACGTGAGCACAGGAGAAAGCTGGAGGAGGTCGAGAAGATGGACGCGGAAAGTAAAGCCGCTGCCCGAGAAATGCAGAAGAAAATGGGTAAAGCGCTTTTGCGGAATATTGCTGCACAACGGGAGAAGGAAGAGGAGGAAAGAAAGAAGACTAAAGAGCCAACGCCTGCAGAAGTCCCCGCTCAAAACGGCGAACCGAGTTGTAGGAAGCCAAAGAAGAGCGTTAGCTTTGCGAATCTGCCTGAGGACAGTGACAAGCCCAAACCAAAGCCACCTGCAACTTGGGGCGACATCTCTGTTGCTAAGTTGAGAGCTAGTGCTCCAAAGGCGCAACTGAAAACAGACATATTGAACAAGCAGCCCATGAAGTTCGACGTTATTGAGCGAGTTCCCGGTGTAAACCGAACCTCAGTCCGCCAAGAGCGAGATTCGGACGACGAGTCCAATCCGGAGGAGCAGGCTTCAGAGCCGGAAGAAATCGACGAAGACGGTCTTACACCTCCCCTTGACGGTGGTATGGGGGACAGCGACGAGTCTACCGGACATGACGAAGACTCCGATGAGGACGAGTTTGACTTCAGTGAGGCGCGAGTACAGCGAGAGATAGCTTTGGAGTACATTCGCTTGCGTGAAAGCGTCGGTGCAGAGGCACAACAAGCAATGTCCCTGCATACTCACGAAGGGGAGAATGAATGGGATCAACCGGTAAGCTGAATCTCTGGATATGTTCTCCTTCCTATCTAACTTAGTGTCACAGAATGTACCTCTAGACGCAACGCTTGCATCGAAGCCACAGAAAAGTGGCATGTCTCGTTTCAAAGCCGCACGCCGAGCTAACCGTGGCTTTTCGGGGAATACTTCAATTTCACTAGGTGCCTCAGTTCTACCTTCTAGTAAATCGTCGACACTGCAAAAGGCAGTACGCACTGGGAAGCTAGAGAATGGTCAACTCGTTGGGGGTGACCCATGTGAAAGCAGTTCGGAAGATGAAGAAGCCGAAAACGCGAAACGCACGTTGGAGATGCTGAAGGATGGTGTTGTGTTTGGTGAAAGTTCTCAATCAGGATCTACCTTGCCCCAACAGACAGAAAACGCGGCGAAAGGAACCAAGGAACAAGAGTCACTCTCTTCATCACAACCCGGTCTATCTACATCGAAACCTTCACGCTTTCTGGCGCAAAGAGCAGCTCAGAGACCAAACTCAGAACCCGTTCTAGGACCCTCGTCATCTATTACATCAACTCCTTCACCGATATTAGATACAGTCATTGAACGTTCTACGTCTAAAAGGACGACCCCTTCGACAACTGATAAGAAGCCGGAAACTGTCGGGCCACAGAATATTTCGACCTTCAAGAAGCCCCCAACTGTCATTCCAGCGCCATCAGTTCCACCATCGGTACGTACACACATGCGGCACATCTATACGCCATGATAAAAAATTCCCCAAAGTTGTCTGCTGACCTTTATTTACGTTACTTCCTTGCAGCAGCAGCAACAGCGCCGTCCCTTCGCTACTCCGCTTGTCAAACCCGACCCGGCGGTCCTTTCGAACATGATCGTCGAATCCCCATCCTTCCCTCCACCAGGCGGGAGCAAAAACGCACAAAGCGCCCCACACGCACTTCCATTGGTCAGCGAGGTCCGTGAGTCAACACGCAGGGCGGGCATGTCGGAAGAAGAACCTAGCCAAAGAACAAGAACAGGAACGGGAAAGGTTTCGCGCTTCAAGGCTGAGCGATTATAACATTATAACACCCTTGTCTACTTTCGCCGATTAACGTTATTCCACATCCTTCTTGGCTATCAGAAAACACATTTATACACACTTTATTTAGTTTGTAGACAGTTCTGGACTCTCTTCGAAGCACTTTTACAAGGCACCCCTGCGAACCATTCGAGACGAACGAGGTATAGCTCGAATGGAGATGAATGAATTGCTGAGGTGTTATTTTAATTTTGAGACATTTTTTCCTGAATTCGTTTTCTTTTTGTGTTTCACCCGCGGGAAAAGATTGCCCCTGTTAATCGTGTAACCAAATAAACGCAAATACAAAATTGGACCTACAGCCGCAAATCGTAACGTTGTCCCTGTACCGCCGGGATTTGTTCATAGGTGAAGTCATTCTTTCCATTTCGTCGTCGCACATTCAAAATTATCGTAAAACAAGCTCTGATGTCCACTATCAAGTACTGATAACCAGGAATGAGGTCTGGGAGAAACATTAACTGTGGAGTGCCGTAATTTTACATTGTAGAAGCGCGGGCGGTATGTATTAGCGCGAAGAGAAAATGGAAGCGAAAAGACCGATTGACGGAGGGGAATAAGTCCTCGGAGACGAAGGGTCGAATAAACAATTGGATACTAGCTCTGGTAATGCTGCTGCTGACTTGCGTTAGCTGCTAGGTTATGTTCCATACGTCTTTGTTGTGACGGCTGCTGTTGCTGTTGTTGTCGCTGTTGAGCCTGTGCCTGCGCATGGGCAAGAGCGGCCAGCGCGTTCGTATCCCCCGGAGCTGAGAAGCGAGAGAAGAATGTTTCCCATTGTGCTGTCAAAACCAAGGTGTTCAGTATCAGTACTATGGCCGAGAACTTGGAGTACGGACGCCAATCAAACATTCCACCGGGTATTCCTTCCAAAAATCCGGTGTCGGCAATACTCATTTCATCAAGAACGCTTGGTTGTGGGTTTGTTTCAAGCGTGTTCATAATCAAGACATCCGAAGGGCCTGCTGCATTCAGCGCGGGATTCACATTTGCGATGTCACCTCCCGAGCCGCTGGTCGTGGGAATGTAGCTAGGCATCGATGATGCGCTGGAGGTGTCATTACCAACGCCCGCTCCTGGGCCCGTTCCCGAAGCTGCGGCGGCCCGCGCGGTAAGTTCGTGGCGCGTGATATCGGACGATTCAGGAGAAGCGGGAACGCGTGTACGTGGAGCAAGATGTGTGCCAGAAGTCGAGGTAGAATATGCATGTGTAGGGGAAGAGGAAGCAGGATCATTGGTGGGACGAACAACAGATACCTCAGCCGCCGACACCTCACCTTCTGATTCCTCATCAGAGAAGCCTTGACTTATCACGACGGTACCCTCAGGAAGGTCCGTGTAGTCTCCCTCCTTGGCCTTACCATGCGCAATAAAGACACCTTTGCCTGGACGGGTGGGGTCATTTCTGTATTTCACACCTTTCATCCGGCCCTGGTGCTTTGGCACAACACCTGCTGTCGGATTCAGTCCAGCCTGATGGTCATGCGAAGGAGGACCAAGAGTTGTTTCATATAGAAGCGTGATGATCTCTGCGGTCTATAGACAAAAAAATCAGCCGAAGCGGACACAAATACATACAGCCCAGAACACGTGCCTTTCTCCGCGAAGACATTTGTTCAGGTTGCAAACAGGCCTCCCATCGTCTAACACAGTCGCGCAACTTCCGCAGCCTCGCCTGGGCATTCGCATCTTTCCGACGTGCCCAGGTATGATACTATAAGTATATTACGGCATTTCGAAATCCGTCGAAATCCGAGCGGTCGGAGACGGAACACCGAAAGGTCAGCATATTGGAAGTGGGCACGAAACAAACATTTAGCGTTGACAACGCCCATCAGACGCACCTGAACCAGAGCACACGACGTCGCAGCGTACGCAACAAGCATCCAAACATCATACACAGTCTCGTGTGCATCAAGCCAATCAATAGCATCACCAGTCATTTGCTTAAGCTCCGACCACTTCTCAATCGTGAGACACAGCTTGACATGCTGTGGACACGAGTACGAAATGCGCATGAATACGCGCCAGAAAATCATAGATACAGTTGCGTATAGGAGGAAAAGGAGTCCTTTGATGCAGGTCAGCAAGATGCGAATGACATCTCAAGTGTGGGTTAGATACCTCCGCTTCGTGGTGTGTCAGGACCTTTGAATTTCAGATCTTCCGGTAGTTTATCTTGCCAATCTTTCATATCGTTTAACAAAGCGTACAGCTTTTCATCGGTGGCATGAGTTAATCCAGAAGGCCTAGGAGAAAGTTGAGCCCAGATAGCAAGAAGTAGCTAATCCTGCATACCCGTACACCGTCTTCAAAACGCGCCCAAGAATTAGACTGAGTCGCAGCAGCTCAGCCGTGTAACTGTCGTTCGGATCTCCAGAGGAAGGCAAGCGAGCATCGCAGTCTTCCACGTCGATCATATACGGATGACCGTATGTAAGGCTCGTCCTGATGAAAGTTAACGAGTCTTGACGTGACACGTAGACTAAGATGCTTACCAACGATCCGTAATGACGCAAGCACCCCAAATACGCCGCCGCATCTCAATATTAGCTTTTACAGCTTCTGCACGATGCAACCCTAGATCCTGGGCCTTGAAATCATGCCACGTGAATATGTAGTAAAGAGTGGAGAGCGGAGAAGCGCACCATACGAATCGCTGTGCCAAGGCGGATCCAGAGAGCGGATAGTGCATTAGGCACGAACTGAGAATGGCAATCTGCACATTGGCACAGGATGAGAAGTGACTGCACGTTCACAATATTCGCAGTGCTCAGAACGTCTTCGGACTTGATAACGTCGTTGACGGCGACGCGAAGGTGGTCGAATACAGCTTGAGGAACATCGCGTTTGCTTGCTGCGACGAGGCAAATAGAATAGAGTAGGATAGGCGGAGGAGATGGGTCGGAAAGCGTTAAGAACTCTGCCTGGGTAATTATCGGAACGAGGGGGGCGACATCAGTAAAGTACGAATTAATGAGCTTCTCTATCACGTCCCGCTCGACATGAAGATCAATCGGCTTTGATAAGGACGGGGTATCTCCAGTAGGTTCAAGAACCTGGATGAGACCATCTCCTGTCTTACCAACTTCCCATGTGTGATGATAACGCTGGTCGTACGAGTGGTAAGCCCGCGGAGGGATTGTCGCAGTCGAGTGAAGAAGGTGGGTCATCGATGTAGGTCCTGCAAGTTAGAAATCATGTCAGTCAATCTCGGAATTCGCGGATTAAAAAGGCATGCGAAAAAAGGGGAGGGATCTAGCAATATCTCGTGTTTGCATGCCAGATGTTCTATCATGCTATCGCCCCGACCGTCGCAAAGGCCGTAAAGGCGCGGAGGGGGCTGCAGTTAAGTAGTAGCTCTTACCGTCGACACGCGCATGGCGGGTAGAGTCGGGCAATGGTGACCGTTGGGAGCTTTCAGCGTCGGTAGTCTTCTCTTTCTCAGCAGCAGCGGCAGATGATGCTGCTGCTGCTGCAGCTTCTTCCTCAAGTCGTTTCTTTTTGAAACGAGTCTCAGTGATGGGCAGGAAGAAAGTGCATTCAAAGCCGTATTGCTTGCAGTGCTGGCAGACCGGCGGGTCACTGTCGCTGAGCACGTCGCACCTAGAAACCACGATTAAGTCATTCCTGTCGCTCCATCTGTCGGCATAAAATTTCAGAACCTTATTTTTCTGCTGCGACAGCTATCACAGGCGCGCTGAGTCTTGGTCCGTTTCTTGTGCATGTCGGCTAAATGAAGGGCATGAGTACGGCCTTTCTTAGCTACCGTGTCATCGCGACTACGTACTAGATTCTTCAGCGTCCGAGGCTCCGGAGCTCTTACCCTTGCCTGATTCCAATGTTCCTTTCCTCTTCCGCTTTGATTGCGAGCCATTCGAGACGGATCCTTCGGGGTCGGGGGATTGCTGGGGCTGGGCTTGGGGAGGCGGAGGAGGCGGCGCCGAGTACCCTGGCACTGCATAGTGTGGATAGGCTGTTGGATATGGATGATATTGCTGCGCAGGATAGTGTTGGGAGGGATAGTAACCGTACGGCGGCGGAGCGTGGGGGACACCATTATGCGGACTCGGAGTGGAGTGGTAGGGTGAAGGTGTCGCTGCTGGGTGCCCATACGGCGAGCCGTTGACGGGGTAGCCAGGGTTCATCCTTGGCGGATGTGGATACGGAACAGGTAGTGGTGGTCCGTACTGATATTGTTGAATGGTCGCCTGAGGCGGGGGAGGGGGCGGAAGCGTTGTCGCCGACGTCGGTGTGGGGAGAGGCTGAGGGCCCGGAGGGGCTTGAGCTGCTTGAACGGACACGGAGACCGACGCGGTGGACCTCTGGGGACGCCGACGCGGCGCTCTTCCGGATCCCGGCGGCTTCTTATTATCCTGCTTGCCGGGCGCGGAACCGGGGTTCGCGGATAGGGCGGGAGCAGTGGTGACAGGGGCGGTGGTGGTGGACGGAAGACCAGGAGTTGTGTCCGGAGCAGGTGTATTTTCTGAGGGCGGACCTGAAGCTGTCGGAGAATGGGACGATTAGCCCGCGCGGACACAGGGGCGACGTGACACCGAGCAGAGCAAAATACATATATTTAAACAAAACGCGGAAAAATAGAAAAAATAGTGGAAAAATTAGACTTACAATCCTGGCTCGGAACTGGAGCCGATGTCTGGTTATTGGCGGGAGGCGGGGAGGCAGTCTCTCTCGCAGTCTGGCTCTTGTTTTCCATCCCTCCAGTGCTTTAAAGAAAAGGTGTCAATGTGCTGAGTAAGCCCGATTCGAAGCGGGATGCCTCTTTGCTCGTACTTCAACGATTCCCCACAACTACCTCTCGCTGCTGTGTCGCTTAATTATTATTGCAAACTGGCAGCAGCGAAAGCCAGCCTGGACAGCGTTTGTCGCGTATTGTCGGTGGGTGCCGCTATTATCAACGTTTGGAACAACAAGGCAAAGAGCGGCAAGATGTGCCGCGTCATTGCCGCTCCCTTCTTCAAACCTCATCCCAGGACCCCGGGCAGCAGGGTAGTTATCTCCCCCATGACGAGTTCGGAACAATTTAATTCCTTACATCATACTTGACCCCCGGACACACAAGGACACACGGACATGACGGTTCCCAAAAGAGACAAGGGACGCGAATGAAGAGACCGAAGTTACTTTGTTCACAGCTCTTCGCTCCCTCTATTAGTATTAAGCTGGTTGTCTATATTCGGGCAGCTCGAGCCGTAGATGGTAATACTATTTCCGGCCCGGTGAAAATGATCATCCAACAAACGAGATGGGAAATATCACAGCGTTGGTAATTACACCTTCTATTACGGTTCACCTTGCATCCGACAAGACGCTCCATCATCATCCCCGTATTTCCGCCCCGGGATTTGGCAGGCGCTTGTCCTCCGTTGCATATTCCGAGGCAGACAGCCAAGACATACCTTGGCTGCGGCAGAGCATTTCTGCGAGATTGTGACGCCAACTGCCAAGCGCGAACGGGTTGGGCGGCGCCGGCCCGCGTACAATGCTCTTGTGAGCTGAGCTACGAATCTGTTTCAACATGGACCCATCAATCAGTGTTCCTTCTGCGTCCCTGAGGTGGACTGAAAACAACCGGGGCACGAGACATACCTGTTCGATTGTTGTAAGATTCAGTAGCAGAAGCTGTATGTGAAAGTTTGCGCCCCATAATTCGATGTCGTAAGGATCGGAGGACGAAAACAAATAAAACGTGTTGGGTGAGCATATGGTTCGCTTAATACATAGAGCTCTGGGACAAACGACATACCCGTACGTGATATCCGAGAAGTCCCCCAACGGGCCATACGACGATCGCACTTAGCGCGAAGACGACTGCACTGCCCGCACCCTTATGCAGCGATGAGGCGGCAGTAATGTGTTCTCTATGCGCCTGGATGACGAGATGCAACGCTGAGGTGCAAATCATTAGGCACAGTGTTAAAGTCTGCAGTATCGAGAGAATTTGTCAGCAGGTCATTAAGGCACGCCCTGATTGTCGCGAGACGTGGTGGCTGTACGCACGGCAGAAGTCAGGAACAAGATGAACGAAGTGTAGTTTCGTCGCCCGACGCAGTTATTTACCCACTGACAGTGGTGATCACATCCGTCCACACAATTATCACACTGCACATATCGCAACACTTTTTCATGAGCTGATGTGGTCTATTGTTAAGGCTAAAACTTGCTTACCATTCTGCAATGACTAGACCTCGGCGGGCGATATGTTCGACACGTTTGACAATACTTTACACGTACCCTGTGATCGCTGGATGTCAGCATTTGAAGGACAAAGTTTTACCCATGTGGTTATTCAAAGCGTGAACTCACACTTCCGATCGAATTTTGAGATCCCGAGGCAAAGGTACAGGAGCGGCATCTTCTGATGACGAGGATTTGGCATAAGGAGGTTCGGGATCGAGATTTCGGGGCAAAATTCCAGGGTCACTAAAAGCCTAACAAATAACGCAAGTTGATAGAAATACTCAACAGCAATGCAACAACTTACTGTGGCCATCATGTTCGCTATGGTCATCAAGCACATGTAAGCGCCTATGATAGCTACCGCGGGACTCTCGTTCCTCCACCACCAGACAGCGGTTGTCCCAGACCATGTACCTGTGATTCCAAAGACGAGTACAACGGAGCATACGAAGGGCCAAATACTATCACCACCTGTAAGCATTCTGCCTTTCAGGAAGAACTTATTGTGTGATGGATGCAGCTTGTATTTCGGTGTCGGCTTCCCAGAGGAGTCAAGGATCGGTGTGCGTGAAAGAGGGGGCTCCGTCGTCGGTGGAACGGGAGTGAAATCCGAGGATCGCGGTTGGTGTCCAATGTTTCGCTGTCGGCGAGACATTGCTGACGGGCCAGTTACAACATGACCGCGCGTTATATGCATCGTCCCATCCTCGTCGAACAATGCGCCAGGACTAGACTTGAACTCAATGTAAGGATCTTCAGACTTACGCCCTCGTGACTCAAAATCTTCCACGCTCGACAACTGTGCTGAATCCTTTACATATGACGTGTCCTCCGCCATCTGCGTGTCATTGCTGAGAGTTCTCCGGAGAAATTTCTCCAAGCTCGTGCGGACCCGTCCAGTAGAACCAAATGTGTATCCAATTCCCGACTCTTCGCCTTTGCCTGCGGGACTGTCATTCCATCTGCCATATCCCCCAAGTCCGGGCAGCTTTGTAGCAGGCATACTGGTGTTCGAATTGGATCGCGGGGTAGTTACGACTGGCTTCGGCTTTTGTCCAATAGGAAGCAAGGGTTCTCTGCTTTTCTTTGTTGAGAAGCCGCGACTGACACCGGTAAGACCAAGAGGCACATTTGTGTGAGAGGCTGAGCCAGACCTCTCCCTACCAGCGCTGTTCGGCGGGTGTTCTTCGCTTGTAATTGATTGCTGAGCAAAGCTGTCTGAACCAGTCGATTCTGGTCGAGGATCCTCAGGATGTGATGATACGGTGGAGCGAACAACTGTAGACATAGGTATCGCACCAAGAGCATTGCCTCCCAGATTGAAGTTGAATAATGGACCGAAGTCAGTATAGTACGTAGGTCGAGATGGGTGGAAGAATGAAGCAGAGGGCAGAATCCCACCGGCATGCGTTGAGCTGAGCGGAGGTGGAGATGGAGATGTCGAATGTGGTCCAGTGGAAGAAGGGATAGTGAAAGTTGTTGAATACGCAGATGGAGAACGCGGAGCATGGCTCCCTCCAGTAGTATAGCCAGAACGAGCGCGTGAGGCGCCAGACGTACTGCGAGAGAGCCCTGCACCACTTGCTCCTCCACCACTATGCGCTGAACTCGCTGTACGCGGTTGATGGGCAGGGCCAGCCTCGCTGTCACGCTCCCCTGCATCAGCACGGACGTTGAGAGGTGGCAAGTAATTAGGCCGGTCTGAAGTCGCCATCGCTCAGCGAACCGGGACAATATAAAACGAGAATTGTGATAAACGAATGGCTTGAGGCTCCTGAATGATGACGCAGGCGGAGATTATAGACGCAAACGGCGAAAGAATAAGTGATTGTACAAAGAAAAAGCGAAGCAGCAACTGAGCAAGAGACCAGTCAGAGTGAAGTAACTGTTGTGACGGCAGCTGAGAATTTGATGGCACGCCAAGTCTGTCGTTTGTCAGGCGGAAACGGATACAATGCCACGAAGAATGAGAGGGAAGGAGGAGAGAGAGAGAGAAAGCAGCCAGTTCGCCTGGGGCTTGTTCGGGCGTGCAGGAGGTCAATAGAGCACCGACTCGGAATCGAGCCTGGCTCGGGCTGTTTGGTTCGGACAAACAAACGCGGGTCCAAGGTCAGGCCTCTCTCCTCAGCACTGAGCATCTCCTCACAAATCTGCTTATCGTCTGTCTATCAACTTATTTGATAACTGCAATTTCAAACCCTGTTGGTCTCGTATAGATTAAGGAATGGCTGGTATTTGCCGTACCCGACTTGCGGAGGAGCGTAAGCAGTGGCGAAAGGATCACCCATTTGTGCGTGTCTTCGTAACATCAAAGTAGCCTACGAGACTTATATCGGCGTGCTATTCATCGAGACAGGGCTTTTATGCGCGGCCAACGAAAGCCGCTGATGGTTCTATGAACCTCATGGAATGGGAAGTCGGTATTCCAGGGAAACAAGGAGTGAGTTGTCCACCAGCTCAAGTGTCTGAATTGCTTAATTGTCATTCATGGATATCCCCTAGACGGCCTGGGATGGTGGTATCTATAAACTCACCATGACCTTTCCTGAGGGTTAGTTTGAGTGTTTTTGCGTGAATTTTATACATTAAGGCTGACCATCGCGGATCAGATTACCCCACAAAGCCACCCAAATGTTAGGCGGTGATAATTATTTTTCTGCATTTGCTCACATTGGCCTAGGCAAATTCACACCGCCATTGTTTCATCCGAATGTGTATCCCTCTGGGACCGTTTGTCTGTCAATTCTGGACGAGGAAAAGGGATGGAAGCCGGCGATTACGATTAAGCAGGTTCGTGCATATCTTGGCCTGGACAACTTCGATTTAAGCGTGCTTCTTAGATCCTTCTCGGAATACAAGAGCTGTTAACGGATCCAAACGTCAATGACCCCGCGCAGAGCGACGCGTACACGATGTTCAAGTGAGCTCGGTTATCTCCCGAAATTGTACAGTGCTAACCGGTTAACTCGCAGGAATGACAGAAGTGCATACGAGTGAGTGTTAATTCTGCTTCCGAATCCGGCTACTAACCCGCCACCTGCGACAGGCGGAGGGTGAAGCAGCAAGCGAGAGAGAATATTCCCAAATGACGTGGTTTCTACGATATGTGCTGTTCCATTCCTTTCGACATTCTCGGAATGACTGCTTCTTGTCATATGTACTTTTGCATTTTGGATGTACTCCTTTCCCGTTGCCAAAGGCCACGACACTGTAGCACTTGCCCTCTCCACAATAAAGCTGCTGTGCAATATTATACGCTGTACTGTACCCATCTGTATGGGTACAACCGTAACGTGTAACGCGGGGGTGGTTTGGTTGCTAGCAGTAACGCGTAACGCATAGCAGTAGTTGCTTTCCCTTAAGGAGCGTTACATAGTTTTAAGCGAGCATTATATTATATAAGACAATTCAAGTGTAGTTTTGTTACTTTTGTATACTACAAGTGTTAGAAAATTTGAAAAGCTTATTGGATTGTTACGATTGAATTTATATACTAATACTAATGTAGTATAGTAACTTCCAGCAACGTCCGTCTGGTTGTCTGTATTAGCAACTGTAACGCGTCCACATAGTTAGGTTTCCAATTTCCACCGGTAACGCACTCTGCCTGGTTGTACCCATACAGATGGGTACAGTATTCTGTTGTCCTTGCTTGATTGGACAGGACGCGTGATATTACCATATTACGTAACAAGTAATGGGGATCGACTGGCAGACCGTGGGAGCGGTTGGCTGCTCCGAGCCCGTCGCCATCGCCCAAGGAAGCAGAAGAACTCTCTCATCTTGTCGTCGCCCACCTCAGCGCTTTTCTTCCCGCCACTATCGTCCCCTGACTTTGCTTGTCTTTTTTACTCTCATTCTCATCGCTGCGGCTTGCCTCAGCTCCCCTCCATTCTTTTATCCTGCGGTCTTGCTCAATCCTCTAGACGCCCTCCTCCACACCTGGCAGTACTCTGACCATGGCCGCCAGACCTGGCAACGGGGGACAGAACAACCCGTTTGCAAATCCTCAGCAGTACTACCAGCAACCCGTTCGTGACTACGATGCTGAGTCGGACGCTGGTAGCGCGTATGGTCGCCGGGGTGATGCACAATATAGTAGCACCACCCATCTTACTTCTCGTGACCCGTTCGGTGAGAAACAACTTCTCCGCAGCATTCTTGCATTTTCGACTCACTTGCTCACTCATGCATCCATGTCCTCTCCCCTCTCGTTCAGTGCGCGGGGACAACGAGTCTGAAGTCGATGTGTATGGGAATCACTATGCAAGCTCCATCGACTCACATACAGGCCCCAGCTATCCCTCTGGCATCAGCAATTTTTCCGACATGCCAGGACCGAGAGGATCCAGAGACCCGTACCCTGCGTGGACTGTCGACCGTCAGATACCAATGTCTACTGAGTATGTGTTCTTCTCATCACATCAAATAGCAGTTTCTGATCGTTCGGGTCGTGCAGAGAGATCGAGGATATCTTCCTGGATTTGACACAGAAATTTGGTTTCCAGCGCGATTCGATGCGCAACATGTATGACTTTACTATGACGCTGCTGGACAGTCGCGCTTCTCGCATGACCCCTAACCAAGCCCTTCTCACTCTGCACGCGGACTATATTGGAGGTCAAAATGCCAATTATCGGAAATGGTATTTCGCTGCACAGTTAAACCTTGACGATGCTGTTGGTCAGACACAGAATCCTGGTTTGCAACGTTTGCGGAGCACAAAGGGCCTGAAGACTACAGGAGAAAAGTCACTCAACACTGCTTTGGACCGCTGGCGGCACGCCATGAACAATATGAGCCAGTATGACAGGCTGCGCCAGATTGCCCTCTACTTGCTGTGCTGGGGTGAAGCGGGCAATGTTCGTTTTATGCCGGAGTGCATGTGTTTCATTTTTAAATGTGCCGACGACTATTACCGTTCACCCGATTGCCAGAATAGGGTTGATCCTGTTCCAGAAGGCCTTTACCTCCATACGATCATCAAGCCTCTGTATCGGTTCCTTCGTGACCAGGGTTATGAGCGACTGGACGGGAAGTTCGTCAGGAGGGAGAGGGATCATCATGAGATCATTGGTTATGATGATGTTAACCAGCTCTTCTGGTATCCTGAAGGCCTGGCACGTATCGTTCTGAACGATAAGGTAATTTACTTTAGCGATTCGGCTTCCTTCGCGGTGTCTGACCTAAATCTATTAGACTCGTCTCGTCGATGCACCCCCTGCTCAACGTTTCATGAAGTTAGAACGAGTCGACTGGAATAAGGTCTTCTTCAAAACCTTCTATGAGAAGCGGTCTATATTACACTTGCTGGTTAACTTCAACCGCATCTGGATCCTGCATATCGCGCCGTACTGGTTCTACACCGCATTCAATTCGCCGAAGGTGTACACGCCTCCGGAGCAAACGGACCCGTCCCCTGCGATGTCTTGGTCGGCAACAGCATTAGGAGGAGCAGTCTCGACTTTGATTATGATTTTCGCTACGCTTGCGGAGTTCTCGCATATTCCGACGACGTGGAACAACGCTTCACACCTGAGTGGACGGCTTCTTATCCTTTTGGTAATTTTGGCCATAACTGGTGGTCCAACTTTCTATATCGCCATAACAGATGGAACGAAGAGTAACGTTCCATTGATCCTGGGAATAGTCCAGTTCTTCATCTCTGTTGTTGTGAGTATTCTCTTCGCTGTCATTCCGTCCGGACGCATGTTCGGTGATCGCGTGGCCGGAAAATCGCGGAAGTACATGGCTAGCCAGACGTTCACTGCATCTTATCCAGCTCTGGATAGGAAGGCACGGCTCGCGTCGATCATTTTATGGCTTCTCGTTTGGGCGTGCAAGCTGGTGGAGTCATTCTTTTTCTTGACGGCCTCATTTAGTGGCCCAATTGCAGTCATGGTGAATACGAAGGTTCAAAACTGCAGCGACAAGTACTTCGGTCCGAACCTGTGCCAAAACCAGGTACCAATCACACTCGCTCTCATGTACATCATGGATCTGGTTCTGTTCTTCCTCGACACGTATCTCTGGTACATCATTTGGCTTGTCATCTTTAGCATCGGACGGTCATTTAGCCTTGGTCTCTCGATTTGGACTCCATGGAAGGATGTCTATACACGTATGCCGAAGCGGATTTACGCTAAACTTCTAGCGACTGCGGAAATGGAGGTTAAATACAAACCAAAGGTCTTGGTTTCGCAAATTTGGAACGCCATCATTATTTCGATGTATCGGGAGCATTTGCTTTCCATCGATCATGTTCAACGCCTGCTTTACCATCAGATGGATGGACCAGATGGTCGCAGGACTTTGCGTGCACCACCGTTCTTCACTGCTCAGAATAATTCGAATCTTCGGGGTGGCTTCTTCCCGCCTGGTGGTGAGGCTGAACGCAGGATCTCATTTTTCGCATCATCTCTGACCACTGAGTTACCCGAGCCTCTTCCTGTCGATGCCATGCCCACCTTCACTGTCCTGGTTCCGCATTACTCTGAGAAAATCCTCCTCAGTCTGCGCGAGATTATTCGTGAAGAAGACCAAAATACACGTGTCACTCTTTTGGAGTATCTCAAGCAACTTCATCCAGTTGAATGGGATAACTTCGTCAAGGATACGAAGATCCTTGCGGAGGAATCAGCGGCCTTTGGCACGGAAAGTAGTCCGTTCGATAGCACTAGCGAAAAGTCAAAGAAGGCGGACGACCTTCCGTTCTACTGCATTGGATTCAAGACAGCTTCTCCCGAGTATACGCTTCGTACACGTATCTGGGCTTCTCTCCGCGCTCAGACTTTGTACCGCACTGTTTCCGGCATGATGAATTATTCGAAAGCCATCAAGCTACTCTACCGCGTGGAGAATCCCGAAGTCGTTCAGCTGTTCAGCGGCAATACCGACAGGTTGGAGCGAGAGTTGGAGCGAATGGCTCGCAGGAAGTTCCGCTTCTGCATCTCTATGCAGCGATATTCGAAATTCAACGCTCAGGAGCTTGAAAATGCAGAGTTCCTGCTACGTGCGTACCCGGACTTGCAAATTGCTTATCTCGACGAAGAACCGCCAAGGCAAAAAGGTGGCGAACCTCGACTGTACTCCGCACTCATTGACGGCCACTCTGAGGTTGACGAGACCGGGAAGCGTAAGCCGAAGTTCCGCATTGAGTTGCCGGGTAACCCCATCATTGGCGACGGGAAGTCGGATAACCAGAATCATGCGATTGTCTTCTACCGTGGCGAATACTTGCAACTCATTGATGCTAACCAGGACAACTACTTGGAGGAGTGCATAAAGATTCGTAACATCTTGGGCGAGTTTGACGAATACTCGATTTCCAGTCAGAGTCCATATGCACAGTGGGGTCACAAGGAGCACAAGAAAACGCCTGTTGCTATTATTGGTACCCGCGAGTACATCTTCTCGGAGAACATCGGTGTGCTTGGCGATATAGCCGCTGGAAAGGAACAGACATTCGGTACAATGACTGCCCGTGCGCTTGCATGGATTGGCGGAAAGTTGCATTATGGCCACCCGGATTTCTTGAATGCATTGTTCATGACTACACGCGGTGGCGTCTCGAAAGCACAGAAGGGTCTGCATCTCAACGAGGATATTTTCGCCGGTATGAACGCTTTCGGCCGCGGTGGACGCATCAAGCACTCAGAGTACTATCAATGCGGCAAAGGACGTGACCTTGGTTTCGGCACGATTCTTAACTTCCAGACTAAGATTGGAACAGGAATGGGCGAACAAATGCTCAGTCGGGAGTATTATTATCTCGGGACGCAGCTGCCTCTTGATCGCTTCCTAACATTCTACTATGGTCATCCTGGTTTCCACATGAACAACATCCTTATCATCCTTTCTGTGCGGATTTTCATGATTGTCTGTAAGTCGTTCTGTATCGAAGCGACCTTCCAGCCGCACCCAACTGACATTGCTTTTCAGTAATTTTCCTTGGCACTTTGAACAAATCTCTCAACATCTGTCTCCTTGATTCGCAAAACAATCCTATCGCTGGTCAAGGTGGTTGCTATAATCTCCAACCTGCTTTCGACTGGATCAAGCGTTGCATTGTCTCTATATTCCTAGTGTTCTTCATTGCATTCTTGCCACTCTTCTTGCAAGGTAGGATGCAAATTGATTTTGTGCTTTCTTTGACTCTAATTGTTTCCTTCAGAACTCGTTGAACGTGGAACTGGCTCTGCACTTATGCGTCTTGCCAAGCACTTCCTCTCACTTTCGCCCATATTTGAAGTCTTCTCCACTCAAATCTATTCTCAGTCCATCTTGAGCAACTTGACTTTTGGTGGAGCAAGGTACATTGCGACTGGTCGAGGCTTTGCAACTACTCGGATGTCTTTCAGCATCCTATACTCTCGATTCGCTGGTCCAAGTATCTATATGGGTATGCGGACGTTGATCATGTTGCTCTATGCCACGATTACTGTCTGGATTCCCCATCTGATCTATTTCTGGGTCTCCGTCTTGTCATTGTGCATCGCGCCTTTCGTTTTCAACCCACATCAATTCTCAATTCCCGACTTCATTATTGATTACAGAGAATTTTTGCGGTGGATGTCGCGGGGCAACTCGAAGACGAAAGCAAGCAGCTGGTATGGCTATTGCCGTCTCTCTCGAACCATGATCACCGGTTTCAAGAAGAAGAAATTGGGCCAACCGTCCGACAAATTATCTGGGGATACTCCACGTGCGCGATGGAAGACAGTGCTCTTCTCAGAGATTCTCGCTCCGTTGGTAATGGCGGCACTCTTTACGATCGCATACATGTTCGTCAAATCCTTCCCGGACGCGAATGGCAACCAACCACCCAGTCCTCTCATCCGTATCGCAGTCATTGCAATCGGTCCTATGGTTTGGAATGCGACTGTTTTGATTGCGCTGTTCTTTACGTCATTGTTTCTTGGGCCAATGTTACAAGGTTGCTGCGGAAAATTCGCGTCTATCATGGCTGCAACAGCTCACTTACTCGCTCTCATTGGTATTATTGCGTTCTTTGAGTTTTTCGTAAGTGACTGACCTGTCTACATTTCAATATTCGTCTAACGCAATTTATAGTGGTTCCTTGAACTCTGGGACGTCTCACATGCAGTACTTGGGCTGATTTGCATTATCGCGATACAGCGGGCCATTCAGAAGATCCTTATTTCCGTGTTCTTGTCCAGAGAGTTACAGCATGACGAGACAAATCGTGCTTGGTGGACTGGGAAATGGTATGGAGTCGGCTTGGGCAACGGTGCGATGTCGCAGCCTGCTCGAGAGTTTGTTGTTAAGATCGTGGAGATGTCGTTGTGGAGTTCCGACTTTATCCTGGCACACCTCCTCCTCTTTATTCTGACTCCTCCACTGTTTATTCCTTTCATAGACCGTATCCACTCGACAATGCTCTGTGAGTGACATGTTTATTGTGTTGCCCTGATTGTTCTCTCACTAACACGGAACACAGTCTGGCTTCGTCCGTCAAAGCAAATACGCCCTCCACTCTTTTCTACGAAGCAGAAGAGGCAACGTCGGTGGATCGTGTTCAAGTTCGGCATTGTGTACCTACTTGCTATAGCTGCCTTCGCAGCTTTGATTATCTTGCGTAAGTCATTTATTTCCTTGTGAAATACACAGATCGGTATTGATTTATTCTGTCGAAACAGCTGTGCTCTTCAGAGACGAGATCACGTTCAAGTGCACACTTTGCACGAACATATGATTACCTGAGGAGGTACTTCGCCAGACGTAATATATATCTATAGATACCCAGTTGGACTCTGTTCGATGCATAGATTGAGACACTTGCTTTCAATCTGTATCCGGACCTTGCTGTGTGCTGTCGCATGAATCATCTACGACTATCTACGTGGCCTACACTGTCATTATATTAATAATCAGACATGTAACAACTTTCTACAGAAAATACATGCTCTCTCGTTTTACCTAAATTGAAATAAAATCGTAGTATTTGATATTCGTAAGAAGATGAACACGTGTTCTTTTAATCTTCACGCGTCATAAGAGGAAGAGGCTGTGACCGATCTGTCCGTCCGTGAGCACTGAGTGACTGAGCGCGCCTCGGACTCGGAGCCTGACCGTCCGTCCTGTGCGCGGAAGAAAATTCCACCTTGTCCTCCACCCCCATGTCTCCCCCATCACTAAGTGCCAGTAGACTCGCGCCCACGATGGCTCGTGCTGTATTGCAGCGCAGACGACTACCGATACGCCGTTTGATGTCTTCTGCGCCACCACGCAGACCGTTCAAGATACACGTTGGGGCAAGTTTCGAGGGGAAGCCGCCGGAGTATCGTGCAACCCCAGGGCGACCACTGAAGGTTGCTACAGACTTCCCAATCGGGAGTGATATTCGCGCCTGGAGAGATGCAATGCTGTCCAGACCGAAGGGTGTTCCGTCGAAAGATGCTGGTGAAGATTTCTTCTATGTCCAGGAGGTATGTTATGGCTCTCGGTCTACGAGACTTAATGCTAACAGCAAATATGACGACTCCGAGCAGATGCGTAACCAGTCGGTGAGTATGTGTGCTTTTCGGTTGGAAGCTCAGTGCTTACACTGTTAACCTGGACAGGGTATTTCTTTCGGTGTTGCTGATGGAGTCGGTGGATGGATAGACGTCGGGGTAGACCCCTCACTATTCTCTCAAGCATTGATGTATCACGCGCATCGATACTGCAAGCAATCATGGGCGGGAGAGCCGGAGACCGATCCTTTATCAAATTATGAGGAACGCGAGCAGGTACAGGGATGGGAGCTAAAACCGAGGGAATGCCTTGAGCTTGCCCATGGAGCCGTCCTGAGGGAGAAGACTGTAGAGGCGGGTGAGTCTCCTTTGTAGCCCTGTTGATCTATATTTTACGACTAAAGCGATCAGGTTCAAGTACTGCTTGTCTAATAAATGTCAATGCTTCGAATGGTCTGTTACGAGCCGCTAAGTATGTCATATCGTTTTATTCGTACTTCATACTGACTTATATTTTCTACGATTAGCCTCGGTGATAGTGGCTTCTGTATTTTTAGATCTTCTAATCTACTTTATTATCAACCACCCCAAACGCATTTCTTCAATTGTCCCAAGTTCGTATGTTTCTTATCATTTGGATCTCACACAGTTGACATGCAGACATACAGGCAATTATCGAAAGTTCCGTCAGGGACACGAAAGTATGGGCAGGCGTACACAGACTCTCCCCGAGAAGCAGATGTTTACGAGACTAGATTAAGAGATGGCGACACCGTAGTAGCTTATGTGAGTGAACATCGACCTATGCTCCTCTGAATATTTCTGACGCCTACTTTTCAGACGGATGGTTTATCCGATAACGTGTTTGCGAATGAGATGCTGCAAATATGCACTCTTATTAGTCGGTCTGGTGCTCCGGAACATCAACAAGCCCAAGAAATGGCGGATAGACTAGTTTTATACGCTCGAGCTTGTATGGTGAATGACAGAAGGATTAGTCCATTTGAGAGTAAGCCATGACAAATAAGACAATTGTGCTAAAAGCGCCTTGCTGACCCGCTCTGTGATTAGTTGCGGCTGCTAGAGTAGGGGAGCTTTACAAAGGAGGGGTAAGCCTAGCTAATTTAACTTCCCTCATGTAGCGCGTTACTGATATTCTCCTGCTACTCCAGAAAGTTGATGAGTAAGTTTCATGCTCACATTTCGTAGATATGGAGGACTAACTCGACGGCTTATTAGTGTCACTGTAGTAGTCGCTCGGATCCAAGAAATGACTTGACACTTGCCTCTCAGGATATCAGCCTTCGTTTTCTTCCTAAGTTATATATATCCTCTTTCTCGCTGTTCATATTTGTTTTCTTATAGAGCTCATAATTCATTACATACATACCGGGATATCTTACAAAGTACTAATAGAGTAGAGCAGATTGGTTTCTTATTTGGAGTGCAGGTAATTAGCATACATAGAATTATTTCCTGTTTATTTCAGGGCCTTTATCGACGTTTTTTGGTTCATGAACACACTTTCTTGCAGCACAAAACCGAATGTCTTGATCGCAATACACCTTGGATTTTGATTGACTATGCTAACAACAGATCTGACGACTACACTGATGTAAGTATCTAAATGCTCCATGTCCTCTTAAAATACAGATAAAATTACAAATTACTGGCCTTCTTCTCTTTGTCTCTTTTTGTCCCCAATGCTCCACCGAAAAAAGAAAAAAAATTGAAGAAGAGGAAACGAAAATAGGCGAAAAAGGCGCAAATTAAATCGAATGCGAATGCGAAAAAAGGTGGGGAAAAAATCGTAGAGCTACAAAAACCCTTCTTCATTAAAAACGATACCCATACGTCGCCTTTCCTTGAACAGGTGTCCGATCGTATCTTTGACGTGAGTTATAGAGGGCCGACTTCGCGGGTCGTCTTTCCAGCACGTTAGGAGGAAGCTCCAGATTTCCGAGGAGATACTGGGATAGGCCGAGCGGAGTTTGTCGTGGAGAGGTTTTATGCCGAGGAGGATCTCGTGTACGACTTGAACGTCTTTTTTGCGGTAGTAGTAGGGGAGTTTGCCACTTAAGACCTGATTTTTTTTCAAAAACAAGAGAAAATAAATGGCGTTAGAAACGTCAAACGCTAGTTGGGGTGGTTTCTGGGCTTACTTCTAACACTGTACTCCCAAACGACCAAATATCGGAATATGTCGTCAATTGTACCGAGCCCTGACTTTCCTCGATAGACCTGGTTGATCCATAAGGGTTGAAGAGCTCGAACGCCATCCATCGGACTGAACCTGCAAATGTTGACGCGGATTGTTCGGTCCCTGTGGCTTCTTCGATGAGAGTTGATATCCCGAAGTCTGTAAGGAGTGCGTGGCCGGAGTCGGATACTAGGATGTTTGACTATACAAAAAAAAATGGAAGTTTGTATGAGAGGATAAAGGGACATTGAGAGGGAAGAAGGACGAACGGCTTTGAGGTCTCCGTGTATTATTGGAGGTGAGAAACAGTGTACTGGAGAAAGGTATATTTCAGCACGGTTGTATCAGAAGGAATTGACGTGATTCCTTACAATACTCAAGACCCGAAGCGACTTCGTAAAGCTATTGGTATTCCACGTATCAATAAAATGGAAACGGCATCCTGAAAGTAAAGTGGAACATACAAGTTTTAGCCTCCTTGGTAGTGTAGTCTGCACATCCTGCCCCTCAAAATACTTCGACGCATTGCCGTTGTCCATCCAAGGTGAAACCATCGACGCATAGTGCCCCATGTCATTGACAACTCCGTATAACGGAACGATGTGAACGTGCTGAAGCTTCTTCCAAATGTCCAGTTCTTGGTTTAGGCGCTGAAAATGGTAGTATACTTTTTTAGTCATCCGTCTCTAGTAGGAATTGATTGTTGTGAGAATGGATGGCTTACCTTCCGAACCTTTGCTTCTGTTTTGGAGTCAAAGCAAAATGAACGAATGACTTTGATGGCCACCTATAGAACATAGACAAAATAAGCAACAGAAGGAATGCGGCAGATCTCTTTGACACCTACAGTTTTACTCCGACCGTTCGCATCCCAAGTCCCTCTCCAGATATCCGAAAACCCTCCAACAGCCGCAGCATGATCATCGAGTTTGCATATCTGTCCCGTTAGGTCCGCAATCCCAAGATCAAGTTCTCTTGGAATCGGGTATCCAGAAACCGCTAGATGTACACGACCGACTTCAAACACGAGTTCGGGATCCACAGGCGAAGGGGACCTCTCGGCAGGGCCGTCTTCTTCCACTTCGTCAATATCATTCAGACATTTCTCATCCTCTATTTTGAATTCACTGAACTCCGGCCATTCGTCATCATTAAAATCATACGCTGTCCACCCAGACCAAGATGAGAATCGCCCAGTGCGGTCACTGTGGAGAGTTGTCCCCGTGAGAGTGGACTCTCTGTGCGCGAACTTTCCACGTTTCGGGGATACTGGGGACGAAGTGGACAAGTAACGGTCATGGAACTCTTCATTAGAAAGTACTGTAATAGGTGAATAGTAATAAAATAGTTAGATACTTAATTTATACTCTATTCGATATAGTAATAAATAAATTAAGCTCACGGTTCTCGGCCGGCGCGGCTCCTCCGATGAGTAAGACCGGCTGCAAACAAGCTTCGATCGCGCTACTCCACTGCCTGAGTTCTTGCGCAGTCTTGAAGCATATATGCACGAGTTTCGAGGCCAGCGTGACTCGTAGACAGTTCGATCTTGTAGTATCGGGACAGCAGTGTTGGATGTCGCTGAAGGGAATGGACGCGCTGGGTTTTGACAGCGCAGAGGACTACGATAAATGCAGGCGTCGTCAGCAACAGCAACTACTAGGCCAGTGTAGGCGGCGAGACACGTACGGAATCCTTGAAGAACAGCAAATCATCCTCGGTCAGGCATAACCAGAGTCGCGTGAAGCGGAAATGGCTAAGGCCTATGCCTTTTACTTCCGCTTTCCCCGATCTGATGATCTTCATGCGCCCCTCAGCTTCCAGTGTCCGCATATCGGGCCTATCTCACTCAAGTTGACCTGGCGAACGTGCCGCGTTGTGAGGAGAGGGACAAATTGAAGGAGGGGGGCCGAGACGGAGGCAACCTCTCAATGCTCAACACCCACCGCGTCGGAGGGGGTGAGTTTTGAGAGAACCGGACGAATGCGGTGTTAGCATACTTTACCTTAAATCGACGCTGGGGTGCACAGGTTGTTGTATCAGCCGTGATTGACACAGGGACGGTATTATGAATAGAATTTCATGAGAAAAGGAATTTAAGGGGTCCTCGGCCCCGTGATGGATTGGAAGCTCAGAACGTATACATCCGCAGCCAAAGAAAGGGAAACCCATCAGATGAGGGCGTATGTCAATCGAGGCAATGCTACTTCTTGGGCAAGATCATCCCGGAATTTTCCAAGCAAATACTAGTACTTCCAACTCCATCCAGTCCCTGTTTACCTTCCCATATGGCCCGATAACATTTATACAGTACATTATTCTCACTCTAGTCCAAAAGCTGATGAAAGGAATATTTTAAAGTTCCTGTCAATTCAATCTGACGAAATCACACCGCTCACATCAACATCAGAGCTTCCTTTCGATGAAACTCTCGATAGCTCCTTCCGCGGTGAGAGGATATTCTTTGAGCACCACTTCATCATCAACGACGAATGTGTTCGGCTGTGATTCCACGATTCAGGAAACGACCAATCACACATAATTCGGACCGAATCACATACCTGTACAAATGCTTTACGAGGCTATGTGTGCATTGACACGTCAGCCACACGAAGTAGAGACAAACCGAGGCAAGACCGCAAGAGAGGAGACAGAAGTAACTTACCTGCTTCTTCTTGAGTACCAAATCTCGCAACTCTCCATCCCAGCTGAGCAGAGGCGTTGTCAACTCAGTGTAGAATCTGCGAGCGCCGGGCCCGTCTGCAGTGCTCTTGCGAACTTGCAAGTCAACAAGAAGTTCTCCGGCGACATCTTTTCCAACCGAAAGCACTTTGGCACGGTCAACTCGGATGTAGGCGTTCTCCAGAACACCATCTGTGCTGCGTATTTCCTCTACACGTGCGATGCCGGATCGCACCAGGTGCTGTGTAATACCCATACTATGAAGCAGTTATTTATTCGATTTGAGCCACTAAGATCGAATAGCTGAAACACCAACCGAGCTTGCATATGGGCTTGTCCGTGCTTCCTTGTTTTGGGGTCGTAAAATTCGAGTGCCCGAAGTCCCATGCGCGCCATAAGCAAGAAAGTGATATATATGATATCCTCAGAATCCTGTTTGGTGGTATACTGGAGGGAGAAAGCATTTCATCATGTTCACAATCATAGCATGCCGATCAAATTGGAAATCTACTTACGCCAAAAAGACCAAGTATTTCCTCATTGCTTGCCACTGCCAGCGATGGTAAGCATAAAGTATGCCAATTAGGCACTTGAAAACACTTGAAACATACAGTAAAGAGCAGCTGTTTCAGCGCGGCACTCTTCCATTGACGAGGAAACTTCACCGAGGACTGAATCTGGAGTCTGCCCCGGTTTATACCACGAAGTACTGTAAATTCGTGAGTCGTGGAATACATCGACTCAACTGAGCTTGGACGTACATCGGTTTCCCAGTAAGTGGATTGATTATCTGCCGCACCGGAAGCGACGTTAACATTGTTCCTTTCTAATTAGTTGTGCTGAATCTACCTTTTCAAGGTCGAAGTTCTTCTTCCCGTCCGCATCCTCTTGGAACAGCTTGCCTGAACCGTGACCTAAGAGCTCATGATTTGCGACTTGGAGTTCGAAGGCGCGAGAATCCCAGGCGTTGTACAGGTCGACGTCATCAGGGTGGATAAAGGTTAGTTCTTCATCTGATACAGGGAAGAGGTAATATGAATGTCAGCTCATGGTAGACTGGGAGGGCATACTTGGTGATTTCGCGGCGAGGATATTCTGTGGTATGAGTAAGTATACGTTACTAAGAGGATGTCTGAAGAATGTACTGACAGCGAGGGATACGTTCTTGAAACCGAGCGATTCGCGAATTTCGTAGTAATTCTGCAGCGATGTTAAGAGAGAGGAACTACAGAATTGTGCAGAGCATAGTACGAACGGGGATCTAGACAGAACAGAATTAGTGTTTCTCTGGGAATATGTAGTTCAATCAAGAGTAACATACATTTATTCCTGCAGGGATACCTCCAGTTGCAAAGCTGACCACCTCAAGAGCAGTGAAGTCCGGTTTCCTAAACACGTCAACCTCAAAGTTCGGACCCCACGGCAAGCTCTTGATGAGCTCTGGGGCACGCTCGACGAGTTTCTCGTACTTTGCACTAAGTTGTTTATTTACGATAGCGGTGAACCCTTCCCACTCTGCTCGCGCACCGTAAGGGTCGACGTAGGTTTCGATGAAGCCGATGTATGACTCCACAACGGGACCTATGTCTTTCACCCATGCTCGGGAACCTTCCTTGTGTGCGTCGATTGAGCCGGTTTTGAATCTCGGACGAGGATTAGCCTTTAATGAAAGACGAGAAATGGTTGCCTTACGACTCGATATAGCCGTCGAGCATCTTCTCTTGATTCTCATTTGCCACATATTTTTTGGCCTGATATACGCGACCATCAGGTCATACATACTCATCGTCAGAGTATGGGTACGAACCTCTGTAAGTGCATCGACAGTCTTGCGTAATGCCGAGGAGAAATCTCCGTATCGCACTTCAAGGGTAACCTCCGTGTCATTGATCTTGATTTGGTGCGACAATGTTTCCATTGAGTCGGCGGATGCAACATGGAGGATGAACTTCGATTTGTCCACTTTCTCGACGCTAGAATAAAGTTTGAATGAGATATAACCAGTAGGAACCTGGTTTCATTGGTACCGGGTATTCAAGACGTCAATTTTTTCTTTCTCCGCTGCGGCTTGTACGGCAGCGACTTCATCATCTGTGATAGGCTCCCCGATATAGTAGTTGGAGATGTGACCGTCTGTGCGTTTTCCTATGGTAAGTGTAGATTCCGGCTCCGTTGCGTAAATATAACCCTTGAGCTATCATATGGTCAGTCTGAACATGACGTGCTCGTATTAATTTGTTAAAATAACTGACATTCTCCCAAAGAGGGACCGCTTCATTCGCATTTGCAGAGCTTTTGATAACGTCTCCAAATTTGTCTTGTGAAATACGCGGGATGATCTTCGTGAATCCGAACGATCGATAGTTGACGAGGTTGCTCAAGACCTGAAAAATAGTGAGTAAATGCGCAATAAACGGCTCGGAAAGCGATCGTCTACCTGAGAGGAATACTGCAAGACGTTGCCCCAGTCTTCATCTGAAAGACCCGCCTTTGTCTTTAATTCATCCAGGTTCGCGAGCTTGCCTTTGTCGTCACTGAACGTGAGAATGAGAAGGTCGTATAGCGAGGTTGCTTCGGGAGTCCATTGGCCTTGGATAATACGGGCACCAGCCCAACTTGCTTGAGAAACATAGTGGGCATACTTCTTCTCCTTCAAACTATCATGGCATCAGCTCGAACGCGCTACGAAGACGAGCCATCGATTAGTGACTGACCTCAGCTGATTGAAAGCTTTCGCGACATCAAGGCTGCAGAAAGGCGTGCGTTGGTCAGCGTAGAAACGCTCGATGTTGATACCTGAAGGCATAGTTTTCCTGACTGGTGGTTCTGTCAAAATCGCAGTAGCCAACAAGCGCGATGGGAACCTGAAAAGGACGAGTTTATTAGAATGGCGTGTAGATCTTACCAGGCTGAACCTGAGCCCTAGCGCGAAGAGCATGTGACGGCGAGCACGCAAAGGACGCGTCTGCAATGAATTGAGCCCATCGGCTAGTCCCGGCATGATTTTCGGCACACCCGACGCAGCCTACGTACATTCTACTTGTCCACTCGACTCGACGTCAACTTTCACTTCCACCACCGCCGTCGCCGTCGCCCTGTGCGCCAACACATGCTGGGGCTTGGTCTACGTATAGCGCGCCCCTTGGCTTCTCCTTCGTCATTATTCGTTGCCACCCGCTGGTGTCCTCCGTCACGCACTTTCCTTCATCTCGCTGCCGTTACTCCCCGTCGTTCGCCATGCTTAAACTCTTCTAGATTACTTCAACTTATAAGCTCATCACGGACATATCCCATTCGTTTCGCTTCTACTTCGTCCTCTGCTTCATTCCCGACTGTTCACTCCGTTGCTGCCGTCACAAAAGCGGAGGTTGAGGCAGACGCAAATCCTAACGATGTTGCCGCGCAGGAACGGCTCTTTCGTTTGCTCATTGAATCGGAGAGACCGGCAGGATGGAACGTACTTTTGAGTCGATGGGAGCGTATGTGCGAATTTGTGAGTTCTATTTGTCTATCCTTCCTTCCGCCCTTACTTACTGACAAGTAATATCAGAATCCTGGATCGCCCTTACTGCACTCGGACGAAGCCTTTCAATACTACCTTATGGCTCTTGTCAAATCCGGTCATAACGCTAGCGTAACTCCTGCAGTTTCTCGGCGGGAGCAGCTCCTTCGTACACACCCCTTGCCTACGGAGCTTCAGCAAGACGATACGGCAACTCTTAACGCAGGGCAACAGTTAACTCAGCCTGTAACTACCACCGAGTCATTGGTCGCCTCAACTTCTGCAACTTCTGGTGCTCATCTCCTGTCATCACGTAGCCAAGAAATTGCCAAACGGGTCCTTGCAACGGAGGCAGCGCAACTCCTATCGACTGCTAAGAAAGGTTCTGCTCAGATGAGTGCATCTTCGGCGTTAAAATCTGCTCCTCTCAGTACAAACAATAGTGGTGGAGGTCCAGAGTCACCGATCTATGTTACTATAGCTGAGAGTGAGTCAATGAAATGATTTCACGCAATTTCTTTTGACTGATGGTATACCTATTCTAGCAAAGGGCGAGATGTGGAGGAAGATTGCCAAAACCGTCGTGTGGGCCGTTGTGGGAGGTTTCTGTATGTCAAGAAGTTCACTCAACTCTTCAAGCTTTTCTAATCGGTCAACTCGCAGTCATTCTCGTGGTCTTTTCGCTATTTTTGGAAAATACGAATCTTCTGAAGACTGGGCCGCGTGCGGCGGAGTTTGAACCCATGAAGGGGAAGACGGTGAAATTCAGCGACGTACACGGTGTAGATGAGGCAAAAGAGGAATTGAAGGATGTCGTTGATTTCCTCAAAGATCCCGCTGCATTCTCGACACTCGGTGGCAAATTGCCAAAAGGCATTCTATTAACAGGAAGTCCAGGAACAGGAAAAACAATGCTTGCTCGGGCCGTCGCAGGCGAAGCTGGTGTTGTGCGTTGCATCCCATTCGTTTTACTTCTTGAATCAGACTAAGGCATTTATTGTAGCCGTTCCTGTTTGCGTCTGGGTCTGAGTTTGAGGAAATTTTCGTTGGCGTCGGTGCAAAACGCGTCCGTGAGCTTTTCGCAACGGCACGGAAGAAGCAGCCTGCCATTATTTTCATTGATGAGTTGGACGCTATTGGGGGAAAACGTAGTAATCGCGAGCAGCAACACCTCAAGCAGGTTGGTGTTTCTAATAATGAAAAGAGTTGGATAGATTAACTCACTGATTATCCAGACATTGAATCAACTTTTGGTCGAGATGGATGGTTTCCTACAGTCTGAAGGTGTCATTGTAATTGCTGCCACCAACTTCCCAGAATCCTTGGATCAGTAAGTTACACCAGTGCGAGTTGCTGTCCAGATCTGAGTTGTTTTTCACAGAGCTCTAATTCGACCAGGTCGATTTGACAGGACTATTGGTATGTCTGATAAGCCTTCGATGCAAATCAGTATGCCTATAACTTTTTTTCCAGCGGTGCCCTTACCCGACGTTCGCGGACGTGTACAAATTCTACAGCATTTTATGAAGGGCGTGATTGCAGCGCCTGGTACGTTTCTCTACATTACTCCTGTTCTTGCGCTTATGGTCTCTGCAGAAGTGGACACAATGATTATTGCCAGGGGAACACCAGGCTTTTCTGGAGCGGAACTGCAAAACATGGTCAAGTAAGTATTGTGCGCTTGTCCGCAGTCACGGGAGTTCTGCTAATACGTGCTCCTCATTGTACACAGTCAGGCAGCTATTCAAGCTTCCAAAGAAGGTGCCAAGGAAGTAACGCTCAAGCATTTCGAATGGGCCAAGGTAAGTCTTCATTGTGCTTGACTGACGTCGCGTTTTAAACGTCTGCTATTTTAGGACCGCATAATCATGGGAGCGGAAAGGAGGACGCATTACATTGACCCGAAGGACAAAAAGTGCACCGCGTACCACGAGGTGAGCCCCAGAATGTCTCGATTCGGATATGCATCTCGACTATTGTTGACCACTCTCCTCAGGGCGGTCATGCCTTGGTGGCTCTGTACACAGAGGGTGCTATGCCTCTACACAAAGTTACTTGCGTGACACGAGGACATGCACTCGGCCTAGTGAGTTTTCGTTATGCCTCGTTTCATGATCTAAATGACCTACCCTTCGTCAGACGCAATTCCTGCCAGAAGGTGACAAAGTGTCTATGACGATGAAAGAATACCAAGCTTCTATTGATGTGTCAATGGGAGGTAGGGTAGCGGAAGAACTGAGTGAGTAGTTTTTTTTGCAGTTTCTGAAATAGAGTTATCGATTTCAATCTTTCAGTTTACGGCACGGAGAATATATCAAGCGGAGCTTCAAGTGATATTCGCAACGCTACGAGGACGGCTTCAGCAATGGTCCGAGTACGTGCAATCCAAGTGTTACTTACGCGTTAACTTTACCTGACATTGGCTTCTTAGCAATTTGGCTTCTCTGACAAGATTGGCCCTGTATTCCACCATGAGAATGACAATACTATCAGTCCACAAAAGAGGGAGCTGATTGAATCAGAGATCCAGAGGTATGCAGTGACAGTGGGTTATCTCAAAATAATGTCTTACGATTCTTCGCGCATCAGAATGATTGTGGAAGGACAGGACCGGGCTCGTAGGCTCCTTAAGGATAAAGAAGAGGAGTTACACAGGGTAAGACGAGATTGATCTTTTTCAATTTGCAGTCTAACTCACCATACGCTGAAAGCTCGCGAACGCACTCTTCGAGTACGAAACTCTCGATCTCCAGGAGGTGAAGAAAGTGATCAAGGGAGAGCCTATACGACCTGTAGAAGAGAAGCTTCTCGAAGTCATAAAACAGTCCTCGGAAGAATCGGACTCAAATTCCACAACACCAGTACCGGAACCTACACCACAGCCAATTGCAACTGTATCATAGATTTTCACTATTATTTCCTTCTCCCACCTCGTTCCCACATAGCCTGTTTCTTTCATTGACTCACTACTTGGTTTTGCATTTCTTGCTTTGATCCAATCTGACAAGTGAATATGACACGCGTATGCATTAAGTAGTATACTATTTTAATATAAAAGTGCTGTTACTGGCATGTTATGTGCGCGCTCAAGAACGTAATTGTTGTTCAGTTTGGGTGTAGGTTCTCAGCGTCTCAGTGCCTTCCATCCTCCGTGCGGTAGATTGACAATTGTTACTCGGAGTGTTCGGTACTTTACTCCGGAGCAAGTCTGGCCTGCCATATGCAATATGCATGTCCGTCTGCCACGATCAAATAAACCGCGGACCTCGCTCGATGCGCATCGGGGCTTCAGGAAGCTGCATAAAAGCAGCAGCTCCAAGTGACTCACTCCAAGGTCCGTCTCTGGGTGTCATCTTATTGTCATCTGTCTGTCTGCTTGAGAGTTGAAGCTTGACTATGTCTCCTGCTTATGCTGTTAATGGTTCTCCGAAGCCGAAAGGCGTAGCGATATATTGTGGGTCTTCCCTAGGAAAGCAGAAGGCTTTTGAGAATGCTGCTGTCTGTACGTGTCTTCCCTATACTATTCATCACCCGCGTGTGCTAGAGCTGAAGGGAATCGAATGTTACATTGACAATCTACGATCGTGATTCATGACGCATATACTTAGCTGTTGGTGCTGCACTTGCACGGAACGGACGGCCGCTTGTTTATGGTGGAGGCTCAAAAGGAATCATGGGCGTTGTCTCAGGTGCGATAGCTCGACAGAGACATCCATTTATGCTTATATGAATAAATTTATGTGTTGTGCTGATTTGACTTCTCTGAATCTGCGATCTCGATTCTTGCAGGCAGTGCGTTGGAACAAGGTGGGGATGTCACTGGCGTTGTGCCGTATGCGATGTATGCTGCTGGGGGTGAAAGGTACGTATCGATTCGTTCCTGTTGTTAAGTGGATGATTGAGGATATTCTTACGTGGATTAGGGAGAAGACGACGAGCGAGATAGAGAATAGTGTGGACATTATGGTGAACACGCATGGCAAGGAAAGGGTGAGCTCAGCTCTCATGCCTCCAGATCCTCTACCGATACTCATCTTGCTTTATGACTTAGTTAACAACAGTAAGTATTGATTCCCGTCCGGAACCTTGTCTTGAATGGTCTCTTTATCGGGTCAAATTATAATTGCAGGTCCTTGTGAACTCGATGCACGAGCGTAAGGTCGAGATGGCTAGACGTGCAAGTGGTTTCATTGGTTTACCAGGAGGATATGGAACATACGAGGAAGTTTTTGAAGCGATTACCTGGACGCAGCTAGGCATCCATGACAAGCGTATATCTTTCCCCTCTCCCTACTCCTTACCCCAGATTGATTTATTATTATTTATATTTTCCTTCAGCCGTCATCCTGCTCAACGTCCTCTCGTTCTACTCACCTCTTCGAGACCTCGTTCGTAACGGCGTAAATGAAGGTTTCATCCAACCATCCAACGAGAACCTTGTGCTTTTCGTCGATGGTCCGTCCGACCCGTCATTGCACGAGACGTTCGATTGGGGAGAGGCAGCGCTAGAGGCTTTGAACTCATGGAACAAGGGCGAAGCTTCCGTTTATACATATGATTGGTCCAAGAAAATGGGAAAGGAAAATGGGGAGAGTAAGGAAGATAGATTGGATGTTACGTGATGTAGATGTAGAATATATGCTGTTCACAGCCGACTCTCCAGGCAGAAATTATTATTTGTGTATGTGTACGCGTCGCTTACATAATATACGCGTTAATTTGCAGTGTGCACGCGCCTCGGTCAGGCTGGCTTACTCTAATCCTCCAGAACAATGTCTGACGGGTTAACCTCACGTCAGGTATGTGAATATGAAAATATCAGGAGCCGTTTTTAACTTAGTATTAGACACTCAAAGCGACGATACCAGATATCCGAGTCATCGCTACACTGCTACGTGGATTATGTCTATCTGGTACAAATCAGCGAGCCGTCTTGACAATCATGAAGAGAGGACTTGCGGTGTCAATTGAAGAGGCTAGGACTCTAAGTGGTATTAATATTTATTATTCATCTCTTTTCCAACTGGAATTGTCATCTCATACCTTCTTAATAGGACGAGTGATACTCTGGCCCGTCCTCTTCGACGAATACGTCTATGAACCCGAAGATGAAAACACTGGCAGTGACGATGACGAGGAAGGACCTTGGACGACATTCAGCATTCAATTGAACATACTGCTTGAATGTCTAAACATCTTCGGCACCGCATCGGGATCGGCGTCGAGTTTCCCTTCTGCGCCGAGGCAAGCGTGGAATAACAACAGGCCGGAAGAGTCAGACAATGAAGAGCAAGCCGGTGGTGCAGACGGTCGGAAGAAGAAGAATACAAATGGGAAGATTGATTCATTTTTCCTTCGGACGAGTGGGAGAGGGACTGGGATGAGGTTGTCATACACTGGTCCTGGATATCCGCTTGTGCTTCATCTGTGGGTTTGTCTATTGTTCTCACCTCAGTCCGACAACTTACTGAGTATATGATAGCGCTGAAAGCTCGGATGGTCCGACTACCACATGCGAACTCGTCACTTACGAACCAGATGATCAGCTCAGCCTCGAGATCGACAGTCAAGATATGTTAGTCGCTCCCTTCATTAAATTTACCCTTGACCTCTGCTAACACAATTTGTATTTATCCTTTTAGTGTAATAAAATGTATTTTCAAGGTGAAGCCACATACTCTAACTTCTGAATCTGTCAGTTAAAACTACTTCAGTCATCATGGCTACGCGACGCTCTATCAGAGGTGGATCCGTCCTGTGAGAAGATTACATTCATAGGGAACCCAACAGTTCCAGAGACATCGCTTCAACGCGGCTCTCCCCGTCCCTTGTTCAGAATACAGGCTGTAGGTCCATTCGGGAGTACAGAGGTAAGCAGATATCCGCGTCCTCTAAGACAAAAGGATAATAAAAGACGTCCTGTAGATTGACTACCCTAACGATAGGGAGGTCCTCGAAGCCTTTGAATGCGATTCGAACGTATCATATAGGTATCAATCGATATCTCCTTCCAATAAAAGCGATTATTATTAATACAGGACCTCGAATCCATCAGTTACAGGTTTTCCCATATAATCAAAACGCTTCGTGCACTCCAATCCTCCTCTAAAACCTCATTACGAATCGACGGGGAAGGCGTCCTGAGCCTTCAATACCTTTCAACTTCACCTAATCCAAACACTGGTGCACCTGTTGACTCTATTGTGGACTATTGGGTAAGCAACATCCTTCTAACATTTAATTCAAAAACTCATTTGCGTTGACTCGCGATTAGTGTTTATCCATTGACGAAAGCACTGCATAACAAACCATCAATACACATGTAACAAAAAGAGTAGTAAAGTCCAATATAATACGATGAAATCATTCAACCAAAAAATGTAATAGTAATTGTAAAAGTTGTATCAGATACATTGTTGAAGTCGTAGAAACGTGTATACATAAAGTATGTATGTCAAAATTTCCCAAAATGAATCATCCCAACAGTATTCCCGAATCCAGCAAGACAAATTGGGCTTCTGATAATAAGTGGTGAAAGGCGTGTGAAGGATAGTCTTGGGATTGACTTTTGGGTAGACGGCGATATACCATCTTTGGGAGACTCGGATTCTAATCGTAATGTGGAGAGTGAAGAGGCTTGAAGAGTCACGTTTGGCTTGGATGGGTCGATCATCCATACCTCCCAGCGATCGAGGACGGATATTGACAGGGCGGTAGATTGCGTAGCTCTTTCAGGTTTCCTCTGTGGCTCGTCAGTCGAGCCTTGAGGTTTTCGAGGCTTACGACGAATCCCAAGTATCTTGCCGTTCAAGATATCCCATCCACCCCGTTCGCAAGTTGCCTCTCGTACGCGTACTAGTCTGAAATTCCTCCACAAACAAGACACCGAAGGATCAGTGGAGGATGTCGGGAACCTTGTACCGTCCGGTACGGTAAGTCTTGACAATTCCTCCCCATCGCCAAACGCTCCAATGCCATCCTCTGCCGTGCAGAACGCAACCCTGTCGTACCTATCACTTCCTCGGCGCAAAGCTTCTTTCTCAGAACCGCGCCTTGCATGTTTACCATGTGCGGAGACAGGGAAGGCGCTGACATCGGGCGCATTCTCCTCCGATAACGACACACGTCTACTGCGATTATGTGAAACAGTATCCAAACCAGAGGATGAAACGAAGCTTCCACTCCGCGAGCGCCTTCCAATCGAACTATCCTTATGCGCTACGATCTTTGATACTAGCGGTTGAGTCAAAGGGCAGGAACACCTGTGTGCGAGAATCCCTTGATCAACGAGTACAATGTGGCCAACGGAGTACACGAGGCAGAAGCTGCATTGTGGAACTTCGCCGCATTGCGAGCATGCTTTGGATGGGATCGGCAAGATTCGTAAGCTATTGACGAAGCCGTACGTCTCATCAAGGACCAAGATGCATTCTCCAGTCGCCGCGTCCCAAAGAGTTATGACGCCGGCGTAGGTCACCGCAGCCACCAAAACGTGTACTGCTTGCTCTATGTTGACTAAACAAGCATGCACATCTACCACCAGATCCTCCGAAGAACCAGCATGGATGTAGATTGGGCCTTGTAGAATTGGAATTTGGCAAGGATCAATGATCTCATAGCCTCCACAATCATGAAAGAAGAATAAGATAGGATGCCACCCATCACCGACGTGGATTAATTTGGCCCTAGCACGATCCGTTCCGCGACTTGAAGTATAGGACATAGGTACGCCATTCGTCCACTGCACGACGCGACCGTTCCTATGGATGGCAATTACACTTGGAAGACTTATGTACTGATCCGGCACCCCGGTCCTCTCGGCAGATAGATGATCTCCCGTCGAACGAATGCTACGTGCTGAAAGTTCGATTTGTGAGACTGGCGAAGCACACTCATCCAAGAAAAGTTGGGATATTGGCTGAACGTCATCTCCATGTATGGACCAGATCCCAATCACTCCAGATCCGGCGCCAACTGCACAACACGTTCCTTCGTCATCTACTGCAACTGCAGTCAAGGGATATTGCACCGCCGAAGAACAGGCGCCTTTGAGAACGAGGTCCGACGTATTGATGTGAATGTACTTTCGCGAAGAGGCAAGCCACAGGAAGAGTTCCCCATCCGAACTGACCGAAGCAAGCACTGTGCCGTTCTTGTTCGAAGCAAGGATGCTAACATCAGAAGCGAAAGTGCGAGGGAATATCTTGAAAAGCGGTAAGTCCTCAATCGGGGCTGAACAGTCCGTCTCGTCTTCCTTCGTATCAACGTGATGGTTCTCCAAACGGTCGGTCCCTTTCAGAAGATAAAGCAACAACCCGTACAGAACGGAAAGAGTGGTGCCAATAGGGATGACCATCACCTTAAAGACCCACCAGAATGACCGTAAAGTGCGTGCAGGCCACCGTGACCTATGTACCCGATGTTCGCTACTATCGCTTGACGGCTTGTGGTTAACAACTACTATCGCTGGAGCTTCAACCCTTAGATGGACAAGTTTATTATCATCCGGATTAAAAACGCGCCATATTTCCCGCGCCGTGGAATGAGCATCCAACTTGGTCTGCTCCGCCTTAGACTTCAGGACCGAAGCACGAGTAGCAGGAGAGCGCATACTATCCATATGTCGTTCTGGAGCGACTGGCAACGTCGAATAGTACAGAGTACTAGTGATCACGAGAAGCTAAGCCATATTCGTCAGAAGTAAGGTTATAATTAGTATTTTAAGGTGTGTTTACCAGCATGAGGCTGAAATTCTTGGTCAATCGGCCCTTTGTGACTCTTTGAAGTCCTGCGACGATCCTGGATGGCATGCCAAGCCTAGTCCCGTCCCTATTCTGGCCTGAGTCATTTCCGTGAGGGCCGAGGCTCTTGTCCTGCCGAAGGAGATCATCGAGCTAAGCAGACATGATAAGATAATATACATCAAAGGACCAATCGTGAGCAGTATTACCTCTAATCTTTGGATGTCGATTGATAAGACGGCGACAAAGAACGTATGAATAAGGAACCAGTGGGCAACAAGGACTACAATTGCAAATGCACAAAATTGGCGTATAGCACCTTGCGAAAAGAATCCAATAACTCCGAGGATTGCATTATATGATACGACTTTCAGTGTGTTGGACGTTCCTGCCCGACTCAGGCCTATTCCAATTCGTTCTTTCACTGGCAGACTGATGGGCGTCTTGGTAACGTCATCAACCTGGACGAAATATGAACCGTCTGATTTGAGAAAAAAAAATGCGTAGATGGTGCGACTTCTGAAGGACTTACCAAACGGAACATGTTTTCGGCACCAACAAAGACGATGACAATTGGAAAAATTCCCCTAAGATGAGTCAGATGATGCTACTAATTGAACCATGGGCGCAAACTTACCAAGGTACAAGTGTGATGCGCAATCCAAAAATGGCACAAACGCTGAGACTCGTTATAGTACTGACCAAGATTTCTACCAAGCCGGTAAAGCACAAGCCGATCCGGGAATGAACTGAGTCCATCCGACGCATTGAGCCAGAAAAATAGACGAAAAATATGATGTAAGAAAGATATAGTGTCAGCGTAATTAGTGGTATGCGCTGGCCAGTCTTCCTCCCGGTGTTGAGCTGAATATTTCAATATTAGAGAAAATACGAAATTCAGGGAGCATGTACAGAACGTCACCTCTAGAGCTAAAAGGGAGGGCTCCTGAAGGTGCCTGGGGACTTCCCCAAGTGCTGGAGCAAGCTCACTAAGGATGTTCAACCACGCTCTATGACCACCAGAGCTGTTGCAATCGTCCTCGTGGAAGAAGAAACTAAGCGCGAGATGGGCTGCAAAATCAATGGTCGACCCACGAGGCTCTGCCGACTCTCGTCCGGCAAAAACCATGGATGGTCTCAAAGGAAGACCGGAGACAGATATGTTCTGCTGCTTATTCACCGTCCAGAGGAGGTCGAGGTCAGAGCGAAGGATATCCTCGTCGTGCGACCAAAACTCAAGCGGGCTGAGAGCTAAGCAGCCGCCCTTATGGTCCGGGAGACAATGAAAATTGTCCTTTGATAAATGCTTCATGAGTTCTCTCTCGAGCTGTAAGGCAGAGCGAAGGAGCTCGTAGTCTATAGCACCGGTGTCAGAGTCGAAACCGTCGCTGGTAAGGAGTACACGTTCTATTCGGACTGTCTTTTCTGTACCACATCTTGCACGTGCGACGGTATCCTCCAGGATGTGCAAGGCCTCTTGTCCACCCCATACATTGTCCAAATCGTCTCGGAAATCCGACAGAGGTTGGGGACTCAGCCCAAATAGCTGGCCTACGACTGGTGGTGATGAACTTGAAGAAAAGTTACCGACTGAGTCCGAGTAGATTCCAAGAGCAGGATAGAAGAGAGATGTGATAACTAGGCCGGAAATAAGGATAAGTCGTATTTGGTGCGTTGCACAGTGTCTAAAGAGCGCGAATTAGCACGAGGCCATTGTAACACACGAGGAGGCAAGCGTACATTCCAAACCGATGAAAGAACCTTGAGCTCCAGGCCCGAATCAGCGTCAATCCTATCATCGCTCGCCGCCCTTCACCCAACACTTACGACCGCACCTTTGAACTCTTTTATAATGTTGTCCGGGTTTCGTTACAGAAGGTGCTGGCCGATTCAGCACATATCGCGTCTAGAGAAATAACAGGTGACATGCACAAAAGGACTGAGATTTAAAGCCATAAATTAAACTGTTTCGTACCTTGAGTGACCTGGTAAGTGTTGAGTGAGCACTTTCCGCTGAGCTTGATGTAGTTCTGTTCAAGATGCAGAATATGAATTTCTTTGCGCGGTAATGACGGAGAAACGCGCGGAGGAAACGGATCACTGCATCAGACCCTGGCCCGTAAGCCGATTAGGTCACACTTCCTCCCCAACGCCAACGTCTAGCACCTTGTCCTCTGCCTCGACAATATTGCCGACTGCTGGCATGTACAGCGCTCGTACTGTATCAAGAGTGCTCGCAACCAGCGCGTCTAGGGCGTTGACTCGGCATGCGCTTCAGCGAAGAGGTGGGGCATACGTTATTTTTTCTTGCTCAGCGTGCTTAATTCTTCTGTTTGTCACCAGGTCTGCATGCCACCTGTTGGCAAAATGCCATTTCAAAGTTTGAGATGCCAGCAATGTCGCCAACTATGACAGAGGGCGGCATCGCGCAGTGGAAGGTCAAAGAGGGCGATGCATTCTCTGCTGGCGACGTGCTTCTGGAGATTGTAAGCTGTAATTCGCCTCTTTAATGCCGGCACTATCTTATGCATGTAATGACAGGAAACGGACAAGGCTACTATTGATGTAGAAGCACAAGACGACGGTGTACTCGGAAAAATTCTGGTAAGCGTGAACAGCAAGTACGTTATTTACCTTGGTCTCATCCTGGTTTTGTCTAGGCTCCCGACAGCTCGAAAAATATTCCTGTCGGCAAGGTCATTGCTCTACTTGCAGAAGAGGGGGATGATATATCGAATCTAGAAGCCCCAAAGGAAGAAGCGTCCAAAGCATCACAAAAGCCGCAAGAAAAATCTACACCAGAACCGTCGAAGACGACTGAATCCGCTCTCCAAGCACCAACGGCCCAACCCCTCGGCCATGACATACACGTCCAACACGCAAAGCCTCTATTCCCCTCAGTTCAAAGGTTACTCATCGAGAATGGCATTGAAAACGCGGACAAGATCAAGGGAACTGGTGTTCGTGGTATGTTGACGAAAGGAGACGTCCTGGCTTTCTTAGGCAAGGCATCCTCACCCCTTGGAACATTCAAACCGCAGAAGGTGGACACTCCTGCTCCGAAGAAAGCTCAAGAAGAGATAAAAGTAAGAATTAGCAGTTACAAGCGGTAAATGAACTAATGTATTTTTAGGTTCTAGATGGCCCAGCTATTCGTCAGCTTATTGTCACCAATCTTTTGCAATCATCGCTACGCGCACGCTCTATCCCTCGTAAGTCGCATGATGTATATGCTTTAAGTGTGACGTACTGAGTAGTTCGATAGCTCCGGCTGTTCCTTATGACTTTGAGTCCATTATCAACGACTATTCGCCGCGAGAGGCGACACCTTCGACATCAAAAGCCTCCCCTTCGGAGAAGCCAACCCCGCGTGATTCCTATTTCGATGGTCTACTATAGAATACCATTAAGATTCCTTTTAATGATTTGGACTTCTCCATATAATAGACTTTTTGCAATGCTTGCACCAGTGTGAAAGAACCAAACTCTTCAGTCATCTTGCGTGGTCTAACTTGGATGAGAATGGTGTCGCAAAAGCGAGTTATCTTAAAGGCCAGAAAAAGAAGGAATTGTTCAATCCTGCAAAATATCGTCATCAAGATCTTCTTCGGTAAATACAAGTTGCTCTGGTTGAGCTTGCTTGGAGCTACTGGATTGTTGCCCGTCACCAGGGGCATTGCCTTTCCTCCCTTTACCCTTCTGCTTCTTTGAGGTCTTCTCCGCCTGCCCCACATCTTCATTATCGCCGCCTTCAATTTTTATTATTACGCTCATCGTGGATTTACCTCGGGTTCGGAGACTGATATCTTCATCCTCGTCTTCCGGAATGACCTCATCTTGCAACTCTACTGTGCCAGTAAATACCGCCGTCTGGATATCAGATGCCGAATAGGGTAATATGGACGGTAATGAGACGGCGAGACGTGCTAAATGCGGAATGGCGGCGCCCATTGCATGCAAGTAGAGCGTTTTGTATCTAGTTTAATTTCTCTCAGTAAAAATAATGCAACAGAAATTGTGATAAATAACTCACCCATCCTTCAGCACCACGTCTTTGCATCTTCGAAGATACTTTCCCAACTCTGTCTTTCGTGTTATACATATCCGATTCTTGCCCTCGGTATGCGCGGAACGTGGTCCTGTGGCAGAGACCGATGTCGGAACTGTCGGAAATGGACGCGGCGGCACCAATTTCCTATATTTGCGACCAGACTCCTGAGGAGATTGCGATGTCTGTTTCTCTTTTCGCGCTCGTTCAGGCCTTTTCGTGGATGGTTTAGAAACGTCAGAATCGGTATCAAGCTTTCGCTTTGAGGGTCCTGCTTCCGATGTTTCACTCGAAATTTGCGCGTCCCGACCTTCCGAAAGCTTTTTGGTCGACATGTTATCAAGATTTCGCTTTATCGAACCCAAAGGACTTTGGACCGCGACTTAGCCCTTGGGACAGACGCGTTTGATACCAAAACAGTAAAACACGGCGTTGCATATGTTATGTATTATTTACCCACCTTCCTATTCGAGCGAAACTGTGGCGTGAATCCGAGTAGTCCACCTGAGACTCCCTGGAATTGGATGGCGACTAAATTAAAGTATTTTACACTCATTATGACGGAAAGTCAACACCCTAGCGAATTTTGGACCCGAATTTCGGGGAATTTTTTGCTCAGATGACTCAGGAATGCGAGATGTTCTTGTAGTGCTCCGTCTCCAGGTCACGAGCTCAGACAGACACCGTTGTGAACATTGCTCGCTAGCGGCTGCTAGCAAGTGTGATATCATAAGTGATTCTTCTGTGGATTAATATATATAGGCAATGATATTTCCATACTGTTGCCAAGACAGAAATGTTCTCTTGATGTGAACTCTCTTATATGTAGTGAGAAGATTGTTGATAACCTGATCAAAGCAGCGTCTAAACCAAATCACGCATGATCACGGTGTCCAGGGAGATCAGTATCCATAAACTTCTCTAGTATCACAGAAAGCTAGTAATCAGACATGCAAGGAATAGTGAGAACAGGCAAGGAAAGTAGACAGTGCTTTGTGCAGAGTTGGTGGTGTATTACTGTATATGCATGTTGGGCGCGGCATGTGAAATGTGCCCAAGCGCCCTATGATGCTTCCAATGACGCAGCTCGAGTAGTACAGATATTATATGGATACTATACTCCCCATTCTTCTTGTCCCTTCATTAGAGATTTCTTCATCCTAGCACCGTAGTCCTTCATGGGGAATATCATCAGTATAGGACCCGTGGTCTGCTTTGTCAGCAACGACAGTGCACCAGCACAACTTGAGTATTTTAATTAAATATTCCAACTCGTAAGCTGTGGAATTCAACATACGGGTGCGCGATGGCATAACTGATACGATACTAACTTACTATGGCTGGTTGGGTTGGGGGAGTCGGAGTAATTGAGTCGTTGTTGAAGGGCGACTGGACGACGCGTCATCCGTCGCCACGTCGCGCCCCGTCGAGTACCCATCGCTCACAACGGTGACACATCGACTCTTATGCGATAGTAGCCTTTGTTATAGGCTTTAGAGTTCTTAAAGAGCTTACATGTAAAATATCAGAGCACCTTGTTTTGTGGTTTCGATAGAATTGAGGGTGAAACCGAATATGGCGTAACTTGGGCGAAGGGCAAGGGGTTCGGTGGGGTCGCAGCCAGCAACTGCAGCTCTGCCCCCAGTCTGCTATTCTGCACCTCTTAATGATGGAGGTAGATAGATCGTACTAAAGTAAACTCGAAATTACACGAAGTTTCAATCGCAGATTCTGTGAGCGTTAGGAACCTCGACAACAATCATTATCGCCGAATGTCTCGCATTTCCTTCCAGGCTTCAATCTTGTTCACATCCGATATTCCTTCCACGAAGTGAACACATCTGACACTAGACGGCTCCAATAGATTGTCCTACAGTCACGCTGCAAGAAGATTGTATTTATCTTCCCAAAATAAATATATCGTACACGTCACTAGCATAACAAGAGAAGTGGGAAGCATGTGTTGATAGTCTAGGCGCGATACGACATACGGAAGAACAAGAGTGTGGAATGATACAAAGACGAAGACCAAGCAATATAAAATAGACAAGGGCACCACAAGCTCAAAGGCACCGTAAGAACACAATACATGTATGCATAGAGGCTAATCGGTCTGACAAGCTAATTTACTTAGCCTAAGTGATCTAGTTAGCTCCATGAAGTTCTATTTCAATATAGTAGCTGTCTGACCTTGTTGGTTGAAGCCTTCGCAGCTGACTTCTTCACAGGTGCTTTAGGCTTTGATGCAGCTGTCTTCGCCTTCGTCGTACCAGTAGCAGCCTGAAACGTTTTTAGTCGCAGCCACAACTACATTATGAGACCTTTACCTTCTTCGCCGGGCCTTTCTTTGTGCTGGGGGCTTTCTTTGTTGCAGCAGGAGCCTTCTTGGCTGGCGCCTTCTTGACTGGAGCTTTCTTTCCGGGTTTAGCAGGAGCAGCCTTCGTGGCTTTCGGTGCAGCATGTTTCTTTGCAGTTGCAGCCTTTGTAGTCGAAGACTTTGTCTTCGTGGCTGCTGTTCCCTTGGTCTTTGATTTGGCGGTGGCAGGCTTCGCAGCGGGCTTAGAAGTAGTCTTGGATATTGGCTTATTCTAACGCAGATGCATGTCAGTCAACCCTTCAGACATAAAGTTAATAACATACCTCCTTTGTAGCAGTAGACTCCGCGGTCTTCTTGGGGGGTAGCTTGACTTTGCCGGACAGACCTTTCAACACGCTCAGTATTTCGTCAGTTCAATATTTCAAGATATTACCTTTAGGAAGGACAAATAAGCCTTTTTCAGCACCGTGCGCAATAGCTTTATTCAGTTGTGTGGTTTGCGCAGGACCAATCGTAAGCTTGTACTTCGATGCAACGAACCTAACTGCTGCATTAGTCGAAATAGCATGTTAGGTATAAATCTACAAACTTCTTGATCTGGGGTCGTGATACCCCAGTACGTGCCTCTTCAGGATGAGCAACAATACACTCCTGAATAAACCATAAATAAGTAAGTGAATGAATTTTGGAGAAATTTATAAGTAAGGAGATACAGCCCATGCACCCTGAATATTTGTCGTGCATGAAACAACGCTTGGCCAATTCGCTGATTGTAGTGGGCAAAGCGAAAGCATTCCGAAGCACATATTGGTACGGAAAGCTATATACGTATGACGGAAACAAGAATTACCTTTATCATATCTGCCCAAGGGGGGTGGTTTGCAGCAGGCTTCGCTGCTGACTTCTTGGCGCCAGCGGCCTTACCAGCGGACTTCTTGGGTGTAGACATCGTAGATAACTTGAGATATGTGTTATGTAAAGGCTAAATAAGGGTTTAGAAGGTGTTGCGGGGCCAGGAAACCGAGGCGGAAATAATACCAAGTGTAGGTAATGGTACGAAAGCAAGAGAGATGAGGCGCGTCGAACCTGACGAGTTCCCGTTTTAGCGTGGCAATAACACTACATCACATGACCGACGCGTCGCAAATTCTAGAGATCGGGATTTTGCCTCGCTCGCCTTTCCTCCTTACCATGGGCCATAAGTCTCTGGTGCCCTGAGGATGTGCCAGGATAGTATACCCTATTAGTTCCCGGAGTCTAAGACCTGTCGGCGCACAAGTCCTGATAGTGTCCTCTATGCTTCCTTACCAATGTTTGAGAGACGATACTCGTTGAAGAATACTAGATGGTCCTTCCTCTACACACAGAGCACCCACCACTCTACTAAGTATATTTAGAGTGAGTTACATAGTGACTTCTTTGCGATGCAGTCCTCAAGTTTCAACTTTCTATGCATGTAGAATGCGTCGCGTGCAAGATGGGAAGTTATAGCATCAATGACATCACGCGATGATCGACGCTTCTTTAACCCACGTGTGATCTGGGCCCGATGCGCGTCATCATCTTCTAGCGCCAACTTTCACCTGTTTTTACCCATCTTCTCGGTGGCATTCATAAGTAGATAGACTCAGACTGGCCTGTTGAGCAGGTATCTTTTCTCTCCTTTGCTTGTCGCTAATTTTTCTTGCGCTACACCGGCGCGTGCGATACCCTATATGCATTCCCCTTCTCTACGCCGTTCTTCACCTGGTCCTGGATTACATGCAGGTGCTACCGCACAACAGATAGACTCCTTATTACCGGATGATGCTCAGTATTCTTGTGTGGACGCTAATGGATACACACGACCATCCCTTAAACGCCAAGCGACTGTCCCTGAACCCTTCTTGTCCTCTGTCCTTTCAAAAAAGAAACGCGATGTGATGATGGGCTCTGACGGTGGTCAAGCTCTTTGTTCCGAAGTGATGCACGCAGCGTTCTTAGAAGGTAACTATGGACACAGTACTGCTGGCAGCTGCGGATTCGGCTAACGGATTCGTCACCGAAGCCCTCTCCAAGCACCCACCAACTTCGACTTGGAGGTCCGATGATGCTTACATTGATGTTGCCAACGACGACCAAGCGGATTATTGCAGAATTATTCAGGATTACATTTTGAAGAAGACGGGCCAATCACAGTCGTTCGAACAGATATCAGAACGAATTAATCTTGCGCTCACAAGCCCCACAGGTTTGTACCCACTGCCCGTTGAATGTTTATTCTAGTATTTACTTCTGTTGCCATAATGCACGCCAGTGGCCCCACTTTTCAACACTGCCCTTGACTCTGAACCTCACGCACCAGCAAACGCAATTAATCCAATAGACGAACATGCCTATGCCTATGACCCACAGGTTCATGGAAAGTCTGCCATGGTCCCGTTCAATACTGGCGCTGTGCTCGATAATCCTATTATCAAACCGCTTGACATACATTCTCACGACGAGTCTTCATTTTCCAGACGGAGGAGAGCCTGCAACCGACCCATCCTCAATTGCCGTGTTGAATTACCGCCTGTTGACAATCGTTCGTCGTTTGTCACTGAGAACTTGTCGTCTAGCAATCACGAATCTACACACTGCATGCTTACACCGTCTACGATTCCAGTTCACCCATCTCTGGTACGGACTACGTCTGAGGTTGAGTTGTATCCATCTACACCTGTAGAACAGTGTCACAAGAATCCTACGGTTCCTCCCGAGATACCACGCTTAATCGACGTCCAGCGGAATACCGTTGGTCGGTGGATCCCGACGCCCACAGAAGGCGTACTTCCTTCCTTTTCTACTTTCTCTGCTTCGTCATCCTCGGACTCTGTATCCTCCTGCGAAAGGTCCAGCGAATCCAGCAGCAGCGAATCGGCACTATCCAACGCAACTGAACGTATCCATGCTCGCCCGTCCTTGCCGAAAAGGGCATTATCGTGGCTTTCTCTGCCGACACAAAACGCACCGGATGAACACTCTTCGCCGCTTAATCACGGAACTTCACCAGATACATCCAACGAAATCAGTGCCGGCGACTCTGCAGCAAGCAACAGTGACTAGTATGCCTCTGCATGAATGTATGCTATTTCGTATTTATCCATGCACCAGTTCCGTTCTTTTCATGAGTCAACCTTACCAACTTGATCAATGATCATTGAATGAGACTCATGTGTAAATGTATTCCTTAGGCAACCGCGACAATGCGGTGCAATGATCTGTCTTTTTTTCCTGCAACAGTATACCTTCCCAATATTATACCCTAAACTTTTGTACCATCCGTAGAAAATAGTCCTGTGGTAATGGACGCCTTTCCAGTCGCATTCGGGTGGTATAAGTAATAACTAGAAAAGGAAATCGTGATTCATATTTGCAACGCGCTTTTGCCGGCCCTGAAGGTGAATGACTATGCGAGAAATCCCGGAGTCCCAATATTCTCATCCCGTCTTGTTCTACACCCCACTCTAACCTGGGAACTAATGTCTTCCTCTGTTCGGAGCGTCCAGGCTGCCATTCAGGCTCTTAAAAAAGCTGCCGCTAAAGGGAAGACGAAGAAGTCTGTCCTTGAAAACATTGATAACCTTTCGACTTCTACAGTGTTACTTGTAAGTAAATGCTGTCCTTGTCCACCTCACAAATACCTCGTCTCACGCATCCCGACATTGCAGAATTCATCGTCTCCTTCTTCTCAGTCTTTCGAGAAACTCATATCTGTTTTTCGTGCACCACTTATCCCTCTCTACTTAAATTATACGGAACTCTCGCTTAACGTCGCTTCTGCTGTTTTGAAAACGGTTCTTAATAATAGCGTATGTTCCTTCCCTTCAGGGAACATCGATCATGATAAGGAGAAACAGAGCGGCTGGGAGCAAGTAGCGCACTCTTTATTGTCCGGTGTCATAGTAGGTCACGCTACAGTTTTGTTTGGGAACCAATTCTGATTGATGCGAAATTAGGATTTTCTTGAGAACGATGGCACCGGTAAGCTACCTTCGTCCTGGTAATCAGTTACTGAAAGTTGATCCATTCAACCTTTTGTAATCATAGACAAATCGAAATCGAGAGTTGCCAAAGCATTTTTTGGAATAATCTGCGAATTCTTCTTCAAGGGATATTCGGCCGAAGGTGATATTGGTGGCAAGCTTCGCTTCACTGTATGTAGTCATCCCTCTTTGTTGCCATATTGTTCCTCTGCTAACGATTGACACGCATATATTCAACTTATCAGGCGTACACACTGTTGTCAGAAGCATCGACCCTTCACCACGATAACCAGAGCAAGTTACGCGATCCGAAACTCCTTGGGCCGTGAGTATATTTCCGCATCATAGACTTATAAGAACGGAGGAAAGTGACCTTTTCAAAATGCCTTTCATGTACGTTAGGCGAGCCCTTGGCGAAGCTATTCTAAAGACCCGAGGTAAAGGTTTGCAGCTAGAATGAACACGCCGCTGACCACTCGTCGGCCTGCATTAAGACTTCGTTGTTCTAGAGACCCTTCTTAACTTATTCGCCATTCTGCTTCCTTCGGCATCCGTAGGACGGGATGAACGACACGCTTTTATCCAAGACGTGTTCACCACTTGTGGTGAAACGGTCTCTGATCTCCTTGAAGGAGCACAGACTGGGGAGTGGGATGAAACGTCAACGAAAGTTGTTGATATCCTGGCAGCCTCGGACATCAGCTTGTAAGTGCTCACATGCCGTAAGGCATTTTCTAGGTAACATTCAGCTGCTAACTGCCTTAAGTCCTCAACCCTTTGATGTCGGCGAAGTCATTGTATGCGGTAACAAATACCCTCAGCCAGAGATTTCCGATAGGTTTTATGTCGACAAGACGTCATTTCTCGTAAACGTTCGCCAAGAGGTTTGTTGTCTACTAGCAAAATTTCTGTTACATGCTAACGTTTATTTAGGACGACATGTATGAAGAAATGCAAATCCCGTACGCTGAAGTACAAGACATTAAGACAATATCTCTCGGAGGTTGGTCACGTTCAAAATACTCATTACTTACGATGTTGAATATGACAACTTGTCGAATTGCGATATAGACAAGTCAACTCGCGTTTCTGTGCTCTTGAAGACAGCCCCAAAAATAGGTGATCAAGTCATTTCGACACATCGAGAACCGCTTATTCTCCTTGTCGAAATACTTAACAAGGACTTGTCCCGGTTCAAGGAAGCACTTCTTCATAGAAAACTAGTAAATATTCTTGTTTAGTTCTCAGTACGTGCTGACTTTTCATTGAAGGAGAAGGATCTTGAAGGAAGAAAACAATCGCGAGTCTCCGTATCAGCCAGCTTGGACCTCGACGAAGATACCGTGCGACGCCAACGTAACACACAGTCGCCTTCACAGAATGTATGTTGTTCTAAGCTGGGAGCTAGATGAATATCAGCTTATTGACTGTGCGAGAAGGCTAAGAATATAGAAAGCTGTAAGTGGCCACAACGTTGGTTTTTAAACCGATACCTTATTGGGTTCATTCAGTCTATGACACGGACATCTTGCAGTCACTATCTGACAAAGCAAAGTGCAGAACGACTGCTGTCATAACGGATGGCAAACTCCCTAGTGCGTCAGGATACTGTTTCGTTCATGCTACATGAGTCGGATTAAGCATCTATCTAGGGAATAAGAGAGTAGCGAAGGCAGGCCCCAAGGAAGCAGAGGACTCTGTCCGTCAGGCTACAGCACCGATACTTGACGCTTCACGTATTGCAGAAACAGGCGAAGAGCTGTCTGAAATTGATATGGACAAGCCAGGGAACGTTTCCGTTAAGGCAAGGACTGCAAGGGATAAGAAGGAAGACGAAGGGCGTCATGAGACCACGCACGAAGTAAGCATTATCATAAAGACCAACCCTCTTTGCCTTTTCATCGCATGACAGCCTTCTAAGTCCATCGTACTCCCAAAGGGCGAAACTGCATTGAAGATAAAAAAGAAAGTCCGAAGAGGCAAGGAGGCTAAGGAACGCACCCAGATATGCTTGGATTCGGACGCAGAGGTATCCCTTAACCCAGAGATTGAACCGGAGCGGAAGAACACGATTGAAGTTCCTCGGGAAAATGTTGAAGAATTCGCCTTGGAAACTGATGCGCCCCGTCACAATAGGGATCCCGCATCTCGGAAAACGGACCAGAAATCCGGTACGGCTAGATCTACAGAGGATCCCTCAGTTCGACCCCGGCGCGCTGCCGCTGCTCTTGCATCGGCGAGACTCGCCAAGAAAATCGACAATAGTGACAATCTTGATGTCATCGATGTGCGTCAGACGAACGATGACTCTTCAGTTATTTTCAATAGTGAGGGTAAGCCCCGAGATATTACGCGGGATAGGGAAAAACGTGGTGTAAAGGCTCTGGAACCTGCTGCAAAATTGAAGACCCAGTCAACTATGCCTGCTGTTAGGCCTCCTTCACCTCTTCAAGCCGCTATGCCTCGCTCGTCCTCTCCACTCTCAAAGATCTCGAGGATGAAAGCAAAGAAGACAGTCACTGACCTGAGGCCAACAAACGCGAAAGGTCAAAAACGAACTTCTGACGACGTTTTCTCTGTAGACGTTCAGGAAGCTGCCCCACCAAAGAAATCCCGCATTGATGTCGAAATTGATACTGGAAACAAGAAGAATGCTCGCTCCCGACCTCCACCAACATATACTCATCGTGGGAGAAAGGCCAAAGGGCCACCTGTCCGAGAAGAATCACCAGTTGATTGGGATCGATTGCCAAAGCAAGCTTCAACTACGGTCAAGAATAGGCAGCCGGAGTCGCCTGAGCCCGCTGCTCCGCCTCGAGACACTAATCGAGGGAAGAGGGCAGTCAAAAAGGAAAACATCGTGATGCCGAAAGGAAAGACGGTAAGCAATTGATAATATCAAAGTCTTCTTCAGTATCCATTGATCGACTGCGTAATTTTCTCGAACAGACTGGAGCGCAGACAACCAAACAGTCAACCAAAGTATCTGAAAACGAGTCGCGTCCCCGTATTCCACTACAGACGGTCGATCAAATCTCGAATGAGGCTTTGGAAGAGGTGATCCGCCTATAAAATTATACGTGTAGTATCCTGACACGTTTTTAGACGAAGCACATTCATCTAGACCAGAGTGTGCCACGGCGTGATCCTGCTGGCATGCTCACAAAGTGCTGGCCTGCCAATACAATCACCTCTAACGAGAATACCAAAACGATTAACTTCCCGTCACTTTCAGAAGTACTTCTCGGGGGTGCTGTCGTAAAGGAGAGTGAAGCTAAACCGAGGAAGACGATAGAGGTCGACCGAGAGGCCTTCTCCGACGATAACGATGGTGACAATGTAGAGACCGAATTTAACTTACAGCAGCACGATACACCTCCCAGTTTCGCTCATGGTTCCGAATCTAACGACGGTCTCGTTAATCAGAGCGATGTTGAAGATGATGAAATCACCAAGCGTCACGGGGCTCCGCACACTCCTCCGCTACCGCAAGCTAAGTCGCACTCTCCTGTTATCGAAGCCGTCGTCCATAGACGACCGAAAGAAATAACTGCTCTGGATGACGAACCAATCGACCTCACTGACGATGACATCAAAGAAGCTCTTCGAAGTCTTCGCTTGCGTCGAACTGAGAAAGCGCAGGAGCTTCAAAAAGCTAGCCGTCCCCAAAAATCAATCCATAAAAGCCTGGTTACAGTTGTCGACCAGGAATCCTCTGACGAAGATAGAGCACAAGCGGAGGTTTTGTCGCACCCCAGAGTCAAATTCGATGAAAGACTCAGGTATAAATTGGATCCCCTAGAAAATCCATCTGCCCGTGGACCCACCGCATCTCGCGTCACACTACCTGGTCTGCTGCATTAGCTTTCTCGTATTCGATGTGTTAACGAGATTCTTGTCGGCAGGGAAAAAGCCTCGTGTCACCAACGGCAAACCTGCATCTCGGAACGGAAACGCAGTAACTAGCCGTGAAAGTCAGGAAAATCAACCGAAGGAGCCTGGTATGGCAGAGATAATTAACGTAGGTTTCACACTTGTGGTGCCTGTGCTTTAAGACTCACTAAATATTCATTCCCACAGGTGCTCGACAGGATACAAAATGTCGACCTTAATGCTACTTTAAGGACTTCACACTGACATATTGCACTTAATAGGTCATCGTATCCAATATATCGAACAAATCACGCGCGGTCAGAAGCGACATTCGAGCTGCTAGAGATCGCATTTTACAAGAAGCAGCCACTGACTTGCAGGAGATGAGAGAGGAAAGGTTCGTCATTCGCCTGTACTTTCAAAGAAATCAGTTGACGTTTACTGGCTTTAGCATCGGTCACTACAATAACTTACTGGTGCTGGAAAACGAGTACGCGAACATAGGTCGCAAGCTGAACGCTGGGTTTGATGCTTTGACCAACGTCAATTCTGATATCTGCCAGTTCATCCAACAATCCATCAATGCCCACAATCGAGGTTCACTGCTGAGGAAGATGCCGCAATCTTTATTCGGCTCTGCTTTGCCCCAGTCTTTTCTGCAATTCAACTAGTTCCGTGTGTATCTCTGCTGCATGAGTCTGCGCCGGACAAGTCTGTGCTTTTCTTGATGCTCGCTTTGGACCGCTGAGAATTTCGCGACTGCTAATCAACAAGCCGGTAACGTGCAATCCCTTCAAGACCTGTCTGTCCTTACCTTAGAGTACATGTAATATCGTGTCTGCCTGCGTTATATGAATAGAAATACGAATGCAACATGTTGCAGCTGCTAAGTGGGACAATAGAAGAAGAGAAAGAATGAGAGACCTGAAAGTTAGACTCGCGTAAAGGATGCCGTCGGCTACCAGACAAACATACCGTGTACGCGTCTGAAGTGTCATCTGAGCTGGTACTGCATGACTTTTTCGTCCAGCATCCTGAAGCACCGCGTGCTGCTGGCGCAAGTACTAGGCCCATGTGCTCGGTCGAAGAATGTCAGGCCGTCTCCTGGACTTCGCGGAATCGCCACGAGCTCCTTTCCGAAAGGATATATCTCAGCTAGTCTGGTCAATCGACGCGTCACTTCACTCTTCCCTTCTAACCCTGCATCCCAGAGATTCTCCCTTTCACAGTTCAGCTTGCCCAGATATTATTGTGCACTACCTCCGATGAGCTCTGCACCGCCAGGTTCCACTCCAAAGTCCGATGCTTCTGCAAATGAGCATCGGCTGCCGGACGGCGTGAAGCCTACACATTACGATCTCACTATTTGCACAGATCTCGAGAAGCTCACCTTCGACGGATCTGTAGCGATCGAGTGAGTTTCCATGCGCACAACATGATTACATGAATCCGTCTGATCAAATTTGTAAGTCTCGATATCCAGAAGGAAACATCGACCATTGTCTTCCATGCTTCCTCGCTGAACATCAAGGATGTATCGATCACGGCTGATTCTCTCAAGACTGCGCAAGCTCCAAAGTCCTTATCCTTGGATGCGGCAGCGGAGCGTGCAACCGTCGTATTCCCTACTACTCTTCCGAAGAGCTCCAAGGCACAGCTTAGGGTCACATTTGACGCTCAATTGACCGGAAACATGATGGGCTACTATTACTCAACCGAGGAAACGGACGGAAAGAAACAGGTTTATACACTTACTCAGTTTGAGGTAGGTTGGGTTTCAAGTCAGTATATCTGATGTGTGTTTATATTATGGTCATCACAGCCAACCGCTGCTCGCAGGGCCTTCCCATGCTGGGATGAGCCGAACTTGAAAGCAACCTATAGCGTTTCGTTGATCTCGCGCGAAGGCACAGTTAGTCTAAGCAATATGTCCGCCATATCGGAAGAACCCTATACAGCTTGTGAGTTTATCTGCTGTATTGCCATTGTATGCTGTCTGAGCCTATCCTTTAGCTTCTGAGTCCGGAGGGAAATGGAAGATCACCAAATTTGATCGTACTCCACCGGTATGCACTCATTCAGCAGATTTAGTATGCGCCTAAAGCAAGTCGTTGTTGTAGATGTCTACCTACCTTGTGGCATTCGCGAATGGGAACTTCAGACACATCGAAGGTCAATACAAGAGTCCGATAAGCGGGAAGACGAGACCCCTGCGTGTCTATGGTGAATTTATCATTCTTCTCTTTTCTTGTTTCATGCTAATAATTTCTACCCATCCTAGCGACTGAGAAGTATATTCACCAAGCCGAGTTCGCGCTCGATATCAAGAGGAAGGTCCTTCCTCTTTACGAGAAAGTGTTCGACATCGAATATCCCCTACCCAAGCTGGATACGCTTATCGTATGTGCTCTTTCTTGCCTGCACACGTAAAGCTGAATTAGTCTATGTTCTTAGGCGAGCGACTTTGATGCTGGAGCCATGGAGAACTGGGTGTGTTTCTTCATCCCTCTATTATCGGCTTCGATTGACGACCTTCTAGGGTCTGATTACTGGACGGACAACTGCGTTCTGCTTGGATCCGAAAAAATCTGGCGTAACAGCACAAAAGAATGTTGCAACTACTCAGAGTCATGAGGTGCTGCTACTCTTTCCATTAACACCGAATACTGTAGCTAACTTGTGCTTGGTTATTAGGTCGCTCACATGTGGTTTGGAGGTGAGAAATGCTCTTGTTCCATCTTTAAAACCCGGATGCTCATTATGATTCGTTTTTAGATATAACGGTTTGTGTTCCTTTTCCTTGATTCGATTATAACGCTTATTCTCTTGAAAGACCATGTCTTGGTGGACTTATTTGTAAGTGGTCTAGAAATAATCGGAGATGTATCACTGAGTCGTACAATATTACTTAGATACCTGAACGAAGGTTGGCAGTTTATTCATTATGAAGATTTTTATAACTTATCTATTTATTGATAGGTTTTGCTACTCTGGTCAGTTTCTTTCATGCGTTGCCTTGTGGACTCTGACAATTCCGTAACCTAGGTGGGCGAGGTCATTATCATAGGTGAGTACTGTCGATAGCGACTTCTTTACTGCATCTTTTGACGCTTTCCACAGATAAGTAAGTATTTAAGCCCTCGTGTTTGGAGGATATACGTGTCTAAGTCGTGTAGGATTTTCCCGGAGTGGAAGGTCTACAGCGAATTCATCAACCATCATCTTGCTAGAGCGCTTGATTTAGATGCAAAGCTGTCTTCACATCCCGTTGAAGTCGATTGCCCCGATGCTAACCAGATCAATCAGGTACGTGCCCGAACTAGTCACTTAACACCAGTCTCATCTACTTTAATTAGATCTTTGATGCATTGTCGTATTCAAAGGCTGGTTCGGGTAAGCAGCAGCGCACTTGCACGAGGGCCTGGAACTCATAACTTTCTGAAGTACTGCGAATGCTTTCTGCGTTCGTTGGTGAAGAGACGTTCCTTAAAGGTGTTTCAAACTACCTGAAGAAGCATCTATACGGAAATGCCTCCAGTAGAGATCTTTGGACCGGTATCGGCGAAGCTTCAGGTGCGTCATCTACTTAGGGCCTCTCGTCCTCGTCGCTGTTTATAATAGATTTACATTTCTGTGTAGGGAAGAACATTGAAGAGATGATGGACAACTGGGTCTCGAAAATGGGATTCCCTCTGTTAACAGTAACGGAGAAAGATGGCTCGATCCACGTACGCCAAGATCGTTTCCTCGAAACTGGGCCTGCAGCAGAGAAGGACAATCAAACTACCTGGTGAATAATACTTTACATAGAAGTTAAACTTCTCAGAGCTCATTAGATGACTAGGCAAATACCCCTGAATGTTGCAGCTGTCGGGAAAGACGGTAAACTCAAGGTTGACCGCATCCTCCTGAAAGAAAAGGAAATCACGATTCCTCTTGATACCACCAAACCGTTCAAGCTTAACTATGACACCTCCGGAGTTTGTAAGTTAACTAGGGTTTCTTTCCTACTAGAGCAGCACTGATAAGATGGATAAATTAGATCGTGTTCTCTACTCTCCAGAACGTCTTGACAAGATTGGCGCAGAGGCTGCAAAGAAAGACTCGCTGTTCACTCTCAACGACCGTCTCGGACTGGTCAATGACGTATTCGCTCTTTCCAACGCCGGGTTTGGGAAAGTCAGCGCAGCGCTGACCCTCATCGACAATCTGCGACACGAAGAGGAATGTAAGGACGTCTCATTTTTTGAATTTTGCGTACGTTCACCGATGATTTTTTCAGTCCTTGTGTGGCAAGGAATTCGTGACAGTGTCCATGACATTTCATCGGTATTCTGGGAGAACGAAGCGGTTCGAGAGTTGTTGAAGAAGTTCCGCGCGGTAAATCAATTTCACAATCCGTTCAGTCGATTGCTGACATGTAGAATCGTAGTCACTATACACACCTTTAGTTGATAAGCTAGGGTATGACTATTCGGATTCGGACTCAGCGGATACCAAGCAACTGCGCACTCTCGCTATCTCCGGAGCTGCTGCAAGCGAAGAACAAAAGTATGATATTTGTTTCGCTATCACAATGCAGTACGGATAAACGTCGTTATTTCAAGGGTGGTCAAGGAATTGACGAAGAGGTTTTCCGAGTTCCTCAAGTCGGGTGACGACTCTGGGATTGCGTCCGACATCGAGAGGGCTACATATGTCACAGTAAGCATCGGAACAATGCATGAGCTGAACAGAGTTTATATTTGAGTAGGCTGTGAGGAACGGTGGAAGGGCCGAATATGATGCGGTCAAGGCCATCTTCGAGAAACCGAAGACTCCTACGACAAAGGTGACCTTTAGCAACGTTCTTATGATGATTATGTTATTGACCTAGAATTATTTCGACCCTATCTAGACCGCTGCGGTGTACGTCCCTCTGCATAATCTACAAAATTGTTTCTAACCCCAAGATGCCTTCAGTGCTGCGATGTGCTCATCAAGTGACCAGACGCTGATCGATGAAACGCTCAAGTTCATGATGAACGAAGCCAAGGATCAGGACGTTTATTTGTTCATCGCTAACCTCGCCAACAACACTCACTCTAGACGCAAGATGGCTACCTTCTTCAAGGATAACTTTGACGAGGTCTGTCTGCTCAAAGTCGCTGTGCGATCGAGAGTTGAAATCGTTAACTCTCGGTCTTGTAGATTTACAAACGCTTTAATGCCAACACGCAACTTCCCTACCTCGTCTCGGTACGTATCACGCCCAGTGGTTCAATAACACTCTGACTGACGACATGTGCAGTACTCGTTTAAATACCTTTCGACTGCTAAGGACGCAGACGAAGTCGAAGCATATTTCAAGGTAATCATAAATCATGCTATTGCACTATTGCATACTGATTAATCTCTATGTTTTCAAAGGACAAGGACGTTTCAAAGTTCAACCTTGCACTTCATCAGACATTGGACACTATACGCGCTCATGCAGCTTTGATTGACGTACGCTTTTAACTTTATACTATCCAAAGTATGCTTGCTAACTAGAGAAACAAGCGCTCAACCGATGACGTTAACCAATGGCTTCAGAACTGGAGCAAGGGCGCGAAGCTCTAGCTTTACCTTCTACAGCATCTAGTTAAAGTGATCGATCTATTTGTCGCATAGCAGACGATGTATTATACAATAGTAAACTCCCACATTTCAAAGAACATATCTGAATGCCTTATTCTCAAATTCTGTCTGATCAAGCATGCCTCTGGCTTCTGCGTTCCGCCTCTGGCTTGCTTCATCTACGAGCTCTTCGCTTAAGTGAAGTTTGCGATCGCGAAGACGGTTAATTGAGAACATGAAGATGCCGAGTGCAGCGTGGCAGGCGACCTTTCCTGCGACTTGCTGGGGTATTAGAAAATGTGACTTCGGACACGTTGTATAGACCCACATCCGATCATCATGGCCTGAAATACATGCAGTTAATATAGCTATGAACAATAGAAATGGGCTTGTCTCGCCTTAGTAGCTGTATCGAAACGAGGAGCCTCGTTTTGCTTAACGAATTGAGGTCCAACGACATTGCCGACACAATCTTCGGGAATTCCAGTCCAAGACACATGTAACATTATTTTAGCTTTACTCACAGGCAATGAACGTCAGTGCAGATGCCATTTGTTTCTTTGTGTCTAGAAACTGTATCAGTGGACGGTGACAGTAGCAACGACTGTACCGCAAATTAAGCCTCACAGCCTGACATCTGTTATGTGTCCTCATTAGCGTGAACCAGTTTCCGGTAGGACTGTACTTACGTTCACAGAGATCATGTTCTATGTAGTACGTGAGTAAGGATCTCCTCAGCGGAAGAACATACTTGCAGCAGTACGTACCACACCAAGAGCGAAACTGACAGACTACAGAAGGAACCTTTCAGTAGCCTCGCTTATCTATGGACCCAGTCCGAAAACATACTTGAAGATTAGTGAACCTTTGAGGACATTCAATTAGTCTGTGTTACTAAGAGCAGAAAATAGGATTGTCTCACCAGAAAGCTATCAAACGCATCCAAGTCCTATCATCCGGTAAATAAGCCAGTAACGCAGCAGCAATCAAACAGGCAACGTTGCCAGCGCTTGCGACCAAGATCCGCGCTTCACAAATATTGGAGCAGTCAGTAATCTGATTGAAGTCGAAGATATGCAAGACGGAATGGACTTACTGTTACTAAAGCGCGAGGCAATATATCCACCGATGAGAAGTCCGGTAACTTGGAATGCGTTGCCGACGCAATCCATGAGTGTGGTTCGGATGGTTGAGAAGCCGAGGTTCTTGATCAACTCGGTCCTAGCATTGTTGAGTAACCGAGTCTTCGTGGCGTGATATCAGGCAACACGGAAGTGAAACTTACGAAAAGTTGGAGATAACCCCATTCCTTCAGAGGTACATGGTTAGCGCCGATCTGAGGTTGTTGGGTGAATACTATGGCTCACGGAATCCCAGCGGCGAATACACTGATCACGATGCACCAAGTCTTGAAGTCCAGAATCGCTGTCTTGACCTGATATAACTTGAACTTCCCTGACTTGATTCTACCATGGAGGGTAGATCAGTTTTCGGTACTTGCTCAGATGGCAGAGTATCTTGGCTCACCCGACTTGATTACTGGCAACTCGAGCAGTCGCAAGAAGACGCTCTTCATGGTTTAGAAACCTAGCCTCGACTGGAGAGTCGGGTAGGAAGAAATAGATGACAAATCCCCAAGCCGTCGTTATTGAACCAAGCTACCAAATAGAATAAATCTGTGTATTTGGATATTCGTATCAGGAATTTCAGCAACAACTGCTTACCACGATGAAGACGAGCTGCCATTGTTTTACTGGTCCGTTGTCACCGTCCTTACTAATCCCTGTACTCATCAAAGAGCCGATTATTCCAGCCCAGCCCAATGTTGAGTAGATGAAGTTATAGCGAAGGGCAGCCTCGCTTCTTGTCCACCAATAGCCAACTGCAAGGGTTATCCCAGGTGTAATCGGTGCCTCGAAAACGCCCAGGAGGAATCTGCAAGTCGCGGCCCCTTCATAACGAGGTATAATAAGGAGGTCAGTACTAGGTACAATGAAGCAGGATTGGATGGTAAAACCTGCGAACGACTTGCTCCAAGTAAAAGCAAGAACCGTAATTCCCCAACAAATTGTGCATACACCCAACAATTTCCCGGTCGAGAAACGTGAGAATAGGTAAGACGCTGGAAATTGTGCGACGAGATAACCTAGGTAGAAGAGTGAAGCGAGCCAGGAGTACTTCGAACCAGAGAGGTTTAAATCGGTGCGAATTCCAAAGAGATTGGCATAGTTCAATGCAGTTTTGTCGAGGAACTGAAGGACACCAGTTATAAACATTAGAGATAGGACATAGCAGTCAAGCTTGAAAACGATTTTCTTGTTTATTTCGGGTGTCTATTATATCATCGTAAGTTAGTCAAGGCTGTGTAAATATTGGGTTTCAGAAATATTGATTGAGGTAAGACACTTGCCAGAGTGAGCCCGGACTTCTGGGCTTCAATAAACTCTTGTAGACCGACGTTCTCTTGAAGGTCCCGTTCGTCAACGGCCAAGGTATTCTGTCCAATATGGTCGGATTTTTCTACAACTTCGAATGTACCTTTCTCGTCGGAAAGGTCTTGCTTATTGGGAAGTTCCATAGCCCAAGAGTCGCAGTTTACGCAGGTGCAAAAGCCAGTGATAGGAACGAGAGTCTATTATTCGATCTATTCATTGCATGGAAATCGGAATCAATCGTTCGTTCTAGCCAGGCAGCTCCCACACTGCGAGAGAGATGGAGGCCGGTTTGGTCATGGGATCAGAACTCATAAAGAATACTCCAGGAAGACGTAAATAATGTGCGAATTTCTATGAGACTTTGAGGACGTACTTATCAATGCTTGATGCTATCGCGGCAAGGGGTAATATATCAGCAATCGGAAGCAACGGGTTCAAAGAATCAAAAGGGAGAAAAATGCCACGTTCGGTACTAGTCGCGGAAGGAGGACATCCCTTGCCCCGTCCGCCGAACTCGGAGACGGATCGAACGAGTAAATATCTGTTTCAGTAAAAACCTTGCGGCGTCGGGAGCCTGAATCATTGCCAGTGGTGTATAATCTGAATGAATTGCCGTGCGGCGCATTGCAACAGCCTTGAAGGCATTGATACTAGTACAATATTTGATGCACGGCTTTGACCCCGGTCTTGCGAAACGTCTGCATTACGTAACAGTGTGCCCATCAATCAGAGACTCTGTGCCCATTTCAGTCTCTTCACGACCCCCGCCGGCGCTCATCCTCTCCCTCTTCCACGTACCACCCTCTCTGAAAGTCCCGTACTGCTCAGCGTCATGTCGGTGGTCACTCCGAATGTGGTCGCCCATCTCGACGACGAATTCGGGCCTCTGCCCTCTGGCTGGGAGGTCAGGATAGATCAAATGGGCAGGCGGTGTGTCGGATACACTCCTCTCGTGTTTCTTAGTACTTGGACTCACGCATTCGCATTGTAAAGATATTATGTCGATCATAACAATCGCACTACCCAATGGAACCACCCTAACAGACCAATACGGCAGTCAACGCCCGCCATTCAGCAACAGCAAGTCCAGAATACCGCATCACAGGTGATTACAGGTATCAGCTCCGCGTTCGCACCAGACCTGACTCTGTTCCACAGATCTCTTCCCGCATTCTAGTTGACGATGTCCTCGAATCTACCTCAGCTCGCCCTGCAACGAACACTACTGCGCCTTTGTCTGTGGCTGCGGGCAACAACGATGGTCTTCCGCCAGGCTGGGAGCAGCGCTTCACGCCTGCCGGGCGACCTTACTACGTTGACCACACGTGTGTCCGCCTTTACGTGCATCCCTAGATCTAACTCATTTTGTAATTGTTTAGTACGCGCTCGACAACATGGAACAAGCCTGGCAATCCGTCGAATAACAATCAACCTGTTTCCAGTAATGCGCTCGGACCACTTCCCGCTGGTTGGGAGATGCGTCTTACATCTACGGGCCGCGTTTATTTTGGTGCGTTTCCTTTTATCATCCGGTTAAGCGATGGTTCACTCATGCATGTCTCTCTTTTTGAACGACAGTTGACCATAAGTGCGCCAATCGCTTTCATCAGTCATTATGAGACAACGTGCTAACGGCTTTGAATTATAGCACCAAAACGACAACCTGGGACGATCCACGGTTGCCATCTTCTTTGGATCAGAATGTCCCTCAATACAAGCGTGACTTCCGCAGGAAACTCATCTATTTCCGCAGTCAACCCGCAATGCGCTGCCAGCCTGGCAACTGTCAGATTCGAATCCGAAGGAGCCATCTCTTTGAAGATTCGTACGCCGAGATCATGCGCCAGTCACCTTCGGAGCTGAAGAAGAGGTTGATGATTAAATTTGACGGAGAAGATGGCCTTGATTATGGTGGCGTTTCAAGGTCCGTAATTATAATTATCCTTTGTTGCAAGTTAATTAATCGAAATTAACATTCGTTACCTTTGCCTTTACACAGAGAATTCTTCTTCCTCCTATCGCACGAAATGTTCAATCCATTCTACTGCCTCTTCGAGTACTCCGCACATGACAACTATACGTTGCAGATCAACCCTGCATCAGGTGTCAATCCAGAGCATCTAAACTATTTCCGGTTCATTGGCCGTTGCATGGGTTTGGCCATCTTTCATCGCCGTTTCCTTGATGCGTACTTCATCGTCAGCTTCTACAAGATGATATTGAAGAAGAAAGTGACATTGTCGGATCTCGAAAGTGTTGATGCGGAACTCTATCGTGGCTTGAAATGGATGCTGTAAGTCTAGCTTGCCTTTTTCCACTTACTAAGCCAGACTTACGCATTTGTCATCTTTTTCAGGGAGAATGATATTACGGATGTACTTGACGAGACGTTCTCTACCACGGAGGAACGATTTGGAGAGATCTTTACGATTGATCTTTGCCCGAATGGCAGCACCATTCCTGTCACTGAGGTAAACAAAGGGGAGTACGTCGATGCGGTGGTGAACTACCGTATAGCGAAACGTGTCAAGGAGCAGTTCGATGCGTTCATGGCCGGGATAAACGAGCTAGTCCCACAAGACCTCATCATGGTGTTTGATGAGCGGGAACTCGAGCTTCTAATTGGTGGTATGTCGGAAATTGATGTGTAAGTGCCTTTAGACGTTTTATAATCAGCATTGGTGTGGTGACTAATAATGATATGGGTAAAGCGATGACTGGAACAAGTTCACGGATTACAGAGGCTACGAAGTCAACGATACGGTTATCCAATGGTTCTGGAAGATTGTCAGAGCATGGCCTCCAGAGAAGAAATCCCGTCTTCTCCAATTCGCAACGGGGACCTCGCGGATACCCGTCAATGGGTTCAAGGTTCGTATCGTATCGTATCTTGCCGTATCCCTTCCCTACCAATCATTCAATTGTGCTTGTACCTGACCGTACCGTGAACATTCGTTACTATTGACCTCGTTACACACAGGATTTACAAGGCTCTGACGGGCCGCGCCGCTTCACCATCGAAAAGTCAGGCGACCCATCTCAGTTACCCAAGAGCCATACATGTTTCAACCGTATTGACTTACCACCGTATACGAATTACGAAGTTATGGAGCAGAAACTTACGTTGGCGGTCGAAGAGACTATGGGTTTCGGACAGGAGTGAAGGGTCACCTACCTGCTTTACTTCTGTCTACATGTCTTGCCGCAGTGCCGGTTTATTTGCTCAACCGGTATTTGTATGAATCGTTTCACGCTCATCATCATGTCCATCATCACCATCATCAACAGCAACAACAGCAACAATAGCAGTGTCATAAGGCACTTCTCACTCCATTCCACATCACTTAGCTAAGTTATCTACATCCCCTCGCATGCGATTCGATTCCTGGCTGCGCCCCCGCGCGCTCATGGTTATTAATCGCACGACTTCTTAACCTTGCATATATACATATCCTCTCCTCTCCTCTCCTTTCCTCTCTCTCTCTTCCTCCCGTCTTGATTCGTTCTGTACATACATTCGTTTTCCTCTCCCTCCCTCTCTCTCACCTTCATTCCTGGTCGGATTATCTCAACGTCTCTCGTTCCTTTTTTCTTTCTGGTACCGTATCATATCATATCATATCATATCATTCGTTTTCGTTTCGTATACATAGTATTACTCACTTTCTCTTATCATTTGTCCTCGTCCTGTTTTCCTTCGTCTTGTCTTGTATGTACTCTATCAATTGGTTGGTTGGAAACACGACTTTCATATTTGCCCTCGCAATTACTCTTGAACTCTTTAGGGTAAGTATTATGGCTTGACTTGTTTATTGGGCTGGAAAAATCAACAAGAGAGGAGGAACAAGTTCACAAAGAGAAAATCAGAATCAGAAAGAACAGAGAAATGAAGTAAACAGAGGAAAGAAAGAAGTCGTTATTAAACGATCCTACATATGCGTGAGTATCGTAATGTAGCAAGTACTTAGTTGAAAATTGAAAAAGCGTGGCTAATCATTATAATGATACAGAGCCAACAAGAAAGAGCGGGAAGACCAAGAAAGTTACAAGCAAGCATGATAACCAGCATGACAAGCGGCCGGGTGGGTGGGTGAATTCACAGATAGTAGGAAGAGGAAAAGTAAACTTTAGAAACAAGAAGAATGGCGACGAGGAAGAGAAAAATGGCACAAGAATAAAACGGTAGTGAAAGTAATTGGTGTCTGAGCCAGTGGTGCCAAAATTCTCATAGCTTCTCGAACGCAAACGCTATATATACATCTTCAAGACAATGATTCGTCAATTTATGATTCTAAACCAAAAGTAAGAAATGGACATACTAGCAGCCTCCCACTGATCCTCATCCATCTGACTCTCCCCCCTTGAATCGACAACCTTCATACGCTGTAACAGCTGCCCATACTCAGGATGCTCGAAATGCTCTGCGTACACATCGTGAAACTCGGATTTGTATATCAGTTGAAGGTGGTACTCTGATGCCATTCTGTTGTTTTTTTTAGAAAGGGGGAAGTCAGGAATAATAATACCGTACGGTGAAACAAGGGTATGGAGAGAGGGAGAGAAGAACGTACTGAACAAAGTTATCCCAATGCACGACATACTCCGGTACGTCCTCCACCGCATCACGCAAGAAGAACGAATACCGATGTCCAAAAACCGGTTTTCGTTCTCGGTCGTCGAACTTTATCTTATACACTGAGTTCCCGAACGAGAGGTCTGAACGGTCTTGGTCTGGTGGGAGTGCGTCGAGTCGTTCACTTCATTTTTCCAAGACAAAATAAAATAAAAGCAGAAACCTCTTAGTCAAACGAAATGCGAGAGAGATATTTGTATGTCGAAAAATGACTCACAGCAAGAACTTATCATTCGGAATAGTCCCCACAAACCTCCCTCCCCTTCTCAACCACCTCGTCACATTCTCCAACATCACTCTCGCCTTCTGTACGCTCTCAAACGCATAATGCATACAGAATTGCATCGACACGACGTCAAATGGCGGTGCGTCAGGCGGGATAGGCATATTCGGGACCTCGCTTAACGAGTGGCTGAAACAGTCTATGGCAGCGAAGAAGGCGTTGAACCGGGAAGTGCTTTTTAAGGGATTGGCAGCGGCTGAGGACATGTATCGTGAACGAGCTTGGTCGACGGATATTTCGGCAATATCTGGAGCGAAACCATTTAGCATTTTTGATAAATGACACCAGATATGAAGGATGAAGAGGACACGTACCGACACCAACATAAAACCTTACTTTCGCCTTCTGCCATTTATTCAGATCACCTCCTTTCCCGCATCCCATGTCCAACACCTTACCCGAACCACCTCCTCCATTAAACTGCACTTTCCCGTCTTTTCCAAGCTTAGGATCACTCGAATCGTCCCCGTGTAGTACAGGATGTGCGAAACGGGCTATAAGGACTGATTTGACCCAGTTGTTGAAGTTCTTAAGCCCGATAATGGGAGATTGCTGTCTTTGGGTCACGCCTACGTCTGGCCTAAGATTATCTAGTAAAAAGATAAAAGATAACCATTAGACTAGACTATTCGAAGTTCGATAGTATGAGATACGTACAATGCGAAACGACAAGCCCTACATCCCGGTTAAGCCTTTTCGACGGTGTCTCATCAAAGGCTCTTGGTCTAAGCGTCTCATTCGAAAGTTCCCCAAACTTGCGTTTACCTAGAGCGTTCTCCTTTAATGGATTCTTACTGAGTCTCTTGTAGAACTCTCGTTCTTCGTCTGATAGTGGGATGAGGATGGAGCCTGCTGGTGTTCGACGATTTCGAGGAGCGTATGGTATGCTCGGACGGAGAGGGGTCCGACGCGTTGGCGGGGACGAGAAGCTCGATATGTCCGAGGCGGCAGTGAGGGGTAACGCATCTCTCAAGGGAGTTCGCGGCATCTCCGGTGACCGCGAAGCTGAAGCAGAATGGGAGCCCGAAGCCGACGAGGAAGACATGCGACGGAGTAGTGCGTCTGCTGGTGATTGTGGCTGGTGCTGGTGATACGTATTCGACGGTGCACGCGCTCGAGACAAGGACGGAGGGAGAATTTCCTTGTTTTTCGAAAGTGGTGAGGCGGAGGGACTGCTGTTGCTGTTGCTGCCGGTGGCCACTGTGCTCGGCGGGAAGAGTGGTGAGCCGTCGTCGCTGTTGGGCTGAAGGATGTGGGATAGGTGGGCTGAGCGAGGACGTGGTGTGCCCGTCGTGGGCATGCTCGGGCTCGCCACGGCGCTACTACTCGAACTGGCTCGCCGTTGGAAAGTCGGAGAGGGGACATTGTCATCGGAATTAAGGAGAACAGAGAGGTCTGTGGCACGTCTGGCGGAGGACGGACTGTGAGCGACTGCGGTGGTGGTGGTAGTACTGCTGCTGGAGGGTGACAGTGCACTAGGGACAAAGTGGGCTGTTTGTGGGGAGGCTGAGTGTTGTGGGGATGCTGAGATGAGGTGTGGAGAGGGGAGAGGGTAGGAGTGAGAGACGGGGGAGTTGAGGACAGCATCTCTGACTGGGTCGAATGGCATGGTTCCGTCTCTCGTCTTCCATCGTCTCTCACTCTCTCTCCTGCGACGCGACTACTGCACACGTCCATCGCTCAATCAGGCAACTCTCATTTTCAGACATATTACATTGACTACTCAAAATACACTTCGCATATTCAGCACAAGCACGGAAGATGAATCGTAATCCAGTCCGTGCACGTCGAAGACGGCATGTCGTTCCCTAACGTAACATCATATCATCATCCATTTCCCATTCCCCACGTGTAGTGCACACATCACAGCATCATAGTAATCATACAGATTAAAACACATTAGCATCGGCATTTAGTATTTCCCTCTAGGTCATTCATCAAATATTCAAAACACCACTTACCAGTCTGCAGGAAAAAGTTTAAAAGCGAGGAATTATCACTCGGGCAGACAACAAAGTTCTGTTGACCGCTGGCTATGATCGTGTCCCCGCTCATCGACCACGTCGTTGTCGTTGCAGTATCATCCAGCGTCAGTGGCTTGTACGATGTCGTAGCGGACATGTCGACGTTCAGGAATAACGACGAGTTGGTGTCTTGGACCGTGCTTCCAATGTTAAACCATCCAGAACTCGACTCGGGGCCTAGCACAGGAGCGCCATCTGCAAACGAATCAAAATATTAATTTATTAATTGACTCCCAAAGTTAATATCGACATACCAACTGGTGTGCTTTGAATGTAAAAATGATACACCGGGTCCTGGTCAGTCCGAATCTGCGAGCCCGCAGCCGCTGCAGCAGACGACGTCGACGTCGGAAACGCCCAAGCAAACGACGCAGCTGATAGAACAGACGCAATGGTAATGAGTCTCATCATCACAAAGGCAGATTTTCTCTCCAGCTCTGTAAAACGAGGGGGAATAATTTATACGGTCAGTCTGTGTGGCATACGCATGTTCTTCCGAGCATTTGTCGAGAAACACTACACATCTGGAAAATCTTCGCAGTCAAATAACCCTCCTGACCATGACGTATTTAAGACAGGCATAATAATTTAAACTAGACCGATCTTTTGTGTATGTCGTTATTCTTAGCATACTCCGAGCTTGCGAAATTATTCCAGACAGATAATTTGGAGTAGGGTGGCACATAAACATAAACAGAAATCCTGAATCACAGTCGTTCCTCCTACAAGTGCATCACGTGCGACATTTTGCCTTATTTTATCCCCCCAAGATTTTCGGTTTTGCGATTCTCGTTCCTTTGTCTGGTCTGTCTGGAAACAAGTTGCTTCTTGGGGTCATTCGAGGGCTTGATGTCAATTACACCAGAACTCCGTGCATCTGCTCGCGCAACGTATCGATTTCTTTTCCGTACTGCGGCAAATACGTTCCGAGGTTCGTTCTTGTCTTGTAACTTTGAGTCTTTGACGTCACGCAGCCTTTCTCTAATTTCGCCCTCTCTTCTCTAGGAGATGACCGTGTTCTAAACGGTAACGAATCATGTTTTGTCCCTTCTTCAAGCATCAAAGACTTAAAAAAAACCCATTTTGTCCGTTCGTGTGTGCATCACGAACCATACACAGCGTTCCGAGAAAAGGTACGAAATGACTTCCGGGAGGGTCGGTCTGTGAGCGAGGAAAGCGTGTACAGTGCGCGAATACAACTCGGTCGGGAAGTCGCAGATGTTTTGAGGAAGAACGTCGTCCAGGGTGTTAAGGTCCAACCAATCGAGCAATCCTCCACTATCAGTACAGGGGTTGGGGATAAGGTGAAGGTTGAGGAAGGCGGAGTATGGCGTACGTGTTTTCCCTTTCCTCTCTATCTTCTGACTTGTTCAGCGAAGTTCATGCTCTTTCTTATTGGTCTTTGTTCTCTAGGATTACGAATCACGAAAGATACAGAACTTGGTTCGAACGAGACGACTAAGATGGGGTCAGCGTCGACTTCTCCTGGGGGACTAGGAAGAGGGCAAACGTGCTGTCAACAACAATCCTCTACGTCTGCGTGAGTAGGGCTCGATCCGAGCCGTGCGTCCTACTATTCTACTCCGTATCACATATATTAATATAGTTTTCAATTCATCTATCCATCTTGCATGTTGGTTTCCTCAATCAATATAGTTCATCACCATTTGAAAGTCCCACTCCTACTCTTACTTCCGGGTCGAACGACACAAACTCAAATTCACAAAGAAAGATGAACTATACCACACTCAAACGCCTTTCGCAAACACGTACCAAACCAGAGCTGAACGAAGCTGACTTAGAGGAGTCTTTCGTAAGAGGTCAATATATCTCCTTCTCCTTTCCCTCTCCTTCCCCTCCCCTCAAAACGGGAAACAGGAGAAATAGGAAAGAAAAGTGAGGCAAAAAAAGGCTAATACACAGCTTCGTTTCGTGTAGGTAGTGGCCCAGGAGGTCAATCAATCAACAAAACATCCAACAACGTCCAACTCCTCCACAAACCAACCGGGATACGCGTAACATGCCAAGAAACACGGTCCTTACAAACGAATCGAATGATCGCAAGAAGGAACTTAATCGAAAAGGTACGTGTACTTGAAGACCTCTGTCCTTGATTTCCTTGTCTTCAATTTCTTCTTTCCCCCTTTTTGGGCGTTATGTTGCTTTCCTCAATGACCAAGAAACGACTGATTATATCCCTTTCTTCTAGCTAGACCAAATCGCGAACCCAGGTCTATCAAAAGAAAACCTAAAACGAGCAAAACAAGTCGAGAGAGAACGTCGACGAAGAAAAAAGGCGAAGAAGAAAAAGGATAAGGCTCACAGTACAGAGGCAGACGAAGACGAAGAAGCTTAACCCCAAGCTCAAGGACAGTAAACAGTAATCAACCAGAACAAAAGACAGGTCGACGACGTTTGAAAAAGTATAGTCAATGGTTTGAATACTATTTGAATTGCAGATCTATCATCTACCTATATAGTACAGTACATGAACTAAATTACAGCGTGAAGTATTTGTAAGTATTGACATTAATGAGGCAATGAGGTACAAAGTGAGTATAATGGCGTGAAGTGAGATGGCGGGAATGCTTTCTTTGAGTAAATCTCTGTAAGTTGTGTGGTGAAATAGTTGACGAAGTGATGGAAGTAAAAAGTGCACAAGGAGGAAATGAATCGCAATAAGTGAGTGAAAAGAAAACAACAATACTGTAACCATGTATGCAGCAACAATTTGTGAAACGAAGACGAAAGAAAGGAAAGAAATGCAAGAAAATACCAAGCCAGAGCGCGGAAGAATTTGAGGTCTTCCTTATTTATGTCCAACGCAAGTTAGTCAAATATGCATATAGTGTCCAGGTTCCTTCATTCGACACTTTTCACAATCCGCGCGCGGGCCCATCGAAAGGACGGGATATTTCCTCTGAATATTGCTCTTCCATTGAGACGTCAAAGTCGACGACGATGACAACGAAAAGCTGTCCCCAGTAATCGACATGGGCGAAGACGGCGACTCGTCAAACGCGCTTGTAAGTGGAGGTGACGAAGACCGAGAAAACGTGAGCGAGTACGGATTCCTCGGACCATCGGTGGGCGTCGAGGGTGTTGCAGGATGTAAAGTGATGGTTGGCGGTGCACTATGTGGAGGTGGATTTTCTAACGCCGTACTATCGGAGAAAATAGCAATAGATCCATGTTCTCCGTCTTGACCGGGAAGACATAATAATGGGGAATGAGAAGGAGGAACCACAGCATCGAGAGACTGCGAAGCCATAGGAGATCGCATACTAAAATCCTCCGCATCTGTATTGGCTCCCAGCGGATGATCCGAGTCAGGTGTAGGTAGTTTTTGTTGTTGATAGGCCTCTTGTCGCCGAGTTTCAGTTTCCGTGCGGGAAGCATCGTCGGCACCACTCTACCAAGCGATAAAAGGAAGAATGGAAAAAACATTCATGAGAAACACAGAACTTTGTCCGAAGAAAATAAACATAACTCACCATCTGTACATCCGTTCTGGAGTTTTCCGTGAGCGCCTCATCAGCCGAGGAGGCAAGTGAGAGCACTCCTTCACCCAGAGAAGGACTATGTATCGTCATCCCTCGCGTCTGGTGTACCCATTCATCTTCATGCACTGAACGCGGTTTTCCCGCCACTGTAAGTTCCTGCTGCACTCCAACCCTGCACGAAGCCTGAGAAACACTCTCGCATTGAATTACCATCGCTCGTTTCTTCATGGAACATCGATCAAATGTTCCATCAGCGAAGAACGCCAGCGCATATATGATACAACACTCACCGACGCCCTCTCCACTAAACCCGGTGACCCAGGTGAGCGGGACCGTTTATTCGATATCGAGCGCATACGTAGTTGAGGTGAAAGAACATCGACTTCCATTTAGTGACCTGTGTTACTTTTATGTAGATGATGGATGTATAGGTCTAGGGAGACTCGGCTGAAGGGGCTGAGCAGACGCGTTCTGGGTGAATGTCATAATCCATGACCGTGACGCGTGGACACTGTGTGAGTGTCTCGCGAGTACCTTGATTATTATGTCATGTGAGGTGTGATGATCCTTATGCGGCAGTTAGGGGCTTACATTTAACTCTTATTTTTTCATTACTTTATACCCAAGCCAATCATAATTAACCGAAAGCGCGATAAAAATTCAATGGTCTACACGACAGGTACAGATTCTCACTATATCGTCTACAACAAGGGATGTATAGATTCTTCAGACTACGAGCAGGAGGGTGATAAGGGAGCTACGGGGATCAGCGTACAGGTATACAGACAAATTCAGGTCTTACAGAACAGAAAACAAAACTTGCGATTTAGTGTTATATTTCTCTTCGTCTATGGTTGACGTCTAGGCGTGAACGTCGAGGCCTTCACGCGGCAACTTCGGCTCTCCAGGCTGGTACGGTTCGCCTGCTTCAGCGCGCAACAAGTCGTTGATCCAAGCGCCGTTCGGCTTCAGCTTCGTTCCACGGGTCAGGACCGCGGCAAGGTACAACCAAGCGGCTGCATTGCCAACAGTACCAACCTCGTCAGATACGTGCGTCCGTGCGTACTCGCTCATCTCTTTGTAGAGCTTCTTATCGGTATACAGATCGAAAAGGTGCTTCGCGACGGCGTCGTTGTCACCAGGCTTGCAAAGGAAGCCAGACTTGCCGTGTTGGATCTGCAGAGGGATACCTCCTGTGCGGCATGCGACGACTGGTTTGCCTGTGTGCAATGCCTCGGATACCTTGACTTCGAAGCCCTCACGCGTTGAGAGTTGAAGAGCAATCTTCGAGTTCTGCATGAGAGCATTGAGGACTACAAAGGAACCATTAATCTCTGAGGACAATTACTCTTGATGTGACACTCACGTTGATCACTAGGAGGCAGTCTCATAGCGACAATGTCATTTGCGTATTGGACGTAAGGCTCGCTGTTAATCTGCTGGATCACCATGTCGTAGATGATGCTTGCATCGGGGTCATCAACAGCACCGTGTCCACAAATGAGCAATTGTGGCGCTTCGTCGTCGTCGTCGACTGTGCCCTTAAGCAACTGACGGAACTTGTAGTAGGAATCGATGACATTCGGGATACCCTTAGACGGGTCGAAGCGAGCAACTTGGACAACATAATCTCGTGCAGGCCACTTCAACTCATTCATCCTCTCCTTGGCACACAAGCTACGGAATTCACCCATGTAGAATTGTGAATCCCAAGGTGACAGTTCCTTGTTGAGACCATCAAGGCTTGAAAGAGGCGGTTGTCAAAACACGCATGAAATACAACGATCCCGTACTTACAAGTCAGTTGCAGCACCGAGAAGAGCAACTTTCTCCATTGGCACGTCTTTCGGTACGAACTTGCTAACCGGGTGAGAGATGAACAGATCGGCTAATTGGATGTTCTTCCATAGGTACTCCCAGACTTCCTCCTGGGGAGAGCCCTTGATGCTGGTCAAGTCACTACGAATTTCAATGTGCGAACGATAAACAATGGGTAATCCGGGCCTGCTCTTCTTGATCATTGGGATGAGACCTGGCATCTGAGGGTCGTCTGTACAAGTGATCAATCATTGGGCCAGGATGCATCCGAAGAAAAGGATTGCACCTATGAATGCGACATCAACTCCGCCCTCTGCAAGAGGGCCACCCTCAGTAGTCCATCTTAAACCATTCTTGTAAATCCATTGGTCGAAGTTATCTTTTGCTTCTTGAGTCAAACGCAAGTCGGGCGCTGCAACGCCTTGCAGGATATTGTGGTTGTTCTTCGTTGTCCGGAAGACGCTCGGCGACGGGTTTGGTACATACCTTCCGATTATTTAGAACAACTTGCATAATTACTGATAAGACAGACTCACCACGCTGCATCTACGTCAAGGAGGTTGAGGAAACGGATTAGCGCGTGCCTCATCTGTGAATTTAATCAGCTTCCATTAGCGCTCATCGCCGTGTGGTCTCTCCAACTTACAAGAGCAACTCCACCACCCTGTGGGGTAGAAGAAAAGAAGCCGATCTTGATCTTCTTTTCACGTAGTTCATCTGCAAATTTGTTTACGGCGTTCCAAGTTCCCCTGCCGACACTTTTTTCATACTCTTCGAGGTCATCTATGAGGTGAATTTTTCCACCAGCATCGACCTACGGATGTTTTAGGGAAGTTAATTCAACAAGAAAATGAAAATCTCGTACAGTAACTTGGTTCCTCGGCCCAATTGTCAATCGCGGATTGTTGTTCGGTCCGTAGTACATCAGGCATTTGCGTGCGGCTGAGTCTGCCTGCTCATCTAGCGTCCGCACAATTGGAAGCTTGCTCGTCACTCCGGCCTGCAGGCCTCCCGGAAATCCGGGTGCACCGGGTGGCGCGTAGAGCATAGTCGGCGTTTCGGCTCCCGATTGCAGCTGAGAGTTGATCATGCTATTTGTGGCGGAGATACGATGCTTGACGTGCGGCCTCGTAAGGCTCTCCGTATGGTAAGGCTTGATATTGAACACCTGCGGTCCGAGGAATTAACAAATCAGACTTTTCGCGTGAGATTCGGGCAACGTACAATTGGAACGATGTCCATCTCGAGCCAGAGACGCGTACATAAATTGGGTGCCTAGGTGATTAATTGATAAGGCTCTTTCTATGAAAGATATGCAAGCGCTACAGCTCACCTCCTTGAGAAGACTGAGGGTGACGCCAGCGCCTAGGAACTTGCACAAGTGCTCGGTAGAAAACTTACGCAGCGCATCGAGGACATGGCTTTCAATCTGCTCTGGGTCCACAATCTTCTTTCCGGCCGGTCCAGGGATCAGAGAATAGGCAAAGTCAGTATTGTACACGCTATCTGTGAAAATGAACGGTCAATAACCATGGAAATACTTTTCAAGAGGAAAGACGCAGACCGTGGATTGAAATTGAGATCTCAAATCCATTCTCGTTAGGAGAGGGACTACCAGCGATACCAGCCCACATTGGCTATACCGCATTAATCCTGCATTAGCAGCTAAAGTTTATTGCCTCACAGCTAGAAATGCTGACCGTCAAACTTGTGAAGCCAGTGACGACCGGGCGCGTCCCCAGCGACACGCTGGAGAGCCTGCGCCGCAGGGAGTCGGACGCAACGGACTCGAACTGGGCCTTTTGGTGAGGCATGATGGAGAGTTGGTGTATGTGAAGATGAGATACGCAGCGGGCAGAAGAGAGAAACGGGATGGGGCATATGCGTCCTATTTAGCTTTAAGCGTTTGAAGATGAATAAGAGCCATAATAGGAAGCTCATTCTCACACTGCAGGACGCAAGCCAGACCAGAAATGCAACACGCGTAGGCAACGGGGCAGCTCCTTTCTCCACGGCCGATATCTTCGAAATTTACAGGGTTTGATTCGGCTTTCGCTTGCCGTCTTCCTCGTCCTACATGCGGCCTGAGAGATGCGGCGAGTGCGGAGATGATTTCGTCTGGGACAGCGACGCAGGGTCAGCTGTCTGTCCCACCTGTGGGACTCTCCAGGATCCATCCCAGGTCGTCCTTGATGCTCACATAGAACAGGAGGACAATGCCAAGGAGCGTAACGCTTTCCCTTTCTATCAACGCGCGACTCTCAAGAATTTTCGAAATGCGCACGGTTGGGACTTAGCCGGCCAGGAGAAGCAGGCTGCTGCTGAGAGGAACAAGGTACGTGGAGGACGCGTGCCTTTGCAACCGATATTCTAATATACTTGACAGATTGCCATGCGTGGGTTCACTACAACCCTGGCGCAAAGGATTGGACACCCCTCCCTCGCTGCCCGTGCAGTATGCCTGTTCGAACTGGCTATGCAACGAGGTCACTTCCGTTATGGTACAAAAGCACGTCTTGTGGCTGGTGCTTCCCTTGCCATTGCTCTTCGCGAGAGCGAGAAGGGCGAAACCGTCAGAGACATCGCAGTAAGTGGACAAACTACGTTTCGGACTAATTAATAACTGATCATATTGTACGTCAGTACCTATTGAATGACAGCCATGTTGCTGTTGCTCGTGTCCTCACAGCGATAACCTCCCTTCTTGGTGTCAAATTAGTGTCCGTAGACCCTAGTTGGCATCTGCCTGGCTTGCAGCGACATCTCGTCAGTCTCCTTACCGAAGGGTCCCCGTATTTACCAAGGCCTCTCGTCAGGACATTGAAGAATATCCATTTCCCATATGCCTTTCGCCTTGCAACATCATTGTCTGAGCTAGTCTCAAGGGCAGGATTTCTGGCTACCCTTCCATCCCCTGCAACCGCATGTGCGATCTATATGCTTGCACTGGAAGGTGAAAATTTGGATTCGCTACCGCAATGCGGAGCTCTTGCGAGGATTCTAGGCAATAGGCTCGGCATTAACGCGGAAGCTGTCATGAGGCGTTACAGAAGCATTCATGAGAAAATTGAGGACTGGGCTACCGAGATCCCCTGGGTGGACTATGCAAAAGAGCCAACAAAGGGTAAAGCAAGAGCCAAGGTTGCAAAAAAGGTTGGTCTCGCAAGGTGCCTCAAGGATGTTGTGCAGTCCCAAGAGAGCAAATGGAAAACCAAGCTGGAAGCTACCGAGTCTTTAGGCTTTTCAAGTGACGTTAGAGAAACTGTGAGTTCATCCGAGATCAACTCAGTTAGCGAAGTTGACCTCCTGCAAAACGATGAAGCAATGCGGCCAGGGCCATCCCGTCCTCGAAAACGCAGGAAGATTACTCCCATCGATGACGTGTCTCACTTTCTTCTCTCACCATTGCGTGCACGCCCGACAGAGAAGCCTTATATCGATCACTTGCCTAGATTAGAGGCAGTTTTGCACATGCTTACCTCCGAATTGCCTTCATTCAACCGACCGCCGACGCGTCTACAGCTTCTCGCGGCCTCAAAACCTATCGATGACATCACAGATGAAGAGCTTTTTGAAGAGGGCGAACTGGAAAGCTTCCTACGCAGCACGGAAGAAAAGGAGGCTCTCATTCAAACTTGTGATTGGGCCCGAGCGAAGGACGATCGCGAGGCTGATATGGTAGAAGCATGCGCAAGTCGCGTGCAAAGGGACACACGTACACGCAATTATACCTCTCGGCTCAACATAGAGGCTTTAAGCAACGTATTAGATGAGAAGGACGCAGTCGATTGGATCGAGACCACCGACAAGGATGACGATGGTGACGACAACTGGGCCATGAGTCTTTTTTCGAGCCAGATTATGGGGGAACATGCCAGGGGTTCCGAGGATAATCCATCTGAAATGATCCCTATTGCTAAGGATGACTCACAGACATCCTTCTCAGCGACAGACGATAACGGCGAAATACTCGGTCCTTGGAGACCTCTGTCTCCTGACAGTAAATGACGAACTCGCTCAGAATGCTATGAAGCAAACTCTTTGTCCTGGTTCTTCCGCTTCTAGGGCATTCATGTACGAGGCATTATCCCATACGTTATTCTTGATGGGATCACACGAGCCTTCGAGCTGTACACGCCCACTCATCGTACGATTACTGTACCGTAGGTTCAAGATGAAGAACCCCAAAAGCCCTTTTACAACTAATAAGACCACTTCATGGGATGTCCGAGATTACATCTCGTCATGTGAGTGCCCACGATGTGCGGTTATCGCGCTGTACACTCTTTTTTTTTTACTCACGCAAGGATGCACATTGTGTCTTTTTTGGTTGGCTTTGTCAAATATAGTTTCGGCTTTTCAATTGTTTCATTGTGGGTTAGTGTTTTTGTGTGCCGTCCATGGTGATAGGACTGAAGAGTTCAGCGCCTATACCAGACTTCCCGCACAGACCGCTCCTGTGCAATTTACAGTGTACCCAAGAACCCCGAGATTACCTTTCTGCGTATGCACATGACTGGATAAGAAGGATGGATCATAGGTAGTTCGCCTTTTGACACAAGTTCTCCTGTGTCACTCTGCTGGGAATGACTCACTACCTTGATACGCCTCGCGTCGAGAAGATTAAATGTTGCTTGGCGGTAGATCACACGATGTGATAGCTTTCCCATTCTGATTTGTTTCCGTGCGCTGAGGTGGCCGCCACGTAATTATATCAGTCATAGAGGTAATGTGATGTACGTGGTTGACTGTTGGGCCTACCTAGAGCCGTCGATCATGGTGATTTTCTCAAGACCACGCACGTAAATCCGTGCAGGTGACCAACGCGTGGAAAACCTCGAGGCATTAATTGGCTAAAGAAATCCTGTCATCTGTCTAGAGCCATCCTCCGTCCTGGCTATGCTCGGTTCTCATTCATTGATATCTCTCATCTGCCTTTCGCTTGGAACTTTCTCTCGGATCTTGCGTGCGCTATCGAAGTTGTGAAGTCCTTACTTCTAAAGATTGTTACGGGGTCTATTCCGCTAAGTACGCGAGTATCAAGATCAGTTTTCGTGCTCTACGGCGGAAACTCGGGCTTGTCTTGGTGAATTGCCCTGTATATTACTGCAGTGAGTACATTGTTATCTCTGCTTTGGCTATGAGTAGTTGAGCGATTCTCATGCAAGAGTCCCGAAGCTAAGCAGGATTGATGAATTTGGACGCATCGAGGGGTGCGAAGCATGCAGAAGTGCAGAAGCTGAGAAAGTGTGCTATTTTTAGAACACACCGATTTTCCGACGGATTTGGCGGCCGCGATGTGCGCAGATGCGTCGTGTGGGGTAAAACGTCCGCTGAATAGCAATCCCAATCCCAATGGGCAGATGATAGGGCCGGCCGGAGATGACGGAGAAAACGAGGAAGGAGACGAGAGAGAATAGGACATGAGCCAACCCTCAAACATCTGTATCTTGCGAGATGCGAGATGCTATCGAGGATTAGACGACTTACGTCCATCTCGGTTGCGCGAGCTGATTAAATTCTGGATGGTGTCAGCTTGCTTGGAAGAGATGTACCATTCGCAGATTTGTTGGTTCCGATTACTGAACCTCAAGGGCTTGATGCGAGGAGCACGCGTAAATGAATCTTAATTGATTCCCGTATTGGCCAGCACGGTTGATTGCCTACTGAATAGGATTTGCCAAAGCCTTCAAAACAATCTTTTCAATGACCAGTTATACTCAGGACTTTTCATCCAGGTGTATGTGTGTCAGAGTGACAGGAGTATCGCTAGCTTCTTCGCCCCTTCTCGTGTCTGGGCTCGCGCAGAGTGAGTCACCGAGGTCCTCCTAGGATGTCGCATGACTTGAGGTTTCTCTTCCGTGGCCCTTGTCAAGCCACCATACAGTAGTATCCAACTGTCAAGTGACTCCGTCGCGGAAGCCTTTTTAAGGACTTTCTCATCGGGTATATCACATTAATTGAGCGACGGAGAAGTGGATACTTTTGATACTATTGGTGCGGGGCCATTTTTCTGGGCTAAGAAATGGGAGAAGAGGACTCCAAGAGAAACCAAACTTGTTTGAGAACGACGAACCGAGGACATGGTCGAGCTAGGGAATGCAATAAATTTAAAAGTGCAATTCAATGGGTGCGTTCAACAAGCTGCGTTGACCTATGTTAGTGGTATTTGTGCTCACAGGGTCAGGGCCTGAGGAGAGCATCTGACTGGCTTGTGTGTCCGTAGGGACGACCAAACGAACAAAAGGGTCAAAGCGAAAGGAACTGACCGGTGCGGAGGCGGCTGTGAAGGGGTAAAAGAGTTTGTGATTGAAGAATTGCTGAGTAGTAAAGTATAGTAGCAAGGCCCCAAGATCCGAGGCATTTTTGTTTTGTTTTTTTGTGCGCGTTTCTGGTTGCCACAATGCGGGAATTTATTTTTCTTCGGGGTTGCCATTTTGTGGGGTGACGATCAAATTGCGCATGAAGCGAGGGAGATGAAACATGCGCAGAGTCGTCTGTTTTGACGCAAATATGTACGTATGTGAGACAGCAAAAAATGAAAGGTGAGATGGAATGAGGGATGAGTCAGACAATGGGCTGCCTTTTGAGGTAATACGCGGGGTGAAATGGTGAAGTGAGTAATACGAAAGCGGAATGAGCGATGAGTATAACTTCCGTTCCGTGGCAAGAGGTCCGATCAATAATCACGAGCCGGTATTACTTCGCGAGAACTCAAATATCCGGCCCACACTTTCTGTTTGGATACAAAAGACACTCAATTTCGCTCTTCATCTGCTCACCAGCCCCTCCTCCTTCTCTCGAATCCAGTCCTGCACACACTACCCAGCCTTCCTACTCCACACACAAGCACCTAGAGCATAGCTCGACAGAGTGACCGCTACCATGTCGTCCCAGTACTCAGCCGGCCTCCCTTCCACCTTTGACCCATTCAAGACACATCCCTTCACGTATGTGTCTCACTCGACGAACATCGCTATGCACACGAGCTGATGCGCTAATTAATATTATTGTAGCAATATCAGTCGGGCTCCGCCACCAATGCCTGCACCAAACCCATATCCGCGTCCAGTCCGAACGTACCAGCCACCCGGTGCGCAGGCACGACCGCCTGCACCAACAGCACCGTCGTCGCTACCGACGTCCCAGACACCCGTGCACTCTCCCCAGCCACAACGGGCGTCGCCACAAACAGCCACCGCGACGCGGATGCACGTATTCGAGCCGTTCAAGTACGAGCGAGCATCGCCCGACCTTCAGGACGTGCTTGCGAAGAAGGGCGCCAACAGCCCAGGCAGACGGCCCTCGAACACTGCCCGGGATGACGCAAAGCAAAAGAAGACGAAATAACGAAATTGAATGCGAAAGAGCATTCGGGTTCTCGTTTCCCTGGCTCTCCTCATCATATTACCCGCCTCGTGTTACGACCTCTCACGGCTTGTTTATATACCTTTCGTGCGTCCTGTTCGCATATGATTTCGCGCACCGCGTGTCCCGTGTAGTGTGACTGATGGAATGCTCTATACAGAACCCCGAATTCATACCGACTCGCTTGGTCATCCATTAATCCCATTTATCCTCCACCACTTCCCTTTCTTGAATCTGTGAATCTCTTCACCCTTTCATTCATGCATGTCGCATCTTTCCTTGCTTTGTGCTTCCATTCATCCTGCCAAAAGCCCACGTAGCATCCTGTGTCTACTGTCCGTCAGGTCTTGTGCATCCGTTACGATTTGAACCGGCTGGACTCTTTCCGGGCAGTTGTCCATTATGTCGCTAGTATCGGAGCTTCAATGTATTATAGTAATCCTTGATTCAACCCTACACGCATATGCTTCTCCCCGTCCTCTCTATGTTTAAAACTCAATGACGTCCCGTGTATGTGAAACCTTTGATGAGAAGAAAACCTTGACGCCTCCTCCGCCGGTTCCCCTGGATCGGTTATACACGGCAAACTGGTGTGAGGAAAATATATACATGCTTGCAAAGCGGTTCCTTGAGGATGAATCTGTCCGCGCAGTATGGTCTATCTATGCCATCTTCATCTCGAACAGGACACGTAGTGTACGGCAAGTTCCTTTCCGTCTTACGCGAGGGGTCAAGTCATAAATTTGAGCATCTGAACCCAGTTGACAGGTAGCTCTTTGGAGTCAGAAATTGCGCGAAGATGTCGTTGTATGGGATTACCATGTTATCCTAGCACTCGAGTCTCACGACGACGAGCGAAGACGGCCTGAAGTTGCCTTTAGTGGCGAACCAGGGCCGCCACGGCCATCTTCGACCTGGATATATGACCTTGACAGTAGACTTGAAATGCCGTGCAAGTGGGAAGATTACATCGCCTCGACATTTCCGTACGCAAGTATTCAAGCTGCGGAGGCTGGATGGAGCATCCCAGAGACGTATCAGAGGTGATTTCCATTCAACTCCTTGGCTTGGAAGCGTGCATTTTGTGTCATTGACAGAGCGCTCGAACTTATTACAGTCTGTTCCGCATCGTCGCCGCAGAGGAGTTCCTCGAGAGTTTTGCTTCAGATAGATCACATATGGTGCGTTTCCTCCGTAGTTTACGGGTCGAAAGTCGTGTCTGAATACATTGCTAGCTGGGTCCCGAGTCCGAGTCTGATGATGGTCCACCACGATATCACTCACCCGAACCTTCCTATCCATGTATCGTAGGAACCAAGGCGGCCGCAAGGGGGATATCAAACAACCTAATGAGCAGTTTCGTATGTATGGACATGGAGAACACAGAGGTCGGTAGTGTGTACACCTTAGAGCAGGCAAAGGCTCTTTTCTCTCAATAACGGCATTAATGGCAATAAAAATATAAAATAGTTATATTATAAAATTAATTTTGGGGTATATTTGTACATGTTTGGTCGTCTTGAAATTATGTGGTGCGGTGGTCACTCACTCTCCGTTTCCTTCAACGCGTTACGCCTTCCCTTGTCCCATTTATTCCCATTATTACCTTTTCCTCCCTCCCGACTGGCCCGGCTCGGCCCTGTAGCCAGCCTCAAACTCGCCAGTCACCTTGACCTTTCTGTATATTTCACTTTAATTAAGGCGTGCAATGTCTGCGTCGTCGCCACCGCTTGTTGTCAATGTTATGAACGGACGCCCGCATTCTCAAAACTCTTCTTCTTCTTCGACGACGACGACATCGACGTATGCTGGTGGAGCGCGGACGCCGAGCTCGAATGATGGGGTGGGACAGGTTGAGCAAAATGGTACTGCTACGACTGCGACTTCTGCCTCTGTCCAACAAAACGCTCCGCCTGGGCAAGATGGGGGATACGCTGTTGCAGGTCCTTCGTCTGCGCCTGTAAATGGCTTTACAAGGTGCGTTGGGGCGTAGTTTCTCCTGAAGGAGCTCGTGTGGTCTCTCGGGCCTCTTTCCATCATTCCCTTGCAACCTCCGTACTGACGCTGCGTCTAGTAACGTATACGCACCTTCACACAACGAGCAGATTATCGACCACTTGTACAATGCTGGCTTTCAAATGGGAGTATGTGGCTTAATAGCTCTTATATCTATGTATTATACCTGCTCACGTGCGTATTTATAGGAATACGCTGATACTCTCCTGGTATGATGCTTCTATCCCCTTTGTTCGCAAACCCAATCTCATATACTATTTGCCGTTCCGTTTGCCTTCTTCTCTTCCCTAGCATGCACATGGCCATAGATACCAGCTGCATGCGATTATTCTCTCGCGGTCGCCGTACCTTGCCCACTTGATTTCGGCAAATCCCAAATCTGCGGGTATGCATAGCATTTACGTGCCGTTGGAAAGCTTTCCAGAGATTACCGACCAGGTGAGTTTCCAGTCAACATTTAAAGAGTACCACACCAATGACGTCTGCGCATGATAGGGCTTTGCAGTAGGTAAATACTGTAGCCTTCAAACTCTGTTTCGATACCCCTGACTTTGGTGTTCCGGCTGCTAGCCTTAGGCTATCTTTACTCGTCTGTATCGCTGAACAACTTAACGACGGCGAATGCACGAGCTGTCTTGTCGGCGGGATGCCTGCTCGGTGGGATGGATGAACTCTGCAATTACGCTTATCAGGCGTGCCGCAACTCTATTTCAGTTGAAAATATCAACGAATGGATTGAATTCGTGGACAACCTATCAACGAGTGACGGTACTGCTACCCCTTCGGAAGCGCAGCAGCAACGCCCATCCATTCTGGGCCCTTACGCACTTCAGTTGCGGTCCGATGTGTTCAACTTCTTGGTTGTCACGCTGACGAGCATCTTGGACGTCCATTCTCCGTCGGGAAGTGGGCGCAACACCTTACTGGGAATTTTTGCTCGTCTTGGTAAGGATACACAAGTGGCTGAGCTTAAAGTTGCGTGAAGAAGTGCTGATATGACGGTGTGCTAGGGTTTGATCTGTTCAAGAGTGCGATCGAGTCTCCGATGTTCCAAATAGGTGTGTTTCAGCGATTCAGTGGTGTTCCGCTTTCTGGCGGGCGGGCCGCGTGCCTTGTGTCATGCTAATGCTAACAGGCTGCTTCTGTGATTGTGCTGTGATTGCTAGGGACTGACCAGGAACGATTCCGATTCGCAAAGAATGCGATTGAGCTGAGAAAGCGGACACGCGGCGCGGGTGTGGACGAGGCGGTCGTGCTTGCGTTTGGGGGAGGGCATTCTGGGAGTGCGGTGCACGTGACGCGCAAGACGAAGAAGCGGGCTCTGTACAAAGTTGGCTGATGACTGGATGTACGTACTGCACATATGAATTTCTTCCGAATACATGAGTGGGAAACGCGAGTGCTAGTGTGCTGGGAAGTGTGTGCTTGTATGAACTGGTTCTTTTTTTCTATGCGATTGCGGAGCAGAGATGGAACTGCCATGTGCGGGCGCTCCAGCGCAGCGTGTGGACGCGTGGTGGCCCGAGCCCGGGAACGTCTGAGTGGGATGTTCGGTCAGGGGAGGAGCGTTTAGAGAGAGAGTTGAGTGAGCACGTGCAATCGCGGAGGAATATCTTGGACGCGTCGCGTCTAAGAATAAAAGACGAGCTACTTAGCTTGTGCTGGCTAAGTGCGTGCCTGAGCGGGAAAAAAGACGCGATTGAAGAGGAGCGTCCCATCCTGCCCCTCCAAATCGCCGCTGAGCTGAGCATAGAGTCTGAAGTGGCACGGGTTCTAGAGCTTGTCCTGGCTTCTCGGTGTCTTATTTCTTCTCCTCAGCCCTCGGCGCCTTGGCCCTCAGGGTGTCTTCTCTCCACATCCCAGGTTCATCAGAACCCGATAGTTTATCGCCTCTCCGTCCAGCGGCGCACGTACACATACACTTAGTCTATGTTGTGCCCTTCTCTCCTATGTAATCACAAACACCACATTCACATTATTGGTCCCTGGCCCCTCCGGCCCTCGGCACACGGCACTGTCCGCCGGCCAGCCACACGGAGGCAGAACAGCGAAACTAGGGCCACAGCCTGTTCGTAGACAGATAGTCATACATATTCGTCCATGCGCCATATGCGCAGCTGCGCGTCCATTTAATATTCCGTGTAGCCTTTCTCTGCCCTTTCGAGATTTGCCGCCGCGGGCCCGTCCCGCATCCCCCGTTCGTCAAAGCTTAAGAGCAAGGGGCACGTCTGAGGGGGAGAAAATGGACCTCGAGGGTGTGTGTCCTGGCAACTAAACCCTGTGCCTAAAAAGCGTGTGCCGTTCAGGTTATTGGCTCCCCCCTCGCCAGTATATCGTGTACGTATATCATATCAATCACTACTGCAAGCGTAGCATAGCTCGAGGCTGCTTGCTGGATGGCCCCGCCCGCGCCTGCTGCGTACGACCTGTATTTCACCGGGTCGCGAGGTAACCCGCGTCAGGTAAGCTCGCCCCGTATAGAATTGTTTGCAAATAGACTAAGCAGCCCCCATCTGGGACGGCATGTATGTGTGTGTGCCTCGCCCCCCAACCTTCCACGATCGCTTGCTCGCGTCCCACCACGTCTTCGCCTTCGTTCCCTCCTCCTCCTCCCCACAATGGCTTAATGAAATCTCGAACGAGCAGTGCATCATCCTCGGCGACGATGTCGAGCCTATTTTCTACCGCTTCGAGGTGCGTCTTCGCTGCTTCCAGCTGTGCTGTCAATACATCGTCTCTCAATGGGGCTGCTGTTGCCGCTGTTTCTGACAGACGCCGGATGTGTTCATGACGAACAAGAGAACAACGGTACGTCTGTTTCTCCCGTCGCCAGTAGATAAAAAAACATCGATCCCTGCACCGAGGCCGGGGATCGACGGTGTGGCCCTCCGAGGCGTCCGTCGCCGCCCAGCCCAGCCCTTCGCGAGTGCAATTTATCTGGGGCCGATCATCATATATCACCTTTTGACGTCTAATTGCCTATAAGTATACTAATTGCTTGTTTACGCTGCGCTTTGCGTGTCCCTACGATGTCAATGCAGATCTATCGGAACCAAGACGAGATGGTCGCCATCTTCGACTGGAGCGCCGATTCCTACCTCGGGTTGTGCACCGTCAAGAACAGACAGCCCTTCCCGATGGCTATGCTCGTCCTCCCCGGCTCGACGGCAAGGTAGGTCGCTTGATCCACAAGCGAAATATGCGAGCCTGTGTTTATTTATTTTTGTATTTTTTTCCCCTTTACTACGACAGTGCACGAGCATTCTTCCTTAACGGAAGTAAATTTGAATGGCGCAGAACGCGCGACGACCAGCTTGGGTACGACGTAAGTACCATTACAACTTTTCCACTTGCACGTCCCTTTTCACCCGATGACAACGGATCCTCCCCTCTCCCCCTCTTTTCGCTTAATCTGATTCTGATTCTAATTCTTCCCTCTCGGCGTCTCTCGACATAACTCCTCCTAACCACCCTAACTCCTCTCCCTCATCCGCAGTTATACCACGTCCCGCAAAACGCACACGGCCAACCACCCGTACGCATAGCCTTCTTTCGCACAGTCGACCAGCCAACTCCGCTAGGACCCGCACATGGTTTCCTACAATACACCTTTGTCCAGCCGCCTCTCCTTCTCGAGGCTCTTCTCGCACTTAGTATTAATCGATGGATGGACATGAATGCTGTGCCTGCTATGTAGGGACTATCGAGGCAGTATCGTCTAATGCTAACGCCTAACTGCGCGCTGCCGTTTTGAAGGACTTGAACACTTACGTGGATATGTATACATAACCCTTCCTACCACGCTGTGGATGAAACCCATCTAACTACCCCATTCCTCTTACCGGATCTTAAAGAATAAGAGGACTTATAAATGTTGTATAGCTGTTTGTATGCATATATTCAGTACAGGGTACTTCACGCTTTTATCATGCTCTCTCATGTATTTCCTACTTCTCTCCGTGCTTTCTTTCCCTTCTGTTTCTGTTCTATTGGCTTTTCTTCTGTTGTCATTGTATCTCTGCCACACCACTTTCGGAGGAGGAAAGCACCAAAGCGAATATTTATATTACTAGAACAAGCGAATATCGGAGTAACGGAAAAAGAAAAACGAGTGTGTGTGTAGAGGTAGTAGTGTAGTGTATCGATCGGGAGTTGGATATGTCGCATATGCATAAGTAGAAGACGGAAGAGGATAGGAGAGAGGAAGGGAGAGCAGAGGTATACAAATTCGTCGCAGTTACCATAACCAGTCCATGTGTTAGGCAGTACAAGAAGATATGAAAAGCGAGAAGAATGAGGGTTGAAGATTCGGAAGAAGAATGGAAGAAAGATAAAAAAAGTAGAAAGCGCCATAGCATAACGAGAAAACGCGAGTTATCAGCAAGCGACGGAGGTTTTTTTAAATTCAAACTCGTAAAAATGAAAGAAAGAGATATCAGAAACAAGCAAAAGGAACAAGAAGAGAAGTCAAAGCTGAAGACAATATAAAGCAAAACAAACAAACAAATCATTTAATTAAGGTTCGTCCATTGGGCCCATCTAGCTCGAAGGGTTCACAGAGTCAAGCATGCGCTCTAATCGCTCTTCGACCGTCCAGTTGGTATCAGAGTCCGACGTCGTCCCCGTCGTCATCATTGTTTGTAAAGAACCGGAATGTGAATGCCCACCGCCCCCAGCGATGTGGGAATGGGAAAACGGCTGCGAATGTGATTGTAGAGTCGAAGTATTACCGACGCTGCCGACGCTACCCTGTTTGTTGTGAGTGTGAGGGTTGGGCTTGATGTTGAAAGTTGCCGCTTCGGTATTACGTGCGAGTTGTTCGATTAGACGCCCGATGTGTGTCGACGAACTGTGGAAGACCTATATTCGTTTTTGTTTGTGGGTTTGCCGAATTGGAAATGGGGATAAGTGATATGGTGTTAGTATTAATGAATACACGTGAAGTTAATTTTGAGAAATGGAGAACGGAATAGTGTAATGTGTGGTAATGTGTGTGTGAGTATGAAATGAGGAACGAACCTTTGTTTCTGGACGGGCCGCTTGCTGACTCTTCCGTCGAGCAAAGTTAGATATGGAGATGTTGCTCCCCTTCGAACCTGTCCGTGCGTGTTCCTTAAAGAACAGCTGCTCGCTTTCGCTATCTTGCAATGGCATACTCGAATAGTCCGAATCCACGCTGCCGCGCCGCTGGTAAATAGATTCGACGTCGTCCGCTCTCAACCCATTTACGATAGACCTATACGCAAAGTTTACGAAACAGAAAACATCATGAACTCAATATTCCCATAACGCTATCACGAGAAGTAGGGTAGTGGAAACGGGGATCTTACCAGATTGTCTCCCCATTAGCCAACTCGATCACTTCAAGCGCCTGTCCCTCTTCCACTTCCGGAAGACTTTCGTCAAGTGGGGACTTGGGCGGCTCGGAAAGTTCAGGACTCTGCACGCTTCCCGTTCTATCGCCAATGTACATGTCGTAGCTGTGTGAGAACAAACAATACGCGTACGGGTCAGTTCATGTAAGTTTTCGGATCGTCTATGAGCGCAAAGCGGCAAATGGAATACGCACAACGAATCATAGGGAGACTTCTCTATTGGTATTTCTGGTGTAAGTCGCGATGACGAAAGTCGTCCAGAGTTGGATAAGGAAAGGGGTGATGGAAGACTTGGAACAGGCGGAGATGGATCGATGGATTGTCTCTTTGCCTTTGGCGGCGGAGGTGTAGGGATTCGCTCATGAATAGATCGATTGGATTGGACCGAGAGATTGCTCGCCCGTTTGTAGCTCTTCGTGGTAGCCTTCCTGGATAAAGAAGCAAGATCCGTTGTTGAACTATTGGTAGATGGGAAGATGAGCGTCCGTCGGACGACTGTGTTTCGTACATTCCCATGAGAATCGGCGATCTCGCGCACGCGTCGTGGGGTAGGAGCAGGTACGGGTGAACTTGCACGCTCACGCAACGTGGTATTATTCCCAGAATGATCCGCACCAGGCCGTTGAATGAAGAGTTCAGGAATAACAGGGCTAGACGCGCGAATAGGCTCCAACGAAGGCTTTTCGGGAGACTCATCATGATACCTAGTAGGCGCGGATGTAGACGGATACGGATGTTTTCCAGCGGATGAGTTTGAACGGGCCAAGAAATCATTCAGCGCAGATTGGTCCAAGCCGAGACTTTGAGCCGCTTCGTAGAATTGCCTCAGCGCCGTTGGTTCAGATGGAGCAGATGCAGGTGGAGAAGAAGGGGAGTTAACAACTGTCCTTTCTGTTGGCTGACGAGACAAAGACGGCGCTGTCGGAATAATTCGGGCAACAGCTTGTGAAATGCTACCGCTTCGTGATAGTAAAGGTGCAGAAGACGGTGGCAATTGGAAGCTATGCCTTCCGTTCGCGGGCGCAGATTGAGAAGGTGCATTGGAAGGCATAGTTGATGTTAAGCCATGCTTCTGTTCATGTTCCATGGGACCATTCTGTTGACCCTTCTTCCGGAAACGCGACATGAACGTCTTCAGATTGGGCCCAGCAGATGCAGGCGGAGATACGTTCGTCAGCTTCGGCTGCACATACAAGTCTGTCACGCTGCCTTTCGATGGCGTCAAACTCCTGTTTCCAACTTGAGGGGAATTAGTGAACGAAGATGAAGTATTATCAAGCGTCCAGGGTGTCACTTCGTCGCCATTAGGCCCAGCGTTCTTACTCCTGAGAGTATTCCGAAGTCTCCTAGAAAGTGACATCTTGACAGTACGTTGTCCATCGTTAGGGTGGGTCGGCTTCAGCGGAGATGTGGAAACAGTCGGTATCTTGTCTATGCTGGTAGAAGATTGGACCAACAGCGGCGCAGATATATCCTGCAAGTTGATCTTTTTCTTCGTGATCTGCGAGCCCGCTATGGGGAAACGTCCTTGTTGTGGTGATCGACGCAACTGGGCCATTGCAGCTTCTGTCCGTTCCTGCACTTGACGAATCAAGTCCGACGAGTCCGCTGTATGACCACTATCCGACGTCAATTCGAGACCATGATTCGGTGCAAGCTGTGTCAGACCGATATCTTCTACCTTTGGAGGAACCGCGGATCGTTGAGGGAACTCGAATCTTGGTCGATCTTCTTCAGTATTGCGGCCCTGATCGTCTAAGGGTGCTGGCTCGTGTTTTGGTGCTGGCTCTTGCACGGGTGCATGCTCTGGTTCTGGCTCCACCTCAGGCAGAGAAGGTACCGGCTCGGATTCACTCACTCCGAATAATATCTCGGCTAAGTCCTTGTTGCGGCGTCCCGGGCTCGACGTCGGTATGGGTGCAAGAACAGGCGGTGAAGGAAGGATATGCAAGTCGTTATCCTCACTTTCATCACGCACTGGCTCTGTCGGCTCAGATGGCTGTATGCTGTTGACGACGGAGGTCAAAAGTGCATTAGCCTTGACAGTACTTTCTACACTCGGCGCCCATGGTAAACCATGTACAGGAGCCGGGCTCGTAGTCTAAAGTTAGATACAACGTTATTAGTCCGCGTAAACAGGAAAATCCAACCTAAATATAACATACCCTACTCGGCTGCCCTCCGGTTGAGTGAATGGATTGAGCAGTAGACGGTCGCCGACGGCGTAGAGTCGACGAGGCCCGTACCTCCGAGCTCTTCGCCCGAGCTTGAGATGCTTCAAGCAATTTGTTCTGAATAGAGAGCAAGTCGAGTTTGGTGAGACCCGTATACTGGCGAAGCAAGTGCTCTGGGTCATCCGCGGGTGGATTGCCGCGAGTTCCTGTTCGCCCTTGGTTCATGACGTTCACTGAGATTGGAACATCATGCCATGCAGGCTCCATCCTGTCTGGGGCAAGTAAGAATTTGGCTCCATCGTCCTCAGTCGAGTGATAACTAGACCCAACGGAAACAAGCGATGATCGAGAAGAATTATTCGACGTTCGTGAGATAACCAGGGGATTCTGGTCGAAATTTCGCGCGAATGGTGACGTTGGAGGTGTCAGAAGAGGCGATAGGATCCGCTGTTTTGCGCGAGTTCCCTCGTCCAGCGTCGAAGTAACAGACGTCGAGCGCGTGAGATCACGACTAGGAGAAGATGACATGCCGAAAGAGTTGGACAGCTCCGAAGTTGGGTCATAGTCCACAAAGGCAAGTGCTGAGGCTGACAAAACAGACCCATTCGAAAGGAATTTGTTCCGAACTTCCGAATCTCTACCATCGTCCGAAGTGCCCGGGGAATAGATAGGGCGAGGAATTCGCAAAACCGTCTTTGGCGCATCATCAATAGGGCTTTCAATCCAGCTCTGGCTGTCGCCAACGCTTGAGTTGCTCGCAGTTCTGTTGTGCCCCAACAGAGTTCCGTTCCTACCAAGTGGCTTCGAGCTCTGGCCAGATTCACGAGCGGAAACATTCCACGTCACGTTTGAAGGCGTACTTGGTCTCGAGCCACCATTCAGCGATTGGAAGGCATTGCTGTTACTCGACAGAGGTGACGATGGCCTGCGCCAATGCGAGCTTAACGACGTATGTTCTGAACCGTACGGATTTCCATAACGGTCTCGAACTGATGAGTGCGGAGACTTTGGCCGAGCACCATAAGGAGTCGGCGAGTTATTCACAGCTTGTCGAAGGAGCGTCGATCCGGCAGAAAGTGGCGGAGAGGACGCAGCAGCACGAGGCGTTATTGAGAGAGAACGAACATCCTCCAGGTCATTGTCACGAGCAGGCGTCACTGGACGGGGCATCCCGGGTATATACCCTGGAACGCGAGGCACAGGCGACGTTGAACGCCCTGTACGATATGGAGATGGCGAGCGGTAAGCACCTGCAGGACCAGAGGTGTCCACGTCAGCAAGCCAGGACATGGTGGAAGACTCGTTGCTTGCTTCGGTGATAGCCTTAGCCGAGTTGGAGTTTGTCTGCATTGTCATGTGTAGAGATGGTCAACATCATTAGGACATCACACGAGATAGTTGAGTACATACGTCATCAGTTGTCAGTGCCAACGCTCTACCGGGTTCTGCATTTCCATTTTGCTGAGCAGATGTAGTTGATCGGGGAACGAGGACCTGGTCATCTGCCTCTTCTTCGATCTTTCTAATCGCCTCCTCTAAGGACATTGACATACGCTTCACCTGCCCAGTCGTGAGTTGCCGACTAAGACGAAGCGCTGACGAGCCAGCAAGAGGAGCGACGCCCTCCTCAATTGACGATGACATAGACAGGTTCATCGACCGATCAGAAGATGCTGCGGAGATCGGACTTGACGGTGCATTGATAGTCGAAGTCGAGTTTTCCGGCGTTATTGGGCGAGCATGTCCATCGGAATACGAATCAATCAGGGCATTTGCTATATTCTCTGTTGTTGATTCGCTCTGGGTAGACGAGAGTGCACTGCGACTGCTGCTGATCGTCCGATTCGAAGACTTCCGCATGTACCGTATGTCCCTCAGCTGACCACCTCCAAAAAGGTTGTTGCTGTGTCGTTTGGCTGATCGGGATGACGGAGACACAGGCGAATGGGAGAGTTCGGAGCTGCCGGGAGCAGAGGACATAGTAGTCGTTGACTGTGTCGACTGCCGCACCGTTGACGACGCCGAAGAAGCGGCGTCATTTGACGAAACACTCGTAGACGATGGGTCCGATCTCACGCTTGAGTTATTGGACTCGGTAGTTACGGACGTTTTTGACGCTGGCCCTCCGTGACCCGTCCCGTGCGCGCGAATTCGACTTAACATATCTAGCAGCATGTCTTCCTCTTCCTCTGAGATTTGATTTTCTGCACCTTTCGCTCTCTGTTCGGCAAAACGATTTCTTAGATCTTCCAAGCTGTACGGAGCACCGCTGGATGAGCGCAGAAGGGTGAACCTTCTAGTTAATCTAAATGGAATAACTATCAGCGGCAGTGAGAAGCAGGAGCGGACAGCCACATACTCGGGTAAGATCAAGCTTGTCCGAAAATCGCTGACAGGGGGCAACGACGGCGGCTCGGGAGGAGGATGAACTTGTACGTGTTGGGTAACAATAGGGAAGGGAGGATGGGGACGCGAGCTGGAGGCAACGGAAAAGCTTGGTGAAGACGGAGGAGGTAACTCGCTACGCCTCGCGTCTGATTTTCTCCTGTATGGTACGATGTGACAAGGCGGCAGACACGCGAAAATCGAAGGACAAATATTTGTTAACGTGAGGAGCACGCATTGAACAGAAGGTAAGGCTCACCGAAAACGGTGCATGGTGACTGCAGCAACCTCGCCGAAAACACGTTGTTCGTGCCAAATTAGTAGGCGACCGCGGATAGGAAGGATTCAAGTGCTGGAGGGTAGTAGATGACACGCGTGTGTGGTGAAGGGTGCGTCGGGAAGGCGGACAATAGGGTATCAAGTAACGGGTGCTTGAAACGAGGCAGACGCGGATACTAATGCAAGGTTTGACGGGTTTAAAGAAAGCCCATGGGATTTTTCACTGCGAAGGAACGGATGACTTGCAGACTTTGTACAGGCGGTGTAGACAGCGACCACGACGAGAAGAACAAAAGAGGTGGCGACGGCGGGAGAAAGGGAAGACGAGGGATTGAGGTGGGTGTCTGTCCTGCAATCAGCGTGTCACCGCTGGGCCCGCACAGGCTTGCTCAACCGAAAAACGTGCCAGCCCTAGTTGTCATCTGTTTGGCGCTGCTCTGATCGTCCCTTTATTCTTTATTTTTGTATTTATTCATTCCTTTCCCACAAGATTTCTGTCTGGAATTCGGATAATGCGGTAACAAATACAAAGCATGGTACAATGACGCAAGAAAACAGAAAAAGGGCGAGAGTGTATGTCGCTCAACACAATTAGCAGCTAATTCTTCGCGTGCCTACAGGGACATTTTAGCATCGTCGATCATATCATAATCGCACCCTTGCTGAAGGTACACTCACTTCTTCGTCCAATCTGTAGCGGTCAAAATGAATTGTGTGGGGTTCTCTTTCAGGAGCTGTACGGAGATTTGTAGAATTAGATAAAAATAGAGACAACATCTGGAGAACGGGAACAAAGTACCAGGGCAATGTCTGGTTCAAACGGATCATCCGGCTTCGGATTGTTCAGTTTATCTTGAATGGATATGAGCACTTTGAAATGAAGAAATAGATGTTTCAGATAAGCCGAGGGCGTACAAAGCAGCGAATCATTCACTCACTCGACCTAACCGTCATCGCTGGCTTCCACTATTTTGAGGCCATCAATATGAAATTGCGAACCTTTGATACTAATGGAAGATGAAACGTACGGCATCCCGAAGAACGTCCAAGCAGACCTGTCCTTCTTCGTTGATTCCAGGGTGATATATGCGTGTAGTGAATTTGAACTAAAGCCTATTAGTATCAACAATTCATCAAGTAACAGGTTGCGTGCTCACTTTAGGAGGCTTGAAAGGGAAATCATCAGGGAATTCCATCTCAAAGTTGAATTTTCCACCCTTGTATGGTGTTCCGTCCTGCGCAGACGCATTGAGTTGGATAAGATGAATGATATCAAGAAGCGACGTACTTCTCCCTCAATGAATCCGGACCAGAACCTAATGTCATCGTCGTCTCTCGGAGCAGCTTGCACGCCCTATAATTATATACCCAGTCAACATTTTAGGTCTGTACGACGAATAGAACATACGGTAAGCGGGTCTGTATCTAGGTCCCGCCATTCCTGAATAAATGCATCATAAAGGCTGAGTTCAAGCTCAAAGAAACCTATATGAATATGTACCTTCCCGATTCGCCTACAGATACTGGTTAGACCAAGTTTCTCTCATTAATAAGAAGACTCACTTGATCGATTTGGCTGACATGATTGTTGAGTGGAGGGTACGGGGTAAGCGGTCAAAGGCGTCATTCGAGGGAGGAAATAGACCGCACGTGACCCAATAATTGCTTCTGAACGCAGTGTAGCAAACGCCGTCATGGTCGCGCGACGTTCCTTGTGCCTAAACCATGATTGCACGAGAGGAATCGTATCCCCCAGAGACTTCAGCGCCATCGACTCCACTACCTTTACCTTATAGCAACACTCCGCCACCGTCGAACAAAAAGCGAAAACATGCCACGCTTAGTGGTGCAACACCGACGAGCGCTGCGTCTCCTGCGCCCTCTGACTCTGGAGTACCACCGACACAAGCTGCTGATGGGAGTTTACTTCCTACGACAGACTCAAACTTGGTAGATTATTGGTCACGTTTGACAGTTTCTCGTCCTCCACTTTTCGTACCAATCAGCGAAGGATCAATATACAATACCACAGAACAAATCCCCCACCGTCTCAACTTCCGCTACATTCCCATCGGTCTCTCCGAGCCTGGATCAAAATCTCAGTTCCGAGTCATTGAGAGTAATCCGCCAGGATACGTACGCGTAAGCTGGGAAGATCGTAGCGCGTTCATGAAAGTCACAACGGATGGTCTAGGCCTCTGCGGTGAGAAAGGCTATCGATCTGCACGCCTCAACGTACCCATCCGCGAAGGCAAGTGGTACTTTGAGATAAAAATTGAGCATGGAGGCGGTGCAAAGCTTCCAGATAGTGGAGCGAAGGAAGGCGCACATGTTCGATTAGGCTGGGGAAGGCGAGAAGCAGGGCTTAATTGTCCTATCGGTGCGGATGGTTATAGCTATGGGTATATTGACAAGGACGGACGAAAGGTGACGCTTTCGCGCCCTCGTCCTTATGGGCAGAGCTACGGTACTGGGGACGTTATCGGCATGTACATCTCACTTCCACCAAAACGCAAGCCGAAGGCGAACGATCCTTATGACCCAGCGCAATTAAACCGTGTAGGCATTCCCATTCCTTTCAAAGGTCGGGCGTACTATGAAATCCCTGAGTATCCTCAGTCGAAGGAGATGATTTCTCTGATGGACTCATCGGCTAGCAAAGCTAAGGATACTGCATCCGTACCTTCGTCTACCAAAAAATCTGCAACGGTGAAGAACTTACCCGAACGTGGACGAGGGAACAAGCCACCTCCCGAACCAAGTCCATTACAACATTTACCCGTCTTACACGGTTCACACATTGCTTACTTCGTCAACGGGAAAAGCCAAGGTGTCGCATTTCAAGAACTATTCGATTATCTACAATTACGCACGGTTCCTTCTGCTCGGAATAACCGTTCTCGGCGGAGACTACGAGAAGGTTACGCAGAGCACAAGGACAACCCATTCGATGATGGTTGGCTCGGATACTACCCCTTTGTATCTTTGTTCAACGGTGCTCGCGTTAGCATCAACGCAGGACCCGACTTCGAATACCCGCCTCCACCAGATATCGAAGGTGTACTCGCCAACGACCCAGATTCAGCCGATACGAAATTACGAACATGGCGACCCTTGTGCGAGCGCTATGCAGAATTCGTTACAGAGCAACGTGAGATCGACGATATGGCAGAGGCAGAGGCGCAAAAGAAGGCGCAAAAACAACAGCAGCAGCAGGAAGCTTCACAACAGCGTGCTACTGCTAAACCACCGAAGAAGGAGCGTGCAGTGTCTGATCATCCCAAGTCGAGTCGTCCTCCGACGCAAAAACCGCCAAGAGCTCAGACACAGCCGAAGGTACCTCCTGTGGTAAAGGAACCTACGCCTTCGCCAGCACTTGTTGCTGCACCTGCTACACCGCCTGTTCTACCGTCGACTTCACTGGAGGCTATGGACGTTGTTCCGCCTGAAACAAAGGTGGAGGCACAGTCACATTTACCACAGCAACAGCCAGAAGCATCCACATCGACAGCATCACAAACACAAACACCAGGTCCAATACCTACCGCAGGAACAGACCCCACCCAACCCCCAGCCCCTGAACCCGAACCCGAGCTGACCGAACAAGAACGCAAAGAAAAAGAAAAACTCGAAGCTCGTCGTCAACGCAAACGCGAGCTCGAACGCGCCCGTCGCGCCAAAAAGCGAGAAGAGAAACTCCAAGCGAAGAAACTCGAAGAGGAAGCGAGACAGCGGGCTGCGATTATCGCTGCTGCTGAGGCTATTGTTGCGGCTGGTGGGCTTAACGTTAACGCTTTGAATACGGGTGGAATTGCGAATGCGAGTGGGAATGTGAATGTGAATGTTGGTGTGGATGCTGAGGTTGAGGCTGCTGCTTCATCTGTTCCTGTTCCGATGCCGATGGAGAGTGATACCCCAATTATGGACCAACCCAAGTTCACCTCTGAGTATCCTGCGACAGAGTATAACATGGATCAGGACCCGCAGTAGTATTAATATTTACTTTATTTTGGCGTGTACTTTTAGATCTTCTTCCATTGGCATTGACATTATCATTTGGTATTGAGGGAAAAGGAGTATCATTTCAATATCTTGCTATCCTATTCCACCAATGTGTACACTAGATGCTACAAATACAGTAAAAATAATAAATAAATACACAAAAGCAAAAAATCGAAAACAAAAAGATTAAGTGAATTAACAGAAGGAATTAGGACAGCAGTAAGAAAGATTAGCTTAGCACTAAGAAAAAGCAAGATACGTCAAAGCTAGCTAGGTTTTTTTAGATATTACTCATTGCCAACATGGTGGTGGGGCTTTAACGGGATATCTAATTGATATAAAATTAGTTTCTTTCCTTGATATAGGACGTAAGGAAGCTTACCCAACAGTGGTCCCGTAACCTTTTTCCTTCTCAACGCGAATGTCGAAGACTAAATTCCCTTGGTCATCGTACCCTACAGTGCAATAGTTCCGACGACCCATAACCAATTTGCTGTTATTCCCAGTCGAACCATCCGTGTCCTGCTGGAAGAGAGGGACCTTGGGGATAGACGAAATAACATCATCAGGAAACTATACGACATAAAACGCAGATAATACTCACCATCCCTTCATCGATGTCGGCACGGTGAAGCGTCTGGTGCGTCTTACTGGCACGATTCGTTACGAGTGTGATAACAGGATTTGGTGGCCTACGAGAGTGTTAAGTAGAAGTCGCGTGCCGGCAGGTTTGATACTTACGGAGTATTGACGATAGCACCTGTAATAGTCAAGCGTAAAATGCGACAGGATTAGTAAGGGGTGAAATTGAAGAGGAAAGTATACACGTACTTGTGACAACGTTTAGCATAAAACGATGATCTATGTTTGGTGCGATCTCGTTCGCTTTTTTGTCTTTGACATACGTCTTGAAGTAGCCAACTGCAGCGCAGTGCACGTCACCCGATAGGAAGGTTATTCGGGTATGTGTCTTCAGAGCATAAGCAGCTAGATTCTGGATGAGGTTGTTTCGCTCGGTTTTGTGGCCTTTTGCAGTCCAATGATCGTTCTAAAGCGTACATTTTAGAAAGGTCTGGACCAAATCCGGTGACACATAGATACATACAAGGTCATCCAACAGCTCGGCATCTGCATTGAACTTGTTCACGAAGCTTCCTACTTTTGTTGATCCTCTCTTCCCCATCGCTACAAGCGGATTCAGTTTTGACTCGAGTAGAGTCTCCATGAAGTTCATTCGTGGGTATGCAATCGGAATCCCGAGCTGAATCACCAAATGCTGGACTTGTGGCGGTAGCCGATAGATTTTATCAAACACTTTCTTGTACTCATATGCACTGCACACTTGGTCCTTCCGTCGTTCCGCCCTGTATTACATTAGGATCATACACCAAACATAGTTTTCGGCAAATGTGTCTCACCTGCAGTCTAGTAAGAGGATGTAACAATTTGGTCCAAGATAGGAGAGAAACGAATGCGAAGGGAATGGGATATAGGGGCCACGCTGACCAATGATAATAGATTTATTTGAGTGAACTCCGTAAGTATCATCGGTTCCGTCAACCTCGACTGTTGTGAGAGTCAGTATGTGAGATATATGCTGAAGTCTTTTTTAAGAAGACATCACCGTTGATAAAGCATTGGAAAAGAAGGAAGAAGAAATAACCGCGAGCGCCAATCCTACAAAGTTATGCTCAGTGATATTAACAGTTCGCAAGGTATCAATGCGGCTTACGTGCTAAACACGGAAGAGCGCTGCAAATCGTCAGGATCTAGGTTTAAATTAAGTTCTCGATACTGAACGTATCCTTAAGAAAGCTTACAGCTTCCGTAGCCATCAATCTACACGAAATATTGATAAACAACGTCATGCTAAAATACAAGCACGCTTACCAAATCTGTTTGAAAACGACTCAGTATGTCAGTGTCATGATGTAAAGCCGTATGGTAACGTACCGTGATCATCTACAGCATAGTCTTATTTCAGAGCTTCGCTTCGACAATGAGTAGTCTTACTCACCACACATATTCAACTGAGGTCTGAATCCTTTCTGTCAGCTTTAATAAAGTAGGAAATTAGGCGTCACACGCACATCGAGGCCGTTGCACGTGCGAAGGCACCGCTCTGAAAGATACGGCAATAGTGGTTGAAGTAGAAACGGTCTTAATCACATCACTGAGTTCGACAGCGCGATGACTGGTGAGATAGTCTCGTACCAATAGCAGCTCTCATCTCCAAAGTGATTTGATGTTTTATCTTCCACTCAGGTCTTGGTAAGTTGATCCATTCCTGCATCTCAGGCTCTCGGACCAGTCTTTCCAAGCCATAAATAAGAGAAATGGCAATGTCAGGGACTCTAGCTTACCCGTCGCAGTAAATTTGGTCGCCACCTCCTACTAGCACGTGAAACGGGGCCTCTTCGTGCTTCTTCAAGAGGTCAATCCAAACGGGATCATAACCGCTATCAAATCCAGGGCCACGAAAATCATCTGGGTTTACACCAGCGCTGAACCCGTTGCACTAATTAATCAGTCAGCACGGCGAATTGGAATTGGAAACTTGGACGCATACAGAATAAGTAGACCATCTCATGTTCTGGTTCCTGCCGGGAACGAAGAATTCAAGTTTCTGCCCGTTGTTTATCGAATATTGGATTGCCATCTCATGCTGAGATATAGGCATACAGTCAAGTCAATAGACGTCAATGTGAGAGAAAGGTACCAACGTTGCTTAAAGGAATTTGTATCATGAATCTCCAGAATGTGTATGTTCTGGAATATACAACTTCAGTAATATTGGTCAGGCCTCTGACTAACAAATACTTACCTTCCTTTCGGATCCTCGTAAACCCAAATTTCATGCCCTGGAACACTTTCCTTCCGCGCTGAACTACTGTGCGGGATTTCCCCATTAGCATCTAGAAGGGCGGCAGTAGAACGGGGGTCTGCCGGATGTGGCACCAAGTCGTATGACCGTCCTTTACCAGTCATGCGCGATGCGGTTCTGGACATCCCCGCCGCCTGTTGGGGGTCCCATTCATATGTGAGCGTCGGGTGCGGTTCGTATTCGGACGTCGCGTCAGATGCTTGACCAAGAAATATGAGGAATATACCGAGAAATATAAGGATTGAATTTACTCACATGCAACCATGCATGCGCCATGCCAAACTCCATGCTCGTCGACTGTATCATATCGCAACAAAGGACTTTCGATGATGTCAAAATTATGGTCGGGCCTGGTGAGAATTTCCCTAAACGTACCCTACCATAAGTTGCAAATAAGGAGACATCCGCACAGCCCGCAGAAATTTAGACCGTTCGACCGCAGTCATTTGTTTCATAAACGAGCCTTGACGTCCGTCCGAACTGGACGCATATGTCTGGTGAGAGGTTTCACGACTAACGCTAGGTTGCGGAAATCGAGCACCATTCGGTGCAGTGAAATAGTCAATACCATCCTTACTCGGTGGCGTCGGAGGATAATCGAGCTGCAAGGGTGATATCTGCGGCGGAAATCGACCAGGTACTTGTAGTCGAGCAGTTTGACCAAGATTGAAGCCTCCGATCACACCTGATGACGAAATCAGATAAATTTGCATAAGATATGATTGTGAACGGACCATCCGCCAAAGGTTGAGCCTGCTCGACACCTTCATAATGTCCGTCGGGTCCTCGCTGCGGGTGACTATAGAGTGCAGAGTTCTACATGTGGCGAAGATGAGCAACACATATATGCCGTAACTCGAAAGGAGATGTATGCACCCTATCTGCGCGTTTGTGAGCGTGCCACCCAGTGGAGTCCATGAACGTCAAAGGAAAAGTTGTCGCGATATGTGTCTGACAAGACCCTGAGAGCAATACTAAATACTAGGCTAGTTCCGGCTAATTATACGAATTTGATCACGACGAAGCCGAACGGGCGGCGAAGTATGCGATGCATCCTGGCGTCAGGCGATCACTGCAAAGCGCAAGTGTCGCTCCGAACTGTATTCGCGGGTAGTAAGCGACACGTAAAAGGATATTATTAGCGTTCTTGCGCGCTCGGTCGCAGTTACCAGTCATTTAAAGATAGCAAACATTAAGTCATGACATAGAATCAACCTGAATGCTCTACGATAGTTGCAACCAATTTTCCATCCTTGATCGTTGTCCTCATCATCTCCGGCATCGCTCTCTCAACAAATACGCCCTCTTCTTCGCCCTCAACAGGCAGGCTCACGTTAATGGCACTGCACTTTGCCGTCGTGATTTCCACGTCTAGCGAAGCCTTCGACAAATAAATTTGTCCGGAATCTGTGGAATCTAGTTGGATGGTTCGAGCAGTGCCCGTGATCTGCACCGCGAATGAAGGCGAGTTCGTGACAGAAATGCCCGAAACAACGGAATCCACGAGGACTGAAGTCTTAGTGCAATTGACTGGACATAGGGAAAAAAATAAAAGATCAATCAGCAAACTACCTGATTTCATATGGGGAATAATCTTACTGAGATTAACAGCGTTCACTTTTCCTTTGATTTGCACAGTTGAATTTTTGCACCCGTAAAGGTTCACGATGTGGCTAAGTTCAGTATTTTCTACAACCAACGCCGGCTCGTTTTCTTGGTATTCCTAAAAGAATCGATAGTTAGAATACTCCATTACACGAGACTACAGCTCGTCTGCGTACAATCGTCCATTTTGTACCCTCTAGAACGAACTTAGATGGTTTCTTTCCGGAGAGAGCTGCAGGCTTGGTAGGCTTAACGGGCCGCTTGGATGGGGTGCTATTGGTAGCAGGTACAGTGCTTGATGCCCGTAACTCGGGATTCTTGTGTGTCATCTCTGATTTGTCGACTTTCCGCAGGCCTTTCGTCACATCGGTTCCCCGGTTTAGGTCTGCGAAGACAGCGCCAAGTCCACCGCCACTAGAAGAGGTAGATGATGACGAGCTGATTATTGGAGGTGGGGGAGGCGGAGGAGGAGCTCCCGACGGAGGCGCAGACCCGGAGAATTGATTCACAGGGATTCCCTGATGCAAGCGTGTTAGCTAAAATCAAACGCATTTTGGACTGTTGATACCTTAGGATTCCAGGCCAGCCCAGTAGTATGAAATTCCATCACGTATTTGCGTTGCTCTTCGAGCAGGGCCATCCAAGCCCTGACCCATTCCACATGCTTCGGTTCCCTGAGACGTCATGAGAACAGATACCAAGGGTGAATAAACTAGTCACATACTTCTCTTTGAACTCCTTTATGACTTTGTTTCCGTAGAACTCTGCTGCCTCCTTCATCTGTGCAACGTGGGGCCCCGGTTTTGGTTCCTTGGATCGCTCTGTTTAGGAATCTTACAAGAACTCATACACGGATAACTTACAACGCCAACCCAGCCGACGCTAGGGATACCCTCGGATATTACCATTAAGTGATTATACCAAACGCGCTCTTTTCTGTTTTTCTCCGGGACTTGCATAACGGCCGTTACGCCTTTTCCAATTGGCTCCTGTAGCGAAGTAAACGTTTTGGAATCTGGCTTATTGCATGCGGATGCTGTAAGGAGTAGATTTCTCATGTCTTTGAATACACTCTCTACATGTCCGACCTATATTGATAGCCTCAGATTGACAATAAATAGGCGCATCATATAGACTCATACCTGCTCGATGACAAGTGGTGATGCAAATGACTTCGTGAGCTCCACGAATGCTTTTAGCTTCCCATTGACGATATTCTCGTCAAATGCTTCAACACTCCTTGGAATTTCTGTCATAGTTGTGAGTGTTTGGAGAGGAGGCGGAGGCGGGGGAGGGGGTGCCAATGAAGCATGTCCATCTGATGGACCTTTATCACCAGATGCTTCAGTACTCTTCGGCAACGTCCCGCTTGCCTGGGCAATCGTCAGATCTTCAAGGCGAGAAGTAGCAGCCTCCAGACTGTAATGGCATCCACGGATAACATCAGGGCATGAGGATTAATAGAAGGTAATGACGGGACTTGCCGTTTGATAATTGTAGCTAATGAATGCAGACCTCCTTGAGACATCGTGGGCACCCTATCGATTCAAGCGCAACGTCAGCCGAGGGCAAAGCACCCCTAATCGTGTCAGAGAAAAGTGGGAAAAGCTTGTGCAAATAGCTGCGGTCGTTTCCAGACGACAGCTGAAACTGACTGTCAATCGTTCACGTGACGACAACGCGTCGCGTCGCGCGACTCGCGCATCACTCAAAGCTGGAATGCAAAACGGTCTCTGCTGGTAAGACTAGCTAATTAGAAATAAATATGAAATCTGTGGGGAAAGCATACATAAACTTGAATACACGAGGGTTGAGCAAGGGACTAATTATCGCATGGTACTTCTTCGTGAGTGCTCTATGCATGATTGCATCACTCAAATTCAAACATTGATAGGATCATGCTGAACCAAGTTATATGCCGATTGCAGGAAAACGTAGCTTAGTAGGCATTGAATTCCAGATAGCGAAGTACTTTGCTCCGTATGACATGACCATCCAAGCTACGTCCTACTAGGATGCTTGCTCAATGGAACTGATTTGCTTTCCATATATGGATAACCGCAGATCTGCACTGGAGTAAAAAATGTTGTAGAATTTGCATCTCACGAGGAACTCCTTGTGCAGCCATGACTGCCGCCACTACGACTCTCCCTCTCTTTTGGCATTTATCATCTGCGAACAAAGTTGAGCGGATAGATGCCTCCACAAAACTGGTCTCGGCTCTAGAGCAATTCCAAGAGAAACATTTACTAGGGGCCAAGCACAAGGACGTTCCGAACGAGGGTGAGGACGATGACGAGGAGCATCCCTCCGGCGAGGATAACGAGAATGCGGAACTCAAGGTCCATTCTGCTAGCTTGGACTCCGATAATGCAGCAGACGTAGCATATGCAATTCGACGTCTGGTTCGCGGACTTGCGAGTCCTCGTGAAAGCAGCAGGCTAGGATTTGCCGTTGCATTGACAGAGGTATGATAGTTGGTGCACTTCTGGCCCTTAAACCAACGCTCATGTGAGATTATTTTAGCTCCTATCACGAATGGATACTATCTCTTGCGAACAAATTCTCGTTCTACTAAAGAATGCGTCACAAACGACTGGAAGCATGTCGGGTCAGGAAGAGCGGGACATGCTTTTTGCGAGGTTATTTGGGCTTAAGGCGATAGTCCAGTCAGGTGTTTTACTCAGTCAGAAACCACTTCGATCTTCGTCGACGAGTTCAAGCTCGCTTAAGGGCTTCGAGGTGTTCTTGCTCGAGCTCATTACTCTTGGGGACAAGAAATCTTGGCTGCGAGAGAGCTGCTGGTGGACATTGCTGTCAGCAGTCAAGGCTCTGTCTACTTCGGAAGTCCCTTGGAAAGCGACCGCATACGATATGCTGCTTGATAGGGTATATGTTGGCGACAAATCGTGGAGTCCCGAGAAGATTGCTTTGACGTTAATACTTCAAAAGGCTCTCCCAAAAGTGGACTGGCAAATACATTGCGCTTCTTATTTCAAAGGTTCTGATGTACTATCAAATCCGAACATGCCGTCGCTCGCACGCTTGCTGAAGGTGCGTTAATCTGTATTTCTAATATTCAATACATTGAAGGCTGCCGTTGCAGGAGTCCCTTACTGAAGAGTCATCACAAGAGGGCACGTCCAAGCAAACCGCAGGTCCATGGAAACCACAGTTGCACTTCGTTTGGGATGTTATTCTAGACACGTTGCTATCACCGGAAAAATCGTCCACGTCAAATGGAAGCTTCCAAGACTTTTATCGGATAGTCGTTGATGGTGCATTAGATTTATCTGTGTTGAAGTTGGAGATCGTGCTGACAAAAATGACTTTAGAGTCCTTATTTGCGGCGTCGTCATCCCCTCAGCGCAAATATTGGGGCTTTCTGGTTTTCCAGAAGGCATTACATCGCCTGCCGCCTACGAGCTTTTCAATGCTTTTCACACAGAACTTCATGCGGACGTGGATTAACCAACTGTCGAAGAACGATAGATATCTTAATAAAATTGCAGCCCAGGTGGTATGTAATTCGTTTTCCACATCGATAACATGGCATACAAACCCCTTTCTTCAGGCGTCGGATGTGCAGCAGGTCGTGGAGAAAGACCCTAAATCCGGTTTGTCACTTGTCTTGCAGTTGACCGGAACGAATGGCTCCTTCCACTTTGATCGAATTACGAAGACGAAGACCGTGGAGAATTTAATCACAAGTATGGATAGCGCAGGTGTTGCGGAGTACATATCTTATCTGTTAATACAAGTCAACGAGGGCGAGCAAGGCGATTCGTAAGTATCAGACCTCTAATCGATGTTGTGTACAATGATGCTCAAGGATTTTAGATTCGCCTCTGTTGACGCTAGAAGGGCGTGGATCATAGAGCAGTTGGCGGCTTTACTTCGAAAAGCGTCAATACCAAAGACGGACGATAGCATACAGCTGATATTGACCTGGCTTACCACTCATGCTTTCTTTAAAGTGGTGAAGAAATCCTCTAAGAGCTCAAATACTGCCGTAAGTCATGTCTTGGTAGTATCGTTATATCCTCGTAATAACGAATGATTCAGCTCCATTATGTTCCTGAGCCAGCTTTCTCTGATGAATTGCGAAGTACTTGCAAGACGAAGCTCTTATCCTGTCTCGGAGACCTCACAAATGCGGTAAACTTGCCTGGGACAGAGGAGGGCCGGAAGGCTGCGAAAACATCCGGTGTTGCTTCTGACGGCGAGTTTTGGATCGCTAAAGTCCTTAAAACGATACTTGAGCTGGAGAAGGATATGAAACACGCTGAGCCACTCCATGAATTGGGTGAAGACGAGCTGAAGATACGAAAACAGGCCCTTTCGGCAATTGAGACATTGAAGGTAAGTCGTGAGACATATCGCTTGTTTTATACTAACGACAATTCTTATAGACGACTGCGAAAGACCAGGAGCCCGCCCGCGGTGCAGAACTGCTTCTCAACGCACTCGTATTAAAATGTATGTGCGATGACGAACATGAAGCAGATTGGGATGGTGTTCAAGAGTGCGCTACCGTTGCGACCGAATTATTCGCAACTGCTACAAAACCCGATAAGAAAAAGAAGAAAAAAGAGGCTAAACTAGATGAGAACGAAGAACCCGAGCGTCCTCCCATCGATCTAATCGTCGATTTCATTATTGGTTTACTTGAACAATCCACAAACTTCAGCCGTGTTGTTGCAAACCAGTCGTTCAGCATGCTTACACCTATGGTGGTGGATAGCACGGTTGATTTGATATTAGCGGTATGCCTATTTTTTCAGGCTTTTCATAGCTTTACTAACGGTGCTCACAGCAATTGGAGAGGAGGAACCCCAACGAAGAAGTAATAGATGAAGAAATGGACGTTGATGACGAGGCAGAAGATTCCGAGCAAGAGGATTCGGAAGAGAGCGGTGACGGCGAGAGTGATGAGGACAGCGACTCCGGCGCGAGCGAGGAAGAAGAGGAAGAAAGCGGAAATGACGAAGATACAGAAGCTCTACGAAAAGCTCTGCAGGTCGCTATGTCCGGTCATGACGCGGATGGTGATAGCTCGTCGGACGAGGCAAGCATGGATGATGAACAGATGATGGCGATTGACGAGAAGCTAGCTGCAGTCTTCAGAACCAGGGCAGAGGAACGCAAAAAAGGCAAAGGTGCGTAGCTAGTGCAATTCTCTAATCCGTGATATAAATTTACCTTAATGCCTCTTCCTCAGACGTCGGTGCACAACGGGAAGCAACGTACTTTAAAAACCGGGTCCTCGATCTCGTCGAGACATACATGAAAAGACAACTGACAAACCCTCTCATCTTCCGCTTCATTCTTCCATTGGTCGAACTGGTTGCGACATCAAGCTCCGACGAGAAGCAATTAAGCGACAAAGCTAAGGGAATTCTGCGTTCCCGATTATCTAAACCAAAAGACACTATTGCTATCAAGGGTGTACACAAAGCCGTCGAACTTCTGGAATCTCTTCACTCTCGTGCTCGTCGAGCTCACTCTCAAGATACGGTCTCGACTATCAGCACATGCAGTCTCTTTGTTGCTAAATCGCTCGCTCAGGTCGATGAGCGAGCGGTGTTACGAATATACAAGGAGTCCATCTCAGATTTCATAACACGGAAAGCATCATCGTTGAATCCTGCTTTCATAATCGACTTCATTCGCCGCCATCCTTTAATGGCTTGGAGTATGAGATCCCATATCATCGATATAATAGGCAGTGCTGTCAACGGTTACCGCCAGGCGCAATCGTTTGTTTTCGTTCAAACCATCCTGACATCACTTCCTCAACCGGTTAGTTTTTCCACCACTTTCAATTCCTCGAAATTTTTAACCCAGTCTGTTGCTTCCTAGGAGTCCCAAAAGGAAGAACTCAAGCCGTTTTTCTCAGCTGTTTCCACGACGCTCCTCGAAACACTAAACAAGGCCTGCGTTGCCGAGAAACCTCTCCTGAACTCAGGCCACGCGAAGGAAGCCCTCGACATCGCCATGCAACTCTGTCGATTCAGCAAGCGCTTCATTACCGATCCAGAAGACCTTAAGCAAGCCTGGAAACCAGCGAAGTGGGAGAAGCTTGCCTCAACATTCTCATCTTCAGAGCACTACAAAGCTTCTACTTCTCTTATGAAGTTGTGTCAACAGATCTCAAAACGCTCTCAACCAGACGGTCCAAAAGGCTCTACCAAGGAGCAAGACGGATCTGTGCGTAAACGGAAGCAGGGGACAGAGAGTGGTGCAGCCGATCAGGAAGATGGGTCACCGAAGAAGCGTAAAAGGAAGAAGATGCGAAAAGCATCTAAGGAACATGACGAGTAACTGTAGATCCCTTCGCATGTCATTCTGGATCGTTTGCAAAGCTTTAGCCTAATTCGAGTCACACTGAGCCTTCATCTAACTGAATAGCAATTGAGATCTGTAGAAGTGTGATGTTCATTAAACAAGTATGTGTAAATTGTGAACAATGCAGCAATGTAAATGCTATGTAGAGAAGTTCTATGTAGGAGCATAAAAGAAAGCAATGTCTTGGTTTTCCTTGCAAATCGTCTTCCATGTAGAAAGTCCTAACCGAGCAAGGAAGGTCGTATTAATGTCCGAAGGTCCCCTAACCACCCAGTCGTGTGACTCGTACCGCTAGCTTGAATCCTATTGAGGATATTAATCACCTTCCGTGTCCTAGATGAGTGGCAAATTAGACAAGTTTGCATGCAATCCGGATAATTGGAAACAAGCACGACATACTTAACAATCTGCTCCCGACTTTGTACAGTCCTCTGCATGAACTCCGCCCGTTCCTCCGCCTTCTCAAGAAGACTTTCTGATATCCCAGCAAGCCGCGCACACTCGATCCCATAAGACCCAGACGAGATACCCTTCGTCAACTGGTATAAGAAAGTGATAGTCCGTTTACCCAAGAGGGTTGTTTCTTCCGTGAAACCCATGTGCAAATTAATCACTTTGTCTGGGTGCTTTTGTTCAGAGGACGAAGCGACGACTGGATAATGAGTAATGAACAACGTCTTGCAACTAATGTTCTCAACCAAGTGCTCTAAGGTAGCTCCAGCAATGGCCATCTGCGTTGTTAATCCATTAGTTTTATTGAATAGATAATGAGAAGTATGAATAAACGTACCCCGTCAAACGTCGAACTGCCTCTACCAAGTTCATCAAGAATGACAAGACTCCTCTTTGTCGCACTATGCAAGATATCACTAGTTTCAGACATCTCAACCATGAAAGTTGATCGGCCCTTTGCAAGATCATCGGAAGCTGAAAACATTTATCAGTATAAAATGTAATAATCAGACAGGGAAGACAAACCTCCCATGCGGGTAAGGATTGCATCCAATGGACTCAATCTCACCGAAGCAGCAGGAACGTATGTCCCGATTTGAGCCATAAGGGCAATCAATGCAACCATTCTAGTCTGTGCATTGCACCTCAGCGAAATAACTTCAACAGGCTTCTGGACAAACTTACAGCAGAGCTTTTACCTCCCATATTAGGCCCAGTAATAATCTTAGTCTTCGTGTCCGAACCACCAATACAAACTGTATTCGGCACAAAAGGATCACTTCGTAAAAGTTCGATCATCGGGTGTCGACCATCTGTTATCTCAAGAATATCCGTCTCTTGATCGACGAAGACTGGCTTCACATAATTGCCTTGTGAAGCCACCTCTGCCAAGCTAAAGAGACAGTCCGCGACGGCTAACTTGTTCACGGCGTTACGCAGTACAACGTAGTGTTCATCCATGATCTCTGATAAAAATGCCACGTATGCCTTATTGGCTTCAGCCTTGAGCTTCTCTTGAAACTGCGCACGCTCTTGTAGCATCTTTCTGACTTCTGGAGTGCGATATCGGCGAGCTGACTTCGTACTACGTCGATGAGCAGATGGAGTCAACCGTCTCTCCCGCGATTGTGGTCAGACAAACTCACCTCGATACTACTTCCCAGGTTACAGGAATATCCCGTTTTTCGTTCTTCTTCACTTCAACAAGGTACTGTCGTAATTCAGATTTAGAAGGTAACCTGTAAAACGGAAGAAGGATATCTACCTCGTCTAAATTCACTGACATGTATTGCGCCGCTGGTTTCTTCAGTATCTTGCGTACTATAAATCTGGTATTCAGCATTTGCGTCGATTCGATGAGTGATCCACTCACTTGTCTTGAGGTGGTCAGCTAGCTCTGACTCGACTACCATTATAGCCTGATATTACGAAGTCAGTGGCGACACTTTCGTCAGCCATGTGAAATGATCACCATCTTTAAATCGTCGACCTCCGGATATTTATCCGGGTCGCTCCACAATTCATCCTATAATTGGAATGTCACGATCAATTAATGAGTCGACGGGTAGTAGCAAAGACTAACTCGCTTGTCTTCGTCTGCCTTCTTAAGGTTTAAACACGATCCAATCTTCCTGACGGAGTCCCGAATCTTGGGAAGAGTGAAGATAATCTCGTTTAGGACAGGGTTGGCGAGACCGACGTCTTCAATGTTTTCGAAAGGCAAAAAGGCGTCAGCGGCTTTGCCAAACGCGCGAAGAAGCCTCGCAAGTTCCTTCGGTGTACACTTGTAATAGACCAAACGGTTAGCATCCACAGACGAGGGTCAACAACGTGCCTACCTTGAAATATTGTATACGGCTGAGCCCTTTAGCTAGATCAGTCTTTCCAATCTCCTTCAGAAGCTCACGCAGTCGTAACAAGCGTTCTCTAGATTTAGATGCCTCAGCGGAAATAATGGCTTCTACGGCATCTACCCTTGCCTGGAGTGCGCTACACATACAGGTAGGTGGTGAACACTAGTAAGACAATGAGTAACATAGATACTTACCCGACGTCTGTGAGGGGTCGTCCAATCCACGATTTCAAGAGTCTTGCTCCAAACGTTGTCTTCGTTCTGTTCAAGACCCACATAAGTGAACCGCGCATCGTAAAATCTGTTTGATTGCGATAAATTTCCCTGAATGTCACAAGTCAATATGTATTTGAAGAGACAGAAAAAGATGACAATTGGCACACACAGATTCGACAAAGTGTTAGCGTTCAGTAGCATATGTTGACGTTCAGTAAATTTCGAGAAAAACTGCATTTCAGTCAAAACATCTCCAAGCCCAAATGAATTAAGGTAGTTCAAGCTGTGTGCGAGTGCTATAACGACTTTTCGCGGAAGATCCGAAATCGCAGCCAATAGCTTCCCTGACTTGAAGTTCTCAGATGCTCGAGTGTTTCCCTTCTGGGCGTAGAACGTTTGCAGCTGACGGAACGCGTCCGTATAGTTCATCTCGTCGTCATATCGCTCTAAGCGAACTCGATCCCGAGCCAGTGTTTTTGATGATGATTCTCTACAAATTGTTTCAAATATTGTATGGCGATACCAAATAGAGAAGACCATACTTTGAATGATATTGCAGGATTTTCTGTGTCACCTTACTCAGTTTATCTTTTGACGATAAAATTTCCGACGGTCTAATATGGGCCATTCTCGTCTATTAAAATGTAAGGAATTGTAAGCTGAGGTGCAATAGGCTTGTTCGAAATTTTCACCTCTAATTCGTTCCTCATGAAACCATCCTCGAACTCATCCCAAAGAACATCGCTTGTACTAGGAGTGACGGCTACCATACTGATAGATACTCGTTCGTCGACTCCCATGCCCCCAAGCATGCTCTCGCAAATGCACATGAAGACTGGGGGAGCGATGCGCGAGTCATCATCATCTGCATCGATTTCATCTATATAGCTGATAGAAACTGTCAGCATCGTAAGGTCATTGAAAATGTTTGCACATACGTCGCTGCAGTGTACATGTGGGTGAGAGCCCTTTCGAACGGTTTGTTTCGAGTATCGGAGATTTTCTTCAAGGCAGCTGTTTCCATTTGTCCAATAATGCCAACCTGTATTAGGGTGTTCAGCAACGATGAAACGATTTGCAACGAGATCTTACCTTGTAGCCATGTGAAAGCAGCCTGTGTTGACGAAGCAAGGACTCATTAATTTACTCCCTTTAAATTGAATTAGTAGTTAAATGTACCTTCGAAGGTGGATATCACGTCGATGGTCCGGGACGCTTGCCGTCAGAAAGTTCCGGTCAGGGAAATGGGCAATGTTAAGCACCTCGCTCGCGATCTATATTGCTTCAAGTCAGCTTGAGATTGATTTCGTCACAGCATCGACCTACCCTTGCATCTTCTCCGAAGAACCTGTACTTGTATCCTACCTCAAACATAAGGATAGCATCTAGGTACTTCTCTTTCAATGCTAGTACCTGCAAATGCCGGAGACACGTCAGTCGTATGTTTCACAGCGAATATAAAAGACAAGACTGACCTGCTTTTCTAAAGGTGTGTAGGTCTGCCCAGAAGGGCCAACTTCTACCTCCTTCTTCGATCGTTTGGCAGGAAGTGTCTCCGAAGCTCTCGCCTTCTCCTTGCCTTTGCTTGAAGAGAATGCTTTCGAGGTTACAGCAGCAGGAAGGACAGATGTCTCCTGATCGCTGCCCTCCAATTCACTTTCATTTCGACTTCGTTCTCTAATGGCGTCGAGGTCATCTATATCCATAACATCTTCATCTACAACCTCAGCTTGCTTCTTTGATTGCACCACCTCAGGCCGTCTGCCAAACATTCCGTTATCGGCAAGTAACTTGCGCTTGAACGCTTCTCTTCGTGTTTTCTTAGCCCGCTTCTCTTCAGGTGTCTCTGGAGCTTCGGGAGGGTCTGATGAGTGATTGAAACCATATTTTGATATCGATTTCTTTGGTGTTCTCGGGGATCGTGAAGGTAATGAATTACCGTTCTGTCGAACTGGCGAGAGTGAGCCTTCGTGCAGTGGATTTGAGAGGTCAGGCAGAAACACGTCTCGTATTTTGTCATTGTTCTGCAAAGAAGAGCCTACCCTCTTCTTCTTCGCTACTGGAAGCTCATTATCCGAAGCATCCTCAGTCAAGTCCACAACAGCCGAAGGAGGTGCTCGCTTCCCCAGACCAGTTTGTGTCGCGAAGTGTTTTGACGGAGAGCTGGTAGATTGTGAAAAATAAGAAGAGATAGTTGCTTGTCCCTTCGGCGAGCTTGAAGTCCCGCTTTTGTGTGAAGACCCCCGGTTCGTAGATTTCGAAGGAGAGACCATAATGGTCCTTCCTAGAAGCTGAGGGAGGCTCAGGAAGCTGAAACTCGGGCGCGTGGGGCGTCATTTCTGGATTCGTCACGTGCGCGCGGAACACAGCGCAGATCGCTAGACAGTAGAATCAGCAAGCAAGAATTCAGGTCTGCAATGAGCATATTCTACAGGACATTTTCTGGCCTCCAGCAGACCCAAAGACCCTTTTCAAGCTTGTACCTGGCTTCGAGACAAGTTCAGAGGTCACTTGCCACGACTGCAGATGGTACTCCAGTCACAGCAACAAATCGTAAGTCAAAAAAGCATCTAAATTTCTCATCTTCCACAAACTTGTCTTCAGGTGCGGAGGCGACGCTAAAAAGGTTCTGGAAGACCGTTGGAATCGACACAAGGTCTGGTACGTGTGGGATAACTCGTACAATGTTCCTCTCTAACTTAAATATGCCGGCGCGGTAAAAGATGGAATTGCGGTAACCCTCGATCGTCGGGCTTTAAAGACTCCCTCCGGAAACATTCTCATTTTACCCCACGAAAAACGCCTCGCAGCGGCTCTTATCGCCAATGAATGGGAGAACCAAGACAAAGTGCTAAAACCTCACGCACTTCCGATGGCAAGTCCTTCGAGCTTATAACATACATGTGCAGCGTCATAAATGGAAAAATACAGACCAGCCTAGCCAGTCGGGCTATCGATGCTTTCCGAGAAAGACAAACTAGAGAAGAAGTCACTGCTGCGTTGCTGAAGTATCTCGAGACGGACACGATTTGGTCTGCTTGTCTGCCTTCTCTTCTACCGTCAATTTCCTGAATTTTTGTTTTATAATTAGTTTCCACGAAGACAGTCCAGAAGCGCTTGTTAGGTTACAAGACGCTCACTGGCAACCATTACTATCCTGGATCCGCGATGAATACAACGTCGATGTTGGCGTGCACAAATCTGTCCTCGGTACAGATCAACCTCCCGAAACAATAGCCCGTCTTGGCGAGATTCTAAAAGCATTTGACGAATGGCAATTAGCAGGTACTTTTTACGTCCATTCTCCGAGTAAAACGAACGGATGCTAATAGATTTCACAGCAATGGAACGGGCTACATACACAACAAAATCATTTATTATTGCGCTTGCATTAATCCGTGGACAACTTGACGTCGAACAGGCCGCTCAAGCAGGCCACGTCGAGGTGAACAGCCAAATAGAAAAATGGGGCGAAGTCGAAGATTGTGGGTCAACCGCTTTTCATCACATTTCCCAAGCTCATGTGCTTATGCACCTAGCTCACGATGTCGACTATCAAGACATTCGGAGACAGTTAGGAACTGTTGCTTGCTTGGTATCGTAGTGCAATCAGGAATGCTATCACACTACAGCCAGTTATGAGGATGGAAGATTTATTGCGAAACAGATAAAGTAAAGATGGCTGATAAAATTACATAGGTATACAGACAACAATTACAACTGAAAACCCAGGCGAACCACCTCCGCGCCGCAGAAATGGCTATCTACAGACGCCAAGGGGTCTAATAAAAAGTAAAAGCAAATGAAAAGAATACGAAGCGGAGTCTATGCCTTTGCCTTCCTGGATGCTGGCTTAGCTTTTGACCCAGGCTTAGACACGGGCTTTGCGGTCTTTGATGCAGCCTTCGTTGCCTTGGGCTTCGTTGCAGCGGTCTTTGCGGCAACCTGAAAGTCATGATCAGCACGGCCGTCAAAGTCTCTAACAAGTAGAGCGCACCTTCTTCGCATCAAGCTTCTTAGCTGAAGTCTTCTTAGTTGCGGCAGCTTTCGGTTTCTTTGCTGTTGTGGTCTTCGGGGCAGCCGCCTTCTTCGCGGTCGTGGGCTTCTTAGTTGAAGCCTTTGTTGTGGCAGCTTTTTTCGTGGTGGCTTTAGCTGTTGTCTTCTTCACCGCAGGCTTTGTAGCGGTGGTCTTAGCCTTTGCCTTGGGCTTAGGGCTCACAGGTTTCGCATTCTGACGGAAAAATAAGCATACAAGCAAATATGAAATACTAGACAAACGGACTTCTTTCGCAGCAGTGGACTTGGCCTTCGGAGTAAGCTTGACTTTGCCGGATGGACCCTTTGGGAGTACGAAGTCACCCTTCTCAGCGCCATGCGCAATCGCACGGTTCAACAGCGAAAGGTTAAGACCAACGACGTCAATCTTATACTTCTTCTCGGCATACTGGAAAAGGGCCACTTAGTCAAAGATATAACGCAACCGGAAACGACAAACAAACCTTCTTGATTGTGGCGCGCGAGACACCGGAGCGGGCTTCGGTTGGGTTTTCCGTTATGCACTCCTGAAAGGCCGATGAGCAAGCCACGCACATCAGGTTAAAGCGATTCAACAAACCTTGATGATATCCTTCCATGCAGGATGTGAGGCGCCAGCAGTCTTCGCGGCAGGAGCCTTCTTGGGCTTAGCAGAGGCAGCCTTAGATGTTGCGGCTTTCTTAGTGACCTTCTTCTCCTTCGCAGCAGCCCTGCCCTTAGAAGCAGGCGTAGTTGGAGCAGAAGCAGTAGTGGTTGGTACTGGGACAGGAGCAGCGACGGCAGCAGCAGACGACATTGTTATGGATAAAGGGTTGTGGTTGGGGTGTATGTGAGAACTAAACTTCAGGGGGTTAGAGACCGGACTTTTGGTGCTTAACTGAGGTGCCGATCGCACTTATATATTTGTGTTTCCGAAGGTGGCGGTGCAACATTCGGTTTGAACTCCGCCCGAGAAACAACCACTCTTGACGCGCAAACGCGTCGCACGTGATGCTCCAGATGCTATCAGATGCAAAGCATCCTGTGCATGGCACACGACGCCTAAGACGCCCAAACGTTTGCATTATTTACAATTGTTATCCAGGCAAAATTCCATCCTCATATTGCATGCAGAGTTTAATGATGTACAAACGAACAGAACAGACAGCAAACTATTTTGATAAGCAGACATAGCAAGATAGGTTAACTCTTTCAACTGAATAGACATTCGTGTACTCCTCGTCACACGTTCACAAGACACGATGTTTGCGCGCCGGAATGACCTTAAAACTTCCGTTCGACTGAGCCATCCCTTTCTCTCCGAGCGGCACCCAACTACGAGGAGCGATCTCCCTGTCCTCTTCGAGGGGGAGGGTTACGGACGGCCCACGGACGACGATCTTGGTTTGTATTGTTAATATAATACTATGAACGGACGAGAAAACATCCTAACCTCGCCAATGGGATCCACTCCGCTTTCGATCGCCGCATCGTCTACGCCCGCAAGCTTTGCCTCGACGTTGATCGACGGCGGACCAACATGGGCAATGCCCGCAAACTCCGGGTTGCCAGTTACCGATTTTGCCGGGAAATCCTGGAAGTCAAGTGGATGCGAGAAGAACACAGGTCCTGCCACAAGCGGGTGCTGGTGAGTGTTCACAACAGGGACGGAGAGCACAAGGCGAGCGGGCGTGAGAGATTTCGCATTGACCACGTCTTACGCATTTGAAGCTGATAAGTCCGGAGTCAGGACAGTCAAAAGCGATGACATACCACCACTAATAACGACGGCGCGAAGGCTATTGGCCATGCCTTTCAAAATAGCCTTACGTGGTCCGACGAAGAAGGAATTGTCCCACATGTTTTCTTTACTGAGGAAACCGTGTTGCAGATGGGAGAGCTTGTGTCGCCATGCCACAGAAAAGAAGAGAGACTTTTCTGCAAGCGACAGGATAGACGAGACGATAGTGTTGAGCTGAGGTGGCGTTCTTGAAATAGATTCAACTCAGTATATACTGTGTTCAACCGTCATTAAAAACCTACAGGAAAGTGATTGTTAGAGCCGGGGACATTTTGATAAGCTGTTTCAAGGCCTCGGTTTCCTGAGTGGATGCTAGAAATATAGAATTCGTTAATATCGTTTATTTTTTCAGTCCAGCAAATATACATACTGCCACTTCTGGAGAACACAGTACTAGTATCGATTGTGCTGAAGTGAGCATTCTCATACAATGCCGTGTACGCGACGGCTCGTCCAAAGGGAGTTGACAGTGAGTGAGAGGAGGCTATGGAGTCAGACTCGGATATCGCTCCACTGAGTGGGAATAAAGCGCGAGTAGCTGTGACACCCGCAGTCATGTTCTAGATGATAATTAGAAACATGTTACATCGGGATTACACAATGTATAATCACCTGGTGAGTCAACCGAGTTGCTTTTAATTCATGGTTGGGTCCGGGATAAAATGATACGGAGTAGATATCCTGGGGTTCTGTAAATTGATTAAGTCCACGTCTAAGGACAAGAATAATGCAAGCTTACGGATTTGCGGTGACTCGACAGGTGCCTCATTCGCTCCCTTCTTTTCCAAGTCGGCGAGCCAGAAGATCTTTACATGAAGCTTCTCGACGACGTCCGGAAGGTCCCCTTCACCAACGAGGATGAACGTATGATGCGCGTACTCTCGATTCTCGGCAATCTGTTCAAGGAGATGACTGAAAGAGTGTACATGAAGAATTATTGCACTGGGAGGCTGTGCGTCAAGAACGGCAGAGAGGAGAGTCAGAGAAGAAATCGTGAGTGACGGGATTGACTGCGATGCAAGAGCGAGATCCGCAACGAGAAAGTCTTCGAAATCATTTAGTTTACAGGTAATATGCATAGATATAGATCAATGCCTACTAACCAAGACTGTCGTTCAAAAGTAGCAAAACATTTGATTCCTTGGGCTGGAGTCCAACAATACGGACAAGACCAGCACCCAGAGCTGTGATGCGTGCCTTGAGCTTTTCGTTCGTAATCTAATGATACGTGGTATCAGACTTCTTCCTGAGAAACTATGTAGCCTGACACACGTTTGTTGACCAAAGTGACCGACTTCCGGTGAAGTCTGATTTGATGAAGTCCAGGACTGTTGCAATTGCTCCAGCTGGTCTAGCAGGAAGCTACAGAGGTCGCGTCGGGTTCAGACAAGTACAATTGAGAGATAGCATTAAGGAGCTTACCGAACTCATGAGTCCGGTGCCATAGTTCCTGTAGACAGCACTCTCGCCCTTCTGCCTCACGCGGTCCACGTCGCTCTGTCGTCCGAGTAGAATAGGATGCACAAGAGACTGCGGGGTAAGGAAGGAGTGCAGCAGAAAGGCGCCTGCCGCAACGAGGCCGAGTGCGACGGTGAGGTTGTCTGTCGTAAACAGGTCAGGCATTTTGTTGGGGACAAGTTGAGTCCGCAGAGAGAACAGAGTGATGATGCATTCGGCGGTTTGTCATTCGACGCGTAAGGACGGTCAACTCCGAATTCCGAAACGCTTCCATGATCGACGCCTACTGATCCAGCAATTCATGTGTGATTCAACTTAGTCTACAACCTTGCACTCCCCCGACGAACCAGCATGTGCGCATCCAGATCATCTACAGCATATAACCAGCGTGCTTATGCGCGGAGTAAGACAGATATGCGTTTTCTTGTATTAAAAACACGTGCATATCTCGCTTGACACAGCACTCTATGCTATGGTCAATCAATCCAACAAGAAACATGTACGACACCGCACAGTCTGTCTCTCCTTGACTGTTCCGAATACTCTTTGCAGTACTATCACAGCTTACCTGCTTGGTTACCCGCACCAAACATGCTCGATACGCGCGGAATGAAGGCGCATACAATGATACTTTGAGCACGTGAGGGTGCGGACTTCCAATCTCGTCAGGCCACAGGAACATAAACCACTCTTAAGTTCCGACTCCTTCCATCATAGCCCTCAGTCTCTCTCCTTCCATCTACTTGCTTGTCGCCTACCATCCACATAGCATCCGTACTTTACTTACTACCCACAACATGCCTAAGACAACATCATCGACTAAGAGAGGCTCAGCTGCCAAGAAGGTGACAAAGCCTTCTGCTCACCCGAGTTGGGTCGATATGATCAAGGTGAGGCATCCACAAATCATGTTTAGAAGTTGTCTATTTTCAGTAGTATATGGCTACTCCTTTTGTATATACAATTCAATATCTGACTCGACCAGTATTGTCTGGTGATGATGTGGTGGGCATCGTCACGACGGCAGCCACAATGTTTCAGACACATAATTCTCATATACTTCAGCAGTTTCTCACACTCTTTTGAATATTCGACAGGAATGCATTGTTGCGCACCCAGAAGATGCTCGTATGGGTGTATCTCGGCCGACCATTAAGAAGGTCAGCCTGCGATCAAGCCTACATCAGAATCAGCTGACTCAAGGATGGCATTCAATTAGTTCATAGAGTCTAAGTACAAGATCACTATGGACGCCTTTCATACCTCGCAACTTTCGCGAGCCATCGTTTCTGGCTCCGAGAAAGGCACCTTTGTGCTCCCGAAGGGTGAGAATAACATTTTTCCGATCTCAGCAATTGTACTCACACGAATTGTAGGTCGTTCGGGTAAGGTAAAGCTAGCCCCAAAAGCCAAAGCAGACGCTATCAAAGAGATACACAAGGCAGAGAAAGAGGTTCGAACTTACAGAACTCTGAACAAGACTCACTGCTGATCCGGAATCGTAGAATAAGAAGGCTCCCAAGGTCAAAATAACTGCTCCTAAGAAGGCCGCCGCTCCCAAGAAAACTTTGACGACAAAAGAGGTAGGCGAATGGTTGCATTATATGATCAGATAAGTATCAATGCATTTATGTACAGAGTAACAAGCCTTCGCCAACAAAGGCCTCGAGTGGCAAGGCGCAGACCAGTAAGCCCGCCGCGAAGGCTCGATCCAGGACTGCCAACAAGAAACCAACTCCAAAGACTGTGAAGAAGCGAGCAGCAAAGACAACCGCACCTAAGAAGTCGACTGCGAAATCGACTGCGAAAACAACTGCCAAGAAGACCTCGACGAAGAAGAATGATACTAAGAAGGTAATCAGTGTCCAAGATTCCCTTGTCCGTCCACGTATATTAATGTTTTTATTAGGCTGCTGCGAAGGCGGCCGCGTCCAAGCCGAAGAAACCTGCCTCGAAAGCGAAACCAAGCTCGAAAACAGCTGCGGCTCCGAAGAAGCCGGCTTCCTCCAAATCCGCGAAGCCTGCTTCAGCGACAACGAAGGTGATTATTTCTTGGCCTGACAATCCGCCTAATTTTGCTTATGTTCTTGTTGAATAAAGCCTGCATCAACGAAAAAAGATTGATTGCGTCTCTTACTTATATTAAATTCCGTGCCACCGGGGCCTACTTTCAAACTTATTGCGACTATCGTTGTTTGATTTGGCGAGTCTTGTTAAGGGACGTTCCTTTATAAGTTGTGTATATCATATGATTTATATCCGCATTCTTCTACACTTTATGTTCTCATCATGCACATGTATGCTGTCGACTATCCATGTAACCAGTGCGGATATACGGTGGATCTTTCCGCTGTATCTCCCTTTGTGTTTGTTTCTACATTCTCAAATTCCAAAGTTTATTTCAAAGTTAAAACTGAGATTGAACATACATCTCACGTGATATGCACGTGCACGTGTCTATTCCGAACCTTTGCTCAACCTTCGACTCTTTAACAAGCTGGGAATTAACACAAAATGGGTGACTCTATGCAAGATGCTATGTAAGTTTGTACATACTGTAATTAAAGGGAAAGTTCTGACTAGATGCATAGTAAAGTCCTTCAGAGCATGAGCCCAATCTTCGACCCAACGGAAGACTATCTTAGCATCGTTAGTGCGGAAGAACAAATGGGCTCCGTCGCGACTCAACGACAGAAAGAACTCGACGATGCGAATAACAATCTCAAGGGTCAGTTTCCTTCATCTTCCATTACCAGTTTATTCACTCGTACTAATCCCTGTCGTTGTTTGGTGCTTTAGACCTCCTGAGAACACTAGACACAGCCCGCGCGGCATGTACTCGTCCACCAACCGTGGCTTCCGCAGAAGCCCATGCCGAGTCGCTAAACGCACTCGATGGTGCTCGGTTAGGATTCATGAAGCGAATCAACGCTACGGAAAGTGCGCTTGCTGAGAAGGAGGCGGCGTTGGCGCGATTACGGGAGGAATGTGCGAAGTTGGAGGCGAGTGATCCTGCGACTGAGCATGAGTTGGATGCGTCTACGTGAGTCTGCGCTGAATGCAGCTTATTGACTCGATTCTCCTGGCTGTTCGATAAATTGGCTTGGCTGACATGGTTGTGTTTTGAAGACTGAAACTTACGTTCATCCGTGGTCTGGGATTCACCCCCATTACTGACAAGAATGGTCATGTACAGAAAATCCTCGTTCGTAAGTCAACAACCGTGCCAAACACCATGGCATACCATCGCTTACTTCCACAATTAACAGGATCACAATCGGGTGAAGTTCACAGCGTATCTTTTGACGACGATAAATCCAACGAGAAGTATGCCAACCTGCTGTGGAACTTAGCATCATCATGACTTCCTTCCCTTCTCTGTTTCATTATGTCCCATTTTATGACCTTGTTTCTGTTATGCATCCCACATTTGTGTATTCAGCATCATGTTTATTTACTCATAAGCTAAGGTTTACGTATGTACTTGTTAAGCTAGGCTCGCGTTCTCCAAGATTGTCAGAAACAAAGTCCAATGACTCAATAATTACAGACAGAGTTCGGTCCAGGAAGATACATATAATAATTAAGACACTGTTAGGATTTATGCACTAGGCAATGTAGGCGGTTCTCTGCCTAGTGACCGCTGGGATTTGGCGTTAGTACATTTACAAGAAAAGGGCTTGATTTCTGAGATACTCACGAGGACATCCGCTTTTACAGCCCAGACTTTTCGTACAGGACATTTCTCGCAGTCCTCACGAACTTTCGCCTCTATCGCATTCTTTTTGACCTTGTGAACCTTTAGGTCCTGGTACAAGCTCTCGACAAGCCACGTAAGATTCCCACTGTTCAACGATGCCACTTTGTCGGCGAAATATGGAAGCAGTGCAGTTGGGAACGGATATTTCGGCTGTAAAGATACGCGTTTGATGTTACCCGGAGTTGCGGAGGTTGAGTTGGTAGATGGACCAATAGCTGCAGTGGTAGAGGTAGAGGTTGAGCCATTCGCATCTGCACCTGATGCCTGCACGTGCGGCGGAAGTGCGGGCACAGCGAAGACTGGTTTTGAGGGAGCATGTCGTTCCTTAGTAACAGGAATTGAGACGAATGAGAAAGGGTCAATAGGGAAAGGGGTATCTATGAATATTGCGGGTGAGTGAAAACAGATAAGAAAACAGTCGAAGAGTATGTTTCCTACCATTAAACAACTGAATCCGGTATTGTTTGAAAGGTTCATCGCATTCGCCAATGTCCGCTTCCACACATGGTCCCTTCGTGTACGGTACCAGAGGCATCACCTTTCGTTTCTTCGGCTCTTTGGGATCTCGATCGGGCTCAGCCTTTCTTTTTGGTACGAGTTCCTGAGGCAAGAGGGGAAAGCCTGGGGAACCGGCCCGTTCATCCAAAGGCGTACCAGGGTCAATTGGTTCGTCATCTTCAACGAGCCAATCGTCGAACTCGTCAGTTCCGACGTCACTTGTCTCCCCAGCATTACTCCCATTCAGACTAAGCAGATCATCGGCACCTTCTTCCTCTTCCTCCCACTCCTCGCCTGAATCATAGCTATAGTCAATCGCTACAGCATCTTTCGCGAATGGCGTTCGCGGTCCAATAACTGTGGAAGATTTGGTAAAGGTACCGAAGTAGCCCGGACGTGTGTCTTCGTGAAAGATCAGTACTTTTGCCGGGATTTTATCTCGTGATGCCAGTAGGGTATGCAGTGACCGGACTGTAGCATCGTCACCCAAGACTTCTGCCTCTGATAGCTGAGCAAAAATCTCGCGAACACAGTGAGCCGAGGATGACTTGTACTTCAAGCCGTCTTGACCGGAAGCTCTTGGTAATCGTCTCAGTTTAGACGACAGACTTGCGATATATTCAGAAAAGAGCTCTAAGGGTGCATTTGAATTATGTTCGTAATCACAGAAGTACAGGAATAATTTCACCTTGTGGGTCTCGAGACTGTGACACCAAATCGCCGGGATTAGTTATCGTTGTTCGCAGATTGCTACACGGATCTTCGTCGATTTCGATGACCTCTTTGGATTTCCGCCGCTCATCAAAGTAGTTGACAGCGGCCAATGTCGCATCTTTCCTCAAGATAAAAGGTTTGAATGTCCTCTCAAATTCAGATATCAAGGAACAGGGGTCACTAGTCAGAGAAGTGCTTGCCGAAGCTGGTCGAAGTAGCTTGTTGTTGGTCGCCTTTGGTTTCGAGAAGAAAGAAGACAGGATTGATCGAGACTTGTTCTGGGCTTCTTGCTGTTTTCGCTCCTTCTCCTCTTTGGCTGCCTTTCTCTCTGCCTTTTCTTTTTCCTGGATGCAGTCATTAAGTATATGTACTTTCAATCGAAACAAGACGAAATGATATCACCTTCGCCAGGCGCTCAGGATCCACAGGTTTATCCTTCTTAGGTCGGGCAGCAGGTTTCTTCGTTGCGGACGCATCTTCCAGCGAGTCATTTAAAGTCTGTACATAAATTGGATTAGGGACACAATTTTAGACAAAACAATGCAGCTTACCGTTTCAGACTGAGGGTCTGCTATGGGCTGATGTACTGGCTTGTTCTCGTCTGTAACTGATGAAACATGCCCTGTCTCTGTTTTCGTCTTCCTGCCGCCTTTCGATAGTGCGTCTTTTTCTGTTTGTGGAAGGGCGTCATAGAACGATCTGAGTATTTGCTTTGCCTAAACGAGGAGTCAGCGTCGAAGGCAATGAAAAGACGAGAATAACGAACCTGCTTTCTCTCGGATAATCGTGCCTCGAACTTTTCCCTAGAAGCCTTCGGTAGAAAGTCATAGTTTTGCTCCTTAACCTCCCACCTCCAAATGCTTAGAGCAGCGGGTGCCTTTTCTATCCAATCTATCCCATAATTTACACGTTCGCAGGCCTTCAAGGCTGCGACTTCGATAGCAAAAGCAGTTAAAGAGGCACCACTAGAGTTGGCACCGCCCGTTATGTCCGTTTCCTCGGGTTTAAGGGCCTCCTGGATGTGTCTTGCAAGAAAACCAATCGTTTTATCACTGCATAGCTCGTCTTGAAATTTGCTCGATCTTATGAGATTCAAGTTGCACGCACCTCTCGTGTACGAGCTTTGCAATGAGGGGTATGTGCTCATCTGGTATTTGCTGAAGCGGCGACTGTTCCACTTTTGCACGTTGCTGTAAAAAGTCACGGAACTTGACGATTTCTGAGAGGTTATCGTTAGCTGTAGTCAGTCCTCATGATGGCCCGGGCAAACAAAGTTCATACCTTGCATAGTCTCCGTCATTTTCTCGCAAGAAAGTGGTTTTTGGCGAAACACGACCTTTCCATTCTTTAATTCTACGAGTGCTTGTTTATCCACTTTAACGGCTATAGATACGGTCAGGAAAAGCTCGAGGAAGCATTGACAGTGAAAAAAGCGACGTACGTGAAGTCGGAGCTCCATGCGGTTTCATTTCTGCTTCGGACGCGTCAATTCGGCAGCATTTAGTAGTGTAAGACAGTATTCATACCTTTCTGCGCCTCGATGTTTGACATGTCTGCAAGGAGCATAGCAGACTTCGGTAAGATCTAAGCTTGTCGACGTCGTGGATGAAGAGCAAGTGGTTGGCGGTGCTCTAAGCTAGTGTGACTGACGCGTCGGTCACAGGTCAATAAGCTGCAATCATGTCACTCATCGAGAATTGTGGACGCGACTCATCTCATCACCGCAGTGTACTCCTGTCGTCATGTTCCTCAAACCTCAGACCACGAAATCCGCACAAAAACAGGCAGGTGCTGATCCTGCACTGCAGCCCTGGGTCGAGAAATAGTGCGTTCATTGCTACTTAAAGAGAGTTTCCGCTGACCAAAGCTCTAGTCGTCCAAAGACAATCGACGATGTCTCCTCTCAAGAACATATCGTAGCTGTGCTTCAAAAGACGCTGACGTCGACCAATGTAAGGAATCTTTCCCTGAGTCTACTGAGAGGTCTGACGGAGACTCTCAATAGCTCCCTCATATGCTATTCTATGGACCTCCTGGGACAGGGAAGACCTCGACCATCCTTGCACTATCTCGTCAACTCTTCGGGTATGTCGCCTGCTATACGGAAAGCCATCAGGCTTACACTTTTTATAGTCCAGACAACTTCAAAAACCGCGTACTCGAGCTAAACGCATCCGACGAACGTGGCATAACGATCGTACGAGAGAAAATCAAGAACTTTGCTCGTCAAACTCCTCGTGCGCAAGCCGTCGCATCAGACGGCAAAACCTATCCTTGTCCACCATACAAAATCATCATACTCGACGAGGCAGACTCGATGACACACGATGCCCAATCCGCATTGCGTCGTATCATGGAGACCTACGCACGAATCACGCGCTTCTGTTTAGTGTGCAACTACGTGACTCGCATTATCGAACCTCTCGCCTCGCGTTGTTCCAAGTTCCGCTTCAGACCGCTTGATGACTCTGCTACCAAGCTACGCCTCCAGCACATTGCTGATGCTGAGAGAGTTCCGGTTATCCCAGAGGTTGTCAGCACGCTTATAAACGTTTCAGGCGGTGACCTCCGACGTTCGATAACATATTTACAATCGGCCTCTCGACTTTCATCATCAACAGATCCTCCAACGGAGATCACATCTCAAGATATTCAAGAAATCGCAGGAGTAGTACCAGACCGAGTAGTGAACTCCTTTGGCCGTGTACTCGGTGTAGATATCAGCGATGGCGATGAAATGGATGTAGATGACGCTAAGAAACGACGGAAAGGCTTTGAAGCTGTCAAATTCAAAGTAAAGGGTCTTATACGGGAAGGATATTCAGCATTTCAACTTCTTTCACAAGTGAGTCTTTTTGTGTACAACAAGCATCATGAGCTAATAAAGGCGCCGATTGCAGCTGCACGACCTAATCATTTTACACCCGACGTTGACTGCTAGACAAAAGGCGCGATGTGCGATGGTCTTTGCTGAGGCAGACAAAGCATTATGCGACGGTGCGGATGAGGAACTCCAAGTACTTGAAGTTGCCTTACAAGTGCACCAGGCACTGAGTTAACCTAGTTTTCAATGAATTCTCTCATTTCCTGTCATGTTGTAATTACTTCATACTTTCAAGGGTGATAATATTGCATATAATGAGGAAAGCAAGAATGAAGTGTAAGCAAAGCGTACACAAAACAATACAGTGCAACTGATTTGCCTGGCAAGTTTTGTTGGGGCAATACAAGCCTTCGTCTACGGGACACCAAGGGAAATCGTACGTATCGTATCGTATAGAACAGAACGAATTATCTACTTTTTACCGCATCCCGGCCGTTGCCTTCTGCAACGCACGCTTAATACCGAGTTGCGCCTTCCTTAGTTCATCAGATGAAGAGTCCTCAATCTCAAGCTTCTCGAGTGCACGAGCGAGCTCAGCTTCAACCTGCTGCTTGGCACCACGCTTGAGCTTCATGCCGATCTCGGGGCTCGTAATTGTGTTCTCCACTTGGTGGATATAGGCCTCGAGGTCGCTCTTCGCCTCATGGCGCGCGCTGAAGTCCTTGTCAGCCTGCTTGAACTGCTCAGCGTCCTTAATCATCTGCTCGATCTCAGCGCTCGATAAACGGCCGACCGAGTTCGTGATGCTGATAGACGCCTTGCGACCCGAAGCACGGTCCATAGCAGACACCTTCAACAGACCGTTGGCGTCAACCTCAAAGGTCGTAACAAGCTCTGCTTGCCCACGCGGCATCGGTGGAATGCCGTTGAGCTCGAACTCGCCGAGAAGACGGTTGTCACGGCACTGGGTACGCTCACCCTCATAAACGGGGAACGTGACCGTCGTCTGGTTGTCCTCGACTGTCGTGAACGTACGGCTCTTGTTCGTCGGGATTGGCGTATTACGTGGTACGACAACACCGAAGACGTCGCCCTGCATAGCCACACCGAGCGAAAGAGGGGCAACATCGAGGAGTAGGAGATCCTGTGTCTTATCCGAGGTCTGTCCAGTGAGCACAGCGGCCTGAACGGCAGCACCGTATGCGACAGCCTCGTCGGGGTTAATAGACTTGTTCAGCGGTCGACCACCAAAGAACTCAGAGACAAGGGATTGAATCTTCGGGATACGAGTCGAACCACCAACGAGGACAATGTCGTCTACCTGTAAAGTAAGGTGGGGCGTTAGACCGGCATTTGAGATTGCAAAAAAAATTAACTTGCCTTCTCACGCGACATCTTTGCATCCTTGAGCACCTTGTCAACGGGGTCAATAGTAGATTTGAACAGTGGCGCATTGATCTCCTCGAACTTCGCCCGAGTTATATTGGCCGAGAAGTCCTCGCCCTGGAAGAGCGAGTCTACTTCAACGGTGGTTTGCGCAACGGATGAAAGAGTACGCTTGGCACGTTCGCAAGCAGAGCGAAGACGACGGAGCGCACGAGCGTCGTCAGAAATGTCCAGCTTAGTCTTACGCTTGAACTCATTTTTGAAGTGTTCAAGGAGGTTGTTGTCGAAGTCCTCTCCACCCAAGTGAGTATCACCAGCAGTGGCTTTGACGGCGAAGACACCACCTGTAATGTTTAGAAGAGAAACATCGAAGGTTCCTCCGCCAAGGTCGAAAATGAGGACGTTGCGTTCGGTCTTTGACTGTTGATCGAGACCGTAAGCAATAGCGGCGGCGGTCGGTTCGTTGATGATACGCAGAACATCAAGCCCAGCAATTGAACCAGCATCCTTGGTTGCCAATCGCTGAGAATCGTTGAAGTAAGCCGGAACGCTAGCAAATGGTGAAATAAATTTCTTTCCATGAAAACACATATAAGGAGAAAGGCTGCTTACGTAACAACAGCCTTCTTCACAGTTTTGCCAAGCTTCGCCTCTGAAATATCCTTCATTTTTGTGAGGACCATGGCCGAAATCTCTTGCGGCGTAAAAGTCTTTTCCTCTCCGAGGTAGTTAACGGAGACAAAGGGCGAGCCATCTTTGTCGATAACCTTGAATGGCCAATGGGACATGTCCTAATAGCAGTAGAATTCTTGTTAGAAGGGATGAAATAATATTAAGAACTGTGTCTACTTTTTTGACATCTGGGTCGCTGAAGTCCATCATCGTCAGATATCTCGTCAGAAAGGGCGAAGCTGCTGAGGGTATACTCACTCATAGCGGCGACCAATAAGTCGTTTTGCGTCGAAGACGGTGTTGGCCGGGTTCATGGCGGCCTGATTTTTTGCGGCATCACCGATCAGACGTTCCTCAGCGGAGAAGGCAACGTAGGACGGCGTCGTACGGTTTCCCTCTAGAAACACAGTTAGACGAGTCGTCGATGACTATATGCGCGAACATACGGTCATTGGCGATGATCTCGACCCGGTCATTTTGCCATACACCAACGCATCTGCAAGAGGCGATCAAAAACTGAACAAGCTGCAGGACAAGAGAAAGTAGCTCACGAGTAGGTGGTTCCAAGATCGATACCAACGGCACCCTCGAAGAGATCATCCATTTTTGAGGCTTTTTGTGAAGAAAAAATACAGTGAAAGAGTGGTAGAGAGGATGGAGGGTCGGGGTGAAGAAGCAGCGGCGGAAGGGGAAAAAATTATGGTGGGCGTTGCTGACAAATAATTCAAAGCCCAAATTTGGCACCACACTCCTCGACCTGCCTCAGTGCCTGCTCATTGCAGAACAGCAAGACGAAGCCATGCAAGCAAGCTTGAGGTCATGGCAGCTCGGTAAAAGCTGTCTGCGGTCATGGCGCAGCGCTTCAGACACGAGCGTATGTACCGCTTCATCGTCACTGCACAACTCAAAGTACCTTAGTCGTCGATGTATGAGTAATGCAATCCCTCATGGCGCTTCTCTGGCAACACAAGACGACTGGACTGCGTTTCAAATCGAGCGTGCTGAAGAAAAACTATTCCGTACGTGTTATGTCCTGCTACCGTATTGTTCTCTGTTTTCTTACAGCGCACCATTTAGGTGACCACTATTCACAGTACGGTTCAGAGCAAAACCGTGATAATACCTGGCAACCTCACCACTCCTTACACCGACCCCCTTCCCCCGAAAATCTTACTTTATCCTCTCTTCTGGCAGCTGGAGCGCACCTCGGTCACTCTACCTCGCTATTAAACCCGAATTTTCTTCCGTACGCTTATGGCACGCGAGCAGGAATCACAATTATAGACCTCGACCATACTCTGCCCATGCTACGGCGCGCTGCAAACCTAACACGCGCCATTGCTTCCCAAGGAGGCACTGTCGTCTTTATCGGTACTCGCCCGGACTTACGACCAGCGGTGAAAAAAGCGAGTGAACGCATGGGCGACAACGCCTACTACGTCGGTGAAAAGTGGTTACCCGGCACGCTCACCAATCGCCTTCATCATTTCGATACTCGCACCGTGAAGACGACCAAAATCATCCCCGATCTTCTCGTAGTCCTTAACCCACTTGCAAATATGTCTGCCATTCGTGAAGCTGCAATCGAACACATCCCGACAATTGGTATCGTCGACTCGAACGCCGACCCACGCATCGTCATGTACGCGATCCCTGCAAATGACGAGAGCACGCGGACAGCAGAGCTTATTGCCGGTGTCTTGAGTATAGCTGGTCGAGAGGGCGTCGAACTGCACATGGACGCACAGCGAAGGAACGCACGGAGACGAGCAGATAGACGGAGAAGGTTCGATGCTTTGCAGGAGCCGCAAGAGGATACATCGGGAAACTCTGATAAGGAATACACTCCTGCTTACATGTAGCTGTCGCTATTATCTCTCGCTTGCATAAATATAAATGATACATTTATGAATTTTCCATTAATAAATATTTCCAAAGACATGGAACAGTCAAACTACGACGCTGCAGTACTGTGCGATTGTGCTTGTTGAATTTTCAGCCAATAAGCTGTCAAGCAAGAAATAATCAGTGTGGGATTGGCACTGTACAGAGAATACTGATTTACCTTCTGCAGCCTCTAAGGCGCTCAAGTTTCCCTTTAACTTATTCACCGTCTCAACATACTCGTCTTCCTCCACACTGTCAAATACGATGCCTCCTCCCGCCTGCAAGTAGGCAACACCGTCCTTGAACAGCATCGTACGAATCGCAATGCAAGTATCCATTTCATCCTGTGCGAAGTCCCAACGACCAACAGCACCAGCATATACACCTCGCTTTTCTCGTTCCAGCGAGTAAATAAGTTCAATTGCCTTGATCTTCGGCGCACCTGAAACTGTGCCAGCAGGGAAGATGGAGCGGAAAGCATCAAACCTATACGTATGCTCGTCAGGCCAATTTCCTCCTTGGTAAGTATAAAGAGACATACCGAGTCAACCCATCTCGCAGAATACCGGAGACCTGCGAAGTTAAGTGAATGACATGGCTGAACTTTTCCAAGCGCATGAGATGGTCCACTTTCACGGTCTTCGCTTGGCATACGCGATTTACATCGTTCCGCGCAAGGTCAACAAGCATGATATGCTCGGAGCGGTCCTTCTCAGACGATTGAAGCTCGTTCCCGAGCCTCTCGTCCTCTGCATCAAATAGTCTGAATAACGGGAAACTTATACAAGGGAAGCCAACTCTACTTGCCTTCAGGAGTTTTACCTCGTTTCGTCGTGCCAGCGATAGCATGATTGTAAACCTTGTTCCGTTCCACCTTACAGAGTGTCTCTGGACTCGCGCCTACGACTTGTACATCCCCGCAATCCACATAGAACATGTATGGACTCGGATTCACTTGTCGCAATTGACGATATGCATTGAAAGGATGCAGGGTGGTTGGGCGCGCAAGGCGCTGTGAAGGCACTGCCTGAATGATATCGCCTGCGACGATGCGCTGCTTGAGCTTCGTTACGAATGCCTCGTAACCATCTCTCCCAACGTTCGATGTCGGGTGCTGGCCAGTCACAATCGGTGGCTGCAGAGGTTCGGGAATGGGCGCGGTCGAAAGCAGGATACGTGCAATCCTTCGGGTTTTCTCCACCGCTGAATTATACGCAAACGAGAGGTTCATTTGCGGTGAATTCGTTGCCGAGAAGACGTGTGAGACAACTTTAATATTCTGGAACAAGTGGTCGTATATGACGATCGTATCTGCAAGCATGAAGAATGCTTCGGGAATACCGAGTGGATCCTTGACCTGGCATGAAGTTTTTGGTTCGAAGTATTGGATGCAGTCGTAAGAGACGTATCCAATTGCACCACCCGTAAACGTCGGTACTTCGGGTATCTTGACGTAGTGATATGCTGCAAGCTCTTTCTGCAGGACATTCATAGGATCACCAGTAGCCTCTTCCCTAGGCCCTGTCTTGATGACCTTTATTGGGTCTAACACAGTAGCACAATAAATTATAAGAGACCAGACGGAAAGGAAAGATGGAACCATTTACCAGCGCCGATAAAGCTATACCGTGCAATGTTCTCCCCTGCGATAATTGATTCGAGCAAGAAGCTGTATTTCGAGTCTTTTGCAATCTTCAGATAGGCGGTACATGGTGTGAGCAAGTCTGCTGGAAGTTGTACAAATATTGGGACGCAATTTCCGCGTTTCTCGTTCAGAATGAGTTGCTCGACTGTCGCGAGGGGCGGAAAAGGCACTAAGCTCTAGCATAACGGACAATGTTTACAAAGTCTGTTTTCTTCGTGGATGTTGAGTACTCACTTGAGGATCCATGGGAGAGTCGTTGTGTGAAGCAGTTGCAGGGTAGTCTATCGGAGTCATTTGTTGTAAACTGTATTCAATAAATATGCGGCTAGCACCGGTCGATCACTCTAATTTCTACTTACCACGAAGACAACGTAGAGACGAGGAGCACGGAACAACGTTATCTGGCCGAGTTGGCTGTTCGATCAAATACGCCAGCGCACAAATCAAAGCTGAACGGATCTGTTGAAGACCGAAACTTGGACTGATGATCACACCGCGCTTCAGTTGCTCGCAAACCGCGGACGCGGTCACTATACGCATACACGCACCTGCTATACGCGTGAGTTTCATGATTCTTGTTCTGTTCGCACTCATAAATGCTAAATTATTCCCTGCATAGGCAGGCATCTGACGTGGAAATACATGTCGACGAGACACTCTTCTCGGTTCACATCAATCCGTATTTCCTACGATTAGCCTTTCCGGCACCTGTCGTTGAGGATGACGCATCTTCCGCAGTGTACGACCCAACATCGGGTTATTTGACCGTATCCCTCACCAAAGCGATGCCAGGTGAACACTTCAAAGACCTAGATGTTCTCGCGAAACTGCTAGCTCCGCCTAAACGCGATGAACCGGCACCGCATCCGATCATTGAGGTTATTAGTTCGCAGGACGCTGGAACAGAAGAACACGTCTCAGACGATGATATCAGTGAAGTGACACGGGATTTGAGCCTAGATCAACGCGAAGTGTTGGAAGGTATTATTATTTTCCACCTTTCTCGGATTTACTTGACTGAGTATTTCGTTATCTTATATAGCAGTAGAAAATGATTGGCATCTTCCTCAGCAAGTACCGGAAACTGCAGTGCCTTCGTCGGTTAGTTTGTCAACCGAAAGGCGATACGGATTTTTAGATGCATACACTGGTTATTTCAAACATGTCGGTCATACCGAGAACGAGGTGAACGAGCTTGGTTTAGATGCTGAAAGCCTTTCGCTAGAAGAGCGACGAGCAAGGCGAGTCAAACATGAAGATGAGAAATGGGACGAAGAGTATTATATGTCAGTATCCCCTTTTTGGTACAATTTACACGAGGCTGAAGTAGGTGGACTGTATGCTAGGGCGGACTATGTTGACGAAGAGAATATTCGGGAACATATCGTTTACAAGCCACCAGCAGATGCTTCATGTTCGCCAAACCTTCCCGATCCAGTGGTATTCACTGAGCAAGAAAATATGGAGATGCTGCGACTCCCGCGAAAAGAATGTCTGTCTTTGTTACCTCTATTCCTACCTGCGAATGTGCTGATAACCATCTGTTATACAGACCTGGCGACTTCACAACAGACCCACAATCTTTACCTGACTCTCCTCACCATTCTCTTCTCGTATGCCTACGATGCACGAACTACTCAAAGCGACCCCACTCCCGAGAGTGCATGGACAATTTGTTCCCTCACTCCGGCCTTCTCCGCTCTCGACCCTCCGCCATATGCTTTCCAAACTACCACTCCACTAAGATTCACCCAAAGGGACCTTCAAGACGCACTCATACCATCTCTCAGACGTTCCCTAGCGTTTCCTCTCTACCGCTCCTTCGCACTAGCGGAGAAATGCTTGGAAGACGTGTCCGTTGTTCTTCAGCATGGTCGTCGGGCCGTGCTACGAACGTTGCTTGAAACGAAGAGAATTCTGGACATGCATGAGGTGTATTATGTCTATAGCAAGATCTGGGTGGATGACTTTTGCCAATGGGTCGCTAGTGATGTCAGGTTAGTCGTCACCTTTCACCTGGCTGAATATATCTTTTGTTGACCTGTCTGACACTGTTGTCATCCAGCGAGGAGATACTCAAAGCACTCGGTCAGACTCTCGCCTCTACGCGAATCGAAAAGCAAAGCCTGGGATGGGACATCCCTGCTCTCGAAGCAGCAGCACTGCAAGAACTCGAACAACCACGCGAACCAGACAGCGACGACGAATCCGATCCAGGTGGGCCCAATCCTCTCTCACCCGACAATTCTGGCGAGGAGGAGAACGGTATTACTGAAGAGGACCACCCTTCATCAAGTTCCTCCTCAGCAGCATCGACTCTATCTTCCTCATCGATGTCAGATTCCGCCGAGGGGTCCGAGTCCGAGTCCGATGCGAGTGATGCGAGTGATGTCAAGTCCTCCCGTTGAAACTATTGTCATCCTGTTGGAGTAAACCCGTCATTTTCCAAAAATCAAATCGAAGGTAGACAAAAAGAAATATGCTGTCACAATAACCATTACTACAAACAGTATCTTTTGATCCTCGATTGGATACTTGTTGCTATCGCGTATCTAAATTGTATAAATAACAACCGACCGTAGCCAGTCAAGCAAATTTATAATAATAGCTCATCAAGGGATGTTTGCATATATATATCAAGATAATGTCGCACTTATTTTGGTCAGTGCAATAAATACCTTGATCTATCATCGATCCGGGAGCTTTCAAATCCTATCACCTCATGTGCAATGTTATCACACATTCAAGAAGGCCAGGTCAAAGAAAGAAGAGTGCGGACGGAGTCGTAAAACTGAAACACCTATCTATCATTGAGATCATCACCACAATTCCACTCCAACATACACAACACGACATGTATACAAAAAAAAATTATTCTATGACCGCAAATCTCTCTCTAGCATCAAATATCAAATTTAGATCAAGGTCAAAGTCAGACAATAAGAAGTACATATGTTTTTTAATAAATAACCTTCACTACAAAATAGTATCTTATAAATCTGAATGTATAACTCATTCCCATTGACTTCTGTCAAACAAATATGCCATTGCGTATTCAACTTGCATAAATAGAAACCTGCAACCACTTGGGTATATTTATAATATTAGCTCACATGGAGAGATGATTCTACAAATAAATGTCATGGTAATACTATTCAGAGTCTTAACCTGTGTTGACTCGGATCTATCACCGATCGAGGGTCTTTCGAATCTTATCGCCTCATGGCCAATATCATCACATTGAAGTAGACCAGGTTAAAGAAAGAAGTTAAAGAAAGAAGAGTGCGGACGCAGCCGTGAAACTGAAACACCTGTCGTAGAGATCGCTATCACCACAATTTCACTCCGACATACAACATAATAGACTCTACATACCTCAAAAATGTATTAACGAACGCAAATATCGCTCCAGCATCACATATCAAATTTAGATTACCCTGTTATGAGGTCGGGTCTCGCACTTAAAGTCTGCCTAGCGGAATCCATACATATAAATTATAGTTCCTCCCATGACATAACAAATTCAAGAGCTTGAGCTTATAACGCGTTTGCATCATAATGAAACGACTTCTCAACATATCTTTACGGCTATCACCTTGGGACTTCCGGTCCGGAAGGCCAGGCGCCGCGATGTTTAGTTACTTAGCACCCTATAATGCGACCACCGTACATCGCATCGCATCTCATCTCAGAAAATATAGTTCCGCTAATACGTGGCTTCGATCGGTCCATTTTCTTAGCAAACGAAACGATCAGACCGGGATACGGATACTAACGATACTGATCAATAGAAGAGAAAGTTTAGCACTTAATGTACGCAAATTCAATACCTAACACGCAGACTCCAGAGACACAGAACCAAGGACTTGGTGCACGCGCGAGAAAGCAAAAGTACAACAACACAAGCAAGAAGCAGCGAATCTTGCTCTGCGTGCCACCTCTCTCACTCCGCCTCCCGGAGAAATCGCGGAGAAAAGCTATAAATGTCCGACTCGGACTAGGAGGCTCAGGTTGGTCAAAATCATGCATGCAGATACGGAAGCAAGCGAGAACGTTACAGGAGCAGGAGCATAAGAAGCCGTGCGGGATTTATTACGCAATGACGTGTTTGGGTGGTGGAACCAAATAGTATTCCAGTTTGGGTGGACAGACCTGGTGCCGAGAGCAAAATGAAGACCACAAGCCACTATTGGCAAAATACATATTTGGGAGAGCTTCTTTCGCTCCTAGCATGGCTACAAGGGGACGCCAAGACGTTCTGCAGGACGAGAAAACCAAGACCACTTCGAAAGCCAGAGCGCACATGGCCGAGTGAACGCCGGATACACAGAATACCCAGCCCAGGCGGTCCGCGATGGAAAAATGCATGTGGGTAAACGATTGAAATTCGCCGGGTTCGGGAAATTCAAGGCCGATACTGATTATACATTTTCGATAGCGATAACCTCGTTCCGGGATCCAATATTGACACCTCGGGGAAGTAAAGAGAGAAAAGAGAGAAAATAAACGTTCGCGGGAGTTAAGGATAATGAAATCTCCGGTCCCGAATGACTCGGATGCCGGGTTATTTACGTTGCTCTTCCGAGGTGGCCTTAGACGCGCCCGGATCTGACGTAGTTGCCTGTTCAGCAAAAAAGTTCTCAGCGACAAATTCGTAGCAAAAAGGATTGAGCCGCAAGTGAAACCGGAGAAGGAAAGAAAGGAATGGTGTCTAAATGGAGCTTTGCTGAGGAACTGACAAAGCGCCCGAGAAGCAACGGAGCGTAGGGATAAGGTGATGTAGGCTCCATATGCTTGGCATCTAAAGCAACGGCATGGCGAAAGCAAGCGAAACCCGATAATAACGATATTCGTCGTCAATGGTATGACCTGTATCTCACCTGAGCCTGGATAGAAGCTTGCTGCCGTGCCGCGTTTTCAGCCGCCAAGCGCTGCATGCGGGACTCGTCCACCTTTCTCCGCACTGCAGGCGACATTTTCTGATATTTCGAATAACATGACCAGCGCATAATAGACCGATGTTAGTCAATCTAATTACGAATCACGGCAGTCTCGGTCTGCATGAGAAACGCACCTCATAGAGTTGTTCCGGTGTCGGAGTCACAACTATAGGAGACAAGAGAGAACATAAGTCGGAAGCATGTGGGTCATTTACAAAGAATCAGACGGAAGTGTACAATATTTACCTCTCATAAGCACATACCCGACTCCGAGGCCTTTGGAAACAACCCATATGCATATACGCACGACGGAAACGCATTCGCCGTTTGAGTACGATGGAGTTAGAAATCACAAGAATACATCCATCGCGGAAGACGTGCGGGAAGTCAATTAATAACGAAGCGGCATAAAGAAAGACAAGTCAGTCTTATTTCACGCGATCACGCAAAGAAGTGGATGAAGAAACATGAATCATGTGGTGAGTCTGAACAAATCGTTCTTAGAAATCTTATGAACGATCTTGTATGCCCGACGAATACATAAGAAGTTGTGAAGACAATGGAAGGGAGTTATAAAACAGGAAAGGTAATGGCCTTTCCAAATTAGAAGTAAAAACACATGGAGAACTCAACGTACATCCGCCTATCGCTGCAGTGACCTTCAACCATGGAAATCGACCCGACATGGCCGAAAAGTGGACTGACAATGTACGGTAGCAGTTACGACTGAGGCCGACGAAGTGAAGTCTTTACGTTCAGACAACTTTCTGAACTGCAGAAGCGCGTTAGAAACACAAGCTGAAGTTCTTGCACACGAGAGACGAGTAAGATTCACGAGTCACGAGGCACTTCGTTCTTCGTAGTACGTGCAACTCGCTTGCTCTCCAGATGAAGTAGTCAGAAAGAACGTTGTAGCCAGGGGAGGAGAAAAGAGACGGCGACTTGAAATCTCAATCTGCAACATTCGAGATTTTGCACATGACGCAAACGCGACGCGTCGGAGATCGTCCATCAAATCACAGCGCGCGAAAATCTTGGTAAAGTAAAAACCTTTTCTCTCTCTCTTCAACTCAGAAAACACGCTCTAATTCTCAAATCAAGCTAGGCTCGGGAATTCCATGCAATTAATGAGGCCGAGACCTGTCTTTCACACTCCATATCTTATAGATCTCATAGACTACCGTGATGAATTACCGTTCAACTAAAAAAATAACCGACTAATTGACGCTTCTGTCTGATCTGGGAACAGCTTCTTCATCTCCACCTCGAAAGCGGGCCACAATATTACACGGCAAAGAACCCAACGAATAACTTCCCGCTTAAAGAACTCTAATATGCATTTTTTCATAAGTAATAGGAAGGAAACGAATGAACAACCGTAAACTCCATTCCTTCCCAGCTTCTGAGCTTCTGGTCGGTGTGTTTTCCTAGTTGGCGAAGAGCTATATAAAAATTCATTTCAGGTGGAGATGACCCGACGACAACGGCATTCCTTCGCCGTGGCAATTTCCCAACTCGTCCATTTACTCTCATTTTGCATATACATTCATCCAGCCAGTTTGCAGGGTGAAGCTACAAAGTGATGAGATGTTCCCAACTTTTGTTTCTACAGAGCTGATAGTCCCGGTTGTCATAGTGAGTTATTAGTTTTATTCCTTATGCAAGAATAGCTTTTCTCCAAATGGCAAAGAACAGAATACAACTAGGCGAAGTCTCTGGAATACGTCACTGCTAGCTTGGATACCAAACACATAGTCCTATGCGACGTTGCTCTGGCCTGACCGTGCATACAAATCCGAATAGCGCATGCAATCATTAGCCAGATAGAACCGTACTAGGCTAGAGTAAACCAATGGCAATACTCTTGCCACAAGTAGTAAAGGTGGCAAAATGGATACAAGACACAACGGACGGACCAACACCACGAGTCGGTTATACACACAGTAGTCATTGACAAGTAACATGTAATTGTAAGCCAATTATACTATACACGTAGATGATCATCAATGTGTGTCGTTATTCGCGTCGCAACGGCAACGCGATGCAGATAACTCTACCGATCAAGAAACAGGTCTGTATGATACCATAACAAGTCCAATCCCCATTCTCCCTGTTCCTCCTCATCACGCATGAGGCAGACTAAACCACCTTCCATACTAGTGCTAATGGATGAACGAACGCAAGGTGGTGATTGTGACAAGTTGAAAGTGAGAAAAAGAAACGAGAAAAAAAAATGAGGCGAAGGCGAAGCCGAAATTCGCAACGCCACTCTATTAACTACTAACCCAACCACCCAACCAACCTGCTTCCACTCACGTACTTACTTGCTTCTAGGTTACGCGTGCCCATCTCCGGAAGTCGTGCCGGCGGTAGCAGCTTGGTGCGGATGTTGGTGGTGATGGAGATGCGGGTGGTGCGCATGCTCATGCGGGGGGACAACATCATACCCACTCGTCCCCAAGTCCGCGGGGAGTATCGCAGTATCCTCAAGCGAGTCCCTCACAAGATGCGCATGCTCTTCCGGGTCCCTAAGCTCGGGAACTGTTTCTACCTCCGAACGTTGTTGTAGGAACTTCGGAGGGTCGACAAGCCCGTTAAACAGGAACTATTTCAAAAAATATTTTTCCAATATGTTTCAAGGTGAAAATCAATAGTCCATGTGGACGCGGATGCAATTAAGAAACAAAAAACAAGCACATTAGAGTGTGACAGATGGAACGGAACGAACGAACGAAACTTACCGTTCCATAGCTAAAGGGTAAATGGAAGAAGGGAAGGGAAGAATACAAGTCAGTCAACATGTGATCGCCGGAGATTTTAAGAACAAGAAAGCAGAACGCCGCCTCCACATCGTGCAGCGCGTCATTTAAATTTGGGGAGAAAGAGGAAATACATACACAAGAAGAGCAAATCCCATTACTTGCAGAACCGAAATCGGCCAAAGGAGGCGTTCCCAGCCAAGCGCAAGCGAGACGATCCAGATGCTAAGTGTTCGGCACGTATCCGTTAGACTACGGGCCGTTGCGGAGACATGTCGCGTTACGCTCAAGCCGAAGAAGTTGAAAAGCGCTATACTACATGCGATTGCAATACCAGAGTACAGCACAGTCGGGGTATCAATCATCTGGTGCCATCCGCGCGGAAGGTCGAAGAACGCCGAACGGTCGGCGAACTGCGCGAGGACCGGCATGAAGATCAAGATCGTAAGTGCGCCAAAAAGACCTTCATAGCCAACGGCGACAAGAGGCGCGACAGAATATCGGCCCATGATCTTCTCTTCTACGACAAATTGTGTCGCCGTACTGTTTGCGTCATGAGCCGGTAAAACAGATTAGCAGTTTGAAAATTTGCGACGAAAAAAAGGAGCGAGATGAAAGTAGTGCTTCATCATTGGACTAACAATATTTGTGCGAAAAGGATGAAGAAGACGCCCACGAGGACCTTTGTGGCTTCGGGTGCTTCAACAGGATCCGGGCTCGGAATATCTGCGGACCGCCTGACCAACGATGACGGCGAGGTAATTATGTTGATAATTTCCGTTGCAGTCTCTTTGACAGCATCTTTGATCATGGACCCACTAAGTCCGACAATAGATACACCTGAAGTAGATTCATCGTGAGGATCTAGACACACCGATACATTTAGAGTAAGAAGCGGAGGGAAGTTGCCGTGGGGGAAGCCGAGCCCCACCAGATGTCGTGCGCATGCGAATGCAAATACTCATGCGATATGACTTGAGAAAGATACGGAAGGTAAAAGAACCTTAAGTGAGAGGGGGACGAACCTAGCATGACGGTCACGAGAGATAGCCATCTGAGGGAAGCGCGGTGAAGATCAGCTCGGCGAGAAGCTAGAAAGTACAAGGAGCGACAAGTCTGTACAAACGTACTGGTAAAACCAAAGCCGGCGATGTAGAAATAGGACGCTAAGGATTCCCACAAACAGGACGAGAGCGCCGCGCGTCATTTGATAAATGGAGACGGGTGTGTAGAGAAGGCCAACATTCATGAGCTGATGTGTTTACGATGGGTCGAAACATTTGAAATCTGCATAAGTGAGGGAATGTAATAGGAATGAACAGAGGGCGCGGACCGTTGTGCCGGTAAGGTCGCATGCTGCCGGAAGCCATAAGAGGAGAACCTTGTAACCTCGCAGCTGCTGCGCCTTGAGCGAGTGCTTCGTGTGCGAGTCATGCGCAGGATCGTCATGGGTATCGGGCGGAAGTTGGACGGCTGGCTGGAAGCGGGTTTGGACGAGAGAGTAGATGACAGGAAGGAAACCTGGAGCGGAGAAATAGGAGATGAGAAGAGAGTAGTGGCACTGTAGATGAACGTTAAAGACGGACAAAGCATTTCGCCGACTGTCACGGAGAAAGGAAAAGGGTTAGAAGAGGTAAGATAGGAGCCATTGAGTGCGAGAACGGACGTACGGAACATCTGGAGTGTCTGCCAGACGGGTTGCTCATAGAGAACGTGATGTCTAATAATTCGATCATCACAGTTCTCTACACATTGCATGTCCTATTTGGGTAAGGCGAGAATTAGAACATACAGATAGATATGATATGCGACATGCCTGCCATTTGCTCCAGAGTGAATTAGATGAACCCTGTCGAGTGTTACCATTGATTAGCTGGTGCTTCATTGAGCCATAAAAACCAACATTAATTAACTACGAACAGTGATGATCATGCCCGCAATAAGGGTGGGCACATAGAGCTTGCTGACGGCCATGGTGGACGTCGACTCGAAAGAGAGAGAGAGAGAGAGAGAGCAGAGAGCAACGCACGACAAGCGCGAGGAGGCTGAAACGGGCAGCTGTGTGACGAGACGGGGCTACTTACCGGATATGGCTGTAATGATCCACGCCGGAGAGATCAGCTTCTGTGGACGCGAGTGCGCAAAGGACGCTAACCTAACGAATAGTCTCTCCAACAAATAAAATGCACAGTGCCCTTCTTAGAACCACATCTCGACACTTCAGCGCCCCCATCTCCTCTCCCCCCATCCCTCCTCTCCCGACGCCGCCTCTCTGACAACCCCTCTGCACGTCTTTCCTCGGCGTGCCCCTGCCCCGCTCCCCGCCATCGTTCCCGTCGACGCGCGCCCCAGCCCCGGCGTGGCAGCATGGTCAAGATCTCCATCCTCTCCTACCGGGGCAACGCCAACTCCCGCTACTTTCCGCACTCAGGCTACCTCGGCCTCACTCCAGTAAAAATTGAAGGCGGTGAGTGCTCTTGCTTGTCGTTTGTCTTGTGTGTTTTAGCTTCCGTGCTGATCATCACTTGCTTGCGCGTCATCACCATCCTAATATCCAGTCGTCCGCACAGCACTCGAAGAGGACCGCAAACCCCTCCACGCCAGCAGCGTCGTTGCCTCCGTCCGATGCATCGAGGCCCGTCTCGGCCGCGTCGGCGTTGTCCATTCCAACGTCCTCGTCGAGTACACTCAGACACTCTGGAATAAGCCCGACAGCGTCGAATGGGCAGACCTTGGTGACGGCGAATTCCCCTTCAAGATCGTCATTCCCGCAAAGTCCCCGGGCTTCACCTGTGCTAATTTTCAAGACTACCGGGTGTTCTGGCGAATTGAAGCAGGTGCGTCTGCACCCGAAAGTTCGACGGGGCTTCCATTCGCTTACTGACGCTTCGCAGTTATCAATCATGCTCCCACTTTTGGCGTCGGTACCCGCAAGCTCAAAATGTATGAAATCCCCCTTGTAAGATACGATACACAAGTCCTGCGAACCGATCCGCTTCCTTCGCCTGCGCGTATCCTCGCCACCCGTAAACCCCGAGCACCTGTCATCCAATACCAGCTCTTGCAACCGACCACTCCCGTCGGCCCACTCGACATTGTCACTGTTGGCTTATCCCTCCGCCCGGTTGATCCGTCTGTAGTAGTACGCAGTGCTTCTATGGTCATTGAGCGGCGCATTGATCTCTGCGAGGCACGTCAATTGCCAACTCGAGACCGACAAAATTCCTTGAGTCCCAGTACAAGCCCTAGTCCTAGTCCGAGCCCACATCCGCCACCTAGGGCTGACGATGAGGAAAACTCTGGGTCGGCGTATCGAAGGTCTAATCACGATCGAAGTCGTGACCAGGGGCGTATGAGCGAGCCGTCGACGAGCTCGACTCGTCTCCTCAGTCCACCTCAAGATACGCACTTTACGTCCACGTCTCTCACGTCACTCTCGAGCACGTTCACGACCGATTCGGCAAGCTCGGCAACTGACGAGCGTCCTCTTCTGAGCCCTATAATGACCGATCTTCCCGCTAAAACGATTTCGCTCACCGTCGCGCATGTCGATAGTGCGGGCGCATTCACAAAAGATGCATCCGGCGCATATACAAAGACGCTGACCTTGCAATGGCCAGCGAATAAGTCGAACAGCCATTGGGCCATGGGAGAAACGATGCAGACAGAGATGATCAGGCTGCGCTTCTTCGTACATGTCAAGGTAAATATCGATCTGTTCGGCAATGTCTATTTAAGACGAACTGTCACTAACTAAACTCGACTGCTACAGATCATCGTTTCCTCGCCGTCAACGGGCACTGAAACGATTGAACTGGAAGAGCGCGAGCTCCTGCTCATTTCGACTAATGAATCCGAGAGAAAGCTAGCGATGACCAAATATACCGATGCGAGTGCCCGCTCCAAGTCAAAATCGCCACGCCGCAGTAAGGCGCCATTTTCGGAAAGCCCGGAGAATCAACTACCGTCTCCGGACCCGATCCCACCTGTCCCGCACAGTGCAAGCCCGTTCGAGACCCCCCAAAATAACTTTACCTCGCACCACGCGACGTGTTCGTCTCCCACTGCATCTGTAACGCCGCCGGCTCAGACTTTGCGGCGTCCACACACATCTTCTGGCCTGCGAGATAAGCTGAGCAGCCGCACGCACCACCGGCACCACGAGCACCACCGTGAGCGCGATCGAAATAGAGACGATGAGAATCCGAGTAGATACTCGTCCAGCTTCCGTGCGTCACTGCGACCAGAGACTGCTCGGCCATCATCCACTACATCCAAGGAAACACTGACGTCTGCACCTCCCTCCGCATATCCATATCCGCCTACACATGCCCGACGCAGCTCGCGAGAGGCGAATCCAATGGCCGTGTCGGGTTCGGGACCGGGCGGGATTACGAGCGACCCTAGGACTGTGCGTGCGTGGGAAGAGGAGCTTGCGCGAATCGAGCGAACGTCGCGAAGAGTGAGCGCGGACATGCTCGGGTTCAACCTGAAGCGGTTGCGGATGCGGGCAACAAGGCCGAAGACAGCGTCAAGCTCGCTGACGAGCGAGTCTTCCTAGACAGGACATGTAGAGCGGACGAGTGGATTACTATTCCAAGGCGTCCTTGTTTCTAGTGTGCTTCTCGTCTTCCCGTCTTCTGAGCGATGCTTCCCGACTTGGCTGCTTCGCACACAGGGAGAAGCTTCCGAAGGGTGGAAGTCATGCTTCCTTTCTGCCTTTCTTCGGCTGGACCCATCTATATTTGCGCACATGCGCCGACCCCTATGGGAAAGTGCTTATGTGCTTCCGGGCTTCGACTGGGCGGACGCAGAACCTTCTCTGTGCAGAGTTTGTCCTCAGATTGGGTTCGCACGCGTCTATAACCGTCTCTAGGTCGCCGGAGTCTCGCACGCGTTCCCAAAGTTCCATCGCCGCGCTCACGGCCGTTCCGTAACCGCACTGTACTGTGTGTGCTCTCTTTGGGCGGACGCTGCCACGATCGTCTCTCCGCCTTCCGTTCCGGGTGTTGTTCACGAAAACATCACCGTGTGTTTCTGTGGTGTGTTTTCTTCGCTTCCGACTTCCCCGCGCCACCATACGCACATACACACATGCAATGTTTCTTTCTTCTTTGCATGCACGGTTCTCACTAAACCTGTATCCTCTCTCCCGCGCATCCCGGGACGGTTTGGGATTGGGGGTGCTTATTTTCGACCCCTTCTCATCTTCGTTGTCTACAGATCTTCTTCTGTTGTTCATTCACGGACCCTTTGACATATCTGTCATATCAATACAGTATTATCATTCGTGGCGCGGCCAAGCTTCTTCCTTGTCTCCGTGCACGCATCCTGGTATTCTATACGTCCAGTCGGGTTTATTTCCCTCCCCTCTTTCCCAGGCCTTTTCTCTTTTTCTTCCTTTGAATCTCAGCATCATAGGTCGAAGACCTCCATGTACTGATAGCCCATCGCAACCCTTTCGCAGCATCGCATACAAAGTACAATGATACGTACAGTCAATCAATCCATCGATCAATCAAAGAATCAATAACTTCTCTTCGTTGACTTCTCAGTTTCATGTCGGAACGTATTGATGAGTATGGGTGTGGTGTGAATCAGATATCATTTACTTGGCCACGTCGCTCGGTCAGTCAGTCAGCTGTCTAGCTTTCCTATCTGTTGAAGTCGACTGTACGTCATTGTTGGATGTTCATCAAACTGATTTTGCTGTCGTGGTCTAGACCATCATGATGCAACGATCCGACTCGAGGCCTGCATGTTTCATCCATCTCATCACTTTGCTACAGCAAAACTCCGAAACTTGTGGCATAGCTTTAGCTGAATTGTGGCCATCGCATTATGATAAGTGTCCTGGATGGTAAACTAGTAATGTAATGATTAATATAACTTTACTAGTGGAAGTACTAGGACTAATACTATAGATGATCACATATAATATTAGTGTTAACTAAACACTAGTCCCACCTTTACCATCTTTGTCAAATTAACGGTATGAAAACGTTACAAGCTCAAAATCCTTATATTAATCAGATTTATATGTACAGTACAAAGTTCATCAGTCTAGTTGTTTACACAGCCTCTCGGAGGCATTTTACATACAAATACTGCAGATTCAGATTAGCCTACATCTGCGTAAATACAGTTATATACAACCCTGTTTTGTTCGCCCAGATCAAAAAAGAAGACCACAGTTCGGTTGTCCTTCTAGTCCCCGTTTTCTGTTTTTGAGTTTTTTTTTCTGTTCTTCAACTGGAGCGGAGTAGTGTTGTGGTTCTGGCGTAACACGTTCCCCTCCTCCTATCAGTGATCACCTAAATCACTTAAAAATCACTAAATCGCGCAGGATTGTCCGTCCCACCGGCCCGTCTGTGTAAGTAAATAAAGAAGATCATTCTCGTAAGTCTACATGACTATTTTACACTTTGTTGCTTTGTCGTCGAATACATGTATATATACGATACGAATCATCATAAAATGCTCGGATCTCAGTACTGTATGCATGCATTTAAAGTTTTTCCATCTCCTAAATTCCCGATTTGGTTAGCGTATTGTATGTATGAGGATTAGTGAGTGCTGGTGCCAAGGAATCTCTATACGGGCATATCGGCAATGCTGCATCATCCAATGTCGTTTGTTCAGGAGATTTCCTGACATATGAACTTCCCACTCCTCTTGGCTAACCACCATATCAACTGGTGTTCCAAACAAGAAAATCGATCTAGGACGATAAATCCCCTTGGCTGCAAGAGAAAATAATTGCAGTACAGGAAAAAAGGATCATCCTTCACGATCATCAAAAACAACGTTAATACTAATAGCACCGAGAGCCACCCACCCAACTATCTCGTCCTCCCGCATCAAAAAAATCCAAAATCAGATACTTACTAAGACAGTCAGAAAAATGACATCGGAGGATAAATAAGAGCGACGCGGCGATCACCATGTTCTGGCGTGCCGCCACTTGTAGTCGTGGTGATGGTGGTGGTGGTGGTCCTTCTAGCGGGTTTTCAGTTTACGCTTTTGATTTTGATTTTTCGATATGCGTTGTATGTAAGCCCCTTGTTTAAGCGTTAGAAGAAGGGGGGCTTTTTGAATTGGAAGACCCGGACATGAGGCGGAGGCGCAAGGGTTGAAGTGTTGAGGTGTTGGACAGCAATTCAAGAAGAAGCCACCCGCGTAACAATTGGGTTTTTTTGACGAGCCTCGTTGCGATGGTTGCTGCCCTCTTGCGTTGAACCGTAACGTTGAACCGTTTGACGGGTGGAACGGATGTATCATCGCGAAGTTCCAGTTTAGCGCTGAGAAGCTCTCAGGGAAGTGCCGGAAGAACGAAAAGGAGGAAACTCAAATAGCAACGCGGTCAGTTTAACATTGAACGTCAATTAAGCGACCACGGTACGTGAAACAACAGCAGGTGGGATACATAGCGCCGAATGTCATACATCCTCGTATACATTCATCGCTCATTGGTGGTATAAGCCATGATCCGCTTTTTATATATAAAGGAATTACACTGGGCGCGGAAATGTGTGAATGTCAGTTTCGTGCAGAATGGATGCGAGGAGTTAATGTAATATAAACTTACGCATAACTACTATGTTCCATTTAACTTCCAACAAAAAGAAAGCCAGCGCGTATCATTCATATTCTCAACCTTAAGGCAACCTAGCTCTTCTCTTCCTCAACTGCAGGCGCCGTTGTGCTTGGTGCACCCCAAGGATCATCGGCTGGCACAGCGCCCCATGGATCCGGGTCGTTCGTCGTAATCGCAACGCCAGTCTGAGGTGTGTCAACATTCGTTGCTGATCCCCATACCTCTGCACCAGTTCCCCAGCCACCAGTATCATCCTTGTCGTCTGACTTCTCGTCCTTGATATCTGATGTCCTTTGGCCTTCAAATCCACCTCGACCGCGACCGCCCCCTCGTACACCACGTTGACCTCGGGCGCGAGCTCCCCGACCTGCTCCACGTCCTCTTCCACGTCCTCTCTCAAATTCTCCACCCCATTCCGCTTGATCCTCTGTCGTGCCTTCATCACCGGCAGTTAGAGTGTTCCCTGGTGCATACATCGAGGCGTTCGTCCCTCCCCCACTACCCGGGCCGGCACCCACACCCTTCTTGAAGCTGTCCCACTCCCTCACAGCAACCCTCTCCATCTTCCGCTTCGCATTTATCGCGCGCTTCTCATCGATCCCTGTTTGGATCTTACGCTGCGCAGCATTCTTAGCGCGTTCTGCTGCTTGTGAGGCTTGGAATGCTTGTTCGTCTGCTTGGACGGCCTGGTTTGTTGTTATTTAAAGATATTATTATGAATAAGAAATTGGTAAGTAATACGAATAAGATGCAGTCGAGTAAATGTACGTACAGCGCGTCGTTCCTTAATCTTTTCGTTGTTCAAGCGTATTCGTTCCATGCGAGCTGCGAGTTCTTCGTCGGATGGTTTTTCCTGTTAATTTAGGAAGTTCAATAGTATCCGTACCAAGCGAGATGTAAAGATAACACGGAGAACAAGTCTGTCAGCGAAAAGCGCGCATAACTCGTTAAATTGAAAAGACACACCCGTTGAGGACCCCCAGTCTTGACTCGTTCTTCATTAACATACGGCTCCGTACGTTTAGTAGGCGTAGGCTTCCCTTCAGCAGCTTGTCCATCATCATCCTTTTCCTTCTCACCCTTCTCCTCGTCTTTGTCCCTGTCCTTATTATCCCTTTCTCGTTCCCGCCCGTTCTTCTTCCCTTTATCCCTGGGTGTACCAGGCTTAGAGGAGTTACCCCGTTTAGCACCGTCTTTCCCGTTCGCGCTCCTTGACTTTGACGCGTCTGTACCCTCCTTACCAGGCGACTTCTGGTCGTTGGGACCTGGACTTGTTGCCTTCACATCATCTTCAGGTGTGGATTCGGCCGTTACGTCTGCATTTGCATTCGTGTCTAGCAAGGGTGCTGATTGAGCAGGCACGCTCTCGGTCCCGCTCGTTGGCTCGGTTTCCGTCATCACGGCCAGTCGAGCGTAATGAGCGGTAGTAATCCACTGACTAAGTGACTGTACGCGTCTCTGTCGTGTCGTGTGTGTACGTGTATCCGCGTCGGATCCAATTTCAATTTCAATTTCAAGTCGGAGTTGGTAAAAAGGTATTCGCCAAGAAAGGAAGTGCTTCTACATAGGCAGTGGCCAATAATATTAATAAATCTACAAGTCATATTTTCATCATCTCATCTCACTTTCAGTAAAAGGAACTTCTTAAATAGGCTTGTAACAACCTAGGTAGTAATCAAATTTGTTACTCTACTCGACAAACACAATCACCAGCGAGCGACAACACGTGGAAAAAAAGAAAACTTAGTAGATAGATAAAAAAAACGAGAAAAGAAGGGGAAGGGAAGACAATTAAAAGACAAAACGTCCTTTATGTAAGGAAAGGGTATACGACAAGAAAGAAAGTACGAGAACGGTCAGAAACCCAACTCCGTCAACGTTCCTTAGCGCCTTGTTGATACGATCGTCCCGCTGCACAGCACGCGAGACGAGAAGCGACGACCGCGAGCGAAAAAGAAGCGGAACACTAAGCGAGAAAGGAAAGGATGAAGTGGGTTTCAAGGGGGGTAAGCAAGGGAGGAGAGGAGAGAGCCAAGAAAGCCGGAACCACATAGCCTGTTGTTAACACATAAATTCCACCGGTATAAACGAGATTGTAACGTAGTAATAAGAACCAAGAATCTTTGTCCCATTATTAACAGTAGGGGGCACTAGCCCGGTATCAATCGGTGAATGAGCGCAAGAGACGGACTAACGGACTGTCGTGACAAGATTGTGCTGTACGACCATCAAGGACATGCAACATAACATGTCACGGCGCCAATAGACTCGTCAAGTCGTTTCATGACTCAGTGAGCATGTCCGGCATTGATCAGTGCACCCATTTCAATAATGGCGAGGTTCATATCGTAAACGTTGTTGCCTGCTGTACCCGTCGGCTCTGGCGCACCAGAACCAGTGGCAACAGCAAGTCCAGATGCTGCACCGGAAGAAAGGTTCAACGTTGCAGATACAACAGTCGAATTCGAAGACGTCGAGCTCGAGCTCGAGCTATGCGACGAACTAGAGCTTGATGACCACGTGGAGCTGGTAGAAGACCAAGTGCTCGTCGGCGTCCACTTCGAGGAGCTCGTCTTAGGAGGTTGCCAAGTTGAGCTCGGCGGTGTCCACTTTGAAGAAGAGCTCGATGGCTTGTCATCTCCACCTCCGTTGTCACCACCATCGCTGAACCACCAGTCACCATAGATCTGCAAATCAAATCAAATTGCGTCAATGAAATGAATAGGAGCCTCATTTTTTTAGAGTTATTCTTGAACACTTACGACACCTTCAGATTCCGAAGCGAAGAAATCAAACAATCCTCTGGAAAAGTCGAGACCACGGTATGGGCAGCCGGGGCACTAAAAAGATCTTATGAGATACAGACTAGAACGGACAATGGACCACCCACCTGGTCCATAATTTGTGCTTGAGTCTGCTTGCCTCCGTATGAAATCGTGATCATCTTGAAGCATTGGGGACCAGGAGATCCACCGCCGTATTGCTACCAAGGCATCATTTTCGGTCAGGCTGTTACTTCAATCTGTACTCTCGACTAAAACTCACAGGTGTGTTCAAAGCAACGATCTAATGGAAGACTCTATGAACAAGCCAGAAAACAACTAGGGTACGAAAAGAACTCACGAAGTCAGAGGGGACGTTGGTTTTACCGCACGCACCACTATAAATCGCAAATAAATTCAGTACACAGTTCCTCAAAACACCACGACCAGTATTTCATGATCCAGAAACAAAACAAAAAGGCACTCACAGGCCAACATCATAAAAAGTAAACCTAGCATCATTACCACGTTTCTCAAGGCCGTGACCAACGATAGAGTCAGTGATGTTTCCTACTTTCTCCCCAACGGGCTCTGGCTCTGGCTTCGGCTCACGAGCAGCAAGTTCGTGATGGCGCTTATTATGACGTGCATTATGGCTGCCTGCACTAACAGAGGCTGCACAAGCTAGAAGTGCACCAACAAGAGCTGATGAGGTTGTCAAGCGCATCGTCGTATCGATTTGTTGTTAATCGGCTGGTCGAGGCCGGGATCGGGGAGGGACAGTCGGGTAAAGAGTGTGTCTGAGCGGAGGAGGCTCGCGTTATAAATGAAGGGGAAATTGAACGAGGGGACGGTGTTCAAAGGACAGAGAAAAATGAGGACTCGGCGTGTCGTTCGTCGATGAGAGCGGAGAGGCTGAGGCGCAACAAGCGTTTGATGAGGGTGCCCTCCCTCGTGACGGGAACCCAATAATTCCATATTTGGCAGTGTCGGAGTGGTGAAATTTTTTATTTAACCCCTTGCAGATACACGCGGGCTCCACGCTCCGGTTAGGTAGAGAAAATACTTTGCAAGAATCTTGCTTGCTCTAGACTACGTTACATTGTCAATGGTAAAGAGAAGAAAAAAGGCAGAAAAATAAATCTCTGTGTATGCGCAAAATAAACCTCCTGCAATATTTTGTCAGCAGCCATCCTCTCGTAAAAAAAGCTCATGGACAGTCGTTCGTATCATGGCCGCACGGCACTTCACATCATTACTCCGGAACATTACCCCGAGCACTCTCACCCGGATGAGGCTCGCTGTGAGATTCTAAAGTCATACCCGGTACTTCTGACACGGGCGTCTCCAACAGAAGCGGACGGTGCGATGGCGAGTCGGGAGACGATGGCAACTCATCATACGACTGGCCTTCAATATTCCCAGAAATTAGAGAGGATACACTCCTGTTCGCCTCCGCCTCTGGCACACCTTTTGGAGCATTCGTCGCCGCTAATGCGGGTGAGTCTTCTCCTTGGGGAGATGTGGGCTCCACTACCTCAGGCTGGGAATTCGGGAGCTGTGTCGCCGCGGAAGTAGTGCAAGTCGAAGGACCACTCGTGGGAACACTATCGGATGTTCCACCACCGCTTGCAGCCAATACAGCTGATGCGGCTCCATGTGTCGCTAGAGCAGCACTAAGTGTACTGAACTGTGCCAAATTAGTGCCCTCTCGAGGTGTCGGTGAGCGCACACTGGGTGTTGCTGAACCCGACCTTGAGTGTGTTCGCGATCCAGAATGTGCTGAGGAAACCCCCAATGAAGCCGTCACTAATGCATTTAGTGAGGAAGGTCCTGATGGGCGAGAGCTTTGCTCCGACTCTGTAAGGCTACCTGGTGCTGGAGATGACCTGGGGCTTAATGACACGGAACGGCCACCCGGAGAAGGAGAAACTGTTGAAGTCAAACCTCTGTTTGATGATTGGGCTACGTTAATTGGAGATGTCGTGGGTAGTGGCGGAAGCTCTAAACCCGGTGCAGAGGACGACGGTCCCGCTTCGTTCTCCCCGTTAGTATCATTGCTAGGTGCCTCGCCTTTCGCTATACGCTCGGCTTCTTTCTTCCGCTTCTCTTCAGCCTCCCTTCGCTGCTGCTCCTCGTGCTCCAACAATGAAAGTCGCATGGCTTCCATGACCATAAGCTGGAAATAGCAAGTATAGGAAGATATCAGATAATAAAAGCCAATTAGCATTAGTCCATGTCCAAGTTAGGCTTAAAGCCTGATGAACGTACTTCTTCAAGGTCTTGACCTCCCAACCCCATTGTACCAAGTAACTGATTGATGTCTTGCGGATGCTGTTGATGCTGCCGCCGTCTTGAGCGTCGGCTTGCTCGACCCTCACCTTCGTTGGCATTTTCGGTGCCGCCTTCACCGCTACCAGCACCAGCATCACCATTCAATGGATGGATTCGACCACTTGTCACACCCACGGGGATCAGGCGGTCCCCAACCTGACGCATAATGATGCGCCGGTTAGCCCGACGGGCTACAGCCGCACGCACGGCAGCGAGTTTCGCTTCCCAATCTGGCCGTATATGGTCTACGAGCGAGGGAGGAAATGCAGATAACACGTGCGACATGAGTAAAGCCATGCGACACATGCAATATTGTCATGCCCACCTATGGTGACCACCTCCGCGCTGTCCGCACCAAAGCTCTTGCGGCGGCTCTTCTTCGTTTCAGCGGTCTGCTGCCGCGGAGACATCACAGTGATTGGAGTCTGCTTATAAATAGCCATATGTGTCGTACGACAACAAAGCAACGGAGGCCTTGGTGTCAATTATCAGTAGTAGAAAATAGTAGACATAGGCGCACATAGCCATCAGCACCGATGCCAGCTCGCCAAGAGGGTGGATTATATGTGACGCCAAAGTTCTCTTGGACACAATATGGACAGGCAGCAGGCTCAGAGACAACATGAGTAGTCGTAGGCTCACTCCTCTTTATCTGCACGAAGCATTCCGTGCATATTGCCTGATCACAGCAGCGAGAATGGTTGATATTAGGAGGATAGTACTAAAGTGATGCGTAATGTGATGAGTCAGATCAACACAGCAAGCAAGGAAGCGACATACTAGGAAACAGATGGGACACTCGATAGCACCCCTGTAGACCATTGCTTCAGGTATTCTGCTTGGCTCTTTGAGCGCAGCTGGTCTTCTTGCCGGGTGAATAGATGAATGTACTGAATTTGAACGCGAAGCACTGCTATGTAAACTTCCGCCGCCGTCCGATCGAGAGACGGATTCTGAGGTTGCCACATCTTCTGGCAGCGATTTGCGTGCCGCGAGGATCTGCTCGTCATCCCAGTTGTCATCGTATTCCTCGAGAGGGCGGTAGAAGGGAGCGAGGCGGCGGTCTATGATGAGTTGAGCAACGACCTGCTGATTCCAGTCTGGGTTGCCAGTGTAGACTCCTTGCGGGGTGAGGAAGCCATAGTCGACTGTGTCGTCCTGGTGAGCGCGGGAGGAGGAAGCGCTGTTGCCCATCACGGGCCGGGGCCCAGTAGATGCTGCAGATTAGGGTAGGAGAGAAAGAGTGGGTGTGAGAAGAGGACGCTGCCGGCAATGCTCGTCGTAGATTGCGTCGACTGGCCGTGCTGAAGCGCAGGCACTCAAGTCTAAGGCTAAGGTAAGCGCGCGTCACTGGTGTATTTCCTAATCGAGAATGGAAGAGATTACATGAGTCAACTGGGCTCTTCCAGTCTCAGAATGTCGTGATCAATATATTCATTCCCCCGCGTTTACTCTTGCCTGGTCACAACACAAGCAGGTACGTAACTGCAAGAATGCGCCTCTTCCTGTCCCTCGAATAATGTGCATCCTATTCACACCGCTGGGAAAACGCGCACCTGCTCGACGGCATGCTCTCACACTCAGCATGGTCACGTGTGGCAATTTTGGACACGTCAGTGCAAGGAGATTTTCAATTTAAGGACAAAGTAGTGCGCGTCTGGTATCCCATCCATCTAGTTCCCCATGGACGCTGCCTGGACACAGTCCCCCGAGGACGTCCTCCGCCACTTTCAGGTAGACCAGAATACAGGTCTTACGTCTGCTCATGTCGTCAAGAACCAAGGGGTCTATGGCAAGAATGGTACGTTATCTTACAACGGCAGCCGAATTCCCGCTAACTTCATATCTTCTGCACCGTAGAATTACCTGAAGACCCTCCTACACCATTATGGGAATTAATTCTAGAACAGTTCAAGGATCAGCTGGTTCTTATCCTCCTTGCCTCGGCACTCGTTTCATTCGTCCTTGCTCTGCTCGAGGAATCCAACGGAACCACGAGTCGTGCCACTGCGTTCGTCGAACCCCTCGTTATTCTCTTGATTCTTATTGCGAATGCAACCGTTGGAGTAATCCAAGAGACAAACGCAGAGAAGGCTATTGACGTCAGTGACTTAACGATTCTCCTTCACGTTCGTCCGAGTGCTTAACCGTATTTGCAGGCTCTCAAGGAGTATTCGCCGGACGAGGCTACCGTTATTCGAGACGGTCAAGTTTCGCGTGTACATGCAAGCGATCTTGTACCTGGGGATATCATCTCTGTAGCTGTTGGTGACAAAGTCCCGGCCGACTGCAGACTGTTGTCTATATCTTCAAGTAGCTTCCGTGTCGACCAGGCAATCCTCACAGGCGAAAGTATCAGCGTAAATAAATACGTCGATGCAATTCCGGATCTTCGTGCTGTCAAGCAGGATATGACGAACTTGCTCTTTTCCGTACGTTAACAGAACGTCTACTGACCATTTGGGAAACTCACAGCATTACAGGGAACTACCGTTGTAAACGGTGCAGCTCGTGCAATCGTCATTTTTACTGGTCAGAAGACCGCGATTGGCGACATTCATTTATCCATCACGTCGCAAATTAGTGAGAAGACACCGTTAAAGCGTAGGCTCGACGATTTCGGAGATATGCTTGCGAAGGTCATCACCGTTATTTGCATCCTCGTTTGGATTGTAAACATCCGCCATTTCGCAGATCCATCGCACCACGGTATTTTGAAGGGCGCTATATATTACTTCAAGATCGCGGTTGCTCTAGCTGTTGCAGCTATTCCGGAGGGACTGGCAGCAGTCATCACAGCTTGCTTGGCACTGGGTACGAAGAAAATGGCACAGAAGAACGCGATTGTCCGTAACTTGCCAAGCGTAGAGACCTTAGGGTGCACGAACGTTATCTGTTCAGACAAAACAGGAACTTTGACGACAAACCAGATGAGCGTATCAAAGGTAAATGTCTTTATATTCACATACTTTCATATGCTAACTCAGTTACTTTGTAGTTCACTCTTATAACACCCGAAGGTCGAGTCCGTGAATATACAGTTGAAGGAACGACTTTCGCGCCGGAAGGCCATATTACTACAGCGGATGGCAAAGACGCATCCACGGAACTTAGAACAGATCCTATTAAGCGTCTCGTTGAAATTGCAGCTTTGTGCAACGACGCAAAGGTTGTTTATGACGAAGTTAGTTAGCACGTCTATTTCAATAATCAAATCGATTGCTGATTACCTATTTGCTTCAGAGTAAGCACGCTTACAGTAGTATCGGCGAGCCAACAGAGGCGGCGTTACGAGTCCTAGCAGAGAAACTCGGCAAATTTGATGAAAGAAATGGCGCTCTCAAGGAACTTCCTCCCACTACCCGTGCCTCTGTTATCTGTACCGGGTTAGAAGCGAAATTCCCTCGTTTAATGACATTCGAGTTCTCCCGCGATCGCAAGATGATGTCGGTCCTTGTCAACCGTTCGGAGACGTTCTGCCTTTACGTTAAGGGTGCTCCCGAATCCGTACTGGATCGTTGCACCTCTATACTCGTTAACGGCCAGACGATACCGCTGAACTCAACCTTGCGTGAACGCATCTTACAACAGACGGCGGCATACGGTAGTCAAGGCTTACGCACTCTTGCTCTCGCATATACGGAGGAAGCCGACCACAATGTCTCCCACTACAAGTCCCAAAGTACTGCAGACTACGCTCGCTTCGAACAAGGTCTTACGTTCGTATCTCTCGTCGGCATGCTTGATCCTCCTCGTCCCGAGGTGAAGCTTGCAGTTGCTAACTGCAGAGCCGCTGGAATTCGTGTCATTTGTATTACGGGTGATAACAAGGGTACTGCAGAGACAATTTGTCGCGACATTGGCATATTCGGACCGGACGAGGACCTGACTGGGAAGAGTTACACTGGGAAGGAGCTTGATGCGCTGTCCCATGCTGAGAAAGTCGAAGCGGTCCAAAGGGCAAGCTTGTTCAGTCGGACGGAACCTGGACACAAGAGTCAACTTGTTGACCTGTTACAGGGTCTGGGTCTTGTCGTAGCTATGGTTAGTTCTCTTGTTATTCTATCCGTGTATGAAAAATACTGACAGGCTTATCAGACCGGTGATGGTGTCAATGACGCTCCGGCTCTTAAGAAAGCGGATATCGGTGTTGCAATGGGTAGTGGAACAGACGTCGCGAAACTCGCCGCCGACATGGTGCTTGCGGATTCTAACTTCGCAACCATTGAGAAGGCTGTAGAGGAAGGTCGCTTGATCTACAATAACACGAAGCAGTTTATTCGCTATTTAAGTGAGCCTCCATCCTTCTTATCACAGTGATTGATGTTGACCCAAGCGATCTAGTTTCCTCGAACATCGGTGAAGTCGTATCTATCTTCCTAACGGTCCTTCTGGGTATGCCAGAGGCCCTCATTCCGGTCCAGTTACTCTGGGTGAACCTCGTCACCGACAGTCTTCCCGCTACTGCACTTGGCTTCAATCCACCCGACCATTCGATAATGCGCCTGCCACCACGTAACAGTCAGGAGCCGCTCGTCGGTAAATGGTTGTTCTTCCGGTATCTTGTTATTGGTATCTACGTCGGTTGTGCAACTGTCTTTGGCTATGCGTGGTGGTTCATTTATTACTCTGGAGGCCCACAGATTACCTTCCACCAGTTGGTGCGTAAAAATCCATCACCTTTCTTACCTTTTCTCTGAAACCAAAACTAAAACTAAAATCCCCTCCTCGACGACACTTCAGACGAACTTCCACAAATGCGCGACAGCATTCCCAGAAATCGGCTGCGAGATGTTCACAAACGAGATGTCACATCGCGCAACGACGATGTCTCTCTCTATCCTCGTAACAATCGAGATGTTCAACGCTATGAACTCGTTATCTGAGAACGAGAGTCTTCTACGCCTGCCTGTGTGGCGTAATCCGTTCCTTGTTGCGGCGATTGCTTTGAGTATGGTGCTTCATGTTGCTATTCTTTATATCCCGTTCTTCACTGTGAGTTTTTTCGCGATTTCTTCTTTTGATTGGGCTCATTAGTTGGGAAACTAACGCGTAATTTCTTGAAATTTTTTGCAGTCGCTATTCGCTATCACTCCTTTGAACTGGACAGAATGGAAAGCCGTCCTCTACATTAGCTTCCCAGTCATCGTCATCGATGAAGTACTAAAGCTCTTCTCAGTAAGTCCAGTCCATCCTACCCTCAATGAATACAAACATTAACTAATGTAACCTAATCATCCTACCCTTCTAACTCTCTAGGCGACTTTCGTTGCGCCACCGACTAAAATCAAGACTGAATAAAATGCTCCGTATATATACATAGATAACATACATACAAACCCGCTTTTTTGTGTATCCCTAACTGATGCATTTTTTATGCCTTACTGTTTGCATTTGATTAATGCTAAATATATATCCCAGCTGCTGTTGTTTCACGGTTCTGGTTGAACTAGACAACGTGTATGGAAGGAGAGCGTTCATTGTTCATTAAAAGATGCAAAGGTGGTATATAAGGAGTTGGGTATGTATGAAGATATGAGTTAGGAAGAGAAAAATACAATGATTCGTAATTGTCGTATAATGCCGACGTATTGTCGTAAAGTCATGAAAACCATGTCAAGTCGTACCAAGACAGCCAACCTAGATGAGAACCAAGCCGCACAACAAAATACTAATAAACGTCTCCCAGCGCAGGCTCCGTATAGTGGCGCTACCGCCAGAATGGAAATACCCAGCACCGAGGTCTGCAGCAGGTTTAGGGACAGTCGCACGCGCCATGCTTGCCTTCGCTAGCGCACTTGTCCGGGTTGAATCAGCGAAAGTGATGTTGTTGCTTGATGCTGGCGATGCCGCGTTCATGACTGGGTTGAAGAGCACTGCTACTGGGTTTCGGGAATGGGTAGGCGTAGGTGCGGGTATATTCGTAGGGCTGGGGGAAGAAGTGGTGGTGCTCGTGGATGCACTCATTGGTGAGGTGTAGGCATTGTTGTTCGCGTTGTTGTCACCCTGCGCATGCGGTGCGGAATCGACCTGGGGCTGGGACTTTTCTTGCTCCTGCTGAGGTGGCTGCCATTGCCATTCCGGTTGCGGCTGAGGATCGGGTTGCGATACAGGAGCTGGAGCTGGAGCTGTACTATTTTTCAGAATATCCTATCATATTGTAATCCTCATATGCGTTCTCACCTTCATCCACAAACCACCAATCACCATAAATCTCTCCTACATCCAAACCAGCAAAGTGAATGAAGAGACCTTGTGTAAGGTCGAGTGCGCCGAATGGACATCCCGGGCACTACTCATTATTTCCGTTCCATTCCAGTAAAGAGAGATGGTATTCAAACAAGCGTTGAGTTTTGGAGATATTTTGCGAAAGGCAAGGATGAAATAAGGACGCACCATGTCTACGATTTGCGCCTCTGTAGTCTGGCCGCCGTACGAAAGCGTGACCATCTTCCAGCAATGTGCACCGTTATCCCATTGCTACGAGTAAATCAAAGGGACGCAGTCAGCTTTTATTGCAACCTCATGGTAGCAAGCAGTGCGAACCTGATCATTCAGCGCTACGATCTGCAGGTCAATTACACAAAAAATAAAATGTCAGTCGGTTCCATATACACCAGTCTGGATCAGAGAAGGAAGGAAGAAAGGGGGCGGGGATGGGCTGCATGAACGTACATAGTCACTCCCACTGTTCCATCCGCCACACGCTCCTTGTCCAGCCTCATAAAACGTGAATCGCGAATTCTGGCCATCTCTCTGCGAATGAGGCGATGATGAGTTAACCTTTGGCCCAGGTCCCTTCTTGATCCTCGGCGAGGGATCTGTGTCGCCTAAAGTTGCGGCTGACACTAGGGGCGAGAGAATGACAGAAAGTCCGCTTGCCAGGAGAATAGGCCGGAAAGGAATATGAGCGAGCATCGCTTTGCCTGTTTTCGAACGATGGTATTCGGTAATGATGGAGAGTGATGCAGTCAGCAATGCCTTAGACGAGTACTAACGTAGCCAAGTAGGAGAGAAGAAACGAGTGCAAGGTGCTTCGGAGGTAAAGACCAAAGATCCACAAAAACGAGCGACTGAAAAGGAGAGTAGTAATAAGCGAATGGGAGGAGTGATGGCAAGTCTTGTCCAATGGATGGCGGAGTAGTTATACTCAAAATTGAGGAGGCTGGCTGACAGAACTGTATCATTCCCAACTCACGCCGTCAGGCCAGTATTGGCGTTGTTGTCGTCGCGTTTCGAATCATTCATACAATCCACTCCTTTGAGGTCTGACTCTTGTCTGGTTGCTCCGGGATGCCCGAGAGGCCAACAGTTGCAGGACCAGCCGCACCATGGTGCAATGGGATGACATCATCCAAAGGAGAGAATTTTGTTGGAGTTTGAAGGACTACCGACTAGACTTAGCCAGAGACACAGCAAACTGAGATAAAGAAGCTGGTCTATCGGGGTCCAGACCATTCCAGTATCCTCAGATCCAGAATTCCAGACTACAGTCCAGACTGTAATGCTGTCCAGTATCAACACTGAACATGGGGGTAGAGATTGCTCTGAGCAAAAGCATCCAATCACTGTACAAGAGAACAAACCAAAGGAAACATAGTCAAAGTTCACAAGTCGGTTGTGTTGTGAGTTTGTCCTTTATTGATGCATTGTTTGCACTATTCCCGTGACCCACCACCAAAAATAGGTATGGAAATTCATAGTCATTAGTAATGATTCGTCAAATCGTGTAATACAAGACAAGTCTATACTACTAGTTCATATATTTCATCTCGTTGCCCAAGTATCAAACAACCTCTGCCAAAGAAGCACCAATGATTGGACAACCAACCCAAAAAGAAGCGAGAGAAACGATCGATGAAGACGCATAGACTAAAGTACAAGGTACAGACAGCAAGAACGAAAGGAACGAAAGAAACCAAGAACGTGGAGACCTATACGCCCCATGTCTTTGGCCCAAACGTCTGCCCATCTGGTACCGTCTTCAACGTGATATCGTTCCAATCTCCTGTGTTCTTGAACACAGTATTCCCCCACCATGTCTGGATTGTATGCACCCCAATCGTCCCATTCCTTGGAAATTGTAAGCAGAAGAAGACTAGGATCAGCCCAATTGCAACACCCGAGTCCATTGCCGCGGAAAGTACATAGTTGTACTTCGTCCACCAGCTAAAGTGTCTTCGACGGATAACGTATTGGAAGATGAACCCAACAATTGCCCACGGGACGTAGTTGATTGCTGTTGCAGGAGGAACTAAAAATCCAACGTATTGTAAGTGCTTTGTCTCGACTATGGCCTGAGCAGGTGGAAACGTACTCAAACCGGTACCCGTAAAGATGACTGGGAAGTTCACATATTTGATGAACGAATTCGGCCACTTCAACGAGATGGCGTACGCCACACAGGGACAAATAGCGCCGATAAGGAAGAAATACAGAAGCGGGTAATAAAGTTGGCCCTTCGAGAACTGTAGCTTGGGTCCAATAACACCCCAGATGAATGATGCTGTTCCGAATACCTCCGTCGACGGGCAGATGAAACCATCAGTCTGGTGGGACGAGCACATGTCACTGCAAAGACAAAGTCAGAATGAGTCCTTATACACGGCAGGAGGACAAAACGTTAACGTACGTGATGTTGCTGAACATCCAGGACTGCACACCCAGCTGCACAGTACCAGCAATAATAGTCGCAACAACTTGTCCCCAGAACATCGGACGAGGCGGGATCTTCATGTAATGGCCAAGCTTGAAGTCTGAAGTAAATACCAGGGCCTGATACATGGTAATGTATCCCCATGTCTTGAACAGCATCATTGCAATTGGATGGCCGGGAAGCGCATAGCCGATAATCAGCTCCGTAATGACATTCAGGCCGACCTGCTGGTTCGTAATTGCCTGGATCATACCAATAGGAATGATGTAGAAGAACGAGACGAGGAGTGCAAGTACGAAGGCCCAGACGGGGAACTGAGTCGGCCAGGCCTCGATGGATACGATACCGAAGACAAACATGATAAGAAAAAGTACTGCATACCACCAGTCTGGTACTTGCGGGTACACAGACATGAGCCGGGCGTGAATATCTGGTTGCTCATGCATTGAACGACGGGCCTGGGTCCAGATTTGCTTGCGGAAATACAAGAACGCGTGTGTCAGAGTCGCAGTGATAGATGCGAAACTCAGACCATACTAAACGAGTTCGAAACGAGCCAAATTAGCAACCAAACAGACAAGGCCAATCTATCCATTTAAAAGCGACTCACCGTAAGTGTAAATGTCGTAGAAAGGAACAGAGGCGAATACGCTGCGTACTTCTCCGCGTTGAACGTCGAGTCGTCATTCAGAATAGCCGAAATGTTGTATTCTTGGCCCGTATTATCAAACGAAGTACGGGATGAAATCGGCATGTACTGTGCAAACCAGGTGTTGCTATAGTACAGTGCTGGAGTAACAATCCAGAAGAAGAAAACGAAGCCTGCAGCAACATTTGCTTCTGCCCACCTATCAACATTTGGATACGACGAGGGTCAACGAGGCGCGAAACTAGCGTAAATAGGAACAGTGGGACTCACCATGGAGTAGCAAGCGGACTCCCGATATACGCAATCTGTGCCCAATCGAATGTCAAGAGAGACATTCCGAGACCCGAGTTAACACCGAACAACTGGTTGACCACGGCATTTTCAGGCAAAATCCAGCAGAGCCAAGAGAACGTGCTTAGAGCCTAGAAATGAATTGAGTGACGGACTGTAGAGTGCATTGGGTGCGTATATTACCTGGAAAATGTAACCAGGGAAGAAGTACCAGCAAGTTCCGGCAATGAGCGCATACGTGAAGAACCGTTCACGGGAGATACCGCCACGATGTCCGACACCAGCATATTGCTGCTGATGGAGCGTATTGAATAGCGCGCAGTTGACAAGGTCAGCAGGCCAAATCATCGACGGGGGCTGTACAAGGAATCGGCGGGCAATTCCACCAATGCTGAATCCGATCATCTGTGTCGACATCACAACGAGCCATTGGTAGCTAAAGTTATATGTCTGGTTGTAGTACACTCTTTGGACGGCTATGATGTCCGTCGCGTATGCGGAAGCAGCTCCGACAGTGGCCATGATCGTTGTGAGTACCTGTGTATATACGCAGTTAGACTTTGCTCCGCTCCGAGATCGACAGCGTGCCGATCAATTGATACCATGGACTCACATGTTCCTTAACAGTGTACGGGCCAGGATTGACTGCCAGACCAAAGATGGAGACATTTGGCATGAACTTCGCCCAAAGACGGCCGAAGGGGAACGACAACAGCTGCGCAACCAACTAAAGAAAATTCAGTTTCAGTATTTCCGATTCGTTCGGTTCTGGAAATATTAATATTTAAATGTGCGAACTCACATTTCCGATTGTTACTGAGGGATATCGGAAGAAGAAGAACTGGTTGAGCCCGGCCATGATAATAGCGAAGATAATGCCTATTGTCCAGGAACGCAGTGTTGATGAAGGCATACTGGGGTCATCAGTGTTGGCAACAGCCGAGCGGACCTCTGGGTAGGGCGAGTCATCCTCGAGCACGACGGCATCTCTGTCGAAGTTTGGATCGTCAAACTCCGGTTCGAGAGTTTGGGCAATGTGGTCGAGGGCCACCTCCTTCTCGATATCAGGGAACTTTTCCTCATCGGAGGAGTAGCGTGCGAGTGCAGGAGCTGACATTGCTAGTGACGCCGACACTGGGCCCGTCTGCTACACCTAAGGCTACGGCAGAGGGATGGGGGGACGTGATACGTCGACCTGGAGAAGCCATCTTGCTGGGAAAGAAGGACATCTTATATGTGGTCCATAGATAGCACAGGAAGGGGGCCGGAGAAGCACCAGGACAACATATGGATTGCAATGCATTCTGCATATGGTAGCATAGCGAGTGGAGCACATGGACCACCTCGAACCAATGATAAGAACATCCCGCTCTCGTTCATACACTGCATTCGTCTCGCCATCTCCCGCTCTGTTGCCTGCATGATCATCTCACGCCAGAAGGATGTGCCCTCGACAAGTATAACTGCTTCCGTTATTCATAACCAGCGCCAGACCGGGTGTACATCACCCGGAAGCCAAGTCTTGGACCGTCAGATTCTTCTCGTCTTGTACCACATGTGCATCTTCTAGAATCACTAGGATAAAGTCCACACGCCGATTCTGTTCCGCACCGTGACCCGCCACACGGATGACGAGCCTCTCCGCACTCGCCGTCCATTCAGCTCTTCAAACTCCCATCATTTATCCCTTTTTCGTGGCACCAGAAGAAAAGACAAACCTAGATCTCCATACAAAATGTCCGGTATTCAAATAGTTTGACCGGTGCTGGGAATCCCGACAACTCAGCATTTAGAAGTCCATGGAGATTGGAAGCACACGTTGCTTTTGCCGCGATTCTGGGCGTCACGGTCCATCATGGCGACCGACAGAACATGAACATGAACATGAACGCGGAAAGAGCGGCGACCTTCGTGGGGTATTTGTGTGATGGTTGTGGGAGTAATAGGATACGAGTAATAGGATACCAAAAGACTTTCTATAACAGTATTGATCGTCCGCAGCAACAAAGTCTATTTTTGCGCGATCGATTTCCTTTCCAAGACAAGACTTACTATCTTTGGGAACGCCAAGGTGTTTAATCGCTCGGTCCTGCACACGATTCTTTTCCTCCAACCTTGTGTCTGTTCGGTCTAGGAAGGACATTCTGATTCTGTGTCGACGCCGACGCAAGATTTATTCAATGGCGGGTCGAGTTTCTCTGGTTTGATAGGTCTTGGGCATCCCTCTCTTCAACCTGATCTCTATATATCTGGATCCGTCAATTCACCGACTTGCCACGATAAAGACCCTTTCAGCACCTGGCTGATAAGAGCTTCCCTCTCTAACTAAACCTTCCTTTCCCTGCACCGAAGCCGGCACTCTCGTGATATCTGTGCCGGGCCCTGTTATAATCTTCTCAACCATGCATCTCCTGTAATCGCTGTAGTCCGTACCCGATTGGTACGATCCTCCAGCTGATACTCCAGATCTCTGCCCCACTGAGTCCATACCTCTGCTCGATGCGACCGCGTGTGCTCAGGGCACAAATAGCGGCTCAAACCATACCCAGCCTGCTACGACCCTCATTATTTCTCAACGTCGTTAGACTAGTTGAATTGAAGTCGGTGCATGTGCAACTCTAGCGCATGGTATATTGTCTATCGGCAAATACATTGGCATTGGCATTGGCACCGGCAAGGCGCAAAACGTCTTAGAATATGCATACATTGCATGGTCCCACTCCGCCCATGAGATGCATATTGTCTGTCCCTGTGCATTTCGATTCGGTTCCCACTGAGTGTCAGCTTCTCCGGGACTATGGAAGCAACGGATCATGTGGACGGATCCTCTCGTGCTTGGAACGGGACATTAATATTGCGTTACACCATGAGCCCCAACGTACATAAATTAATTGCTCCATATTCATGTCACCACACTCTCTGCAATGGTAAATCTTGAGACTGTATATTGAATTCTCGGGAACTATTTGAATATAAATCTCAGAAAGATCAATACGGGCTCTATAGCACACAAAGTCAAACAATCCGGACTGAGAGGTTTGTACTGTGGGTTTCAAAACACCTCCATACGTATTGCAATTAATTTTGTCTGTGCCTTATCAGCTCCTTCTATGTGCCTAATATCATAACTATCAATCAAGCAGTTTTTCAGGAACTAATTCTCGCGGAGTATCAGTGAGCCCACTGATCCATTTTTTTCCTTCCCTCGGCATGTAGCCCACAGTTCCAATTAAACATGTAATATTTCGTTCGATTGCAACTTGAAATATATTGAAACGGAACTCAATTGTCATGAAAGCAGGTGGATGTTTCTTACTGACACTTGGACTCGTTCCACCGATTGCTATTATCCACATAGCTTCGGGTAAAATGGCTCAAAATTACCTGACCCTTACCACTTTGATCCGGACAAGAGAACAAGCGACCTATGGTCTCCTCTTAGGTCACTCACGGTCTATCCGAAATGTCAAGCCCAGCGCTTTATTGCGTTCCACAACAGATGAAAAAGGTGGCAACTTTGTCTGAAATGATGCTCCATGCGATAGAATTCTGATAATTGCTCTCATAACTGCACTTGCTATATGCGATCTTCATCGATGGATGTGCAATACCCAAGGTCCTCCACTAAACAGCGGACATGAATCTCTCATCGTGGAAGCTTGCGATTCTCAGGGTGCACCTAGCCTTCCGATGCTTCTCTGCTTGTTCTTTTCGTCTTCTCCTTCCTCCTTCTCCGATCACTCAGGCTTTTACTAAGTAGATGCTGAGGGGAGCACATGGCTCACCAGTGTCAAGTTCAACGTTACGATTTCCGACACAAGCACAAGCAGGATACATCTTCATGCATTTCAAAACCAATCGTGGGGCAAACTTTTCCTTGAATCGGATGGCAATTTCCAATGCTAGGGCCGTTAAGTATATACGCAGCATCGTCATACTCTCGTCTTCTTAAAATTTCCGTCTCCATACAGGATAAATATAGCAAGCAGCGCTGAGCCACATGGTAAGGAGTCTAAGGATTCTTTTGGCTGGTCAATTACTTCCGTGATGCAGGCGATGTGTTATACAAGAAACCTATAAATAAACGTTGAACGAAGAACGGTGAATAAATAAGTCAATGAATTTACTTCAGGGAACTCGATCCGAAGACGGAACGGAGACAGAAAAAGGGTGCCATGAATAACTTATTACCTCCTGTCAAGTTGGATCCTCCTTTGCAACAGCATCTCCTAGCCTTCTCATAGGGTTGATCATGGTCTTATGGGAGACGAAATCGGGAAGAGTAAGACGACCAATCTACTTTGTTCTGAAGAAGCTGTCATTAATAGATGAAGAATCAGGGTACTTCTCTAGGCACGAGGATTCCCAACATGCTGTCTTTAATACCGACCCAGCGCCATATTTCTTGCGCGAAGTAGATATGACACTGCAGCGTCTACATAGACGACCAAGAAGGTAGGTCGCGTCTAAAATGGAATGGAATACTGTACGCCTGTGATGCAACGTTGCTACCTTCAGATGCACGCCGTAAATAAGATCGGGACCCTATTGTCGCATAAAGCAAGCGTAAGCGCACTTTGCAGGCCAGAGATATATGGTTAGTCAATGCTCAATCCTCATATGTAACAACATCTGCGATCCGGAATGCTCGTGTTATAATAACCTTGTTTATTCGAAGAAATCTGGAAGCCGTGTACTGAGCGCTTGCGGCACAAATAGTAGCACAGACTCCTCCGAGAACCCCATATATCTCCCGAGTGGTCCAAAGATATAGCGGAGATAAGCAAGAAGATTATAATCATATGGTTTTCTTTCAACGCTTGCTTTTACTCTATGTATTTTGAAGGACCAGCAACATGGTTTCCAGGGCTCGTAATGACTACCTACACTCAAGAATACATAATTTCACGGAATGCCGCGAAGGACTATAGAGCCATCTATCCTTTGATGAATTCCTAAATTCTGTATCCGTCATGCCGTGGTTCTTTATATCGAACCCGACAAATTACAATTAGCTTAGATATCGGGCCAAGCAACGGACCGTCACGGCTCAGCAATTTAAGCGTCCATGCAAGACAAAGATAAGCACAACGAACGCAGAAATCGTCATCCCGCGCCAAGAATTGTGAAGTAGGTTGGCCACCATGCCTCTTCAAGGGACAGCATTGTTTGTACACATGATGAACCGAGCTCACGCCTCTTGGCTCGCGAAAACATCCCACGAACCGACAGCCCTTACGATTCCTCGGACTCGTGTGCGGATATTGACAGCAAACCTACCACACGCCCGCCATAATGGCGTAAACGAAGCCACATAATTTCCTTTCTTCCTTTAAGCTTTCCCAACGCGCCCAAGTCGGACAAAATCCAATTTCCATCACCACAAGGTCATTCTATGTTACGGGAGTTATAAACTTTTGGTACACTGCCCTGTAGTAACTGTGTATACAAGATGATAAAACACGACAACTTGAAGAAAACGATACTTAGTAGTAGCGCGAAGAGGACAGAGAGGAAGAAGAATGCGGAAGGACAATATTTAGGCATCCCCAGCGAGCTGACGCTTGAAGAGCAAAGTCCCATGCTGATCCTTAAGTCATATCAAATGAGTGGTGCAGAAAGGAAAGGCAAGGGTATTGCGAGAGGGTATCACATAATTCAACGAAGTAAAAGAGTAGAACAGCAAGGGTCCCAGTGCAAGACGAATTTTTGAGGGGGCGCGTGGAAGTGCTTTGATCGATCTTGTCATAAATGTCATGAAGCAGAAAGAGGGGAAAAAAATTCATAGGAAAGAAAAAGACATTTTATTGCTGTTCCATAATACCTGTGTACACGCCCTATCCTTTTCAAGCCTGGTATGCACCAATATTCGGTGAGCCTTGTTGTTGATACATTTGATACATGTAGGCCTGATAAACTTGTGGTGGTACTTGTTGCTGAGGAACGCCGTACGGAGCTGGCACACCCATCATGCCTCCCGGTTGGCCAAGATTTGGAGTTTGTGTAGCGTACTGCATTGGCATTGGCGCCGGCGACATCGAAGGTTGGGGTGCCTGCATAACTGGGGCATTCCCATTGCGACGTACGCCTTGACGAGCAGCATTTTGATCTATGGCAGGAGAAGTGGGTGCGAAAGGATTAAAAGAATCACCACCTGCTGGAGAGAAAGTTCCCGGAGAAGCGTTTGCCGTCCGAGGTCCTCGCCCATTAGTAGCTAGACCGGGACCTTGAGTCGGGCTCTGCCCGTACGTCGGATCGATCTGAAGTTGGGGCTGAGATGCTCCATGCTGAGGTGTCATGTGGGACTGACCGCCCATCTGTAGAGCAGCCATCATGGACGCGAGATTCTGATCATTGGTTGGACTGCCGTAGTAGCTGCCCTGGGACGATGATTTCTTCACGCCTGGGGCCTGATTCATCCCTGCCGCATAATTAGCTGCAAAGTTGGAGACAGGCAGCCCAACTTCTTCAATAAGCCGGCGATACGCCTGAGTCGCGATGACCTTGAGTTCGATCAGGACACGCTTCGTCGCGTCAAGATATGCCGGTCGCTTTGCTGGGTCGATGAACGGACTGGTGAGGATCTTGTGCACAACAGCAACGCCATTGACTTGATCCCCGAGAACATCGGTGAGGACGTGGTCGCCGGGTGAGAAGAAAAGCGAATCGACAATCTGAATTGAGGCATCCTGTTCAACCTTCTGGTTGACGATGCGAAGAACCGTTAGCGACGCCAACTTGTGCGTGCACAAGTGCGAGAGATGCGGGGTAAACCGAGGTGCAAGCAACCTGTAACGTGACGGGAATCCAGATGTATCCAGAAGCCAAGTGAGAAGAAGAGCTCCATTCGGGTTTGTCGCAAGTGGGATCGAATTGAGTATTATGGCTGTTGCGACACGACGTTGCTGACTAACGGTCACTAGATTGCTCTCCAAACACGCGCGCATGCTACGAGCACCGAAGCGACCTTGAGCGACCTCCCAAAGTCGGTCAATCATAGCATCAAAGATGAAGTCATTTCCTGGAGAACCAAAGCGAAGACAACATCTATGAAGTGACAGCAAATAAATCATATGACGCAACAGCATAAGTTATAATACCCACTGAACGACATAGTTCCCGAACTGATCGAGAAGCAAGGGCGGCGCAAACGGCCGTAAATTTTGTGCAACAAGAGACATCTCTTCAGGCGTCTGAACGCATTCTATAATCTTCTGGGCGGCCCATGTTCCATTTTTGTGAATCCCGATCATTGCGAGATGCGGTGCTAACCGCTCTAGCATAGCGAACTTAGGTACCGAAGAGCACTTTTCGAATAATTTTTGTACAACCTTCGAGGACAAACTATTTAGGACCATACACATAAGATAAGATTCGTTTGTCAACTTACGACATTGCCAAGCCAATCGGTGGCAAGGTCGACGATTTCGTCCAAGAAATCGGCAGCTACTTGATCAATCTCCTCAACGGGCAGGGTTCCAGAATCCAATCGTTTACGCAGCTCTCGAAGCTTCGAAGCGTCCCAGCGTCTGTTATTTGGACGCTCAGAAACGAGTGGAATGGTCGTGTAATACATGGTCGGAGGGCGGAAATCTTAAAAAGATATTCACTTGCTAGTTTCCAAGACGTCACAGACATTGACTTACCAGCTAGTGCCAAGATATCAGCCTCAGCATCAGGGCTACCTTCACTCAACAACTTCATGACCATCTGTTGTTCGGTTACTGAAGGCACCCATCCAGCTGGCTTCGCTGCACCGTCACTAGATGGAATGCTTGTGTGCATGCCAGAACCAACCATGCTGAGTAGAAGGTTAGAACGATAGTTCTCAACTGCTCCACCGATAACCTGCTGATCGGCAGGGATCGTTGAAGCGCCTTTGATGCTACGGAGTGCATGAATAGTAGCGCCTACACTCAAATCGCCCACACCCTGAACACTGGTATTCGCGGGTGCGGCGGATGTTTCGCCGTCATTAGCGCCCTCGCTGCCATTCTTGACTGGTACCTTAGCAAACCCGATGCGGATAGCACCCACATCACTTCCGAGGACGTCACGCCCATTGAGAGCTTTGCGGGCACGGACTGCATCATCCAAGCGCTCAAAGTTTACTGAGGAAAAACTCTTAATTAAATGCCTCTAGGGTCTTTTAATATTACTCACTGAAGCCGCAGTTCTTATGCGTCAAAACCCTCGCAGACTCGATTGGTCCGTAAGGACTAAAGACACTCAAGATGGTCGCAGGTGTTGTCGTGGAAGGAATAGAACCAATCCACAGCGCACGAGTTGGTGTCGACTGGAGCTGAGACTCAATCCCAGCCATATTATTCGCGCCATTTCCACTCGAACTCTTCGTTGGGCCAGTAGGAGCAGCGGTTGTACCTGGACCAGAGGCGCCCTTAGCAGGGGCGACAGGGGCGCTCTCAGCTTTGCCAAATCCGATGCGTACAGCCGCTCCATTCGGCATGCCAATCTGGCCACCAAGACGGTTCAGGACATCATCTTTGGCCCGTATGGCATCTTCTTGATCGACAAAGTTTACGAATCCGCACTCCTACTCTGCGTCAATCATTTCCCTAAGAAGCAAAGATGGTGAACAATACCTTTTCGGGCAGCAGCCTCAAGCTCTCAATCGCGCCGTAAGGGGCAAAAACATGGATAAGTTGCTCGCTTGTGACGGAACTATCGAGATTGCCGATCCACAACGAACGCGTTGGAGTTTGCGTCTGCTGTGTTTGGGCATTTTCCGTTTTCGGAGAGAGAGACCGCCCTTGCAGTGGAGGCGCAGCAAGATAGGTATTCACACGTCCAGCCGGCGTGTCAACACCCGCAGCATACCTATTGGCCGATGTCGCATTCGGACTGACTTTACTCATTGTCGAGCTACCGGCGGCCAGTGCGAGGCTGCCAGCAAGCGAGTTCTGGTCACCCAGAAGACCACTGGAATAAAGGCTTTGCTGAGAATCCGATGTTGGCAAACCGCGTTGAAGTGAACGGGACGGATCCTCAAGCACTCCTACGGAAATAGCACGAGGGCGGGCACTGGCACTCGTTATTCCGAGGTGCTGACCTTGCTTAAATCCCTTCGCAACATATTGAGACGAATAGTAATCCGAAGACATTCCATTGTCATAATTATCCACCGGCTGTTGGCCGTATCCACTATTGTAGGCCTCCATGAGCACTGCTTCTTCGTCATCAGCACTTGGTGTAGCTAAAAGCGAGGAGCTTGCTGCAGCAGGCCTCAAACGATATGGACCCGAAACAGTACTCGCTCGATGCCGAGGAGGATTTGCAAGATTACCAGCAATAGCAGCTTGTGCCTGCGTACGAAGTTCGGTAAGCGTTGCTGCCGGTGGAGGACGTAGATTATCATCCAGGCCAAGATAGTCCAGAGTGTGAACATCAAAATCATCCGCAGAGTCCATAGACGTCACCGATCGTAACTCGTCCAAGCCAGGTAAATTAGATCCATTGCGATTATTTGACAGCCAAGACGTGGAAAAGATGGAACTTCCTCCAAACACGTTAGACAGGCCTGTTGCACCGGGTAGGTTCAGAGACCCGGATCTCAAGCGGCTGTTACGTTCTGTGATAGCAGACGTTACAGCTGAGGATGCAATCGATGCAGAATGACGTAGAGCAGGCCTTGCGGATGCCATGCTCGAAGCACTTGCTGTCGCCGGCTGCTGGCCATAGGTGTCCAAGAAAGAATCTGTGGAGCTTGGAAGGTTCTGAAGTGTCTCAGAGGCAGCTGCAAATCGTTGAGCAGCAAGCTGGACATTGGAGGGTAGGGTACCAGCCCTTGCTCTCCTGTGACCCTGAGGGTAATTGGTCGGTGGCAGCGGAGAAGACTCTGTCGCGGCATTTGCGGAAGGCGGCAGATCATTGGACGGCGAACCGGTGGAAGCCATCGCCCTTAACTGAGGTGGCCTATACCTTGCAGCAGTAGCTTCTGCTTGAAGCTCCCTCGCTCTGAAGCATGCAACAAATAAGCCTCGTCTACGTGAGATCTTACGGAAAGTGAGAGGTCGGCGCACCTTTTAGCATATGCAGCAGACGGTGCCGGTGGAGGAGTCTTTCCTGACGATGTCCTCGGGTAGGCCGGATTTTCCTGTGCAGACAACGACATCTTGGCAGGCCAAAGCTAGAAAATTAGATATTATGACTGAGTTGAGTGATTTTCGAGGAGACAGCCAAAATCGTGGTGATGGACGGTGAGTGTTTTGCGCAAGACGTGGAGAAGAGAGAAGGGCAATGACGGGCACGACTATAAGAGCTGGATTACAAAGAAGACGTAGACGATGTCGTCGCAATAAATCCGATTTTATGTAGAGATGTGCCCCGGGCAGACGAATAGTTAGGAGAACTAAAAGGTATTGGGCCAGGTAGCAAACGCCAGACAAGGCCAGATCGAAAATCTACTCTGGTCACTGTGACAAGGTGGGAAGTTCACACAAACACCCATCAACATCGGCATTATGAAAAATATTCCTTGTTCATAAAATTTCCCCAATTGTGCAGAAACAAATCGGGTCCTTTGTTACTTTCGTCTTGCGTAACAAACATGCTGTATATATCTCAAAAATTTCGTCTGGTAAAATATCCTGCACTCATGTAACAAAGAGGCTACTTGGCACCTCAGCTTCAACCCTGGATGCATCACGGCCATCGCATTGGCGACCATCCATGTTCTGATCTCCCATGTCACGACTGCATTTGCTCGCTTTAGATACTTGCACTAGCGAGGACAATTATCCCCACCAAGGGATATCCCTATTTGATTACAAGGAGTACTGTCAGCCACACAGATTTTTATATTTCAACTGAGACTGGCTTACTTCTGGTAAGTCATTTATAATACATTCTAACGTCTCTCACATTTTCCGATTCTCTAATTCAACCATGTCAGACAGTCCATCGCCCCCTCGAGTGCATCGCCGCTCTTCTGCAAATCGTTTTGTGGGTGAGCATGCTAATTCGAATGGTCTCTATTTGCGCCGCTCGCGCAGTGGAAATGCCAACAACTCCGATCCTTTCGCTGTTGCCACTGGTATTAATAACTCTGTGTCCCGTACCACGTCTGCACAACGTGCCACCCTCGCAGTTCCACCTGGAGGGGTTCATCATCCTGAAGAAGACATAACTGCCTATCGTTCGTCGAGCGAGTACAGCCAACCAAGTATTCACGAGGACAGAAACCGTTTTAGCGCTGCTCGTCCTGAGAGGATGAGCGATGCCACACTTAGAGGTGGCGCGCCCGCGACGGAGGGCAGCAGAAGCAGCATCGCGAGTAAGAAGCACTATTCTTCGGGAGATTTTTCATCTCAACGCGGTTCTTCGATTGCGGGAGTGCCATCGCTTGCTTATGAAACGAATACTGGAGTGAAACAGCCTGGCGCTCATGAATCCTATGAACAAAGAAATGGTAACAACGGGGAGGGTTTCCTTGGTCATATCAAGCGGTCTGCTGCACAGCTTGCGAATGACACGCACAAGCCCGCAGCAAATAAGCTCACCTCTACTCGTAGTTTTAGCACCGCGAGTTCTTGGTCCGATGACTCATACCCTGATAAAGATGATAAGCTCGACAATTTTAACCGAAGTCAGGCTATCAATGATAAAGTTGAAGACACATATCTCATCGATGAGGCCCCTCAAAGGCCCCGACACCCACAAGAGGTTGCAGGCTTAGGCAACAACCGCTCTGCGTGGACTCAAGGAGATTTAAGAGATGATGCGCATAAATCGTATCGGGATCGTAGGAGAAAAGGAAAGCACGTCATCAAGTATCATGTAGAGTGTTAGTGGCTCACTGCGCAAAGTTGAATGTCCTCCGCTGATTTACACCGTTTAGCCCCAGAAGATTATCAAAAATTTATCTTGATATTTGCCAAGGCATTAATTGCGTTTGGCTCTCCCTCTCACCGCATTGAGGCGCAACTGAATTCTCTCGCTAAAGTGTTTGAGCTGGAGGCACAGTTCCAACATACTCCTGGAATAATCCAAGTCTCTTTCGGCAATCCAGAGCAAAAGTCATCCGAAACATGCTTAATAAAGTCAGGTGTCAGCTTGGCCCTTGGACATATCCACAGCACACACAGTGTTTATCGCTCAGTACTACACGATGATATGTACGCTTCCGACGGAGTATATCAGCTTCGGAAGTTGTTGAATTCCCCTCCCCAATATGGGCCGAAGACCCGCTATGTCTTGTCATTCATTACCTGCCTTCTTATCTGCGGTGTTGCCTTCGGTGGCAGTCTCAACGACATGTGGGTAGCCGGTGTCATGGGAGTACTTGTCCGTGTAATGCAAAACATCGCGTCTAAATCGGATTTGTCGGCGAGTGGATCGGAGGTCTTTGCAGCTGCGCTAGTTTCTTTCATTGCGCGAGGATTTGCTAGCTTTCATACTCAAATATGGTGTTTCTCTGCGATTTCTTCTGCCGGAGTAGTTTCTCTCCTTCCGGGATATCTGATTCGTACGTCGCAACAACTTATACTGTAATTCCTATTTTGACTTCACATCTAGTCTCGGGTTCCTTAGACATCGCGGGCAAAAGCCAACTACTAGGAGGACCGAAGATCGTTTCGGGTATAATGACGTCTCTATATCTGGTAGTGTACTTTCGGACACATCTGCCGTACGAATTTTACTAACATGCACGCAGGGATTCGGTTTGACTCTGGGTTCGGACGTGTTTCTCTTCGTCGATCGTCCTGCTCGTCGCGCTGCCCATGCAGCAGCTGCCAGACTCGCCAGCAGCACAATGATCCAAGGTTACTATCAAGCATACAACAGCACTGGTTCTGGGTTCGGCAACTCGGGCAATGCAACGTTCACAGGTTACTTCACATTTACGAACAGCTCTGCCCCTGGCCCTCCTAATATCGTACAGGGCTGCTTCCGCGACAAGAACTGGGGTTGGTACTTGCAACCTGTACCATACTGGTCACTATTCTTCCTTATCCCACTTTTCGCCTTTTGTTCTTCGATGAACAACCAGCAACATTGGTATAGCCGACAGATGGTGGTTATGGTCAGTATTGCTTGTGTTTCGTTCTGGATCACGAGGTTGTGCAACATCACGCTTGGTTTGAGTAATCATCCGGACTATGTTAGTTTGATTGGATCATGGCTCGTCGGTATTCTGGGCAATGGCTATTCGCGCAGGTTTGGAGGTACGGCGTTCACGGCTATGCTCACTGGTATCCTGCTTCTTGTCCCCGTAAGCGTTGAACATATTTGGATGCTCTAAAATTGCTTATCATGATTATCCCTTGAATATCTTAGGACGGCCTATCCGCTGCAGGTGGCCTTGCCGGGCAAAACCAGGGGACTGGTCAGGATGAATACACGCAGAGTTTGACACTCGCTAGAAAGAGTGCGTAGCTCTTCATCCTCTATCTCAAGTTATTCTTGATTTGCTTACGATGTGAATTAGTGATAAGCGTCATTATTGGTATTCTTGCTGGTGTCTATTCGAGTGCAGCTATTATATACCTTTTCGGAAAGAAGAAGAATGCTGCGCTCGTCACTTTTTAGCCTTGTCTTCCATTGCATTCCATGGTGCCCTTAACCTTCCCTTGTCATTTCTACTTCTAGTGTCTCCAGATAAAGTATGCCTTGGTCTCTTAGTCTTCACCAAATTATTCATTGATGAAGTAGATGCAAGTATTTTTTATTAATACCATTCACATCCGTGTAGAAGTCACGCTCGTCTGTAACTTTCCCATGTGCTAGAAATGAATACGAAATATGATGTGAACAAGCACTTCAGAAAATAAAATCATAACTTGCATGGCGGGCGTGCTTGCCTGTCCAGTTTAATCTTCAAACTCAAAATGATTATTATTCAGTGTGAAGCAATGCAGTTCTTATCACGATTTTGAAGTGTGTTCCTCTGTTATGGCATTTAGAGGAGGACAGCGCTTAACACGCGAGGAGCTAAGTTACTTGCGATACCCAAGTCAAGCCATGAAAGAACTCGGGCAAAAAGACAAAAAAATATGTGGTCAATAAACGAGTAGAAAAAGACAAATATGAAAACAGTTTCAAGGATACATCTCTACGTTTCTTTGAGTAGTAGACAAATGACAAATGACAAACGAGAAAAGGGACAAAGTTGTTGAATAAATTTATACAGCTACGATGTAATTATTTGTTGTACTTCTCTTTCGGGGGTTGGGCGTTCTGTGAATTTAAGTGAGGAAGTTTAAGAAGGAAGGTTCGTCGAAAAAACGGAAATCAAAGATGTCGGTTGATGTCTACGGGTACTTGGTAGTTGGTAGGGTAACGAGGAGTATGAAAATGGATGCTATAGGGGCATAGAACATAGGGCATGGAGGTTAAGGTCATATGGATGTAAAAAATACAACTGGATAACTGGGGAAATTGACTTCAACTATCGCGTCGATGAACAATCAATCATGTCGCGGTTCGCCGCCTAAGCCGCTCGCGATTGCGCTGCGTTGCCACCGCATTCGCGACGCGCTTCGAACGGCGTAATGGACCTTTACCAGCATTGCTGCTATCCTTACTGCTAGATTTCGAGGCGGTGTTTCTTTCCCGTCTCGGCGTTGGAAGATCGTCTTCAGATTCGGAGTCTGTATCGCTTTCCTCAACTGCGTTATCAGGTGGTGAAGGAACTTCCGTGGTCTGCTTTCGCGCCTGCTCCAACTCCGTCGTAAGACGCTTGCTTTGCCGCCTTTCACGTAACCGCATAGCTGGACGCCTTGCTGCCGCCAGAACGTCTACGAAGTTTGCATCCGATGAACGAGAAGCAATTGCCTCGGGTGCATCCGAATCGTCGGTTTGTTTCACGTCAGGCTCGTCCTCCCACGACATATCGGGGAATGTACATAGACTTTGGAAAACTGCCTCCTCCTGCGGACTTAACGGTGGCTCCGGTGCGCTTAGAGCACCCTCAATAGAAGGGGCAGCGCGTGCAGAATGCTTAATAGCTAGCATTTCCAGCGACCGCGCTGGCTCGAGAAGATGTTCCTCAACGTCCTCTTCAGTGCACATTCCGCGTTCCCATAGCGGGGGTCGTTCGGACAACGGAATATTAGGAATATCCTCTGATCGAACGGCTATGGCCTGCCTTGACGGTACTGTCGATCCAACCTGCCTTCCCGGAATCGTCCAAGGAGAAGAGCGCCCGATATCGCTGTTATTCGTTTGCAAGATCAATGGAGGATCATCGCTTCGCAAGACGGAGGGGCTTTCCGGCCCGGCAAACGAGGGTGGAGAGGCCGGTCCGACACTATCTATCTCTGTATCTGGAGAACAGACGGACCAAGCATGGACGGAACCGGCGAGTGATGGAGGCGGGCTTAACGACTCAAGCGTAAGGGCTGGTGAGTTCGGAATTTGAGAGGTGGGAACAGAAACGGAGTGTTCTGGTGATTGACGAGTACCAGCATTATGACCATAGCTATCAGCTTGTTCATGATGTGCATGACGATTTGTTCCCGATGAGCCATCACAATCATGTCTAGAAAACTCTTCGTCCCAGCCACCGTCCTCCAGGTCCTGTAGATCCACAGTGTCAGGACCCAGTAATTCGACGTTCCTCCAGAGCACATCGTCCCCTACTATTACCCGCGAGGTCGCATCACAATCGGGTCCGAATACATCGTCGTGGGTAAGATCTACAGGTTGACCCCAGGAGAAGCCTTCATTTAGATATGCGAAGTCATCTTCCTCTTGCTTGATAATCCGATCAAGTTCGAACGATGGAGCCTCCAGTGTCGGGCTTTCTCCGGCTGCCAAAGTCAATGAGCTAATGTCTAGCTCAACGTCCTCAAGCTTGATTTGCTTAACAGTCTGTGTCGAGGAGCGTTTAGAGGGTCCCGTCCCAATCTCGTCGTCAATATCAGGTTCAGTTTTGACACGCGCTAAGTCAATTGACGAAGTCGAGGGTGCCGCTTCCGGCCAAACATAACGGAAGTCGTCCTCCTCTCGTTTAAACCGAATCTCCGGTGACATCGAAAAGGAAGCGTCATCGTCGCCGTCATCATCAAACCCAAACTCATCATCAGAGTCTGGAGGTGGGGATGCAACACTATAAGACACGCTGGGAGCACGTTCACGTTGGGTCGAGCTGCCTTGACCGGATGAACTCTGTCTGGGCGGGGAATCCACGCATGCAAGCTCCAGTTTAGGCTTGGTAATCGCAGGCCATTCAGAGTATGAGGAAGCGTATGTTGGAGAGGTATAAATGGACGGGTATGTCTCCTCACACGGAGTATACGGAGGGATGGAGATGCGTCGTTGGATAGGGAAAGGTGGAAACGTCCACGTAGGCTCAGATTTGCGGGCCGAAGGGCCAGACGTTCCGGAAGCCGGTGCTACGAGTGCGTCAACTTGCATCGGTTCGTCTTGCGCATCGGAGTCCGAGTCCGAGTCTGAAGAATCTTGGGTATCATCTTCCTCAACCTCAGTCTTTTCCCGCATAGTCGTCAGACATGGGCGAAGGCGCAGTGTAAGCTTGATTTTCTGTGGCCTCTTTTCTTCTTCCGACGATCCCTCCTCATCGTCGCGTCGAGCCGCGGGTCCACTTCCCGCTCGCCTTCTCAAATTTCGCTCGCGCTTTCGTTTGATGCCTTTGGACAGATCTCCATCGATTCTCCTGCCTTCAACGCTACTGATCGCAGAAGCCTCGGCATAGTCACGTAATGCGATGCCTACTCGAGCAAATGGACAAGGGGCGCCCGCAGCGCGACTTAGATACCAAACTGTTGTTCCGCGACGGAAACACGTGATCCGCTCCTTAAGGTTGCCATTTTCGTCACGAGCGGTTTTGTCCTTGTTTGTCACATTTCCTCCTGTCCGTGAATATAGAGCAGGCGCAAGTGCGTCGTCCCGCTGAGTACCGGAAAGCACGTGACGAAGCAGAAGAGGGAAGTCCTGCTCTTCTTCACATCGATTGAGGTGAGATCGAATAAAGAAGGTGATGGCCTGCGAAGCGGCGGACACACTACGTGATAACGACGTCAACGTAAGAAGCGAATGAAGGACAATATACACGCATATACGCACTTTTGACAGACCATGCCATGTCGCATTGACAGTTCAGCGAGGTCCTTGATGGTCATAGCGCAGTTATTCTGCAAGGAGGACAGATGTGGATTAGCATACGAACGCAATCGCGAAGGTCCGGAATTAGAATGAGTAAAGAAAGACGCATAATGAATCATTCGTAGGGCCGAGCCCCATTCTTCCACGTGCGAAACTCATGTTGAGTTCAGCCCCTTTCTGTACAAAGGTTGCAGATATAGAAAGAACGGCGCTGCGCACCGGAATGGGGGGGGGGGGCCACCAAGGTAACAAAGGGTAGAATGAATGCAAAATAAAGGAAAATACTACTCACCACCGACATTAACGCCCGTCCAATAGCAAGGAAAACTTTATTGTTCACGTCATCCGGATGGAGTACAACATGCTTTGGTGGAAAGTCAATTATTGCCTGCGGCTGCGTGTCTCCCGCACTGGTCCTCCATGCGTCCGCCTTCCAAGCCTTCTCAGCAGCCGCACTTTGAGAGTTTACGACTGGTGAAGCCGTATTCACATTCATATTAGCGCTCGTGCATGCTAATGGGCGTATCCGTCTAACAGACTGCATAGGAGTGGGTGGCGGCGCAGAATGTTCAGCGGCATCGCGACGGCGTTGAGAGGGACGATTTACCGAACCCGAAGCTAGACGCGTTCGTGCACCCTGAACGGCACTGGTGAGCGGGGGTGAAGGCGAAAGGTCCGAGAGCGGTGAGAGAGGCTCAGGAACGGGAGTAGAGTTGGGCGGAGATTCGGTGACGGGAAGTGGCTCGAACGAGAAGCGAGCGTGTCCAGCGTGCATTAAAAATTACTAGAAGAATTCGATTATTAAGTGATATTCGGATTCGTCGTTGGTGCGTTCGTCGTCGATGTCGTCGTCGTCGGCCAGCGAGCGCAGAGGCAGGAGGATAAGCAGAGAGTGTGGGACGGAAGAGTCGCAAGGGGGAATCGAAGTGGGAGAGGGAGTGAGAGAAATCGAAAGGAACGAGAACAGAAAGAGACCGTGATATCTACCGCGCAAGGATGGAGATCAGGCTTCCGATCTAGTAAGACCCCTATCACCAGTCCTATTATTACCTGCTGATGTCAGTTGCATAATTTCCGAGTCCTAAATTTTCATTCTCCTTTTAGGGACATCCCTGAATCCCTGCTCAGTTGTCCAGACCTATTTCCCCCAGGATTAAACTCCCATGGCAAGTTCTTCTCTCCTAATCCAATGCTAAGCTAATCCTTTTCACCCTGCTCCATACTTAGATTGGCTGTCCTGGCATTCCAAATCACTGCAGTCAACGGTTCTCACGCCCTATATTTGATACGTATGGCTGTGCACGCGCTTTCGTTCTGTCGCTTCATTTTCTCCAGAGCCACCATAACATTAGCCGAGTCACCACTACCCTTGTGCCCCTTTCGGACATGCAATGGACCCCCGATCACCTCAAAGGGGAGCGATCGGCATGCTTCTTATCGAACTTTCCGGCGTCATCATGCCGTCAACCGATTGAGCCGATGGTGGTCCTTCCGTTTCATTTCCTTCCATACTTCATTTTCATGTCCTCCCCACAATGCCTCTTCCCAAACAAAGAAGGTGTATCGCACCGACAGGAAAATTCAAAATCGCATGTAAGTCAGAACAAATTACAATACACGATTGTAGCACAACAAAATACACGCTATACTCCGAAAAGACAGTATAAATGATCGTTCTCGTTTAGAGTGGAGAATGTGGGGCAACGGAAGAATCGAGTCAGAAACGCGAGCAGGCAGGAAAAGTTATCAAGCGCGTAGCGCGCTAATCACCATCACGATGCGGAAATGGCAATAGAAACGCTTCATGCGAACAACAAAGAAGCGGGAGTAATATACCCGAAGCCTGGATTCAATTAGTGCTGGCAGCTGACAAGCAGAACACTCAGCCCAGTCTCCTTTATCCAGCCAAGCTTCGCCCGTCGACCGCTCCTACCGCGTAAATCACGCACCAGTGCACCACGGCTCGGACGCATGGCATTTCGTAACGCGTCAAGGCCCTGCTCACGAAGGGATAGATAGTCCTTCACATTCAAGAATGCGTGTGACTTGAGCAACGCCTTTGCTGCGGTAAGACTCCCAGGCAAAGTGCGTTCGGGGCCTGTGGCAGATACAAGCCCGAGCTCTACGATAAGCGCCTGCAAGAATGTAAGGCGTGATGCGCGAGATGTGTAATAGTCAGGATTTTCGATGAATGCATTCATGAACTTTACTGCCTCGTCATACGCTACGTCCAACAAATGGCCCGTCTCGGATTGACGGACGGACACGGTCAATGGTGGAAGGAATGCATCTCCGTACTCCGATACATCGTCAACAATGGACCGCGTCCCAAGTCCACGAGGCGTAGAGGGTGCGGTAGAGGGTGCAGTGGGGAGTGTGTAATGTGCAGGTGCATCTTTCTTTGTGTAATTCCTGCCCTTCCCTTGTTTTGATTTCTTCCTGCCCGGAGACCTAGTCTTTGAAGGCGTAGAAATTTCAGTCGGAGATATTTTGTTACTTGTGGGCGATGCCGCAGGAGATGGATACGAATGAGCGGCAGTGATTGTATCAAGGGGCTTGGGGGTTGTAGCAGACGCGGATTTATTTGCTTGTCGCGGAAGGTCCTTCTGTTTCCTCGGAGATCTCTGCTTTCGCGGGGTCAAACTTTGTTTCTGAGGAGGCTGAGCACTCGATGGCGTCGAACGAGGACGAACAGGAGGTTCTGTTAAAACAGTGCGTTTAAGCTGCTTCTCCAAATCATCTACATCGTCAGCCCAGGACCCTTCTACACGTTGCTGCGCTGTATTAGGTTCAACGAGCTGGGGTGCTGGTATCGCTGACTCGCTCCTCGTTGAGCGGTGTCCTCGCTTGCGCGAGCGCTGGGTACTCGGTGGCGGAGTCCAAACCTTCGAACCACAATCGCCACGTTCGAGAACAAAATCGTCCAAGAAATGGTCGCCTAAGCGCTGTCCAACAACGTCCCGCGTATCATGCTTATTAATACTATTATCGTTAAGCTTCTCATTAATGTCGTTACGGAAAGATACTGCAGGAGGGGTCATGCTAGGATCTGGTATCCTATCATGTCGCCCCTCAGCTGCAGGGCTAGTGGAAGACGGGCTGGATTGTGACGACATCGGCCAGACGATTTCATCATCGTCATCTGACGAAACATGCGAGTTCCGAATGGGCGCAGCAAAAGTATCACCACGAGGTGTTATTGGTGAGAGAGTGGCTGTGTCGGAGGGTTGGATAATAGAGCTGAGCGTGGTAGTCGACATTGTGTAGATATGGGCACGTGTGAGAAACGAAAGGGTCAGGTAGCGTGCGGCCGTTAAAAAGGAGAGAAACAGGTCGACCGTGCAATTACGCTTGAATCGGAGTAATAAGTATCGCAGTAAAGTGAGTCAATTTGACTAGTAGTAGCTAGTAAATGAATGTTAGGCGTTGGCACCAACAGGAAGGACAGAGTAAACCGTACATATACGGTCCCAGGGCGATCAGTACGTCGAAAGCCTAGTCAAGCAGCAAGAGGTTCTGAAAGGTTACGCGACAGACGCAAGAAACCGTCGAGAAAGAGAGTCCTAACGAGCGAAAGTAGGAGAACCAGTGAGGGACTCAATCGTCGCACGATGTATGCAACTTAAGGGAAAGCGCAATCGGCGAGAGAATCAACCTGTGCTGGTGAGGTCAACCTGGTGAATTCGAGACAATTGTCGTCAGTAACCGTATACTAGTCCACAGCAAAAAGCGCGCCACCACAAGCATTGGCATCAGCTTGCAGAGAAACGGCACTAACCTATCTATACTCGGGCAAGACTGGTTTGAGTGTGGGTAACTCGCTTGTGTGGAGACTCTGCGTGAAGCAGCGTGCTCCCGGTCAAGTTGGTAGATCGGGGTTGATCCAACCAACGGACACAGTAATATGTGACAAAGATTACAAGAGTCGTCTAGCGGAGAAAAAAACTCGAAGATCGACTCGAGTCTGAATGGGGGGTCCACCAGAAAGAGCTTGTTTATGAAAGTAACTAAGTAGGGGGTGCGCGGTAAGCTAAGGAGCGGCTGCACTGGACCAGCTTGGTGCTGATGCAAGGGCCGAGGGCTGCAGGCAGCGGGCAGCGCTGGCTCTTGGCCACGACGTACAGGGCAGGTAGAGGTGCGATGAGGATAAGGGAAGTGGGCGAGACAGCCTTGGATACTCTTGCTTGCTGACTGTGTCGCTAAGCACGGAACTAGCCATGATTAGCAAATAATGCGGGGCGCCGAAACACTTGTCCAATCAAATCGTTGCTTGTGCTATGTTTACACCGAAGCTCTGTTGCTATGCTGTTACTACACTCAGCTGATTGAGATTTATTGTGCAGCGCTGCGTGGAGTGATTTTTGAGTACATAACGCTACAAGTACGTGCGATTTACGAGATCAAGTAGCCAGCATTGTAAGATTGTCAAAAAAACTACTTCTGTTTATGTACCATCTATCCCTAACCAAACAGCACTAAATAAATTTTATAACATCCGCAGTTAAGCTTAGGCCAGATTCCGTGAGAGACAATCTTCCCACCTCGTCGCCGAGCAGTCCGGATGATACAAGTTTCAATAGCGAGGTTACTAGGCCACTCGTTCCCGAAACTTCAGGTAGTGGATAGGAGACTCGTTGAACTCAAAGACTCTGTGGTGTGAAGCATTGACCCATGGCGCTAGCATCGCTCATCGGCATTCATATCTTCACCTCATGCGTGATATGAATTGGACATAGCACCCTTGATTAGTAGCCCCTATGATCAGTCGGATATGACACAGGGAAGTCAAAGACATCAATGCCTTGTATATAACCACTAATACGACACAAACTTTCATCCACAGAAGAAACCGGATGACACGAGTTATAGACACACGAAGCAAGCAAAAACAGCGAAGAGAGCAAGAATATCAGACGTAAGAAGAGATCTCGAGACTGTAAGGGAAAAACGACTTTGGGTACACAAATGGGGGAAAGAGATAAAAGAGCAAGATAGATAACAGAATAGAATTTTATGAATACAGGCGCAAATTAGATCCGGATGGTCATGAATGCCAATGCGGGGGTTGAGTGTCTGGTCAGTTGCGATGAACGATATGTAAGTCTTGTTGATAGCGTAGCATTCGTTGGCTCCAAAATAAGAAAAAAATGATTCGCTTGATCTCCGCGATTCAAAGTCACTTTTCGGGGAATCTTTTCAGTCGTCGGCTCAAGGGATGCATCTGTTTAGGTTGTCTGTTGAGGCAAGAGCGCAGTTAGCCTCGGTCCTCCTTCAGCAATCCTCTTCCCCGTCCTCATCCCCATCCTTGCTTTCCACCTCTGCCTCTGCCTCAGGTTCAGAGCTCTCGCTTCTAGGCCCTGCCTCTCGGACGTCTGATGAAGGTGCATTATTCACCTTTTCGCGATCTTCCTTCTCCTTCCTCGCCCGTTCTTCACGCTCCTTGCGCTCTTTCTCCGCCCTCTCACGCGCTTCACGTTCACGCTTCTCGCGTATCTCCTTCCTGCGTTGTTCCCTCTGCAGCATTACAGGTTAGCAAATTCACCAAAAAGTCGAACCGATTCAAGTACGATCTAGTCTCACCTCGAGCTTCTCCTTCATTTCACGGGCTTCCCGCTCTCGCTGGAGACGCTCACGCATTTCGCGCTCTGAAATCACCCAGGCTGCTGCTCCCTCTGCTGCAGCTTCGGGTCGCGACTTGTTTTTAAGCAAGTCTATAAAGCAATGAACAATGATTCAAAGGTACTACAGAACATGACACTTACAGCCTTGCAATGCCGCGACACTGAATTCGCCTGCCGGAATGGAATCCGCGAATTGCTTTGCTAAGCGGCTCAGAGACTCTGCGCTAAGGGGACGCGCCGAGTGTGATGCAGCAGCAATCTCCGGATCGGGCGGAGGAGGAAGATATGCGGTATTTTGGGAACCGAATCCGGTGCGGGGCGGCTGAGTGGCTGCAGCCTTCGATGGAGTGGCTTCGCATGATGAACCGCTGATGGAAAGTGAAGAAATGTCGGAAAATGAGCCGGATGAGGCAGTGGTCGTAGGAGTGCCAGGCACGCTCGGTAGACTGATGCCATCGAGTTCACCCTCGCGTTCAACAATCGGCTCTGATTCTTCCTCCTCCGCACTGGGGAAGAAATTGCGGAACAGAGCTTCGGCCTGCCACGGACTCGCATTCTTGAACTCGATCCACACATCCATCCGCCCAGGCCGAGAGAGCGCCGGGTCAAGTCGTTCCAGGTGGTTTGTTGTCGCGAATAGGATACGACCTTCCGAGGCAGCAACCCCGTCAAGCGCATTGAGCAAACCAGAGAGCGATAACGTATTGATTTCTGAGAGAGAATCATCCTTCTTCTTCTTCTTACTCTTGCCGTTTTCATCCTCGTTATCATCATCGTCGGAATCATCCTTGTTGTCCGACGAGTTTGACCCACCACGCTTCTTGCTTCCCGGAGCACCGGTAGAAGTAGCGTCACGAGACGTCGAACGTGTGAAGGCAGCGTCGAGGTCTTCGAGAAGCACGATACAACGGGCGGGAACACGACCCATGAGCGTCGTTAGTGTCGAATCATTCATCCATGACGAGGATAACGAAACGACATAAATGTCAAGCATGAGAGCACCAGCAATGGCATGGATCAGCGAGGACTTGCCAGATCCAGGAACGCCATGTAGGAGGTACCCTCGGCGGAAAGGAATACCCCGATCCGCATACCACTATACAGAGAAACAAAATGAACAAATTTGCATTAGCACATCCCGAGCAATATAAATCCAAGGAAACTAAACCAACCTTCTCTGATTTCAAGAAGTCCCGAGTATCAGCCAGGAGCATCTCTTTCACACCAGGCTCTAGAACAATAGATTCCATTGGACGTTTATGGCGAGAGTCCGTCCAACGCCAGGACCCATGTACGTCAGCAAAATAAATTTGTATGCGATGCACGGCCTCCGCCTCATATTCGCGCTTCGCTTGGAGCACAAGTTGCTTCAAGATGTTGTTATTCCGTGCAACGACACTGTGTGAAAAAGTACATGTCAGCACATGGCTCGAGATCGAGTGATGGCGAGTACAAGGGCGCCTGTTCGGTACCAGCAGAACCGAGCGGCCCTGATCGGGTGAGGCGCGGGCATTTCAAGAAATGGGAAGATGAAAGTCAGTGAGAGACAGGTGGCTCACCTGACCGACAGAACTTCCAAATCGCTGTCTTTGTTTCGCGATCGGCGTACTCGCAACCAATGGCCCCGGTAATAGATTGTGTGTGTACTATCAGGAGTCGGCTGAAAGACGACTCGTGTCTTTGCCATGCCAGGAGTAAGATCATCCACTCGTGAAGGCTCAGCGCCATCGTAGTCATCATCACCAAACGAGTTGTCGCCCATGGCACCGGACATCATGCCTGGCGAGATGGTGCGGGTCGTCGTCTCGAACTCGCGAGAACGCTGCCACTCCGGGCGCTTAGACAGCCAGAGCATGAGCCAATCATAGGGGTAGTCCTCTTCAGAGAAGTGGGCAGTGAGGAAGAAGGCTATACACGACTTTAACGACTGGCTATCAACAACTACATTCTAAAATGACATACAGTTGACAAAGGATGACCTGAGAGGGAAGGGTTGAGTTTGAGAGACTAGTCAGACAAGTGAGTCACCAGGAGGAACATACCATGCAGAGCTGGATATACGACGAGCTGTCTCAACCGTCCCACCGAGGACGACGAGTTTCATACCATCGACGAGACTATTGCTTGCGGCACCGCCGACTAAGGGAGATACGAGGGACTTGAGGGCGTCCATAGCAGGTGCGAGCGCTCGTGGAGCGAGAGGATGAATTCCACGGTAGTGAGTACGTGGTGAACGGTTGCAGAGGAAGTGGGTGCGAGAATGAGAGTATATGTATAGGAAGCTACAAGAGGAGTGATGGTTAGATGGAAGCAGTGACTCGAACACGGGAGCCCTAGCTGTGCGGTGGTGAAGGCTGAGAGCAAGAGTGAGTCGAACGCGTCAGCTATGGGATGGGAGGACTCAGGGCCGCGCGCTAGACGTGCCTTCTGATATCCGTCCGGGACGCGCCTCTTTGGCTTCTAGAATTTCTATCGCGTCCCGATATTTGTCTCCTCCCAATCCCCACTGCCAGCGCACAGCATTTATTCCAGCAGGCTCACAGCAGCAGAATCTTTTGTCGCCACGTATTTAAAAGACCTCACATCATTCCAGTGTATTTTGTGCACCCTTTGTTTTAATTTCAAACCACCCCCGGACCTTGGAGACAATCATACAGCCACACTTTATGAGTCAACACCGCAGTGTGGGATCAATTCTCGAGTCAATTGCTGCTCATTTTTCTTTCCGTCCGGCGCTGCTATCTTCCTGAACTGCCTTTGTCACTGTCGTCATTCTGGTGCTAGTGGTTATCTTCTGCCTCATGTTTTCCTGCTTCGAACCTTGTAACCTTGTGTCAACACTCAGTCACTACTCAGATTTGTGCCATCTAACCGCAGTTACCGCTGTTCGCATGTATCAAGTGCCGCAGAAACAACGCAGCAATCCAAGCTTACTATGCGCGTCATGCTATTCGTTTCGGGGCCCGACCGAAACAATGCAATCGTCCTACCGATTGCAGCCAGGTGCACACCTTCGGTTAGCCCATCTCTTTGGCTTCCACTCGTGCCGGCACTCTTCTCCAGCTTTTCGCAGCTCACTGGGCACATGCGAAGCAGGGAAGCACAGCCCGATATAGACTTGGGGGAAGTCGGTGTGCTGCGCTTCGCGATCTGGAATGGACTTCGCGCCGTCTCCGGAGTGCGGGATTTGCCCGGTTCAGCAGTTCATTTCAGACTCCATGTGCACGCATCTATGTGCAATTTGTTTTTCTCACGGGGTTTTTGTTCATTTGGCAGGTTGAGCCTTTCCTGGTGGACTTGTGCTGTGCCCAGTGATAATCGGCCTGTGCTCGACTCCACACTTTTCCTTGCTTTGGATGATCGGTGATAATTACTGGCCCCAGATTCTCGACCGACGGGACATGACGATCGGGCACCTAATCCCCACTATCCTAGCCTCGTGATCATATCTCCTCCCAAATGAACTTGAAATGACACCCTGCTTCGAAGTCTCGGACCTTCGATCATTCGATAGCCGGATATAGCGCAATCCTCGGTATGCGCCGGTAATACTTCAGCGCCTCGTCGAAACCGCGCCGCGGAAGACTCCCCAAAATGAATGTATACATGCAACCGCGGCTCGAGTAGAAGATAGTGGCGACAGCCGGACCGAATCTACGTCTTGTTCAAATCGACTCCGCAAACTTTGATCCAAGTTAGTCTTGTCATAACTTCTCTATCGCAGCCCATGTCATCTCCGTTGGAACCGGTGGGCGAGGATGCACCACGTTCTCCATATGGTCGGGAGATAGAATGTCGTCAGACTTTAATCTTCAAAGTTCAGCAATGTCAGGGTTCTTCGACGCTATCCGAAGAACCTTGGATCTGTCGTTGCTTCCTCCGTGACGCTTTCTTTGTTCTGTCTTCCAAAGTTTACTGGGCTCCTTGAAGAAGCTTCCTTGACTCCTCATTTCCGGTTTTTACGCATTGCGAAGAATCTTTTTATGCTTTGCAACCTCTGCCCGACATTTACACGACGCTTCAAGCCATTTTCCCGGTCGCTGTCCCCTGTGCGCTGCAAGAGCGACGGTATTCGTAGGTATTTAGCATTCAGCTGTCTAACAACTCCGGCACGTTCCGGAGTTACTGGGGTTAGTAAATTTTAATCCTAACGCCACTCCTGCAACCGATGAGCACCACAGCTAGGTATCGTCGTGTACCTGCTCACTGGCTTCACAACCGATTTTCAAATTTTACAGCTCGTGAATCTTTTTGCACAGGTAAGAAAGTCACGTTCAACTTGTGCAGTGCCGGTAGTGGCTCGTCCAGTGTTCATGAAATTAATGTATGGTTACGCCCTCTTCTATCTGATATCTCAGATGATGTGGGGATTGTCTGCTTTTATCTACATCAGTGGCTGTAAGTACTACGTACACTGTGCAGTTTCCTTTGACGGCCGCCCGAATATGCCGAGTCGTTAGGGGTCTGTTGTTTGGTGACATGTGTTGGGTTCTTGAGTCCACATGGATTCACTGGGCGACAGATATTTTAATTCTTGATTGGATATGAACAGTGTTGTACAGCGAACCAGCATGGGCCACAATCTGTACTTGCTCTACGCGTTCGCTATCTTGCACTGTAAGCGCTTGAGTATTGTTCAAGGCAGGAAATTTCCGATTAGTTCCGGAATCTCTTCAATATATAGCTACATACAACCGATAGAACTACATAGTACTCAACCTTCTTTCAGAATACACATGTGCTACTCTATGTATTCTAGTCATGAACTGTAAAGGAGGAAAGATATTTGTATATTAGTATTCAATTTACTTGATCGATTAAAGTCTCTATTATCGTACTGGTATAAGACCTTATATGAAATCGTGATTATAGTGCTGGATGTGTCTCATCCTGCCTTGTAGATTATTTGGCAGTCATTTGAAGAGTATTGATGTATACTTTAAGAAAGAATTGATTTTCTCCCGTTCCTTCGTCACGTGCAGATCGGCGCATTACATCAATTATCTTCCTGCTACATATGACGTTGACCAGACTCCTTCCATCTTAACAAAACATGTTCAAAAAGTAAGCCTTCAAATACATGTTTCCCTATATTCTATAACTCAACGGGTCCTCGGAAAAGATTCGCACAAAGCGACATCACAGGCAAGACGAACGTCAAGTCGTCTGCACAGCGCGCTATACGTGATACACTGATCAGGGATCTCAAAGTCGACACGGAGAAGCTAGAGCAGATCTGGCCGAAGAAAGAGGTACTCGTGCATGTTAAATGGTCATTATCTTATTTCTTTTCGTCTCTCTTCCTCCTGGTTGTCCTCTCCCTTCATTGCCCTTTCATCCCGTTTCACCTTATCGCGCATATACTCTGGTGATGCTGATGCTGACGGTGGTGTTATGATTGGTATGACAGCAGAGATCACATATCGATATATACGGTGAACGGAGACCCGTTGTTCTTCCAGCAGCATGAGGAACAGTTGTATCCCACTCTTTGGCTAGTACAAAAATGTGCGTTCCCTTCTCAAACTTCAACCTTCCCGCTGTCGCAACAGTACGAGTAGCTGACGTACTGCACGGCTGTAATGGTAACGAATAGACCCATCAATCCTCCCCCGTCTCCAAGTCGATCGAGGCGCAATCCGGTTCCTTCTCGCAGGTGCGAACATGATGTGTCGTGGATTCACATCTCCAGGTGGAGAGCTACCGCCGACTGATCAAGCGATTGAGGCCAGCAAGCCTGTTGCTATCTTCTGTGAGGGAAAGGAACATCCGGCAGCTATTGGGTTCACGAAGCTCAGTACGGAGGAGATCAAGTCGGTGAATAAGGATGTTGGTGTTGAACTGAAGATGTACCTTGGTGATGATTTGTGGAAGATGCAGCGCATAGGAAAATAAATGATAATAAAATCAATAGAGAAAGCTTCGTACAATTTGTTCTGCTTTTATTAATATGAAGGAACCATGCTTGAACTTTGATATATCCAACCCGTTTCATTTCCTTATACCATTTACTCATTATACTTATACAAAATGACACTGAAGCAAGGCATCTACTAAATACCAATAACTCTTGTTAACGCCAATACGCAGGCGAATCGAACCCAACGACCTTATACGCTTCGTCAAGAGTCTGAACGACATCCTGCGGTAGAGGGCCTTTCTCCGAATCTACACAGTTCTGCTCAAGCTGAGCAGCGCTACTCGCTCCGAGGATAACACCGTCACTTGGCGATAATGCAGAGTGGTGCTGCATCCAGCGAAGAGCGATTTCTGTAAGCCGTAAACCATGCTTATCCTGAGCACAATAATAAAATAGTTGGTATACTAAATAGTTGGAAAGGGTCGTGATGCCCATGGCTAGAGAGAGACGTACGGCCACTTCTTTGATAAGAGGTAATGCTTGGAAGAATCCGTCCTTGAAGTAACGGTTTCGGTACATTGTACCCATTGGACCTGCCGATGCATCAAAGCGACTACCAGGCTCGGGGGCATCGTTAGCGGAAACAAGCTTTCCTGCGAAGAATCCACCACTAAAGGGAAGGGTGGAGATTACTGATGTAGATACCTATTGGTTTAGAGGGGGTTAATTGACTTACGCCAACGGGTTGTACACAACGATGCGCAAGCCAAACTTGCGACAACATGGAACAAGTTCTGATTCCATGCTCCTCGTTATCGCATTATACATGCTACATGCAAAATAGATAAGCATACAAAGCCAGTGAGACGTTGGGTGTCTTACGCTTGGTAGATCTTTGGCTGCACCCAGCCGTTCTTCTGGCATGTTATTGCTATTTCCGCTACCTTGCAACAATCCATATACGAGTTTTATATACAAACTGAGAGGATATAAATCTCACAAACCTCCCATGCAGCATAATTGCTCAATCCAAATATCTCACTGATAGGAACAATAGTTTCCGTGAGTATATATATGAAGTTGGATATATGCGCTCACAAGAGGCCCTCGTTGTACATGTTATTCATCTCCCGGAGAGTATCCTCGAACGGCACACTCCTGTCCGGAGCATGGAGATATAGGACACGCACCTTCGGGCGTCCGAGTTTCTCGAGCGACGTCTTGAAAGTTGCACGCAGTTTCTCGGGATGGTGGTCCCCAGGGTTGACTGGATAGACTCTAATTCCCGACTTTCACTATGCCACCCTGTGAACATAGATGAGTGCTACATACTTGGTATCAATAGTGCAATCTTTGAGATCCAGTTGAGCAAGATACTGAATAAATGCGAGTATATTTGTGGGTGCGCTATATCCGGATTCAGCTTATCTCTGGTTTATGTGCAACATACCTCTTCGGTGGTTCCGCCAGCATACACGCGAGCAGTATCGAGCTCTTTATTCCCGTGTTTGTAGAAAACATCGATTATTTCCTGGCAATCTTTGAGGTCGTGATTTCTAACTCCATTCTTCCCTTGCACGCCCATCGTCATGGTGCCCTACATTCACACAGCATAAGCAATATTATGATTTTCTATTGATAGCTTACGCACAAATATAAGGGGAACTCTGGTAGGAGACATCGTTGCTAGTAATGATAACAAGTGTAGAAGTGCCTTGATGCTATGATACTATGAGAAACAAGCTATTTATGAGATCTTGGAGTATGACTAATCAGCATGACGTCTCCCACCCTGCGCCAGAGACACTTTTATTTGTGTTGTCGTCAAGAAGCGTACTGTATCTTGAAATATACCTCGGTCTCTGTCCGCCCATGGGGTCAAAGAAGAAGAAGTCGAAAGCAGCTCCCATGCCCAAGCCAGAAAACCCGGCGCCAGAAGTCGACAATGACGAATTACTCGACGATCTCATGGCTCAGATCGACGAAGGGAATACTTCTCAGCAAGTAGCCGCAACAGTCGTCGAGCAGGTCCAGCTCAACAAGGCCGACGAAATCGAGGCAGCGGCTGGAAAGAAGGACAGTAGGGCCCGCTTCGAGGCACGCAAGGTTCGCCCCCGTCTGCTATGAAGCTCCGGAAGAGATCGAAGCTCATGGCTGTCATGACTGAGCAGCTCCGCAAGGCTGCAGAACATGCAGCACGCTTCACTCATGACGACAGGGAAGCGGACGCGCGAATCGAGCAGGAGGCCCGTCATGAAGAAAAGGTCATCAAAGCCGTATGTGATGATTTAGGGCTAATAATGTACGAGGCGAGTCTATTTTGCTGCGCATGGATCATTTTTGCACCACCTGACTTGCGTTTCCGCTCTCTAGATCAACCCCGACGGACATTGTCTGTATGCTGCTATAGCAGACCAACTACGCATTCTCAACATACTTCCTCCTGCTGTTGCTCACTATGGCACGACACGTGCAGCGGCTGCCGCATATATGTTTTCTCATCCAGACGCATTTCTGCCCTTCCTTCCTAGTACTGAAGGTGAAGACGGTGTGGGTGCTGGAAATGCAGGATTGATGAGTCCACGCCAATTCCACAGCTACTGCGAAAACGTACGCTCTTCCGGAATGTGGGGCGGCGAGCCGGAAATCTTGGCTCTAAGCCGTGCTTACCGTGTGCCTATTCATGTCGTTCAGTCAGGTACTCCGCCAATCGTTGTCCATGACCCTGATGGTGTAGATGGCGCTTCACTGGATGATAAACGTGTCGTACGCATTAGCTATCACAGGCGGATGTACGGACTCGGCGAGGTGAGACTTAATGTTTTCAGCCTCATTTTCACGTCTCACCCTTCGTCCTGATAGCATTACAATTCGCTAAGGCCGAAGTCCCTAACACAACAGATAAAGTCCATTTTTGAGTGATTGGATTGCTCCGGCTTCCGCTTTGCATTATCGCTTTCATCTGTAGCTGGTTTCCTCGTATCAGTGGGATGCTGTCTTGTTGAGGTTGAAACCTTGTCATAATTTTCGTGTCATCTAAGATACCTTTATCTTTGTCTCCGTTAGGCAGTTTGGCTATTCACGCTCACCCTGAAGTACTAATTTTCATCGATGTGCAATTTGCATTCTTTTCAAGATCCTTTATAATTTGTAGCAATAATTCTTCCAGAGTATGAGTAAAGAATCTGTCCTGTGCCTGTATATCTTCAGTGCTCTGAGGCAAGATAAAAATTAAATTAAATAAACGACTTGAAAGCAGTGGATAGATCAGCACGCATTTCAGTGCAATTGGTACACAACGGCATCTCTTACTATACGCAACGTCCAGATATCTTTGATAATAAACAAGATAACTAAACTGAAAGGTTCAACGTTGAAGACTCGAAGGAAGGAAGGCCGTAGAATTGTGTACAGCATCACGTGCAAACGACTTTCGAAAAGTCGCTACGCGTCTTCCTCAGTCCCAAACGTCCAGGCATACCACCATCATGTCAGTCTTCCAACGCGATCCAAGAGCCGGATTATTCTTTGGTGGTGATAGGGTATCCGGTCAAGAGATACGGGATCAAAATGGTGCGCATTTATAATCTCTTATTAAGAAAGAATCACTAAGCGCTGACATTCCGAAAAGTCATTGCTGCACAGTCGATCGCTAATATCGTGAAGAGCTCGCTCGGCCCTCTGGGATTAGATAAGATGCTTGTGGATAATATAGGAGTATGCGAAAACCCTTACACCGAGATTTACCTTTGCTCAATTTCCGATTGCATGTAGGAAGTGACAATCTCCAATGACGGGGCAACCATCCTTTCTTTGCTAGAAGTCGAGCATCCTGCAGGACGTATCTTCGTCGATCTAGCACAAAAACAAGACAAGGAAGTTGGAGACGGTACTACTTCCGTCGTCATCATCTCCGCCGAGTTACTCCGTCGTGCAAATGAGCTCGTCAAAGCTAAAATACATCCTACGACGATTATTGCTGGATATCGGCATGCATGTCGCGAGGCATGCAAGTTCCTTGTTGATCAACTAAGCATCAAAGTTGACTCACTTGGTCGGGAAGCGCTTGTCAATGCTGCGAAGACGAGTATGTCGAGTAAAGTCATTGGCGGGTGAGTTTCCTGTTCTACTCAATATTACGGGGAAGGACTGCGTTGACGACTTTGGAATTCGACAGTGATGATGATCTTTTCGCGCCCATGGCTGTTGATGCCATGCTTGCTGTGAAGACCACCAATGCGCGTGGTGAAACAAGGTATCCGGTCAAAGCAGTCAATGTACTCAAAGCACACGGCAAGAGCGCGCGAGAATCGCTCTTCGTAAAAGGCTATGCATTAAACTGCACCGTTGCTAGCCAAGGTAAATTTTTTTGTAAATGGGGTTTGTTTTATAGTTCTACAAATGCTGATGTGGTTAAATCAATCAATCTAGCAATGAAGACGCGAATCTTGAATGCAAAAATCGCATGCTTGGACATCAACTTGCAAAAGCAGCGCATGCAATTGGGCGTACAAATTGTTATAGAAGATCCGAATCAGTTAGAAAATATTCGTAGACGGTATGAGCACGTTTCATAGATACTGAAAAGGGGCTAATGATCGTGGTCATTTTTATAATAGTGAATCTGAGATCACGCTCGAGCGTGTCCGTAAAATCCTTGCATCAGGAGCAAACGTTATCCTCACCACAAAAGGTATTGATGATCTCTGTCTGAAAGAGTTCGTGGAAGCAGGTGCGATGGCCGTCCGACGGTGTCGTAAGGAAGACCTTCGTCGTATTGCAAAGGCGACGGGAGCAACGTTGGTTTCGAGTCTTGCCAATTTGGAAGGTGATGAGACCTTCGAAGCAAGCAATCTTGGTTTCGCAGAGGAGGTCGTGCAAGAAAGGATATCAGACGATGAGTTGATCCTCGTCAAGGGGACGAAGGTTGTCAACTCGTCCTCAATCGTGCTCCGCGGTGCGAATGATTACATGTTGGATGAGATGGAGCGAGCAATACATGATTCATTATCCATCATTAAGCGCACACTGGAGAGTGGGACTGTTGTTCCAGGTGGAGGTGCTGTCGAGACGGCACTGAGCATTTACCTCGAGAATTTTGCGCAGACTTTGGTGAGCCTCGGACTTATTCTGTTATTCGGAGAGCGTCTCGTCCTGACTCGAATGGTGACTAGGAATCTCGTGAGCAACTTGCGATTGCCGAGTTTGCAAACGCCTTACTTGTGATACCGAAGACTCTGGCGGTAAATGCTGCGAAGGACTCGACCGATTTAGTTGCCAAGCTACGCGCCTATCATAACGCTGCGCAAAACGCATCGGCAGGAGACCCCAAAAAGGTCCTGTCGCGATATGGCTTGGACCTGTTGAATGGCGAGGTGGTGGACAACGTGAAGGCGGGAGTACTGGAGCCGACCGTGAGCAAAGTTCGGAGCCTTAAGTCCGCCTTTGAGGCGGCAGTGTCGCTGTTGCGAATAGATGATGCGATCCACTGCGTGCCGGAGCAGAAGGGCGAACCTGACCCGCACGGTCATTAGCAGTAGAATAGAAGTGTATTGATTTCAGTGCAAAAAAATATAAATGTAGAGATCGGGACCTGATGAGATAACCGCCTGAACGGAAGAAAAAGTCGGGTGAAAGGGCATCACGTGGCTTAGCAGACGCGTTGGTTCAGCTGTTGAGTTGCGGCGGAGATCGTCGCACTCGAACCATCTGTCTCTGTCCTCCCACCGTCGGCGGCCCCGTTTCCCATCTCTGACCCGCCAAATCAGTGCGCCAATATCCCCCGCCGTCGGCCAACTGGGACTCCCTCCTTTGCCTTACTTTTATCCTTATTGCTCGAGCCGCGCGAGCACAGTATTCACACCTCTTTCTCATGCCAAACGCGTAATCCGCACTTCAACTTGCCAGTCCGCAAATGCAGCAACTCGCTGCCGCCTCAGACACATCTTGCAACGTCGCCCCCCACCTCCCAGCCCGGTTTCGCTCCCTCATTTGGGCATGCCTCGATGCTTCTCTTCCCAGATCTGCTGTTTTCTACGCCGAACGCTATTTTGCTCTCGACAATAAGTGTCACGACGCGCTTCATTTGTACTCGTGTGCACTATTACGTTGTGGACAGACACAGTCCGCTTTGTGGCTTGTAAGCCCACCCTATCAGAAGGAACCCTGCACAGGCTGTTACGTGGCTCAAGCGGAATGTCACACCGCTCTTGGCCAGCACGCCCAAGCTGGCGAAGCTCTTGAAGCGAGTTTGCGTACTACTTATGCAACTGGTTGTAAGTCAATTATTGAGTAAGCAACTTATTCACCCGGCTAAGTTGTCATTCCCGGCCAGCAATGCCAACGAACGCAACACGCGAAACACGCGTATTCCAGGAGGAAGCCGTGTTGCATTGTAAGACGGGGAAAGCCGCCCTGAAAGCGAATCTATTAGACAAAGCTGTAATGAGCTTTCGTCGGGCTCTGTCATTAAATCCAATGCTTTGGGATGCTTTTGAAGGATTATGTACTGCAGGTGTGTGATCACGAACTCGAATTGTATTCGGACGTTGACCGAAGCCCGCACAGGTTCCTTTCCCGAAATCGGGGAACTCTTCCCTTCTCGTCCGCCACCTGTGAAGCAAGGCCCGGAAGATTTTCATACTAATGTCGCTTCGTCCTCAAAGCAGCCCATCGGGGGCGGTCCAGTTACGTCTGGCTCTGGGTTCTTTACTCCAGCGCATGGAGATCAAAATGGATTTATTGGATGGAGACCAGATCTTGCCCCTCCTCAGGCGTTTCGTATGGGTCTGGCGCTAGGTGGTCGCGATTCAATGTCAGTTATAAGATCCGATATCATTATATGCATCTTCTTACACGAACAATGATAGAGGGACGAATGATTCTTTTTATCCTGAAAACTCAATTCTTGCGCCGTTGCGTACTGCTCGCAATCCTGCGGCTGGTGTTCCCTCTCGCCCGTTATCGTCCGCAGACGAGACGGGTCCCGTTCCAAAGAAGCCTCGCTCCCAAAGCCGACAAGCGGTGATGGAGAAGGACAAGGCAAAGCAGGGCACCGGCGGAGATGCCCGTTCCAAAAAGGCACGCGCACGCCCGGTCCTTGTGTCTGCTAACCCCATCTCATCTAAACCTTCTAATCCTCCTCGAACTGCCCTTCCAACCCGCGGAAAGCAGCCTGTGACCAGAGGCGGGAGGAGTGAGAATACAGTCTTACCAGCTCCTTCAATGGCCTCAAGGCGGAGTGCAAGACTATTATCCAATAGTGTTACTGGCGAGAAGCTGAAAACGCATAATGTGAAGGTAAGTAACTTCATTTAGACACAAGATTCAATTCGCTTATTCCCCTTCCTATACAGCATCCGCCACAGCGTAAACGAACCGCACACACTCGTTCAAAATCTACTGAATCGGACATGGACGAAGATTATCCACCCCTCGGAGATGTGGGCTCTCAATCGCCCCAATCTAATAACACTCATTCACCGCGATCGGATGAACTTCCAGCACCGGTCTGGACATCCGAGATGGAGCAAGCTGCACAAGAAGCATACAATACGGCTTTAGCAGACATTTACGTATACGACCTCATGCGACTGTTTGCAAGTTGTGTACGTCTATTGGCCATGTACGATTGTGAAGCCTGTCTAGCAGAAATCGACATGCTTCCTCGAAATCACCAGCAAACCGTTTCTGTAATAATTATGATTGCACGAGCACGTTACGAACAAGCCGATTACATGAAAGTACGTGGTTGGTATTATTGAGTCTTCTCGTTGAATTGATCCCAACCAAACAATTTTCTACATTGGTAGGCAGAACGCTTCTTTGATCATGCTCGGACCAAGGATCCACATCGAATATGGGACATGGACCTATATTCAACAACATTATGGCATTTACAACGAAATGCTAAACTGTCATTTCTTGCGCAAGAGCTGTTGAGCATCGACCCTAAATCTCCGCAGGCCTGGATAGCTGTTGGAAACTGTTTCTCACTACAGAAAGAGCGTTCTCAGGCATTGACATGCTTTCGTCGTGCGGCACAGTTGGACTCGACATGTGCTTACGCGTACACACTAAGCGGTCACGAGCTCACAGACGAGGACGTGGATAAAGCGGTGAATTTCTTCCAATCAGCACTGAGAACGGACCCTCGGTCATATAATGCATGGTGCGTTACTGTCTCCGTGTACTTTTTCTGATGTTCGATCTTCCCTTCTGGGGCGTCAAAACACTCTAGACTATTTGATACTAATGATCTTCGACTTGTTATTTAGGTATGGTCTCGGGTCGTGTTATCTAAGGATGAGCAAGTTCCGGCTGGCCGAATTCCACTTCCGCAAAGCTGCTGCCATCCACCCCCAGAACGCGGTGCTGCTCGGGTGTGTAGGCATGGTAAGTAGGGTCTGGCGGAGGTTTGATTACGTCGCGCTGACTCGAATCTTAAACACAAATAGGCTCTTGAGCGGCGGGGCCGGCAAAGCGAGGCGTTTGAATTGTTCAATCAGGCTGTGACTCTGTCTCCCGATAATGCGTTAGTACGATATCGGCGGGCTAAAATCCTTATCGCTACGAAGCAGTATAAAGTGAGTCGATTTTTATTCTGTTGCCAGGTACTCGGACCGAACTGAACTGATGCGGTGCACGTCGTAGGAGGCAATCGAAGACCTAGAACACCTGCGCGACTGTGCGCCAGAAGAGGCAAATGTCGTCTTCCAACTCGCACGGGTGTATCGACTGGTCGGGGACGAGACCAAATCTGCGCAGATGCTGGCCGTGGCGCGAGATATGTCGCCAAAGAGCCTGAACAAGATTAAGCGGCTGTTAGCGACGGAGAGAGACACGGAGAGCGTGGTTGGCGGAGATTCGATGGACGAAGGATGATGTGAGCGTGGCGATCTGTGTTGTAATCTGCCTGAAGGCGCAAGCATTGGCGGATTGCCCTGGCATACGCAATCGCAGTAGTTTATTTTTGTTACCCTTACTGCAAGCAAATTTCACCCCTGTGCACAATCTGTAGCATGAATTTTGCATGACTTGGAATAGAGACAGGACGATGTCGTGTGAGCGATGTCCCTGCGCGACTGCTCAGGTTAGGGTTAGGTAATGACCGGACGGGTAGCCGAAGCTGCCTGATTAGATAGACGAGTCATCCGAAGCCCGCCGCGGGTCACGTTTTTTCTATAAGAGCACCTCTCTCCGAAAGACACCTCTCCATCTTACCTCTTACCTCTCCCGACCACACTCTCCATGGCTATCTAATCGTCCTCCTGTTCTCCGCCTGTCTCCTGCCTCTTGTCTTCCTCTCGCCCACTGTCACCCAGTTGACGAGGTGTAGCATTTAAACAACCAACATGGCCTGCAGAGCCCGCACATCCAACTCAGGATCGTTGCTTTTCGAGCCCGCTCGAGTATTCCGTATACACTTCTGACACCACCCGCCTGCCACCACTCGCATCTCGCTTTTCACGCGTTCAACACGCTGTCTGTGCCCATGCATCCTACAATCGGTTAGTGAAAGCGCGTCATAGTTGTCTTCGTCGTCTGGCTGTTGCTCATCGTTGTCTTTCGCATTTTGAACACCAGCCCGCTTCGTGCCTCAGTCCGCTTCCACCACAATGTCATCCATAGCATCAAATCTTGCTACCCTCGCTCGCTCTAAGTTACGCTCAGCGTATACCGGCGGGTCGAGGGACAACCTCAGCCTCCACCGCTGGGTGTTGCTCAAAAACTCTATCACCACCCAAGATGTACATTCTGATCTAGCAACGCAAAACGCGGCGTTCGAAGTTGACGTCGCAGAATCACCTAATGAGATTGACACCGATGTGGAAGACGAGGAGGTGGACTCGAGCTTAGACAGTGTTAAGTTCATGTTTCCAGACCCCGGAGACGACGTAGTGGCACCTGAGGTGTCTGAGGTGTCTGAGGAGCAATGGCTTGACTCTCTTCTTGAGACCCTCGGTGATGAAGACAGCGATGACGAGGATGATGCCCGTATCTCGCCTGTGAGCATCGACGACGCCAGCTCTGAGCAGCTCAAAATCCACTCTCTGGTGGATCCCGAGTCTTTCTGCACATCATTGTCCGAGGAGTTCGCCACGCCCCAATCCATCACTGTTCCATATCCTGTACCATATCCCCCTCTTGAGCATGACTCCCACGACTGCTGTTTCGTTTCTGATTCTATTCCGTACTTGCCTTACCACCACCATGATATAGAAGACTCAGAGGGCTCTGTTCCAGATGCCATTGAGGACACGTCTGACGACGAGTCTGAATCGATCTCTACGCCGTTCTCTCGTTCCCGCGCGTCTCTCAGCCTCGTAGACCCCGCCTCTATCCCCCTTCCTCAAGACCAATACGAGCCGCACATCTACGACGGATTTAATGTATTCTTCCCCTACGAGGATCCACTCCCAGACGCTCACTCTGATTCTACCCCTGTCTATAGTCCCTACCATCAAAGCTGCTGATGTTTATTCATTTTTTGCTCGTCTCTTAGTCCTTATTTCTGCGCAGTTGTAAATTTATGGCCCGCCATGCATTGATTGTCTATTTCTACCCCCGTTTCACTCACTTTTCTCGCCTTTACTTTTTTCCGGTTATTTGTCTTTATGCCTCCGTTGTCATCGTGTCTGCTTAGCGTATGAACTCTTTTTATATGCTCGTAGTTTTTTGCCCTTATCGAGTGGAGCTGTGTGGGAATTCTAATGCGAGTGTCAGACGTTTCCCGCTTGTGGCTGGCCGCGTGTTTCGCGTGACAGAACTGGAAAACGCCACAGAATAGAACGCTCAAGCTCCGGGACAGACATCGAGCATGCAGGCGTAGACAATTGGTTATTTGCAACGGAATTTGACTTTATTCAATGCTGATTGTATTTCTATGGGGTACTCAGGAGGTACTTGGGTTTCCTTTGATGAGGAGACAGACTACTCGACAGGAGTAAAGGCCACTAATAGAAGGAGCATCCGAGTTCCCGGAAATGACGCGGACTCCGGGGTGAGTCGGAGGGAGTATTCATGGCAACTCAATTCAAGAAGCTCCTAAAAAATCTAAAGTTTATTCCACCCCGTTTCTTTCGCTTCCCTCCCCGTCGTTCCCTTCTTGAAGTCCTTCGCCGCCACGCGTACAGGAGAAGGAGTACGCATATGTCCGCCCGTCGCAGTTATGAGTTAACTGGGTGTACCTCGGGAGTCTCTTTTTTTTCGAACAGGGAGTCGAAGGAGTTCCGCTGCGCCCCCGTGGCTAATGATGCCGAGCTGATGTGCTGGACGGATGTGGTGCTGAACGCGTTTGGGAACGAGTGGTGCTCTGGCAGGGGCGATGAGACCAGAAGTGGTGCTACGACAGAAATCAACAGATGTACACAATGATGAAAAAGCCGACGGGTCAGCAAGAACAGCCTCGTCATAATGAGATAGTTCAAGACGACTACTGCTGCTGCTAGTTACTGCGCTATCCCGCTCACGAAGTGTAGCGGCGATATGTGGAGAATGGACGAATGGAAAATGTAGCGTACCTAGTCGACTTAGACAGGGGCTTTCTTTCCCTAGGACTCGCGCTGGGACGCTAAATCCCAAAACACAACAAGAAAAAAGGGCCAAATTGGGAATGGAAGGGCCGTCGGAAGACAGAGTTTGGAGATATGATTAATATATTTCTTTTTCACTTTGATAGTAAAAACAATTGCAGCAGGCACGACAACAACATCACACCACCATCACAGCCCCGAAAGAGCTGAAAGTGGTTGTGCCACTGCTTGTGTAATAAGAATCTTTGAGGACAAAAACGCACCTCTCGACGTATCTGCGAAGATCATTCCCGATCAGGAGAAAGTCCGTGAGGAGTTTAGCGGACCAGTTTGCTTGGAGAAAGTTCTCGTAAAGTTCTCGATCGCAGTGGGGCATGAATGCCAGCGTCGGCCCGTCAAACTCATACTTGCCTTCCTGGATCACTCAAGCAAAGACAAGAAGCCGAAGGTTCCAAGGCGGATAGACAAAGTAAGCATCAATGTATCAGTATCAGGATGAGGCACTGTTCCGTTACGCCCGGGCTTGCCTGAAGGGCTCACCGACAGGGCATAAGAAAGAGCCAAAATCACATACTTTGTTATCTGGCAATATTTGGGCGCCGAGCGATGTCAGAAGGAGTATGTCCACAGTCGAGAACACTGGATCGAACGCGCGTATCCTTACTTGACTCTATACGGAGGTTAGTTCACCACCCAGATAAGGAAAAAGGCGTAAGCACCCATCATCAGTTTGAAACGAGGGAGGAAAAAGAAGGGTACGAGCAAAGTGGGAAATGGGAGAAAATGCAGTAAGTGAAAACGAGAAAGGGTCCGTATATGCGACCAGTTTGCGTGGAAGAATATGGGGTCGTGGCGTTTGGCGTACCGAAAATATCTTATCCCGTAACTCGAGCAAAAAGCAGAACTGGAACCGTGCCTGTGCAGATTCTGTGGGACTACCGAGACCAAGACATAGTATCGTGTTTATCTCGCCAGGAAGACTTGTTATCGCATCTTGACAGATATCTAACGAAACAAGTAAAGCAGGTTGAATAAGGGTTGGATTCTGTTTCCAAAGACATGCAGGCCAGGCTGTGCATCAACGACACGACTACGTACGTGTACACTTCTCCATCCATACTGAATCAGAGAGCAATTCAGACTTGCTCCGCTCCAGCAACTCCGCCGGAGTACTATGTGCCTTGTGCTGGCGCTGCTTGCGCCTTTTCTTATTCCCGACGACAAGTGTGAAGGCATCATTTGTGTCGTTGTACTTGAAACCTACATCGGCGCCTTCTTCAACCATTTCACATGTAAGCCATACCCAAGTAAGGATCAGAGGAGATAGAAGAGGATGAAGAGATGAAGTTCTGAAAATTTGTTTGTATGCTTGATAAAGGATCATCCCTAATTCGGAAAGTGATGATCAGACTCAGACTCAGCTGTTCTCAAATCTTCTACCTTACTTCCATTCGTTTCCTCAGCTCAGGAGAAGCCGGGACTTAACTTTAGGCTCTTAAGCTCTTTTCGCTCAACTCATGCTGGAAGGTTCCTGCAGCCTTTCCAACTCAGCGTATCAATCCAGCGAACACAAGGACTGCGTTTCAATCCGGACCATAGCCGCCGGAACGCGCGCCTAACGCGTTCCCTCCCTACTTATGCTTCTCATGTATGCATCTAGGGACCTACCCACCCCGGTCTCTTTCAATCAATCGGTCTAATTGCCTGTATGCTGGTCTCGTGATAATCTTAATCTTAATACAGCTGGCTTCTCGTAATGATGTAAATTGGACAGATAGACTACTGTGAAGAGGCCAAGTGACGTTGTATTCGCGATGTGAAGGGATGAAATATGTACGTAGATTGAGTTATGTTGACTCAACTTGACGCCTGATCCCAACGTGCCCCTTGAAATGAAAGGTACCGAGGGCGCTTTCTTATGCGATATTAATGCTACTGATGAAGACAAGGTAAATGGATTATGGGGTAGAGGTGACTCAATGACTCTTTGGTCTAACCAGGAACACGTTTGGAACTTTCTGGTACTGCAAAAACTCGGTACCGTGTATTGTCTGTGTGCTCTCTGCACTGATACCGTTCTTTCTGCCATAATGCAAGGTTCGGGGCCGTACATTGTTTATGTGCTTCTCACACGTAAACGTTTCGTAATATACTTAAGTCGTCTTTCGGTGCCGTTTGTGGAAGACTGGATTGCATAGCCCGAGGTTTACTTTTTTATACGCAAGCTGTAACAAATTTTGCAGTAGTTCTGAATTGGCGACCGGTTAAGCCTTCTCTGTAACGGTCCAAACTGCTTGTTCATCCTTCGAGGTACCCTTGACGTGGAACTTGATAATTGGAAGAGTAAGATTGAGTTTGTGTGCAACAACCTGACGGGAGATATTAACGAGACTGTTGTACTGACTGAACTGAAGATGACGGGACAGAAACTGTGCAATAAAACATTGTTCAAAGATAGAAAGTGGGTAATGCCAATTGCCACAATGAAACGGAACATACGCAGCATTCCTACTTCTATGATCATTAATTAGCCTTCTCGTCTAGGGCACTATAATGCTTATTGTTGTTTAACACAGGAGCAAAGACTCACATACCACTTTAGTGAAATAGTCCCCTTTCCTACAGAAGAGCCAGTCAATGCGATAATGCTGCATGAGGTCAGGTACGAGCTCAAGCTCAAGCACAAGAATACCTTGAAGATAAATTACACCTATCCGATTTCTTCTTATTTCTAGCTCTCAGACATAGATGCGCATTCTCCTCTTTCTGCCACTCCCTTTCTTCCGATAAGGAGGTAGACAAATTCTGCAAGACAGTATTTGCTTTGGTCGAGCAAAAAATGATGAAACACGGGGAACAAGAGAGTTCATTTGCAAGGCTAGAGCGCAAGGAATTGATCGTCCTTAGATGAGCAGACCCAGCATGCTATGACTGTGAGAGGAAGATAACAGTGACGTGGCCAAGCAGGCAGTTCTGTAGTGGAGACAGATATGACCTGATCAATGCCGTCTCTGGCTATCTGAGGTAGCGAAGATAACAGAGTATCTCCTAACTGCGATGTAAGTCAGAAGCCTGCCTCCTCGAAGAAGCTATAGAGATAAGGATTACGTCGAAAACAATGCAGTATCCCTGCGTTGCGACTCACCACTTAACACCTTTTGAAAACGAAGGGTTATCGAATGCTTCTATTGAAACCGAGCAGGATAATGGGTTCAATATATGCGTGTGTTTTTACGAGATACTTACGCATATGCAATTTGAGTTTCCTGGTGGGTTTCAAGGCTCTTGACAGCAAATACGAAAGATAGTCTAGTTACTTACTAAATCAATGTGCGGGCAGAATGAAGTGTAAATCCCGCAAGTGTGTACGGATGACAGGAAACCGAGTAGCTTGTACAAATTATATTATGCACAATCTGGACATCGACTATCGAACATGTTCAGTGGCTGCGGCATCGTTCGGACAATGTGCATATCTGGTTTCCTAGATAGAAGACATGTGTATGCCACAATAATGTAAGGATGAGTGAGAGACCTTAGTGGCAGATGAGAATGAATACTACCTACGGCGATCTCGGCGAGAATGCGAAATTCCTTGAAGTAAAAACGTTAATCAATTGAAAAGTAAATAGATTTATAATCCATCATCCCATGAGAGTCATCTGCCAGTGTGTAGTATTTTGGTTGTTTGTTGTATAGGCGCGCAGATGTAAAGCAATTGATCGGCATGGTGTCACTGTCCGATCCGCGGTTCCGATGTCCACGCACGTGGAATAGTTCTGCCCCGCTATTGCCTTCTGTAGTGTCTCTACCTGCGAGCACATTGACCGAACTCTTCTGTGCAAATAGTTCTCTGAATAGGACAACAAATGCGTGCAGAAAGATGGCCGTGAACCGGCGTCCAATCTTCCTATGTTTGGGAATGTAGGAGGTCAGCAGATGCGAAGTGGATTTATTTAGGAGGACACGTTTGGTCCGGGAGATCAACTCGACGTCACTTGGCGGAGCTCTGGTCTTGAATCATACCGATCCGTACCAATTGAGGGGACAGAGTAATCGTGGGTAAAACACCTCAACAGTCTCATATAAGCCTCTCGGACGCTTTGGCCGACCCGCATTCCGACTGTGCTATGCTCTCAGCCAGGGAACCCAGCCCAGAAATCATCGACGTTCGCATTGCGGACGGCGTCCAGACACCCGACAATGACAGCGGAAGCGCGGATCTTCGCGAACAGATCATCCAAGGGTTGAACAAGCCCGAAGGCGCTAAGACTTTGCCGACAATGCTCCTCTATGACGAGCTCGGATTGCGCCTTTACGACGCAATCACGACAGACTGCCCTGAGTACTACCTTTTTGCGTCAGTACTTGTATCACGTAAGACGCAGACTACTTATACAAGTTAATCGTGTCCTTCACAGCGCCGAGGAGGAAATCCTCAAGGAGAACTCGGATGAGATCGTACGCCTCATGCACGCTCGCGATGGCGAGGCAGACGTGCATGTCAAGCCCGTCGTCCTTGAACTGGGAGCAGGGTGAGCATGTTTCTTGAGTTTGTGCTAATTACGTTGTGTGGGCGTTGTGGGTCCCACCGCGACGCGTCTCGACGCGTCTGAGTTTAAGTATCTCCGCGTTCATAATCATATCTTATCTTCGTCCGTCTGGCTCTCGGCCGTGATCATCCGCTCTCGAATCGGATAGCGCCAAAAGCCTCCGCTACTCATGTCACTGACTTCCTATGCAGGGCGCTTCGTAAGACTTCGCATATTCTCTTAGCCTTATCGAGGTTGGCAGCCTCTTCGACCAACTCCCCGATTGATAACGAGAAAGACCATATTATTTACTTTGCACTGGACCTTGAGAAGCGTGAATTGGAACGCACACTCTCGGAGCTCATGGAAAACTACGGCGATCAATTGTCTGGCAAGGTTGCCGCAAAGGGAATGTGGGGTACGTATGATGGTGGCCTGAAATTCGTCGAGGAAGGCGGCCTCGCCGCGAAGATCGAAATCGTGGACTCTTCCGAGGAGGGTTGTCACGATTATATTGACAATGCAAATAGGCACAGTCCGAGTGCCTATCATGATAGCAAACGTAAGTCGTCGGGGGATGAATCGCCTCATTCTTCGAGGTCCGATGATTGGACCTCTCGGAGCTTCAGTACGCATGCTACATCTTTTAGCCCACCCTCTTCGCCCGGTTCGGATGCTAGCCGCGACTCGAAGACGAGTACACCTCTGCATATACTTTTCCTGGGGTCGTCTATCGGCAATTTCGATCGCGAATCAGCTACGTCTTTCCTTCGCGGCCTTCCGTTGAGACCAGGCTCTGGCGATACACTTCTTCTTGGTCTGGACCACGATAACGTGAAGGATCAAATAGAATTGGCTTATAATGATCCGAAGAATATCACAAAGGACTTTATTATGAATGGCTTGAAAAATGCCGGTCGGATGTTAGGCAAGGAGGACTTGTTCAAAGACAGCAATTGGGAATACTTCAACCGCTACAACGAAGCAGAGCGTGCGCATCATTCATATACTCCGATTAATTCTATCACTGATTAGTGTCTTGCACAGGTCGCCATGAAGCCTATTACAAGTCAACGACAAATCAGAAGCTCGAGATTCCTGGCTCTAACGAGGTCATATCCTTCCTAGCCAACGAGCTAGTGAATGTAGAAGTATCAGTGAAAGTCAGTCTGCTCCGATGTTTAGCTTGGAACGTGTCGTTAACTACATTCTCGAAAGTTCTCGGATAAGGATGCATATACTATGTTTACGAAAGCCGAACTCCGTCCAATGATGCGCTGGACAGACTCAGCAGGAAAATATTCTTTATGGCTACTTGAGCGTCCTGCCTTCACATTCCCACTCCTCGAATCGCCTCATCCATTTGGAGTCCCCACTCTAGACGATTTTAGAACGATATGGAAGGCATGGGATACCATTACCATTGGCATGATTCCGCGGTCCATGCTTTTTACGAAACCCATTGACTTGCGTCATATCTGCCTTTTCTATTTGGGACACATACCGGCTTTCCTGGATATTCATCTTAGTAGGCTTCTGGGAGAGCCGCACACGGAACCGGAAAATTTTAAGGATATCTTTGAGGTATAATTGTAGTTTTGTAGTTCCTCTGAGATGTCCTTAACTCTCGGCTCTAGCGCGGCATTGATCCGCATGTGGATGATCCTTCTCAATGTCATGTACGTATCTTGTTCTAATTCCTGATAACAAGCATGCTGATTAGATGCTTCGTCAGCCCCATTCCGAAGTCCCGCAAAATGAGGAAGACTGGCCTAGTCTCGAGAGTATTCTTAACTTCCGCGATCGTGTGCGGGCCCGACTTTCCCGACTTTATGATGACCTTGGGACTGGGAAACGTCAACTGACGAGGAAAATCGGACGTGTCCTCTTCATGACTCTGGAGCACGAAGGGCTTCATGCCGAAACCCTGCTATATATGCTTTTGCAGGGCGCGGGTAAACCTGGTGGAACTCTGCCTCCTCCGGGCTTCACAGTTCCGCATTGGGACGCGCTCGCGGAGCAATGGAGCTCTACTCCGAGTCCCGCTGAGCCGACAGTTACTCTTGGATCCGCGGAGATTACGCTGGGCCATGACGACCCGGAAGAGTTGGACGAGCATCCGGCGTTTAGAGCTAACCTTGATAATGTGGAATTCGGTTGGGACAATGAGCATCCGAAGCGAGAAGTCCATGTTGATGAGTTCCGGATTGAGTGGCGTCCGGTTAGCAATGGAGAATTTTACGAGTTCTATGAGCATGGCGGTAAAGACCTGGTCATGCTACCCGCGAGTTGGGTTGAGATTGACGGAGAAGTCCAGGTACACAATTTACATTCATCCCTCTCATATTTTCTCTAATTGGTTGGACGCATTTACTCAGGTCCGCACTCTGTTTGGACCACTTCCGATGAGGGTTGCACAGTCCTGGCCCTTGCTAGCATCGTACGATGACCTTTCGAAGTATGCACAAGTGAAAGGTGGACGCCTCCCCACTGAAGCGGAACTTCGCCTATTCTTTGACAAGTTTAAGAGTGGCTATGAAGGTGGTGCGAATTGCGGATTCAGGAATTGGCACCCGGTCCCGTAAGTATTAACATTAAATTATTTCTGGTAATAAGGAAAATAATGAGTTTATTTTCCTCGCAGAGCGACGACGGGTGGTGTGCGGAATGGAGGGAAGGGACACAACGGAGGTGTTTGGGAGTGGACATCAACTGTATTTGATAAATATGATGGTTACGCGCAGTCGAGACTTTATCCAGGGTTAGTTTCCATTGGAATCAATGAGAAATGATAAATCTAGCTTATTCAACTCCGTGATTTAATAGCTACTCAGCAGATTTCTTTGACGGAAAACATCGAGTTGTGGTACGTTGCTTTCCACTTCCCGTCTTCGCAGATGTTAACAACATATTTTTTGTGCAGCTTGGAGGCTCATACGCTACGATCCCTCGTCTGTCCGACAGACGTTCCGTGCGCAACTGGTACCAGCACAATTACCCGTACCCTTGGGTCGCTGGAAGGATCGCATACGACAAGTGAAGAAGATGGTAAATACTAATGGCAAACACGAGAACAAACTCTTAATTTGGAAAAGGAGAATATGTGGAAATTTATCTTCAAGTATCTTGCCTGATGACTGATTATGTAAAAATAGCTTACAGTTTTTGTACAAAGGAAATACGGATCTGAGACAATGAACTGATTGGATATTATGATCGAGAATAGTTACAGCGAGCGGGCTTAAGCACGATTTAGGAGATAAAAGTGATGGTTTATTTGATTTGAGACATGAGGTGTGATTCAATGCGTGAAAATTATGACAAATGTAAAACTTTGGTAATTGTTCGAGGTATCAAAATATGCGGATGCAGAGTCTAGAGTCCATAAGCTCTTCAGGACACACGGAAGATATGCGACATGATCAAAAAGGGAATATTGCGTAATGTCCATGAGCTGGAATCAAAATGAGACAACATGAAATCGTGTGAGACATGAACGGGTTATTGTAATTGAGTGGGGAGGAGTGCAAAAGAGTCCATGAGCTCGTAGAAAAGAAAAGAAAATGAATGAGAAAAACAAAGGTTTGAAGGGGAAATATGGTTCTAGTCGAACATCTTTGCGAGGTTACGGAAAACCTGAGGAAATTAAATAATTAGCACGATGTCTCAACTGCTTATGAGCGGAAATAACAAACCTTCTGGTGAGTGGGCATCCTGTGGAGAGCGTCTGAGCGGTGCAGGTGGCTCTCATCCGCGGGGATGTAGACCACAGGACGGTCGTTGTCCCTCATCGAACGGCTGCGCCTCTGAGACTTGGCGAGCATAACGGAGGGAGCCGGTGCCCAAGCGACTTCGTGCTCATGTTCATAAAGCGTCTTTTCAGATGCAAGCGAAGAGTGCTTCGAAGACGACGAGGCAGGGGATGCCTCATCAACCTGGTGGCGGGGGCACGGGCAAGAGCCACGACGAACTTTCTGCTGAGGGATGCGAACCGGTTCCGTCGGGCGGGAGTCACGGCGAACCTCTGAACGAGGTACTGGTACGCGCAACTCTGGCACAGGGCGGATCTGAGAAGACTGACGGAACTCGGGGTCCCTTGTGTTTATGGCGCGGTATGCAGCGTTGTTGCCGTTGTTAACACGGCGCTTGGGTTGAAGGTACGATGCGTAGTCCCCGAAGTAATCATCGTCCACAACCGACGGACGCCTGAGCTTTGCGGGAACCTGGGCGTTACGCTTGAGGGGAACTGGCTCTGGGAGGATCTCCTCACGCGTGTGCTTAGCGTTCAGTCGAGCGTTACGGATGAGGGGAACTGGCTCTGGGAGGATATCCTCCTCACGCATGTGCTCTAGGTTGAACTGGGCGTTACGAATGAGGGGAACTGGCCCCGGAAGTTGACCAGCAGCGTTGGTCCCTTGCACCTCCGCACGCATGGGTTTGACGTTAAGCTCAGCATTACGAGCGAGCGCAACTGGTTCTGGGCATTGATGCGCTGCCTCGGTCTTTTGAATGGTGATGGGCGAAGCACACGAATGTTCGGGCTTGCATGGCATGCCGGTTTCGTGAAGGCGCATCATGATGAGTCGTTGCCCAATCGTCAGAGGCTCTTCCTGTCTGAAGAATGCGTGGGATTCGTCAGGTCCCCAGCGGATGCGCCTGCTAGGAGGTAAAGACTGGGGTCTGCGACGACGCTGTTGTGCGAATGCGTAAGACATTGAGCTAGAGGTGATGATCGTATAAGACTTACACCGACGAACTGCTGCGGCTCCTTGCGCAGTATAGACTTCAAAGGAAGTGGGTCACTGACGGCTCTCTGTAATGAAACGTCAGTATATTATGCTATGCTGTGTTTCAGGTAGAACGCACGGGACGGCCGAAGTGGACCGCCGGGCCTGCGCCACTAGCGCGGCGTGCTTGAGGCTCGGGAAGTTCATGGTAGTTATCGTATGCCTCACGTTCACCTTTGCTCGGAGGATCTAAGAATTAAGGAAAATTAGGAAATTTTAAAGATATTATCGTTTGCTTTTTAACTCACAAGAGTTACGGTAGGCGGTCTTCGTGTGCTGTCGTTTAACGGACGACGGGACGTAATAGCCTGTGCTATCTCTGAAGCGAAATCCCATGGATTCTCTCAGCCTCTGTGATTCCTTGAGTAGTCGCGATTAGTTAGACAGAAGAATGTAACAGGATGATTAACTACAAACCTGAGCAGAAATCTTGCCTGCGAACTCCGTCTTCTCGGTGGGGGCAAGAAAGTCCATCATGTTAATCATTTGAGGACGAGAAGTGAGTTGTAGAGTGGTTGTTATAGTTTGTAGAGTGAATAGAGTTGATGATGCGAGTTTGTTGAATTTTAGCTGCTACAAGTGGTGGTATTTTATACATTTTCTTGAGGAATATGTCTCGGCAGAGAGGAGTTAGTTAACAATTAGTTGTAAGGAGGCTGTTCGAGCAGTGAAGGTCCAGACACGGCATCGTCCCGGCTGTCGATCCGCCGATCGGTTATTGTCCAAAATGAGACACTTCAGAAGACGCGGAGCGAGTGCATCAAATGCGTGGTGTACAGGCGTACTCCTACGCTCATCGAACTTATCACATCCTCTCGTGTAGTGTACACAATGTCTGGGTCAATATCGATGCTTGACCAAGTAAGCGGCATGGATTTTGTAGCTTTCTCTCGGAGTTCAGTTCACTAAGTCTATTGCTCTATGCAAACTGTCTCGACAGGGTCACGAGCATGCAAACAGCGCTTCCGAATACTATTCACGGGGTTTGCTCATTCCAGCAGCGGAGGAATACTACAAAGCCGCGGAGGCATTTCAGACATGCGCGAACCAGTCAACAGACGAGCACGTAAGTCTATCTAATTGTTGATGTGTGGAAACTCCTGTGGTGCTAAAGTGAAACTGCAATGACGTCTGGGCTTGATTCCTGTTCTGCTACTCCAGACAAAAGGAACTTTGCGAAAGCTGTGTACGCATTATTATTCCGTCGGAAAGGACCTACAGCGCCGTATAGCGAAGCTTAGGGAAGAAGGTAAAGACCCGTCATTACCGCAAGTCAGCCACTCTCCCCGTGGGGCAGCCAAGAGCAACGACAACGAAACATCGTCCAATCCTGGCTCGGGCTTGCATGTTCCACCTCGAGCCAGAAGCCTCGAATCGTCTGCAACGACATTCGATGAATCGTTTATGGTCTTGAACCAACAGGTGATTCGCCACCTTCTTTAATTGTTATTTGTCTCATTTTCTTATTTTTGGTGAAACATTATAATTATTCGCGGGAATAAGTCTGATAATAACGGAGAAGACTCGCCATTCGATTTATTTTGGAAGGTTACTGGCGAGATAATGTACAATCTGTCTCAGCCTATGTCTTTCCAAACAGCCGCCATGGCTGCGCTGGACGCCGTCGAAAGCCGCACGGCCTCGACTCAATCAGAATCTGGGAATAACGAGGCGGTTAATACTTCCATCCCAAGTGTGCGCAGAACAAATGGAATGCCAAACAAAGATCACCAGAAAAGGGCCGAGAGCGCGAAATCGGTTCAATTGTCGAAGACCGATGAGTTTGAACTAGACGATGACGGTGTGTCGTGCTCCACTAACAAAATGTTCGAGAATTAACGAATGTTTTCTGAATGTTCTAGACTATGATTCACTTGATGATTTTTGTTTCATACCATCAACTTCATCTTCCGACTTGTCCTCATCTACGAAACTGAAGAAGGAGAATGCAGAACTTAAGCTGAAACTTGAAAATATGGAGAAACAAATGGGTGCAGTACGACGGCAAATTACGCTAAGAAATGAGCAAGATCAGCACCTACGCGACAACATCATGCTCGCTCGGAAAGAGGTACGTTGCACTTGACTATCCTCGGCTTACTGACACTGATTCGACCGTGTGGGATTCTTTCACTAAAGGCACAACGAGCAATGGCAGCCTCAACATCCTTTGCTGTCCCCTCCATGCACTCAATGGCAAATCTCGGAAGTCCCAGTCCGGGTTCTAACTTAAATTTGCCTCAACCTGCTGGCGCAGGCGGCCGGGATAGAGATGCACCGCTCTTACGCAGGATTAGAGAACTAGAGGAGGAACTTCGTGTTGTACGCGTGGAGAACGAGAAGCAAGTAAGTTATCGTCTCCCGACGACTGTTCATCCGATACCGTGTAGAAAGTAATGTCCACTTACATCCCTCCTTCAACTTGCAGAAAGCGATGATTGCGAAGTTCAGAGAACGTTGGGAGAAACTCAAGGAATCTGCAAAGCGCAAGAAGAGTGCGAAAGCCAACGCTGCTGGGCAGACTGACTCCAGCGTAAGTGCTGGTGTACGAGAGCGCATTGACGAAGATCCAGAGGGCGAAGCCGCTGCTGCTGAAGACAGCGGTAAAGAGAAGAACTAATGCCCATTTGCATGCCTGATTTATTCCCTCGTTTCGTTTATCATGACCCAAGCATCGTACTTCTATGCATTCAAGTCGCTTCTTTCGCTGTCTTATTCTGTGTAGGATTGCTGTATCAGTAGACTCAGGTGCCCTGTATCGACAAATGCGCAGTGCAGTCATTCGTTGACAGCTGTGCGAGGATGTACTAATTATGAATAATCCGCTCTGATATATGCTTACTACCCATCCATTCAGAGTCGTTGCATTACATCTACCTATCGGTCGTAAGCATCTTACCCGCCAGCCTTCTTTCCTCGTTGAACGGGCGTGCACTTGCTCAAGAAGCAAAGGTAGAGCTTGGCGCACAATCACGAGATGAACGAGGAGAATGGGTGAATCGTACGACAGTGCGAGACGCGAGAAAGTCGGAGGACATACCTCGGGGGACGATCAGGAATGCCTGTCCTAACAACGATGAAGTTGGGGTATAAAAAGGGCTCTTGAGTAAAACATGCCAGGAAAGATGAATCACGAAGGAAAGATGAATCACGAATGCTGCTGCGTTAAAATCGCAGCACGGGACTTCCACTGTGCCGGGATTACTTTGGATACTTTGATGGGGACTAAGCCTGCCAGGAGTAGTTGATGAAAGCTACCAGGGTATTGTACGGTGTGCCGCGAGCCAATGCTGCGGAAAGGAGTGACACTACCATAGGATCGTGATGCATGGCCGATCCGATTAATGCGGGCGATTGTTTGCTTTGACAAGCTAGAACATCATGACGAGCTGCTTGTGTCATTCATATCAGACCATTTTCGAGACATCAGTGGACAACTAGAACATCTTGGGAATGAGAGATGAAAACCAGTGGAAGGTAAAGTAAGGATACAGTATTGAACCGGCTATGAGCTTATCTACTCACTGCAGCACAACTAGACCAAGGAGATATTTCTCGATATGCCTCAAGGAGAAATGCCCCAGTCTCAGTTTGAAGGAGGTCAAGTTTGTGAACGGTTTGTCTTTGGCTTGGCCACTTTCGAAGATGCGTATGAAACGGGAGAAGTGAAAATGGTCTGAATTGGCCTGATTTACAATGCCTCGGAGCTACAACTGCAGACTGAATTATCTTTCTTCGATCAGCTTTTTTCTCCCATCAATGAGTACACCAATTTGAATGAGCCGGTAAGGTCGAACGACCGCACATTTACAGACTCCATGCCACTTGCAAGATACTCTTGTATATTGGCCTGTGGTAAGAAAGTACGGCTCCGGTGCACTCCGCAGGGCCGTAGCAGAAATTACCGGGCCAACTCATCGGCGGAAGTCGATATGCGGGAAGTTCATGACTTGAGAAAATGGTCATTAATGAACCGAATCTTCATATATAATTTTGTTCTAGACAAATCGATGTCCTAGAAAATCGTTCCCCATTAGGCACTTGGCATTGACTTGTTTCGCAGCGGCGACAAACGTAGGAACAGGGTGGAAGAATTCGGAGAACAAATGAATATGGAATCGAAGCGTGGTCTCTGCTGGGAAAGTCCCCACGACTCGCCAAGTGTCCGGCCTGTTGGCACCACCTTCACGGTGCCGATATGGAATGAATATTTCATGTATGGATGGGGACGAACTTTGAGGAAGAAGAGTGTCGTGTGAATAAGGTCCTTTGGAAGGAGTGTTATACACTCACGACAATCGGCCTCCATGAAGGGCTGGAGGACGCGCTTTAGACACGAAAAGAACGCAATGAAGGCCTGATTTCTATTGCGGTGTACCACAATGATGTGAACGCAAGTAAAGACGGTCAGGGAATGCCGCGGAACGAAATAAGTAGTGGAGTGTGGCTGGAGCTCAAGGTCGATGAGCTTCTAAAGTTGTCGTCTCGCAATATTAAGTCCGCCGATTCAAGTTTAATTGCTCTGCCTTGAGCGGAATGTCCTATTCAATGATTTATATGTTCATTAAAATGAATGAAATGATGGGGATAATTAAAGAAGCCTGCCTTGTAGATTCTCAATTGAACAGGCCAAAGTCGATAATCTTTAGTGATCTAGCAGCGTTCAGAAATGCATCATTCGCGATATTGAAGTCTGCTTCTGTAAGGCCACCACCAGTCTCCTTTGCGATTGGGAGATTCGCGCTCAGAACGATGTCAACGCCTTTACTTGCGACCCTATAAACAGCAAGCAAGATGCGCACGTCATCAGGTGTCTGCCGATTGAATTTCGTAACCTTTTGAGAGCCATCGAGGAGGATCGGAGATGGAGTTCCTGGAGCATCTGGCTTATAGTCATCTGGAACAATGACGCTCGATACTGAGCTGGATAGCGCATCGTTATCATGGGCTAGTGAATCAAAGTGGAACCTGAGAGGCACCAGTGTCACTTTTCAGAAATTAACCTTGGTTAGAAACTAACTTGGCAGCTTCAGTTGGATCATCGGGTTCGACTCTTTGTAGTATTTCAATGATATAGCTGACATCGGAAGTTGGGGAGAAGAAGACTTCTTGGGTATCGGGAACTTGTCTTACAGTTCTAAGAGCTCGTCAATAGATGTAAACGACAACTACCTCAAAGAGAGACCTACGAGGCATCAACAAGGGCATCTGGCAGTTCAGCAGTGATGGCCCCGTCGAATAACTGTCGCAGTGTGGACATTGCAATGCAAATTATACAAGTATGCTCTGTGTGATGGGGTATTAAAGAATGACTTGGAACTGCATGGATGATGGATGACGGGCAAAATTAAATTGGTGCGACGCGAGTCGTCACGCGTTGTTTGTTTCGCAAGTTGTCACGGTCACTTATCCCTGCTTGAACCACGACTATCACGACGCGTGAGCGCAACATACTCTGCCATGGAATCAACGCGTCGGACAATCCGCCCGAGCATAGATCCGTTCGGGAATAGGCAGGCTGGTGCTTCTGGGATTCCAGCACCTTATACAATAAAGAAACCAACACCGGCTGCACGCCTCCGTCAGTCATTCGCTGGACCACAACAATTTCTGGCTGCTCCACGGAACTCGTTGTATCCATCTCAGAGCTTGAATGTTCCTCCTAGCGCATCAAAGCCGGGCCCGTCTTCATTTGGCCGTACTCCGATGCGCAGGTGAGTGCTGTTCGTTCTACGTTAATAAACAAGATTGTTTACCTTTCGTTTTGTAGTAGCGCACGAGGCGGTTCGCAGTGGAGCAATGGACGACAGTCCATGGTTCCCGCAACACCCCTAGCCAGCCATTCTCAAAAGGATCCAAGAAACATTCGCGACAAAGCATATCAGCAGACTCTGAGAAACACGATCTTTGCGTGGCTACAGGAAAGCCAGTTCCAGAGCACAATCTCACGTCAAACGCTCCTTTCTCCAACCGCAAAGGATTTTCGTGCTATCTTCGAGCATCTCGTTGGACTTCTTGATCCAACTCTGACGTTCGGAGAAAGGGGGAGGAAGTTTGAGGATGAGGTTATTCCAATCTTAAAGGCACTTCATTACCCCTTTGCCGATAGCATTGACAAGAAATGGCTTGCCGCACCGGCCAGTATGCACTCTTGGCCTTCGCTATTGGCCATGCTACATTGGCTTACAGAGCTCTCCAAGGCATGGGATTGACCATAGTGTCTTCCGAGAAAAGGGCTAATTTATATTCTTTAATTTAGGCTAGGTATGCTTATTTGGACAGCGCCGATCCTACTCTGCAAGACGTTGAGCAGGTTCCGGACAACTTTGATGATGAGAATCACCACGGAGCCCTAGCATTCAATTACTACGGTGATGCATATGGCAGATTCTTGTCAGGGGAAGACAACTTTAGTGAGCAAGACCAGTATCTCGATCAACGCTATGGTGAGCTTCATTCTTGTATTCCTTGGACATAGTCTAACTCCGGCCCTAGCTCGTAAGAACGAGAGTGTGTTTGCTGAGTTAGAAGCCCTGAATACCGAGCTCCAAGCGCTATCACAGGAGTACCAGAATTTGACAGAGAAGCCGGTATGTACCGTCCTTCAGCCTGTATAGCGACTTATGTCTAAGAGTTGTAAATAAAAGGCACCCATTGTAGATGTAGAGATCCAGAACGTGAACATGAAAAAGGATAAAAAGAAATATGAGGAGTATCTAGCACATTGCGAAAATCGAAAGAGGCGAGTTCTTGACGCTATCAGCAAGGAGGAGAGCGACATTGCGAAAGAAAGTAAGCATTTAGTACGGTTCACTGTTGTGTGAGTTCTGACCTTGGTGGAATGAAAGCCGCGACCCTACAGAAGCTGCGAGAGGAGCAGGAGCGCCTTGCGATTGTCGTCAGAGAGCAGAACCTCACACCAGAGGAAGTCGCTCATATGAACTCCGAGCAGGAGACTTTGTCACGAAGTCTAGAAGAGCTGCGAAGGAAAAATGCGGAGACAAGCAACAATATGCGCTCATTAGAAGTAGCATTGGCGAAACGAAGCGAGAATGTGGAGCAGGCAGTCGACGAATATACGGACTTTCTTGACAGACTAGGTCTCTTTCCAACTCCTCCACCTCCACTGCCACAGACAGACCTTCGCTTGGAGATCAACTTTGCGTCATCGAATCCTGCAGAGCTTGTGCGCCGCAGCATGAACGGCAAGGGAGCGGATCTGAAGAATGATATCAAGCCTGTTTTGGATGCCATTGCTCAGCACCTTCGGCAAGAGCACCAACGCTCGGAGAACGAAGTCATTACTGTTGAACAGGAACTTGACGAAGTTGGCGTTGAAACTGATAGGATCGAGGAAGATATTTTTGAGACTGATCGAAAAACTACGACTATCCAGGACGAGGTTGAAGCTATCCGAGTCGTGCGTGTCTTTCTCCCCAGTGCCTCCTAATTCCTGAACTGATAGACATACGAAGGCAACCCAACAAGAAGCTATGGTTACCAACGGCGAAGCAGTACGGCTTCAGAAGGAGTTAGCACACGCACGGACTGTGGCTCTCGCCAATGGTGTTGGAGTAAAGTCACGATTACAGGCACTGCAGATCGCGTACGTACAGCTTGACTTGTATAATGTTCTCGCAGGCTAATTCTCGCCACGCGTTATCACTGGCTAGTTACCAGGAACAGATGGAGCGTGTAGACAGGTTGAAGGAAGAGACTGTGCGGATGATCCTAAAAAGCAGTAGTGACATGGCTGCATTCCAGGAAGAGGTTTCCGGGCACCTTAACAATCTTCGACAATTTACGGAGGAAAATTGATACCATATAACTGGATACCGATATTTCAGTGCAAGTCAGTCCTCGATCCACTTTAATGTTCTCGGTTAGGTATCGATCTTGTGTATTCATATGATACTTCGAGCACGCCATTCTCGCACTCATGAGTACCCGTGTATAGTTATTATTATTTGTAGCAACAAGTCTAGAATGTGAGCTTACATTGCCCTAGGAGGTCTAGGGTGCTGTTCAATCTTCGGAATCTAGTGAGAACATGATGGTTCGGCATGCGCAACAATGCCCCGCACAACCCAGTTGACTGGGAAGCCCAAGCTCCATGTGCGATGCAAGCGAGACGGCAACGATAAGCGAGCCAGTACCAAGGTATTCGTTCCGCAACTGAGGTGCGTGTCCCGCTCCCAGATTTGATACTCAAGGCTTTGGTTCGTTCCTTTTGACGCGTCCACATTTGGCAAGTCACACAGCCTAAATCTGCTCTTGTACTCTCACCGTCATGAACCAGCGCAAGCACTCCGACTCAATCGTCTAATCGTTTCTTAACATTCTATCGACTGCACATCAAGAAGTGTCTGTTATCATACTGCTAGTGGAGCAGAAAACGGGGGTTGTCAAGCGCACCGCGCCCACCAATGAGCTGCTCTCACGAACCCGACCGTGTGTTGTTTCCTCCAGGGCAGGAAGGCGGCCAAGCCCATGCACGTCAGCGTGCCGCAATTTTAAAATACACGCACCGCTTTCCATCTCACGTACTGATTCGTCTTTTGGATATCTGCAACATGTCCTTGGTTCGCTCTGTGCTGCTATGGGATCTATGTGTGTCCGCTCTCTCCTAATCAAGTCTGCGTGGAAGCCTACGTCCCTCTTACGGTTATGCTCCGAACACATCTGCCAAAGGAGGTACGTGCACCTATAGCCGCCGCTTCGCATCATGTACCAATCAAATGTCTGGGTAATCTCGACCCAACCCCTTGACTTTACGTTCGTAAATACAAACAATATGCATTACCGGATTGCCAATGTGCTGGTCGCCATGTTCAAGGAATGGAATCCTAGTCTAGTCGAGAATATACTGTCCAAGAGGCAACTTCTCTTGGTATTTCGTCTTTTTTACTTATTGCTGACGTTCGCGGAATATCACACTATATCAAATTTCTCTCGGGCGAGGGAGTCTTAATTCCAGGTCGGATCCGGTTGCTTTAGGTACCGGTACTTTGGGAAGGCTTTCCACTGTGTTCTTTCTCTGGACATTCGCGCCGTGGTACAGGAGGCCCAAATCATCGCGTGGAGTGAACTCTGGATCTCGCACTCTCTGCTCTCACGGAATGGAGGTTTGTGTGAATGGATAAGGAAGAAGCTTTTGCATTGGGTATAAGAATCGGAGTAACCCATCTCTATCCCCTCGCGAACCTGCCAGCAGACACACATCCTGCAAGAGCGACTCTCCACAAGATGTCCTCTAAGACGCTAACAGAAGGAAGCGCGCCCGCATACAACGACGCAGAGCGGGGCCTAATTGACGTCCATGACCAGCGAACACGTGCAGTAGTCCCTGCTTTCACTTCACAGGCGCCATCGTACCCAGTGGATGAGAAGAAGGCCCTTGCAAATGCGACCTTCTTCCCTCCCCCGAAGGAGAAGGAAAAGGAGAAACCCGCAGCTGTTACTGTAGCACCCGCTCCCGCTCGTCCTGCCCCGAAGAAAAGGAAGAAAGTTTCGAAATGGATTCTCTTCAAGCTTTGGTTCAACACGTATAGGTACGTGGACATGTTCAATATATATGCACTAATTAGTTTAGGTCCTGACATGCCCTGTTCCGCAGAAAATTCTTCACTTTCGTTGTCACAGTGAACGCTATTGGTCTCGGGTTCGCTGCGTCTGGGCGCTGGCAATATCCACTCCGTTTTCCTGGTGCTCTTATTCTGGGAAATCTGTTATTCGCCATCTTAATGCGGAATGAGGTGTTCGGCCGCATTCTTTATTGGTTCGTCAACACGTTCTTCGCAAAATGGCCACCGCTATGGTTCAGACTTGGTTGCACATCTGTTCTCCAGGTGCGTGAAATCATGAGGTCTCTAATTATAAATAAATCCCTTAACAATCTTGCAGCATCTTGGTGGAATTCACAGCGGCTGTGCATTGTCTGGATTAGCTTGGCTAACTCTCCATGTCGTTGAAACTTTCCGTCAACACGATGTCATGCATGATTCCATTCTGGCTACCGGTGTTGCCACGAACTTAGCAGTCGCAATCAGTGCGTTGAGTGCCTTCCCATGGGTTCGAAACACCCATCACAAGTAAGTCACGGCTTTCTTCTTTCCAACGCGTGATCGTCTTATTTATCATCGGCCAGTGTGTTTGAGCGTCATCACCGTTTCGTTGGTTGGACCGGAATTGTTTTCACGTATGTGGATATGAAGCTTATACATTGTCTATCTGCCTGGAAATTGACTTCATTTCTTCTTGAACAGCTGGGTGTTTACAATCCTCGGTGATATCTATGATCCGAACACACGAACGTGGAATCTCAGCGGTATTCACGTTGCTAAACAGCAAGACTTCTGGTTCATTTCCGGGATGACTGTCTTGTAAGTTATCCGATTCGAGTTGTTCTCTGTGATATTAATGGTTATTTGTAGGGTCTTAATTCCCTGGTTCTGTGTTCGCGAAGTACCAGTCGACATCGAACTTCCGTCTCCCAAAGTCGCTATCATCCGATTCAAGCGTGGTATGCAGCAGGGCTTACTCGGCCGTATTTCTCGGTCATGTATCATGGAATACCACGCTTTCGGAATCATTTCTGAGGGAACACACGCGAAATATCATTATATGGTCTGTGGTGTCCAGGGCGACTTTACCCGCAGCCTCGTAAACGATCCTCCAGCGACCCTGTGGACTCGAGAACTAAAGTTCGCAGGTGTCTCCAACACATCTACCCTATACAAGCGAGGGGTCCGTATTTGCACTGGGACGGGGATTGGTGCAGCGCTTTCCACATGCATCCAGAGTCCTAATTGGTACTTGATTTGGATCGGCAGCGACCAGGAGAAGACATTTGGACCAACCATTTCTGGACTGATTTACCGACACATGCCACCCGAAAGGTAGGCATAAGTTGTTCTTTGGAGCGCCAGAAGGATTGTAACGATCTTCTTTCAGGTACCTTCTGTGGGATAGCAAGGTACGAGGGTAAGCATTATCGGCGAATCTACTCTCGATGGGACTTCTTTCTCATGTTCTATTGTTAGTGGCCGCCCGGACTCGATGAAGATTCTCAAAGAGGCGTTTTATTCTTTCGGAGCAGAAGGTGCGTTCGGAGCAATTCACTCGGGCGAAGCGCCGAGCCTAACCATTAATTTCTAGTGGTGTTTATTACTTCGAACTACATCGGAAACTCCGAGCTCATGGAGGGATGCAAAGAAGCTGGAATTCCCTGCTTTGGGACGCTGTGGGACTTCGTAAGTAATTTTATCTCCTCGAAATATTGATATGTCCTGACATATCTGAACTGTATAGTGAACAATACAGTCTTCTTGAAAGGCGTTGGGGGTTTCGTAATGTAGCATTTACTTCTAGAGGGACAAACGCGGTCGGTCGTTTATCAGTAACGTATCATACTCTCACGGAAATCTACCTATCATGTCCATTTGTCTATATTCACGCCTCTCCATTCTTCATATATTTACTCTCTATCAAATACCTGTATTATGACATCTTCAGTTCTCGTTATCCTCTCACTCTCATCATTTGTGTCCATTATTGTGGCCGAGCGCCGACCTCCCCCACTACCACACTACCACCACACACGCCCTCGCAGACCACATGCACGCAAACCCAAGCGAAAGTGAACGCGACCAGACCAACAATGGATGCGGGCTTCACACTCTCGTGAGACGGATGTTCGGGATGAGGATAAGGAGTCACACATTAGAATAGAAACCAACTGGTGTTCATTCTCAAGCGGGGCTACTTCGCGTGCGTGCGGAAAGGGCGTAAGAAGCCTTAAGAAGCATGAGAAGGAGTACGGGGTAAACAAATGATGGAAGTATGATACGCTGCGTCGGCGGGAAGCTTATGGGAAAATGAATTGGTTTTGGCGCGCTATACGTGAATGTGGTACGGGAGTAATTGAGTTTTTCCTTTTGTGGTAGGAATGTCTTGTAAGAAGACCTTCGTGCGCGTGTATGGATGACCCATTTGGCCTTTTGTGGGTCATTGCGTCTTATTGCGCGTTATTGGCCCATTGCTTTTTATCTGTTTAGTTGCTATGAGGTTATGAGATTATGAGATTGTTGCACGAGATATATGTGTAATTCTGAGTTCAACGTCTAGTAAGGAGTGAGAAACCCTTGCTGATCATGTTAGGGCAAAGGAATAAATAGTTCACAATGTGCATATTGCTCAATTTTCAAGTATTCCAATTTAGACAAACATTAAATTCACCATCTTCAAAGCATATCTCTGCCATCATCATGATTCACAAAGGTCCCTTACCGTCACCCAGAGCCTTGGACTCGGAGTCTCTCACTGGGAAAAAGTCCATACTAATTGGGTGACGAAAAACGAAAATGAGTCAGGACAGGTCTGGACACGAGAATATTTTCATTTTTCTGTTCACAACAAACTTTGCTGGCTGCCGGGTGGGTGGGTGCAAAGCGATGAAATGATATGACGTGCTTGTTGGGGGGCGGCGGGGACAGGGACAGGGAGGTCGAAACTCTCACTTACATTTTACTTGTAGCTATTTTTTTTAATAGTTGTAACTATACTTTGCACACAAGGTACGGACAGAGATAGACAGATAGTCGTATTTGCATTGTATACATCTCCATCAACATCACACAGATTCACAGATTTAGTAAGGGGTAGAACAGACAGTAGGAACAGATAGATAGATCGAGAACATGAATGAGCGGGGATGCCAAGAAGAAAAGGGGAGGGAGGGAGGAGGGAAGACGCACGGGAAGGAGGGGGTAGATAGATAGAAAATCACATTCATCATTGGACCAGGATAAGAGAAAGGACAGTAAAAGCGCATGAGAAGGGAGAGAACATGTAGGCCCCAACCAATGCGTTACTCGGCACGCTTACGACACCAACACTTACAACACCATCGGGGGGAACGCGAATAGAAGGTAATGGAAGGAAGAAGAGAAGAACGAGGGGCATCGCAATAATGAATCGAGAACGGTAGACACGCCGAGCAACGAGCGCCCATCCGGGTCCGATACAACGCGAGAAAACAGTCACGCAAAAAATTCCACGAGCACTCGGACAGAGGAGAGTAAGGGAGAAGCCGTAAGAAGAGGGGGGGAGGGGGGGGGTGAGGGAGAGGGAAGAGAAAGAATCGGGGTGCTCGCTATCACCGCGTGTACGCCCGAAAGCTATTTCGCACAGCTCAGAATAAAAAGGTAAATAGAAGTTAAAAGGGAGGTTCACAAGCACGCGGGGGCTACAGGTACACGCGGAGCTCGCAACTGGGAGCGACTGGAAGTGGGGCTTGATCCTAGTCTAGAGTCTAGATAAAACAATACTCCTCAAGGATTTGGCCTGGCTTGCCCATCCATTGCCATCGGCGACCGGGGTAAATCGTTGTGTTCGGCTCTAGACGGATCGACCGCTTCGCGAGCTCGGTCAGAATACGCGCGATGTTCCTCGTATCCTATAACCATAAACATTCACCATAAAAATTTAAAGTTAGTTATGGTTGGGTTTGTATGTAGAGAATGAAGTGAATGGATGAATGGATGGATGAACTCATAAGTGGAAGAGAGGGGGAGAGGGCGAGGGGAGAGACAAATCTTGCAAATCAGCATCCACGGTTGTCAGACCGCACCAACATCCCAAGATCGATAGCGGACATAAAGAAGGCAAAGTACGAGCTCGGAAGAAAACACTCACGTCGATGCCACAATGTTGGCGTCCAATAAACTCAGCAAGGTTAAGTGTACGCAGCTGTTCCTCGATGTTCAGCGTCCGACGCCTTGGAGCGCGAGCATCACGACCACCACTGTTAGCCTGAGAGAAAAGTGAAAGAGAGAGTAGCAAGGGATTAGTGTTCCATTTGGCATGCTGGAATGGATAAAGATCGTGGAAATAGCAACGAATGGAATGGCGCAGATACGTCGCAGTGTTCATCCGGTACAGACGTGGACGGATAACAATCATAGATATAGAAGAACGAATCGGAATGCCGATGCGAAATTTCTGCTCAACGTCATCACTAGCGTCAAGCTTGGTGGATGCCTCTGCGACCTTATCAACTGGGATGGCAGAGACAATCTCGCTCGCATGCCGAATTCCTTCCCACAAACAAACCAATAATCGTAAGATACGAAAGAATCCATACCTTAGAAACAGGTCCCTTGGTCTCAGCCGTCTGCTGTTTCGTCGTTGTCGTCTCCCTCTCCCCAACTTGTAAGTTCAAACAATGCGTCACGACCCTCCTCACGTCCAGAACCTCGCCCTTTAGCCAAGTAGGCATCTGAATCTATAAAAAAGTTACACAAGTCAGTATCCAGTCCTACTGAGATTCGATCGGAGGATAAAGCGACGAGGTGGGAGATGATTTATTTACTTACCTTTGAGATAAAGCACTGCTTTACCACGAAATCCCGAATGTCGAACGGACCGTCCGTGCACCTGAGAACATAAGAACATAAGAACACAACATATTAATACGTCAGCCAGATAGATATAGATAGAGAAGAGACATCCATGAGCATGAGCTTTGTCTATCTGTATTTTTTATTGACTTCTTAGAATCTTACATACCAAACAAACCGCTCCCGCTTCGCCTCCGTCGCATCATCAATCAACTCATTCCTTACAAGAAACTCTCTAAAAGATTCTAGGACTTTGGGAAACTTTGGGGCTCGGTCTACTTGTGTCTATATGCTGCGTTCAAGAACGGAAAAGACTTTGCGATGTGGATATGCGTACTTGAGTTATGCCGGTCAAGGTGGTACAAAATGCGGATAGTTGTGGCTTCCAGATTGGTCGTACGAAACTACGGAATTCGTCTGTAACAAAGGAACTGGATTCATGTCTGCTTTGTCTTCCTTAGGACAGTAAGTGACGTACCCGCAACATATAACTCCTTCGCCCTTCCTTCCTTATCTTTATTTCGCCAACGTAACAAGACTACAGGCCATTCCTACGTATAATCGTAAAAATGTACAATTGTGGCGTCAATCCACCAATCCACCGTTATCATGAACAAAGCGATTAAAGACACGCACGATAATCTCGTTCGGCCAGTTAAAATCCGTTCCTTCCTGACAAGTAGCTTCGACATCCAGAACCAAAAACGAGTCAAAGGGTTGTTTGATAGGCCAAGGTGATTCGGGTTTCTCTAATTTGGGGATGACATCGAGCGCCGCCGATGTTCGGTCGGTTAAGGTTGGAGGGGGTGGCTCTGGTGCGGGTACTGGTACAGGACGCGCAACTAGGGGAGAGGCGATCATTGCACGGATCGCAGAGAGGAATGTACTAGTCGCGTTCGAGGGCGGGGAGGCGGGGGAGGAAGAGGAAAGAGGACTGGGAGGGGTGATGTTAGCTGAAAGAGGCCTAGGGACGGTGGCCGGGCTATCACTCGTTTCGGGTAAGTCCTTTGCGGCAAGGTGGCCTGAGGTTACGAGAGCTGTGTCGTCCTCTGGTGATTTGAGTAGCAGGGCCTTCAGTACACGAGATGTGAGGAGGAAGAGGAATAAAGTGAGGCAGCCTAAGAGGGTGATTTGGATAGGAGAGTTAGACACGAGGAATAGTTGAGGGATGGGGATACGGAAAGCAATTGCAGATCGTAAGTCAAGAGCTCTGTACATCGCCCTGTGACGCGGATTGAGTGCGATGACCGCTAAGCCCTTGTGCGCCTCTTATCGTGCGCGTTGACCGACGCGACACGATCTGTAGGGGTGAAAGAGAGGAGGAGGGCACTAAGAGAGGGGCACGCGTATTGCGTGTTGAGTGCTCGTGTGTCGTCAAAGACGCTGTAAATTGCCCAATTCAAGCGATCGGCAATGTGCGGTGCCGCGCCTGCCTTTCTGGGACTTTTTAGATCCATTTATTGTGTTTTATTTTATTATCCTCTCTCCGTTATACTTTGCTCTCCTCTCTCTCCTTTTATCCTCTTTGTCTTAAGCCATGAGCCTCAACGACAAGGGAGACGGCTTCGAAGATGACTTTGTGCTTGATGATACCGTGGCTTGGTCAGACGGCGAAGGAGGAGAGGAGGCTTCGTCTCCTGAGGAAGAAACGGGTGATTCCAGCTCGAGCTGGCCATTCAGCAGTGCATCCACATCTGCGCAGCCTCTCTCGCCCAACGCGAAGAAGCGTAAACGAAGAGATAAGGAAAAGGCGAAAAAGTTAAAGGTGTGTATAGTCTTCTCTGCCCCCTGTACTTTCTTTTCTGATCCGTCCGAAAATATCGCTCAGAAACGACGTATGAAGGAGAAGGCAATCGAATCTTCCGAGCCTGCGTCTATCGCTGCACAGTCTCTTACACTTCAAGCCGAGTATTTGGCAAAGCTACAGGCGAAATCTTTCCCCAAGCTCTCTACGGTCGAACTTGATGACAGACGAATACCTGGTACAGTCTCCTATATTCTATAATACACCCGAAGACTTGGGCTAATAGCATACAGAGAATGCGCTTGTCGACACTTCAGCATGGTCAGCTCCCCGGTCCCTCGATCAACTACCAGATTTCATCGCGAAAAGTTCGTGCACAATCCACCCCATCACCTTTGCTAACTGACCTTATTACTCATCACATTGCATAACAGTGGTCCCAACCCTCAAAACCCGCCTAGCTCAAAAATCAAAAGACAACGGCGCACCAACCCTCCTCTTCCTCACCGGTGCCGCTCTACGCGTCGTCGACGCCGTTAGAGTCTTAAAGTCAAAGACATTACGTGGCGAGAAGGGCGGAGATGTGGCGAAGTTGTTTGCAAGGCATTTTAAGCTTGAGGAACATGTTGCGTATCTTAAGCGAGCTAAAATTGGATCTGGTGGGTTTTGCAAAGTTTGCAACGAAACGATTCCTTTTTTAACTGATATCTTTGTACAGCCGTGGGCACTCCTGGGCGAATAGGAAAGTTACTTTGTGACACTGGTAAGTATCTAACATAAAACTTTTGCATGCGGCTACGATCTTGAATGTTGTCCCTTTGAAGACGCACTGTCAACATCCGCCTTAACCCACATCATCCTCGACGTAACTTACAAAGACGCCAAACAACGCAGTATGTTCGACATCCCCGAAACGCGAGATGAAGTCTTCAGAACTGTCCTCGGTGCTGATTCTGTACGGCAGGGTATCCAGCGGGATAAGATTCAGATCGTTCTCTTTTAGTTCGTCAGTCAAGTCAGGATTTTTTCTTCCTTTTTCTTTTTCTTTTTCTTTTTCTTTTTTCGTGGTAGATGTTGGATGAATATGCAATTGTTCAATTGTTCCATAGCATGAAGACTCTTTTTGTTGTAATGCATTGACATTAATGTATGTCCGCGTAATATAAGCAAACAAACAAATGAATGTAGCTCTAAAACCGAAAACGACGGGGTTAAAAGCCCTTCGGGTTCGTTCGTAAAGTAAGCTGTAAATGATACAATATGACTTCAATATACTATACGACGGCAGAATCTGGAATAGATTTGACACACCCTAGTGAATTTCGGCACCTTATGCACGCCCTTTCTATAGCCTTTATCCCAAGCTGAGAAGACAGTGTATTTGTCCCGTGCAGGCATCTCGTGCTCTTTCGGTAGCTCGAGAGCTTTGTCCTGCAATCCGTTCATCCATTCGTTCATTCATTATTCTCAGTTACGAGAAGATGATAGGCAATGGAAAGGGAGTAAAGGAGAGGTACACACGAGAGCAGCACACTTAACACCACTAGCACGAACAGCTTCGATTACCGAGTCGACCTGTTTTAACCTCTTCCTTTGGTTTGCTTTTCGAGTTACTGAGAGTTTCCATGGTGTCTTCCTGTTCAAAACAACATTAGTTCTCTTCACGGATTAGTACAAGCGACGGTGTGAGGTACCAGAGGAGACCGCTAAAGCTGACGTGCGAGGCTCGAAATGGACCGAGCATCGTCGACGAGGACACGAAATAGTGAGCAATACGAGGAGTGTGAACAGACTCAAACAGAGGAATGGCACGTGAATGACATAATCACCAGCACTTGCTTTCTTCTCGAGTTGCGCGCCTCTTGCCGTCACCAGCAACTCTACACCTCCCTCATCCCTACCCATTCTACGCTGCCACAATGAGCGCACTCGACGTCGCAATGGCCACACCCCCGCTAAACGGTGCAGCCGTGAACGGTAACGGTCATGCCGTAGACGGCAGTAGCACTCCAAAAGGAGTGAATGGCGACGCAGGAGAGGCGCAATCGAGGTTCGCTACAGGGCTTATTCTCCCTCCCAAAGAAATCAAAAGTGAGCACTAACATACCCCTCCTCTCTCCTCTAGCTCAACTTACTAACGATCACGCAAAACTTGGTAGCTATCATCGACCGAACAGCCTCCTTCGTAGCCCGCTCCGCCAACCCCATCCAATTCGAAGAGAAAGTCCGCGAAGGCCAACGGAGTGATCCAAAATTCTCCTTCCTCAACCCCGCAGACCCCTATCATGCGTACTACAGACATAAAATCATGAAGATCTCGCAGGGGGAGGAAGACGAGACGCCTGTACCGGAGAAAGTGGAGGAAGAGAAAGTTGTGGAGGAGAAAAAACCGAAGGGCGGGATCGTTCCACTTGAACCTCCCCCATCGGATTTTATTTTGGATATACCGCCGGTGAATGCTGTTGATTTGTGAGTATCCGTGTTCTTTCTTATTAGTTGAATTATGCGGTGTACTGAATAAACATGTTGATTCGACGTATAGGGACATCATCAAGTTAGCCGCTCTATTCACTGCCCGCCGAGGTCGTTCCTTCCTCTCCAAACTCGCTGCACGAGAAGCTCGGAATTACGAATTCGAGTTCCTACGTCCGACACATTCTATGTTTAGTTATTTCAACTCTTTAGTTGAGCAGTACTCGAAAGTGCTGTTGCCCTCCAAGGAGATGTTGGAGAAGTTGAAGCGAGGGACTGAAGAAGGTGCGAGGTGGAAGATGTTGGAGATCTCGAAACAGCATGCGGAGTGGGAGAGACTTAAGCAGGAGAAGGAGAAGAGGAAACAGGATGATAAGGCAGCGGAACGAAGTAAGCGTCTACACATTTCCCAATAATCGTAACAACAATTATTAACATCTGATGTAGTTGCGTTTGCGGAGATTGACTGGCACGACTACGCAATCGTGCAGACAATCGAGTTTACAACGGCCGATGCAAACTCGGAACTTCCAGAACCAATGACTATCAACGAAATGATAAGTCGAACATTAGCGCAGAAGAAGATGGCGGCTATGATTATGGAGGATACCGTTGATGAGGTGGAAGCTGTACGTGCTCGACAAGCTGCTGAGGCGGAAGCACAGGCAGAAGCGTTGGGAGTGAACGGTGCTGCGGAAGGAGATGGTACGATGGAAGTTAGTGATGACGAAGACAATGAGGTTAAGGAGCGGAAGAGGAAGGAAGAGGAGGAGAGGCAACGTGAGATGGAGAGAGCTCGGGCTATCCAGGCTACTTCTATGGATGCATCAGGTCCGATGAAGATTCGTACGGACTACGTACCAAGACGTAATTGTTTCTCATTTTGTTTTGTGGAATTGAGCTGACGGCTTTCCTAGTGGGCGCGAAGGGCGCGAAGGTCACGATGACCACCTGTGCCGTCTGTGGACAACAAGTACCCGTCGACGAACTACAAGAACACATGCGTATCGAGCTTCTCGATCCTCGCTGGAAGTCCCAACGCGACGCTTTGGAAGCACGTCGCGCACAAGCCAACGAACTACAACGCGGAGCGAACGTCGAGTCATCACTTCGAAATCTCGCCCGTGCGCGTGTGGATATCTTCGGTACAGAGGTGGACGAAGAGAAACGTAAGCTTGAGGAAGAGGCAGAACAGGCGAGGAGGAAGGAAAGGGAGAAGAACGTTTGGGATGGACATACGGCTTCGAAGGATAAGACGCTTGATAAGTATCAGTCGAACGTCAATTTCGAGGAACAGATTGCAGCTATTCATCGTGCGAAGGGGCTTAGCGCGTAAGTCAAGTCCGGTAATCCCACTCAAATCTAATGGCATTTTTTACTAATGGGATTCCTGTTTGTTCCTTCGTTTAGTACGGATACAGGTGCAGGACCAGGTATAGGTCCTTCAGCAGGCCCAGGCGTCCCCTCCCTACCCGCACCACCACCTTCCCTCCCAGCTCCACCACGTCAAGCAGCAGGCACACCAGGAGCAGTCTCCGATCCAGCCTTCGCAGCAGCGACTGTATCAGCAGGTCCACAACCCGCAACGATGTACGCTGGTCAACAACAACAACAACAGCAACAACCTGCACCTGTCATGCTTCCACCATTACATTACCAAGGCCTCGATGCTGCCCAGCCGTTTGGGTTCCAGCCTCCACCTAGCGCAGCTGCTGGACCTCCTACGCCCGCGGGTGTAGGTATGGGTGGTATGGGAGGTGCGACTTCTCCACCGGGTATGCACCCTTCGCGACTTGCAGCGCTCGGTGCGTCCCCGCCACTTGGGACTGTACGTTCTGCGGATCAAATGGAGAGTGTCGAAGGCGGAGGGATGGGTGAAGGGGATGGGGGGTTACCACCTGCGAAGAAGCAGAAGATTGCGAGGTTACCTGGTGGACAGTATTATCCTGAACAGAATTGGATTGATTTGCATCCCGTGCGTTCTTATCTTATTTCCTCAACGCAGATCTTTTCTAACTCGTCTTTCTTCGCCCACAAAACAGTACCCAATATCAATCCAAATCCAACTCCCCACCGACCCTTCAAAACCCGAATGGAAACTCGACGGTTCAATCGTCACTCTTCCCGAAATTCCTGTTACGTATCTCGTCTCTACGCTTCGCGACCACCTCGCGCGAACAATAGGGAGTAGCGTGCCGTTATCGAGGATAATGCTTTCGTTTGGAGGGAAGATGTTGACGAATGCGAATACGCTTGCGAGTTATAATGTTGAGGATGAGGATTTGTTGGTTATGAGTGTTAGGGATGCTAAGAAGAGGAAGTAGGTAGGAGGGTAGAGGGAAGGGTAGGAATAGGGGGTGTTGTTGGGTTTTTATTTTGTGATGGTATTCTTGAAGAGAGGGAGTGATGTATATTTTACGTAGTTTATTTTAGTGCATAAAATACGAACAATGCTGTTTTACAGTATGCTGTCATTGAGGTTGCCGGGTTTTCTAGTATACTAGTAGTGTGATTACTGCAATATTTTAGAAACAGAGTGAACAGGCTCTATCATCTGTTTGCTCATGAACTGTTATCCTCCACTTTGTATTTGGACATAAAATTTACTAATACTATTGTGACAAAAGTAAAGCCTGTCTAAATTAGCTAAGTGAGTTGATAAACAGACTATCTGGTGCAATCAAATTATACACAAACATTTGAAAAAACAACAAGATTTCAGTATAAATATTGTTAAGGTTTTCAGGTCAGTATGATTCATACCTTTTTCTCTTTGTATGTCTCTTTCTTGGCGTAGTTAATAGAATTAAGCTGTATGGAGTCAATGAATAGCATGATAATAGTATTTAATACATTAACATTAATTGGATATGCAGTGGGAATGGATGGTTGGAGGTAACTGTGCAGCAAACTAACTGGCTTCTGTGTAGACAATATGGCTCAGTAATGGTCCGCTATATCCTGGAGTGTTGGGCCAAGACTGTCATTCACATATTTTCGCCGAGGAAACTCCTCTATTTGAGGACCTTCTGTAAACGTGCAAGGTGATAGTTGATGGTAGTTTGTCGTCTCTTTCCTCCTTTCGTCTGTAAGATAAGAAAGGATAAAAATTATTGTTAGCACCAATTTTTTGTCTGTATTTTCGAGTAATTTAAAATAAGAAGGGGGGGGGGAGGGGGGAGGAGGGGCAGCGAGTAGAAGATTGGACGATGATGTATGGAAAGTACAGACAAAGAAGAGAGCAAAGACAGAATGAAGTTAAAGAAAAACAAAATTGGATTGGAACGTACGCTATTCCGCATGCATTCTGCGACTGCTTTGGCTTTTTCTGCGCACTCTCCAACGTTATTTGTGTCTTTCGTTGCAGCCCAACAACTTAGCATGGCAAGCGTCTCGGCAGCGCAGGGCGTTTGGTAGCCGGCTATTCGTTCGACGTTCAAAAGCCATTATTCGTACATTCGTAAGTAAGAAGGGTTGGGAAACATCCAGTCGAGCATTCGTCCAGCGGGTAAAACGAAATGGCACGATGAGCACAAGATGCTGTGAACAGCAAAAAGGTAGGACTGACCTCGCCCCTTCCGGACCTTCAACTTCTTAATATGCATTTCACCGTACAGCCAGCCGTCTTTGCACGTAAAATCGTCAGCACAACCCGTTCACTCGACTCGCTGTGGATGTGCTGTTTGAACCGGAGAATTATTCGTTGTCGATGTCGGCCAAATTTCGGGAACAGCCGCGTTTCCTCCAGTGGACCAGTGAAATTGCACATTTGACGCAAAGTAGATCACGTGGATCTCGACACGTCTCGCCACGCTGACACTGCTCTGGTCTGGCCCTCATACTGCTCCCATAACTCTCTCTCATCGTACCACTCGTTGCACAGCTCTCCATTGCTTTCCTCTGTCTCGTTCTGCCTACATTAATTTATATTATCAAAATCTGAAGTCTACAGTGCACGAACTCTACAAACTCGACTGCTCGAGAAGAACCATAGAAACACAGATCTCAGTACCTACACACGATGGCGACTCGTTCATCCTTCAACAAGAACAACTCCGGTACGTATTTCTCATGCTGCGAGAACTCACAGAAGATGAACACGGAGCTAATGGATCGATAGCTGTGAAGCGTATAATGCAGGAAGCCCGCGAGCTCCAGAACGATCCATCTACGGAGTATACTGCCGCACCCCTTGAGGTGTGTACGTCTCTACCCTCCTATCTAGGAACTATCATGCTCATACATTGGCATACGTCCCACACAGGACAATCTCTTCGTAAGTTCTGCGGCGTCTCATCATGAAGTTGTTATCTGTCTGTCCCTTACTCAACTCCGCCGAACGCTCCTTTACCTAGGAATGGCACTGTACACTTCGTGGTGCACCTGATACGGACTTTGAAGGCGGTTTATACCACTTCCGCATAATTCTTCCTGCCGAATATCCCTTTCGACCGCCATCGCTTATGATGCTCACACCAAGCGGACGCTTCGAGACACATACAAAGGTGTGTTATCCATCCAATTCTCTCTAGCTTTTATCCCATCACGGCAAACTCACGGAAGATCTTCACATGCTCTTGCATATGAATTTACCACGGACCTGCTTCTTGCGCATTCCATTACGCCTTCGGATTGCGATCGTGACTCATGGTGACTCATCATGCGCTCCTTGCGCGGCTCTGTACGTTTTTGCGTTTGCGTCAAACCCGGCGGCCATTTGCCGAATTGAATTGGGTATCCGGGACAGTTGTGTATTAGCTTCACGAACTGTAAGTGAAGAGTGACTTGGAAGCACCTTTTAGTGTCCGTCCGTCCCGCCTGTCTCCTGACTATGTGCTCTCTTCTCGTGAACAGATCATGAGGAACTTTGGCAGCCAGCGTGGGGAGTCCGAACGGGTAAGTCTATTCACCTGTCCTGCCATGGGGTACTACCTGCTGGCACCCTCATCCTGTCTGCCCCCGTTTCTATCACTGAGCTTATCCACTTTGCATTTAATTTTTTTAAATTCAACATGTAGCAATCATCGGACTGCAGGGATTTTTCCCGCTAAAGGGTCAAGCGGCCATGGGCGTTGGTTCAATGGAGGCACCCGGTTCAGAACGCAGACGACTTGCCAAATTGTATGTGCAGCACTCAGCATTGAGGGCATTTTTTGCTTGTTTCCTTTTCTCCAAGGATTTCGTGGCAATACTAATGTGGGGAATGGATAAATTCAAATAGGTCACGCGACTGGGTATGTCCGCAATGTAAGATTCCGAACCGCGAATGCCTGCCAGATCCGCTTCCTATCCAGGAGGATTCGCAGGGTGCTTCTTCGTGTACGAAAACAGCCGACGACAGTTATGGTAACGCTAACACAGATACAAATGTTACTCCAAGGGTGACGGCAACGGCCATGTCAGAAACAACAGAAACAGACTCAAGCTCGGACACTGCGGAAGCTTCGCGAACTGCGACGACAAATCCGGAGGAGTCGGCCGATTTGTGCGTGTCATCTGAACATCTTTCGGCGCAGGAAAAAGAAGAGAAAGAGAAAGAGAGGGAGGCGAACAACGCGAACGCGGCTTCGTCGTCATCATTACCTCCTGCTTCCGCAGAACTGTCTCGGGTTGATCCCGAGCGCATTGACAGCAAGGGGTCAACAGAGGCGGAGAGAGTGCGGTCATTAGAGCTAGATCGACATCCGAAGCAGGAGCAAGAGCAGGAGCAGGAGCAGCGAAAACAGACTTCCGCGGTGGAAGTAATAGTGTCCGCTGCAAGTAGTACCACTATCGGAGCTGCTTCGGGATCCCATACCCATGGACACACACATTCACCCTCTTCTTCTGCTTCATCTTCCTCATCTTCTTCACGACCCCCTATCTTGCTTGACGCAACTATTTCGGTATTGCTAGTTCTAGTTGTAGCGTTACTTGCTAGAAAGGTACTGTGAACTTGTGGATTGCAGACACGTAGACAGACAGTTAGACAGAGGCATACTTATGCATACGCACACCCAATTCGTATTCACTTCATCTTGCGCTGTACATGATTAAAATTAATTTGTTATTGGACATATTTGTATCGAGTATTACTGCATACGTATCCGGGTTTATTATTATCGCATTGAACCCGTGTAGAACATCGGATCATAGAGGGTCGGCATAACGTCTTCGTTCCGTACACAGAACTGGGGGGTTGAAACACGCATCACGAGGGTTGAGAGACAGAAGAAGTTACCGAAGTAATTAGTAAAGACCGAACGGAAAGAGACGTGATGCATCTTTACACAACATAGCATTAAGCTCAGACAGAAAAAGAGGGACAGAGGAGAGAAGAATTTAACCCAATCGAACTCAAGCTATAGTCAAGTTCCAATCGGAGTGAAGCGTCCCTTACATCTCAAGAACACCTCTTCCCGCTTCTATCCATTCATACACGGAAACACACAAATACACATACAGAACAGGTGACTCACCATCTTACCATCCCGGAAGATCGTCCTTGACCAATCTGTAGACAGACTACGCTCGGAAAAGTAATCACATACGGAGGTCCCCAATCTTCCTGATATGGCAAGCGACAATATCGGGCGTACAAATGAACGGGAACGGGGGGGTCGGAAAGGGGAGAAAAGGGTCGGACGGAAGAAATGTAAAATGATATGAAAAGGCTGTGCGCAAGGGAAGAGGAGATGAATGAAAATGAGATGAATACGTGTGGTGTTAGTCACCACGGACTAAACGGCTTATCGGCTACCGACTGGGGGTGCCCAAATTTCTCTAGCCTAAGCTTCTTTACTTACTCTCAAAGGCACATATACCCTGAACTGTGTGCTGTGTGCACTCTTCCATACGCGTGCGAGTATTAAAAGACCTCTGCTGGCACCCTCTTTCTTCTTCTTCCTTTTGTGTCCTCTCCCCCTTACCTCTCCTCTTTCCCCAACCCATTCTCTGTTCCGTCCCGCTCGGGCGACATTGGTATATGTTATAGGATGCATACCGTTGTACACATCTCTGCCAGCATAATCGGAAGACGACTACAGCGACGGCAGCTTCATAGCATCGGCATTCCCAGTATCCCCCGAGAGCGCAATTAATTTTCAAACCCAAACTATAAAGCAGTACATCGGACGCGACGAACGTGCCTGGTTAGTGTCTCACTCACAGCTCAGATTCAGGAGAGGTTTAGTGACAAAGCTTAGGCATAAACTATATCACCTAGGTGACGCGATCAGAGACACTTAAACACTACTACTGCATAGTCATCCCCTGCATATCTCTGCGTGCTGTACAATTAATAGTCAGCACTGTACCACGGGATATGTCCACGGCGATCGCTCCTACACCCGCACGTATGCGCAGGAGTGCGACATCGAGTAATTCTACTGCCGTTTCCGCAGTAAATGTCAGCCCAAGCAATTCGAGCGCCGCGCCTGTTTCTTCGCCGAGTCGGATGGGGAACAGCTCTAATAAGCCTTCCGCGTTCAGTCACTCAGATACTTCATCTACTACATCCCCTTTCACTCATATTTCCATGCCACCGCCGTCTTCCTACTCTCATCCGCATCTCCCCACCTCATCTTCTTATCATTCCTCCTCCCATTCCTCCTCGATTGTTACTCTCCCTGTGTCTGCCTCTACACCAAACGTATCAGAAACAGCGATGCGTTCGCGAATGACGCGAACAAACTCACGTCTCCGACGGACAGGTCCAGGAGCACTGGTGATTCCTGTCCCGCCTACACTGGTGAACAGCCCGCACTTGCAATCACCCAACAGCATTTTCCGACGTCCTCACTCCGGTCCACGCGCAAGTCCTGGTATCGAAGAGGAACGCTGGCTTCGCGATACTGTACCCTTAGGTTCACCTTCGGGTCGTGTTCCACCTCCGCCGTCGACTTCAATACCCATTGTCAGCGAACAGAGGAGATCGCGTGGAAGTTCTGTGTCAGTCTCGCCTACTAGCGCTGTCGTTCCAGGTGCGGCGCCTACATCGCCCGCGTTCTCGCTCTTGCCGTCTTCTCTGCCGCATACCGCAACTGTCTTTGCACACGCGCCTCGGGACTCGTGTTCGTATCCGCCTTCAGTAACGACGACATCATTCCGCAATACAGTCCGGCATTGATAGTACACGAATTTTCAAATCCAAAAAGTCGGATCGAACCCCTCGTAAAAACGCTAAATCCACGGGGAAAAAAGAGGGTTAACGCCGGACATGCGCAGGGCGACATGCTCCGTAATTCTTGTGGGATTCTTGGGGAAAGCATGTGCTTGGAGATGCAGACGATCAGCAATGTATCAGTATATGAGTCAGCATGCGTTGCGGGGTGAGGTTCTGCGGAGGGGATAAGGCGCGAGAAAGGAAAGTGAATGCACTGAAGAGGCAGTGGGTCGAGGTATAGTGGCAGATGGGCGGATAAGTGCGAGATGCAGTGACGTCATTCCCTGTCGAGGCGCAACGCTCCGGGCGGAACGTTAAATGTTTCTTGAGCTCGGTGGCACTGAAGCTCTCTGGTTGACTGCGGAGCGTGTACCGCTGACATCATCCCTACGTCGTTATCTTCTTCTATCTTGACGCGAGGCATTCCGAACCGAATGGCGACGAGAGGGGCGTTGAATGACGGCGACACGCTCGAGGCTGATTCGCAGGTCTGCTGCTCTTCCTCGATAACCTTACATTTGGACACCCGAAGCTAATTTCGTCCCTTCTCGACGACGTCTTGACTACGCATGCGCGCGTCTTTGTAAAGTCCAGGCCCAGGCCCATCCATCTGCGACGCGTGTTTACTTGCTTCATCTTCATCTCGCTCTCATCTCGGGAGTTGCTGTAACTCTCGTCTCATTTTAATCGTCCCATGTCCTTTGATATTTTGGGTCATCTTTGGTCATCTTTTCTCAACTAGGTACTCACAATAGTCGTCATCTGTTCTTCTGTTCCTCTCTTTCTCACAATCTTGTTTCCCCTTCTATCTTTTTCATCCTTCCGTTTATTTCCTCCCTTCAGGTCATTTTTTGGGTTTTGGCATCTTGGTACTCTGGCGTCGATCACTCAACAACAGAACAGAAACATAAGCAATCCTTACATCCGATAAAACTATCTTGCATTTTTCCCTCTTTCTTCCTTTCTTGCTTGCTGTTTTTTTTTTACACTCATGCATCTCTCATGCTTTGCATCATGATATCATGATATATCGATATATGCACTGCTATCCATCAAAACGCATCGTATCATATTGTATTTCGTATCGTATCGTACTTTAGGTCCTTGGGTCCCTATTTTTGTATTACATGTAATAGTGGTCAAAACCAATGTATTCCACTTTCGTATTTCGTTTTGGGCGTTGTGCTTGTAAATTTCGACCTCTACATTTGTAACTTTACACATAGATATTGAGAGTAATCATTGTCCCAGAATACGTGTGCGTGAATCATAGTGACCCAAAAATCTCGTCAATCTCGTCTTTTCGCTTCTTTTTCTTTTGGACTTTCTTGTGCCCTGTTGAGCCGGCGGCTTGCTTTATCTGTCCTGATAATTTGGTTTTCGAGACGGTTTTGCTTGTTAATGGAGATGCAAGCTGTGGTTCTTGGCTGGTGGATGATGGAGTCTGTTCACTCTGTTTCCAAAAGATTGGTATAGCGTCCTCGGAGGGTACAGGGTCAATCATCATAGTGCCTGAAGGTTCTGTAATTTCGATAGCAGGACGTCGAGAAACTGTGCTACCAAGGTCCTCGTTAATTCTGTCGTCCATGGGTGTACTTTCGTGAGTTTCAGACGCTTTCTTCTGGGTCGGCTGTTTCAATGTTTCCGAGGCTTTTAGTGACCACCTTTGTTTGTAGCCCTGTAAAATGCAACTATAAAGTGAGGGAACAGCAAGCACTCGAAGAGACAGCTTACCAGAGCTTCAAGCAGTGTACACAGAGTGTTCGAAAAAGTCTCTAGTGCAGTGTGTAGCTCTTCTACAATTGCATTCAACCTTGACACGATAGCAGTCAAGATCAGAATCAATTGCAGGAATGCGCCTGTTTGCATCATTAGAGAAAATGAGCTATAGGGACAAGGCTCAGAGGTTGTATGTGTTTTATTGCGAGGATATGTTTACTGGAATGCTTTGGTGAAACGTTCTTTCGCCTGAAATGTGCTCAGTTGAGGGACTCAGATCAGGAGGATATATTGGAACTTACGACATTCAAGAGATCTATAATATCTTTTAACCTGTCATATACGAAGTTCAGGAACTTCGCGTCTGGAACTTGGCACCAGGCACCTCGTAATACCTTAGGACTAATCAATTCAGCTACCATGTCCCAGACAAGACAGTAAAGTGTAATTAATACCTCCTCTCAGAACCCTCATCAATGTAAAATGAGTATCGTAAATCGTCTAGTAATCCCGAGCACTGGATCTCAAGGACTCTTTTACCGACTCTACGGACCTCTTGTGTGCGCTTCCAGAAGAGTGCCATCCGGTGTTGGTTTACGCCCTTGTAGTATATTCGTTCGAGGATGCGCATCTCGTCGTGTAGACATGTCTCGAGAGGTGTTATTTGTTGGACGCATAAACGCGCTGCCTTGAGCACCTTGTCGATTTTAGGGTGAGTCGACGCGTTGATTTCGCGTCGGGGGACAGAACTGAGTCTTGGCCGCTTTGCATGGCGCGCAGCTGGCATGATGAGAAATCCAAAAATTCAATAACTGGAGTTTTAGACTTCGAAATGATCCGCGTAAGAGAGAAAGAGACATTACGTACAAACCCGTAAATGTCATCCCGCCTGACCGACAAAAGAGCCGCCGCGTCTGCTTGCAGTCTCCCTTGTATTCTTCCTGTTTTTCTCTCTAATCGTCTACGCTATCGCCCACCGGGCTGTTTGAAGAGTATTGCTGATGAGTGGACAAGCAGGTCAGGATGCAAAGTTCTTCCAGCGGGGTAAGATCCAGGTGTGTATGCCGTGTGCCGTGTGCCAAGCTATGACGCTCCTTCGCAGATCGTTCACCACCCCTTTGGTTTTGCTTTGTATATAGGAGTTCCGGGCGGAGTTGCATGCGGCCGAGGCGAAGGATAAGAAATATGTGAAGAGAAAGACGGTACTCAAGAAAATAGTGGCGAATATCACGATGGGCAATGACAGTGCGTGTATAGGCGTTTGAATGGGTATACTTAGAGATGCTGAGTGGTCTTGCTTAGTGTCCCCATTATTTCCTGACGTCGTGGCGTGCTTGGGTACTCCTTTACTGGAGATCAAGAAGAGTGCGTATATGTGCCGTGTGTTTTCTCTAGTTCTTGGTCTCAGTCAAATCGCGCAGTGGTGTACCTCTTCCTCGTAAGCTATGGTCGGTCAAAACCTGACCAAATTCAGATCGTCATTCCAAGCTTTCTTCAGGTATGATGTTTGAGGTCATCTTCCCATAATATGCTAATCTTTGCTTAGGACTGCGCCGACCACAACCCTCTTATTCGAGCACTCGCCATCCGAACAATGTCCTATATACCTCTTCCAGTCGTTACGGAGGCCATGACAGACCCATTACGCCACGCACTCAAGGACCGCGACCCTTACGTTCGCAAGACTGCAGCAATTTGTGTTGCTAAAGTGTATACGGCAGACCCTCGACGAAGTGAACGTGCTGGATTCGTCGAGATGCTGCGCGACCTTATGCTTGATACGAATGCGACTGTTGTTGCTAATGCTGTTGCGGCGCTTGTCGAGATCAGTGAACGGCACGACGGTGTTGCATTTCGTGTGAATTTCACTGTAGCGAACAAGCTATTGACGGCGTTACAAGAGAGTTCAGAGTGCGTAAACTACTTGCTCGCTCAATTATCATATGTCTGACGAGTTTCAAAGATGGGGCCAGATTTACATCATGGACGCACTCATGACTTTCGTCCCTCACGAATCAAAGGAAGCAGAGATCATTTCCGAACGAATCATCGTCCAATTACAACACGGGAACTCAGCTGTTATCCTCACCACCATCAAAGTCCTGCTTTATCTCATGAATTACATGGAAAACCGAAGGCTCATCGAGTATATCTGCAAGAAGATGGGTCCACCACTTGGTACGTTTTTAGCTTTTCCTTCTTGTCTTGGATGGACAGAAACTAAAGACCCCGTTAGTTACGATGCTTTCGTCCGGCCCGGAAGTGCAATATGTTGCGTTGCGCAATATTCTTCTAATCATACAAAGACGGCCTGCTGTTCTCAAGAACGACGTGAAGGTCTTTTTCTGCAAGTATAACGACCCTATCTATGTCAAGCTTGCCAAGCTGGAGATCATGTATCGACTGGCGCGGGAAGAGAACTTCCGAGAAGTACTCGCTGAGTTACAAGAGTAAAGCTTGCTTCTTCGTTTCTATGTTTCTGGTAACTAAAAGATATTTGGTAGATACGCATCCGAAGTCGACATTGACTTTGTACGAAAAGCTGTACGTTCAATCGGCCGGCTAGCGATTAAAGTCGAGCCCGCTGCAGATCAGTGCATTGAAGCATTACTCGGCCTCATCGAAACCAAGGTGACGTACGTCGTACAGGAAGCGATCATTGTTATCAAAGATATCTTCCGGCGGTATCCTGGTCGCTATGAGGGTATAATACCGAAACTTTGTGAGAACTTGGATGCATTGGACGAACCTGAGGCGAAAGCGGCTATGATTTGGATTATTGGGCAGTTTGCGGATAGGATTGAGAACTCGGATGAGCTACTTGATGATCTTGTATATAACTTCCTGGAGGAGCCAACGGAGGTATGCTTCTAAATTCTTTCTTTGTTTTTTTTACTTATTAACAATTGTGGACAGGTACAACTCGCTCTACTCTCCGCCGTAGTCAAACTCTTCATCTACAAGTCCAGCTCCGACACGAGCAAAGAAATCGTACACAAAGTGTTAAAATGGACGACTGAAGAAATCGATAATCCGGATTTACGAGACCGTGGATTCATGTATTGGCGACTGCTGGCGATTAACCCTGCTAACGCGGGTGAGATCGTACTCGCTGAGAAACCGCCTATTACGACGGACTCGGATCGTATGGATAGAGGCTCGTTGGATCAGCTTTTACTTCATACGGGTACACTTGGGAGTATATATCATAAGAACCCTGAGGTCAGCTATCTCTCATCACTCAGTTGTAATCAATGAATGAGTCAGGCTGATGCGTCGATTTTTCAAATAATAATCGATAGACATTCATCCGAAACGCGAAAGCGAAAGCCCTCCCCGACAGTGCTGCTCTCAACGAGAAATCACGCGCGGTACGCGTCCTATCGCCGCCTGACCAACTCCCACCTACCGTCGTGGATGTCCCAGGTCCACCTATGCCTCCGGCCCGTTCAACAGATCCTGTACCTACCGTCCCACCATTATCCAATCGCTCTGAGACACTGCAGCCGGGTATGCCTTCTATGTCTTCTATGTCTTCCTCCGCCGTTCCCGTTCCCGCTGCTGGGAACTCGAGCTTGATCGACGCAGAGGGAGAGGGAGAAGGGGATTATGCTGATGGAGGAGGGGACGTGGGGACGGATGAAGGTGATGCTGAGGAGCATTTAAGGCCGAATGGGAATGGGAAGGATCCGTATGCGAATTTGGATGGAGCGTTTGGGAGGTATTTGAGTGAGGAGTCGAAGGGTATGGGGGTTGGTGCGAATGGGAATGGGAGGAATGGGGACGATTTGTTGTTTTGATTTTTTTCTCCCTTTTTCTAAAGATCTGCTTATTTACATTGTATGATTTTATTTTTTCATGGAAGGAGATGGTGACATATGCTGACGGATCAAGAGGCAGGGAGGGTTTAATGAATACGATACTGTTGACGTTTTCCTGATTCTCGACTCAATATTTTTTTTCTATTTTCTATTTTTTTTTTCGTGCTTTGCATACCTTGCTCTGATGCCTCTTTGGTTTTGATGAATCTTTTTTTATCCATTTGTACGTTATTAAGACATCCATTTTTCACTCAAGAACGTTACGTGCACTGTGCACTGCAAAGTCTATCATCTGTCCGACAACACTACCGCCTTGAATATTCAAACCCAAAGTCACATAAGCGTACATCTTATAGCACCCCTCCATCCTCAAGCTCCATCTCAAACCAACCTCTTTTAAAGTCTTTATTTACTTCGTATAAGTCGGCCGCATCATCCCATTTGTCCCATACCAATCACCCTTAACCATAGCTTCGAAGTAGATCCATGGGAAGAAGTCTTTCTTGAGGTGGTAGTATAGTCTGCTGGGTGTTGCTTGGTCACCGAGCCTACTGGCGAAGGTTTCTTTGGGTTCGAGTCCGTATTTGAACTCTGCGAGCATTAGGTAGCCGTAGTCAGTTAGTAGCTGCAAGTGGTAAGAGACAAGCGAATTAGTAAAATGATTTTGATTTAGTGTTGTTTTGAGATGTGGGATAGTAGATGATTGGGAGAGGAGACGTACAGGACAACTCGTATACCCATCGTATTTCGCATTGCTCAATTTCCCAGTATCGACAAGTGAGAAGACGTTCTCTGAGAGTACAGGTGCTTGAGCAGTGATAGCCGCAGCAGTCTTACTCGTCGGCAAACTCGAACAATCACCAATCGCAAATACGTTTGCGTATTCCGGGTTTTTATGCTGCAGAGTCGCATCATCAACGCTCACCCACCCCGCCTGGTCCGCAATCGGGCTATTCTTAATAAAGTCAAGCGGACCCATCGGGGGTACAGCATGTAACAATGAATAATCCGTTGATACATCCGAACCATCTGCGCGTTTGAACGTAGCGATACGGTTAGAGGTGTCGATGGAAGTGAGGTTAGTGGAGAACTCGGCGTGGATGCCACGTGAGAGACGGAGTTTATCGAGTGCGTCGGAGTATTTTTTGACGGAGAACATGGTTGGTGTGCCTGTCCAGAACTCGACTTTGATGGTGTCACTGCGTTGGGTACGGCGGTACCTGTCCCAGGCCATGTTCATGATTTTTTGTGGTGCTGTTAGGTGTCATAATGTCAGTCCAGAGGTCGGTGAGCAGTCGTGACGGATTGAAGTATATTTAAGAACAGCTGCGATGTAAACTAGACGTACCACCGGCACATTTGATAACACCTACAGGCTGTGTAAAGATAGCCTTTCCATTTCGCAGCGCGTCAATGTCCTTCCACGTCTTGTCGCACGTGTCATATGAGTATATAGATGACACGCCCGACGTCGGGTCCGCAAGCGCTTGTGAGAGCCCCTTGATACCGTTCCAGTTAACCTGGAGCCCTGTCGCGACGACGAGGATGTCGTAGCCGAGTGTACGCCCGGAGGCGAGTGTGATGGAGGAGGATCTGGGCTCGAAGGACTTGACGTTCTCAGGAACATGGGTGATGTGCTTTGGTACGAGCGATGCAAGGGGTCGACGGAGAGTTGACTTGTCCTTTAACCCTGCACCTACAAGTGTCCTGTGAATAAATCAAATAAGGCGTGATAAGCATGGGTCTTGATTTCTTGGAGCATCTGTACATCTGATGGAAAGACTCACCACCCCGGCTATGTATCACGGTTAAAGAGCAGATTTCATTTGTTTCAGCAATGATGGTTTCCCTTGTGAGAACAACTGGTTTGATACCTGATAGTGATGCCATTCAGCCGCATCAACGATCGCGACGTCGCCATCAGCAAGAGGTTTGCCAGCAGATTTGAAGCGATTGAATATTTGATTGGAGATGCTGATACCGGCAGTGCCTGCCAATGTGGGTTGACGTTGAGCGTTTCTCATGATGCACTGCCGTAAGAATAGTCTTACCTGCGCCTATGACGAGGATTTTGAACTTATCCTTGGTAGACGAAGCATCTGTACTGGCAAGTCTTGCGCCGAGAGGGCGCAGGAGACGAGCTGCGCGATGCATAGTAGAGCAGAAGCAACGTTAGAAGAAAATAGTTGCATATTTCAAAAAATCCAAGAAGCTGAGGAAAGAATGACACGATCAAGTCGCCATACTTGCTTTTTCTGGAATGGAAATGATCGACGCGTAGCGACCCTGATGCGTACGTCACGTGCATGACATTTGGATCCGTTCCTCAATTGAGCGGGACCCAGGCAGCTATCTCGTTGCCAATGCCACTCGGGAGCCACACGACCATGTTCAATCCGTCGTCTACACGCTGCTAAGGTCCTCCACATCTTTCTTCCTCTCCCTTCACCTCGCCAGCTGGTCTGTGCGGCCTACACTTGCTTTCTCTTTCTCTGCACTTGTCTAGCTAGTCTATATTTTCAATTTGGACTTTCTGCTGCTACAAATCTTACTTCTCCCTTCTTCGGGTGTATTAGTACTGTTGCTTTTCACGAACGGATCAGCTATATTCGATATACGAACGACATGCTTCCCTCAAATCCACGCACTGGTCAGAGCAGGTCCGTCTCAAGACAGCCGACCATGACTCAACAGAGGTCGGTCAGTCGCCCTAGGGAGCGATACTCGGTTGAAGACGATAGAGGTGGGAGGGGGCGCAATCAGGACAGGAGTACTAGCTACCAGCGACAAGTACGCCCGCAACGGTCAGTGGGAATTATGCAGTATCCTCGAAATAAGGAACCAGCCCTTCCACCACCTCCGAGTCCGAGGGAGCGATACTCGGCTCAAGATGACAGAGGTGGAAGGGGACGTCAAGTACGCCCACAACGCCCGATGGGAGTCATGCAGTATCCTCGAAATAAGGAACCGGCTCTTCCTCCACCTCCAAGTCCGACACAAAGGTCGAGAGTCAGGTCTCCTGCTACTAGGCCAGCACCATCTGCATATCCTCGTCCTCCACCATCAAGAGAGTCAGATTCCTCCTCTTCGTCTCTGTCATCTTCTGGATCATCAACATTTCTTGATCGCATGCGTCACCGCGGTGGAGCAGGTTCGTCGTCACAGTCAAGCTTTGAACTTGATCCGGAAGGTGCCAAAGAAACGAGGGGAAGCGATGATTATCGAAAACCAGGTTTATTTTGGGAAGGTCAGTTATCTTTATAGAACTTCGTTGTTATTTAAGGCTTAGTGTCTGTGTTGTTTTAGGAACAGCGACCTCTTCAAGAGCGGAGGAAGAGTCATCTGCGAATGACTTGGTCTCATACGGGTATTCGATTTGGAATCGCGTTGCTACCGCTGCTAGTGCCTGGGCTTGGAACGGGAGCAGTAACGATGCCGTGAAAGGCGGTCGGTTCTTTTTATATCTTGAATGTCAAGGCCCATAAATACTGACGACGAAATATTGCAGTTGCACCGTCATCAGGAGATTCGGAGATTACGCGTGCCTTGAAAAATTATTACATCAGTAAAGCACGAGACAGATCAGACTTGCCCGACTGGTTGTTTGATGAACGGGAACGAGGAGTAGGCATGGAGGAAGTTGCTCCTCGGTCTATGTGTTACGATGAGCAACATGCGACAGGTGCCGCAGAACCTATTGCTCGCGCTCGTGGCAGAGGATTCCGGGATATCTACGACAGCGTTGCCTCAGATACTCCAGAGCCTCGTGTGCATGAAAGAAATGATAATTACAGAGCGCCAGTGCCCGGCTCCGGTAATACGACTCCATCCCGAGCAAACGACCGGTTAAAAGCGCTAAGAGATGCGAAACGACAGGCTGCGACTGCAAGCCGCGTGGCGGAGTCAGTGGGGGGCAGAGGCGCTATCGAGAGGAGAAGTGTTGATGTTTATGATACGCGGTACGAAGATAGTTGGTCGTCAGGACGGGGAGCACGGGATGTTATGGGAGCGGACCCAGGAAAGCGGATGCCTGTTCGGGTCGGACTGCCAACAAATCCGAGAAGGCGATGATTGCAGACCTCATGTTTTCTTTTTTCTTCAGTTTCTCATCGAATGCCATTTTCTTGATTTGTGTGGATGTATGATGCACTTTGACTTCGTATGTTGGGGCGGATGCTGCAAGGCTACATTGTACTTTTGCCAGTTTCCTATTGAGCACATGGACTACAGTTGTTTCTAGGACGAAATTGATGACCAGCGTGATTGAATTGACGAAGAGAGAGCGAGGTTTCCCACGAAAATTTATTTTCAGATGCTATAGGCTTCGACATAGGGCGCGTTGCCAATTGGACCAACACTGTCCGATTTGGCCGAGAATGGTTATGTAACCGTCCACAAGAGCGCTTGGAAATTCGAAAATGAAACGCAAGAGTTGCTTGGAAAAGCGGTGTGCTGTCAAGGTGGGCATGCTGGGTGATGAGGGGGACGTTGATGCGACGCCAAATATAGGAGTGGCTATCACTGGAGCGTAAATCAGGCTGCTGTTGGATGAGAGACAGAAGGCGCGGAAACGGATTGATTGGATGATGCATCGAATCGTCGACTGCTGATCTCCCATGCTCGTAACCATGGCCGACCGTATCCACTTCCCAGGCAGATGCGCGCCCTATAAACTCAAGAATGGCTCGTTCGTCCCGTTCTCACCCTAGCGTCCCCTCTTCGTTCTTTCCTTCACCCTTCACCCTTTTCGCCTTCGCTTTTTGGCTTTGAAAGTCGAGCCTGGTACTCGACCTGCCACCCATTCATTCTTTCGGGGTATGTCATCTCTCTTCTCCTCTTGCTTGGCATGTATACAGAAAAGCATATACTCACTCATTGTTGGTTTTGTTCGTCGTTGACAGATCATACTTGTTCTTTGACAGACAGGCCGACTCACTGACCCGCACTTCCATTAAGCCCTCTGCGAGGAATCAGTTCAACAACAAGTACTTCTTCGTCCTCAGACAACCACACCTCGACGGTTTATTTCGTTCTTCTTCACGCCCACCCACGGACTTTTTTCGTTTTCGAGATTTCTCTTTGAATTGAAATAAAACAAACATGGTTAACTTTGCCAAATTGTCTATTGGTTCTGCAGTCCTTGCTGCTCAGCTTGCGCTCGGTGCACCTGGAGCGAAGCGGGATAGCGCTGTTGGTGGTGAGGTCGCGGTCTCCGCGCCCGACGGTATCCCTATTACCGACACCAAGGAACTTGCCTCGTGCGTGTTATCTGTCAATCGAGGCAGCACTGAATGGAAGCTGATGTATTTCCTATTTTGACAGGCAAAGTCTTGCAGAGGCATCATCCTCTACGGCCTACAACAACAATGGTGGCTACACTACGACGGCCGCAATGATGGACACGACCAGTGTTGCGTACCAGCAGAGCTCCTCGGACAACATGTACACGAACGCATACCAGACCACCACTATGAACACGTGGGATTCGATGAGCACAAGCGTTGCCTATGACACCTCTTCAGCCGAATACACCTCAAGCTCCAGCGTTATGTATGACACTACATCTACGTCGTCGGCTGCGTACACCATGGCGACGTACGGCTCTGGCAGCTCAAACTGGGGCAACAGCGGATACAATGACTGTGTGCAACGTGAGTGAAATTTTCTCCTATCAATCACATCTGTTTGATGAGATTTTTTAAACTTACAATTTGATTTTTTAAATTTAGAATGCATTGCCTCCTTCGGTGCACCAATGGCAACCTACACCCCACCGAGCTCGACTGACAACAGCGGCTCGTCCGGATCTGGTGCGACCCACACTGTCATCGTTGCCCCGTCGCAGGGTGTCCTTCGCTATGTTCCATTCGCGGTTAACGCCTCTGTTGGTGACACTATCAAGTTCATGTGGAACGCGAACATGCACACTGTGACCAAGTCGTCGCAGCTTGAGCTTTGCAACAAGACGTCAGACGCTCCGTTCACTTCTGGTGTCCAGAACAAGAGCTTCGTCTTCACCCAGCAGGTCAACTCTACTGACCCGGTGTTCTTCTACTGCGGTGTCCCGACCCATTGTCAGAAGGGTATGTTCGGTATCGTCAACCCGCCGAACGCGGATGTTTCCTCTTCCATGAGCGTCAACTCCATGATGCCAATGCTCATTAACAACGTCAGTACCTTTTTCCTTTTTCTATTTTTGCCTCCGAATAGATGAACTGATTGATATTTGCAGAGCTCGGAAGTCTCCATGTGGAACACGTACACCCAGAACATGACCCAAGGAAACCCGACTGCTGCGAACTGGGGTGGAAGCATCGACATGTCCAACATGCCAGACTGGGCGCCGAACGTCATGGCGGAGAACGTTATGTACACTCGTAGCTTCCTTGCTGCGAACCCGGATGTCATCAAGTCGGACGGCTCTGTCGACCTCGGTGCTAGCAGCTCGCCGTTCATGATCCCGAACGACCTTAACGCTGTGATGGCTTCGTCTTCGTCAGCGTCTGGTGCTGCTGCTGGACCGACGTCCCCCGCTGGTAACGCTGGTTCTGGTGCAGGCTCATCTGCTGCACCTTCGTCCAGCCCAGCTGCGAGCGGTGCACGTGGACTTGCTTCGTCGACAGCACTCGCTGTTGCCGTTGCATTCGGTGCTGCCTTCTTCGCGCTCTGAACATTTTGACATGCGATGAATGGTGTTGTTCATTGTACATAGGGCTGTAGTTTCACGGACTGGCTTCATCTTCCTTTATCTTTTAGATGAATGGACACTTCAAAGTTTACTTCGTTTTTTTAATCTTTTGTTCGATTCGTTAGGAATCTCTTCACTTCAAATGACGTGGGGTTGGGTTTGACCGCCTACTTATAATAAGAAGCTCGACGACATATACCTACCTTTTTTTCTCTCCTACCAAAGAAGTCGTGTGTAGTAGTTGTTTTGTTTTGAACTTTTTGGACAGTTTTCTTTCGTACTTACGTTTTGACTTATTCCTTCGACGTAGTGATGTGTGTTGTTGATTGTGTTGTTCGGTAGTGATCACCCCCAACTATCTTTTTTGACGCGTCAGTGGTTGTGATTAAGAATGACTGAGATCTCGTTTCATTTTGTTCTTTGAGGATTAAATCTAAAGTATTGTAGGTATGAGGCATTATAGTAGTGCATTTTCAAATAAGGATTTTGATTATGTCGTGAGCAGGCCTCTATGCACTAATATGCTCCTATTAAAATATGGCAAGATATATTAGGCTGTAGCCTATGAAGAAGCAGTAACAGGGGAAAAGGTTCATTTGTATCAGGCACGAATTCTGGCCGGAAATGCACAATCAGATCAGGCAGAAGCACAAGCATTCATCCAAGCACTAACATTAAGAATATCAGAATACTGACTTAACATTCCTAGTGTCACTACAGGTAACTTGAGCTGACCTCTTGCAAAACGAGATTATTATTCCGGGTGACTCAAAATATCTTTCAGATACATGATGTCCCTTGTTCACCGAAGTGGCAACAGTGTTGTGAACGGATACAATTCCTTTTGGTCAAAGACATACAGAAATCGCATGCAAGGCGAGATGTCAGACTATAAAAAGAGTTGCGAGGCTATAAAAAGAGGATAGGAACGCGGTTGCGAGGTACGTCGTCAGGCCTGTCGAATTTATCGACTTGGTAAGGGTGAAGATGTAGGAAGATGGAGAAGAGAACTCCGCGTCACTAAGACATTGACTGTGCACATGATGTTAATGAGAACACGTGATTCACGTGGTACGTGTAGCGTGAGAACCACAACAAACACGGAGAGTCAACGTGTTTGGTTGTTGTGACTTGAACTCTCGCCACCCCGCACCCGTCACACTTACACACATTTCCGCACTCCGAGTGTACATACATACATATTCGCTACCCGGGCCAATATTCTCGCTGATGTCGCGTCAGACGACGAGCCAGATCATCGCAAAGGGCGAATATCTGCAACCTGACTTTGATCCATACACACTGACGATACCTCACCTCATTGGTATCTTCGCATACCACGGAATTAACTACCCGCCAAAACATAACAAGGCGGATCTCGTTGATATTTTCAATAAGGATATTAGGAGCAATATTATCAAGTTGACGAAGCAGAGGCTTGAAAGGCAGGAGACGCTTGCGAGCGAGGATGGGATTTTGGACGGTGTAACTGGACGACCGATCGCTGCCCCGGCACAGGTACGTTCGTGACTGACAGTTTCGGAGAAGTGATACAATTAAGCTGACTCTTGCTTCTATTAATTGCAGCCGGTTCGGCGGTCGTCGCGTCGTCCGAGTCGTGAACCGTCTGCGGAGCCAGATCGAGCTGAACCCGTGAGTGCTATTTCAACATACTAGCTTCTCCGCAGCTGTACGTGTTGTGACTGCGTTATTGACCGGATGTCAATCTAGCCGAAACGCCGACGTGCGTCCGCAGAACCGACTGTTGGACGTGGACGGAGAGCCGCTACCAAGAAAGTGGAAATAATCTCCGAGGAAAGTGAAGAGGACGAACCTCAGCCCAAGCTTGAAGAACCTCCGGCAAAGGTAGGAAGAACAAAGGATGTGCGTAACATCCTCTGGCCTGGAATTTGGCTGACCTTACGTCTTCTTGTGTAGTCTGATGCTGCGGGTCCCTCGCGTCGCATTTCCCAGAAGGTACGTACAGTATCCTTATTTTCGGGACTGCTTATTTATTAGGATTCTCCGCAGTTTGGTCCTGGGACAGATGACAGTAACTGGGAGGATAACAACATCTTCCAATCTGGAGCCGAATCTTCATCACCCGTCCGACCACCGAGAAAGAAAGTACCACGGAAATCAAACTTACGCAGGCGAACTTCTTTTTCTGCACCGCCAGAGACACCATCGTCCCCATCGAAACCTGTCTCCCCTCCGCATTTCGATTTCTCTCCAGATTTGTCTTCTTTTGACATAAAGCCGCAACGTTCACGCCTGTCTATGGTAAAGGCAAGTGTTAATGCTGAATAACCGCAGTATTTTATATTTATGTATTGCATAGCCTGAACCCTTGCAAGATGACTATTACGGCGATGTTTCGGGACTTGCGGATGTCAGCGCTCAGCTTGTGGTTGAGGGGGATGACGAAGATGATGAACAAGAACACTTTTTACCTCACGATGAAGACGGAGAACTCGAGGCCGACGATGGAGAGAACGAAGACCCACAGACGGTTGCAGTTGCGCAACGAATCGCAGATGGCGGAGCCCTTACCCACCGGCGACCAATCAAGTCAGGTCAACCTTCGCCATTATGGCAGAAGATACTTTTCACTCTTCTTGTCCTTTCTCTTTCCAGCTTGTCCGCACGTTATAAGCTGGAGTCGGCTCCTATTGGATTCTGTGACACCGGCCTATCGACCAATAATGCGGTTTTAGACATCCGAAAGAAACGCGAGGAGATCGAGTCATGTTACGCTGAACATTCAGAGGATGGGAGACAAGCTGGCTGTCCCCCGCTCCCTTTGATTCCATTACCTGGCCCTGAAACGTGTACTCCATGCCCTACACATGCGTCTTGCACGCGCTTCTCTGTTCGTTGCGATGACGGATATATTTTGAGTCCGCATCCACTGTCACGGATTCCTTATTTATCCGAGTTGGCAAATGGATTACCTGGATTGGGACCAATAGCTTTCCCTCCGCGGTGTGTCGACGATGAACTTCGGAAGAAGCATATAGGAAGACTTGGGAAGATGATTGACTCGACCCTTGCCGAGACTAAAGGAAAGAGAATATGTGCCGGCATTGATGCTAAGAAGCCCCTCGATGGCGGAGAGGCGAGGAAGTGGGGGTATGGCTTTGAAGATCTGAAGCAATCTATATACAAACGGGAGCAGACCAAGGAGGTGAGAGCTAACTTTGCTGTTTAACCGTGGCCATTCCACTCAATCTGACTCTAATTCAGGACAGTAAATCTCGCAGCCAGTTTGATGCGATGTATCAAGAAGCTATCGAGCAGCTTAAAAAATACGGCCGGATAATACTTGAGAAAGATTCAAGGTACGTTGTGAAGCCGAGGACCGCATGCCCTTTGCTGATCGAGTAACAACAGCGGGACGTTGTATATAGCGTCTGACCATGCCGATATGACATGGAGTTGCCAAGCCATTGTTGCTGCACGGCATTCGTGGGCTGAATGGCGCAAGAGCGTGTTCGGTACGCCTAAGACACCCATTACCTGTGAAGGATATCACTGACAATGACCAGGTACCATTGGCCTGTTTTTGTTGGGACTTTACGGTAAATCAAAACTTGCGACACGTCGCGAGGAGAAGCAGCGTGTAGCGGAACTAGTTCAAATTGCATTGGAAGAACTGCGCAACCAAGAAATGCGACACTACACGGATCCAGTGACAACGCCGCATGCATATCTCTCCTCCGTCCAGCTTCGTGATCTAATTCTGCAAGACGAACACCATCCTCAGACACGGCGCCGATTGTGGGACCCTGTGGAACGTATCATAGAAGGAAACGCAAATGTCCGTGTGAGCCTGGAAGAACTGCGTGGCGGGGAGGAAGGAAGGGTCTGGACCTGGGTCGGGAATAGTGGCCTAGCGTCTCCCTCAAAGAAGAGGGTCTCCTCGCCATTTCAATCACCTCTACATGAATAGGTTGGGGCTGGCCCGTTCTTCTAATGTTCGCGGGAGGAATCTGTTTATAGATGATCTATCATGACATATTTACGCTTCTCCAACGGTTCGGAATCAGTTTGTATCATGAGATACATGGGGAGGTATAATTTATGTCCTCCAATATCCTTAGCTTTGAAATGGTTTTTGCTTTCATTTAACTACTGTACGCTTAGCTTGTTTATTTGTTTGTTCCGCTGCGCTGTTTTCCGTTTTAGCCTCCTCAATCTTATCCTAATGTGCCAAAACAATATTGATTGGACTAGAGATAGAATTGGAATTTGAACGGCTCGAATTCTACTTATAAGTGCATTGAGAGAAGTGTTATTGGAGGTTCCTTTGGTGGACAATTCTTCTTGATCGGGAATCGGGGCTAGTAGTGTTGTTTGTTTGCTATCATGACGAGAGCTTCTAGAATAACTGAATAGCCCCTAGGAAACAACCTGACTTGTGTTAAGCTAACAATTCGGGGACGCGCTCTATCTCGACGACCCCTTTTAGTGCAGGGCGAGCGGATGGAGATTACATGAACCCGTGAGCTCGTGAGCTTGCGAGCCGTAGAAAAAGTCAGCTGGATTACGGGATTCCTTTTCTTTTGATTCAAATAAATGATCGATTGGTGACGATTGAACTTTACGCTCTCTCTAAACTTGAGCTTGCAAAATCCGCGGGTAAAAGTCGAAAAAAGAGGAGATTTGAGGAGATTGAGTTCTTTTTTATTTTTTTATCTATTTATTAATTTATTTCGATCATGATAATGATAATGATATTCTCGAGACGTAAGTGCATGTGTGTATCATCGTATTTTATTGTATTATTTTGTCAGCGTCAGATGAAGCGGCCCTTGTTTGATACAGACGATGATCAGTGATCTCCCACCTGAAACGAGAGAATAGATGGAGATGGGAGGTAAAACGTGCGTTGCGTGGGTAGGACGAGGAGTGAAATTTTCTTTCTTTTTTTCCTTCTTTTTATTTGTTTGAAGTTGAGTTGGAGGTTCACTTTGCAATAGATTCCGCAGGATTCGAGAATTCGCATTTTAATGGGAGCGGTAGGGAACGGTGAGGGCAGGGAACTAGGGAAGAGAGTACTTTATTTTTATTTGTTTTTGGTGGTTTGTTCGTGCGATACTCGTGGAACTAGACCATGTAGGGACACGGGATACGTTAGGGATGAGCGGGTGTGCGTCAGAAAAAAAAATGCAAATATATATATTATAAAGCTCACGGGAGAATACGACGGGGACAAATGATATCAAATCGAATAAATTCATTCATTCAGTATCACGGTATAAAAAATGAATTGAGACGGATCTGCTGTTGTGGATTACGGGCGTTTTTATTCCCGTGCCCGTGTCGGATTCGATATTTCGATCGATTTAATTGATATACTTATTCCAGTGATCCCAATGATTCCAGTGATTCCAGTGATTTTGGCGGTCCCCTGTGATTTCCCTTGTAATTCAGTCGGAGCGAGTCCGATCAACGCTTTGCGGAACGGGATGGGGAAAAGAAAAGGGATGGAGGGAAGGCGAAGACGACGCGATGGAGTGAGTGTGTGTTTCGTTGAGCGGCTGACAGCACATGAAACGAGGCTCGCATGTAGGTTTTGACTCCGCTTGCTTTGTTCGTTCGGGATCTATCGTAGGTTATACGGCTTCCTCCTTGTAAAACCTTCATCCTTTCGTTCCTCTCATTCCGCGGGACTGGGGTGCATACCGGGAGCAGAAAACGAGGAACAGAAGAAAGAAAAGAATTTGCTTGTTTGCATGCGCAGAGGGATTCGTCGTTCATAGCATCTGTCGCTCAGAACACCGTTATAAGTAATCCAGTCACTTTCTTCGTGCGTACATCTGTTCGTTTACGCGTGTGTATGCGCATGTGCCGTAATTTCGGAAGCATATGTAGGCGACGGGAGGGCGTATAGTGGTGAGGCGGGATGCCGGAAACGGATAGCTAACGGATGGCGGAGCCTATGCGAGCGGAACCTACGTTTCTAGCCTTTTCTCCAAAGAAGTGTAATGGAATAAAAGAAAGTGAGGTTGTGCCACTCGCATGTTGAGTTAGTTTGACTTTGCAATACGTTTTGGCAATGGTCGTCGTGTCGTGTCGTCTCCACGTTCCAGAACCTCCGAAGTTTCATCGTCGAGTTTGATATTGAATCTGTAATATCATGCCCGATCACTTTGTGTATTTGTAGATGCATAATATCTTTTCCGAGCTTTTCTGACGGCGTCGTGAAGACGAGAGATCTCATATCTGAATTCAATGAGCGGAAGATCTAGAGGTAAAGACACCACCCTGCCCCGATTTCAAAAGAGAGTTGGAGGTGGCGTTGCCCTGTTCGAATATCAAAGGTTTGAAGCTTAAGCGATTGTTGTAAAGGTGAGTTAGGCGTATAAAAGGTGTTCTACGGGAGCGGGAAGCGTGGCCTAATGGAGCCTGCAATATACGGTAAAGACGACGAGCAGAAGGAATATCTAGATCGTATAAGACCGGTTTACGGCCAGACAAATTGGTGAATCAAAAGCCGAAGAGATGTGGGAAGCCACTGAGATCTCCAGCAGATTTTATTCCTTGGTTTTTCTTTCGCTAACCACCGCAGATCCTTCAGGCTGGGGAGGCGGTGGGAGCCTATTAGAAAAAAAGAAGGAATAAAAGAAAAAGTTTAAAAAATTGGGAGCGAGAATCGGGATTACACAGCTTATATTCCGTCTATAGTCCGAAATAGGGACTGGCGTGGTATCCATCCGTGGTTTATTTGATCCACACCACGGATAAGGTGAACCACGGATGGAATTCCCACGGTTACCAGATGAACCGTGGTTACCGTGCCACGGTTCAATTCCCGTATATAACATTTAGATTTTTTATGCTATTTTGTACTTATAACACACAATTATGCAAAATTAATCATATACAAGCTAAGATAAAATATTACATGGGTATTTAAATGAAAATTATACAAGAAATTAATTTTTTTTGTTTTCTATAAATATGAAAAAAGAGAAATAAATCAAATTTCAATCCATTCCCGTCCTCTTAGCCTCAATAATATTAACTGTATCCTTGTAATTCCTGAATAAAGGTGTTCCATCCCAAGATCCAACTGCCATTTGTGCTCTGAATGTATCTGATGAGGTGTTATGTTGTATGAAATTGATTTGACAACAACCAACAGAAAATGCTTGCTCTGCATCAACAGATGTTGCTTAGTAATACAAAATGCGTTAAAAACTGTTATCTTCAGTAGAGAATATTAAAAAATACCTGGAGCTGAGCAAAAATCCAGACCCATCCTAGCTAAACTAGGGTGCTTTAGCTCACAATTGGCCCAGTATTGAATAATACTACCAGCAGCTTGGATTGCTGAATCTGGAATTGGTGGTTCATCCAGATAAACATGAATACTATCTGCTAATCCAATAGGTGCTGATAGACGGCTGGGCATATAATGAGAGTGATTCTATAATAAAGAATATTAGTATTGTTAATATA